CCCCAGAAAATGGGTGGTTTGCCCTCTGAAGCCGCAAAAACAACGGTACCTTCACCGGTAGGCCGGTGCCGCGGAAGTCCGTGTGGCCATGGCCCATCGCTGCCTCGCAGCCCGGGCCCCTCCCTCGCTTTCGGGCCGCCAAAGAGAACCCGCGGTTTCTTTTTGTTTAACTAACATTTGGCTGTGGGTCAAAAATAGGGACCCAAAATTGAACCCTGCAAGTGGTAACATGGACTAAAACCTGCGGTCCCCTGGTGGTTTAATTTTGACCCATATCTACTTGACCCTTTGGGCTAAATGTGGATAAAGGTTGTTGCAATGAATCCGCGTAAATACCAATCTGTTTTTGTTTGGTTCGACCCACGCAATCCGTGTAAATTCCAACATTGAATTTCCTGTGCTGTGGGGTACATGTGGGTTAAGAGAAATTGCAACTACGAACATTTTGTCACTTTGGGGTAAATATGGGTACATGTTGCAGCGGGGAGTTTGGGTGAGAGTGAGGGTGACAAATGTGTTTGGGATCTTAAGGGCGAATTCAAAATACTACAATGTTGCTGAGGGTGCTGTTGAGAGACCAACCGAAGTAGCACCCCTCCAATTAATTTCTCAGGACCCCACCTGTTGACCGTCTCCCGTGTGTTGCTTTCGTGTTGCAAAGGTCTAGTTGTGAATCGGGTTGTTGACCATCTTCAAAGACATGTAGAGAGAGCCAACGTTGGCACAAGGGTGCTCTTCATTGTTCCTCCCCCACAGGGTTCAAGAGGGCAGCGCATCCTGGATTGCCAGCCCTGCCTTTTGATCCCTGGACAGGCAGAGTCGTTTGTCGCGGGGAGCCTCCACGCTGTTCAGATGCAAACCAGTCACTAGGCTGGGCTTCAACCCCCTATCTGGAAGTCTGAAAGCTGGCGCGTGGGGAATTGTGGTTGGTGAGACGTAGGTGATTTTCTACTGGTAGTTGCATATATCGTTGACAGAAAAAAACAGTGGGCCTGCGTGTCGTAGTTGAAGTAAAGTCAGGGTACTATCGTATTGAAAGTACAACCAACAGATCAGCGCAGGACAGGCGCAAGTCGGGTGGCGCATCCAAGACTAGCTAAAAGCACCCAAAGCGACAGCAGTGTGACAGCAGCATGGGGTTGCTTATTTTCTGGACCTTCTGCACCTTTACCAGGCGCTTCTGATTTGCAGACCTCCAACCACACTGCCGGACAAAGCTCTGTAGCTCTTTCGCTTGTCGCCCAAGGACATCTATTTTGCCCAAGGTCGCTACTCTTTAGCTTGGAGCTCAGGGGAGAAGTCGTTTGTAATTGTCCTTGCTCATATTGTTGTTGTTGTTGCTGCTGCTGCTGTTGTTGTCGTGGTGGTGGTGATGGTGGTGGTGGTAGTTGTTGTTGGTTGTTGGTTTGTTGGTTGTCGGTTGTTGTTTGTTGTTTGGTGTTTGGTGTTTGTTGTTTGTTGTTTGTTGTTGGCTGTTTGTTGTGGGTTGTTTGTTGTTTGTTGTTGGTTGTTGGTTGTTGGCCGTTGGCCGTTGGTCGTTTGTTGTTGTCGTTGTCGTTGTCGTTGTCGTTGTCGTTGTCATTGTCGTTGTTGTTGTTGTTGTCGTCGTCGTCGTCGTCGTCGTCGTCGTCGTCGTTGTCGTTGTCGTTGTCGTTGTTGTAGTTGGTGTTGGTGTTGGTGTTGGTGTTGGTGTTGGTGTTGGTGTTGGTGTTGGTGTTGGTGTTGGTGTTGGTGTTGGTGTTGGTGTTGGTGTTGTTGTTGTTGTTGTTGTTGTTGTTGTTGTTGTTGTTGTTGTTGTTGTTGTTGTTGTTGTTGTTGTTGTTGTTGTTGTTGTTGTTGTTGTTGTTGTTGTTGTTGTTGTTGTTGTTGTTGTTGTTGTTGTTGTTGTTGTTGTTGTTGTTGTTGTTGTTGTTGTTGTTGTTGTTGTTGTTGTTGTTGTTGTTGTTGTTGTTGTTGTTGTTGTTGTTGTTGTTGTTGTTGTTGTTGTTGTTGTTGTTGTTGTTGTTGTTGTTGTTGTTGTTGTTGTTGTTGTTGTTGTTGTTGTTGTTGTTGTTGTTGTTGTTGTTGTTGTTGTTGTTGTTGTTGTTGTTGTTGTTGTTGTTGTTGTTGTTGTTGTTGTTGTTGTTGTTGTTGTTGTTGTTGTTGTTGTTGTGGTGGTGGTGGTGGTGGTGGTGGTGGTGGTTGTTGCTGTTGCTGTTGCTGTTGCTGTTGCTGTTGCTGTTGCTGTTGCTGTTGCTGTTGCTGTTGCTGTCATCGTTGTCCTCGTTGTCCTCGTTGTTGTCGTGGTCGTCTCCGTTGTTGTTCCCAGCAAGAGGCGGTGACACATGTTGGCTTTTGTTGTGGGATCTGGCGCCCTGAAGTGCCGCCTTGAAACAGCGGATCTGCAAGATGAACCTTATCACACACCCCTAGCTACATGGTTTGACTGCATGTTTCGTTCCAGGTTTGATCTCTTTCAACTCCCGCAAGGGTTTGTTCAGCCCCCCTTTGTCCCTCAAATAGGTCAAGTAGAGCCTTCATAGTTGGCCCTTAGGCAAGCACTTCCCAGTGACGGGAATCGTTTTGGGGCCAGGGGTCCGTTTTAGCTTAAGCAGACAAGATTGCCTTCCAGCAGGCTGGGTTTCAGAAGGACAAGCAAATCCGAGCCCGATCCTGGAGGCATTCGCCGGAGTGCAGCCTCCACGTTACATGCTGGACCCCTTCCCACATGTGAGGCAAGGATTAGCAAACCGTCAAAATGGTTTGCCACGAGTCATTCTCTCATTCCAGACTCAGGCAAGCACGATGTGACAATGTAAGGTGCATGTCTGCCTGCTCCCTTGAAATGTCCCTCACAACTACTGGACAACTTTACTCAGGTGCAATAGGCATCCCGGGATGAATGTTGCAACAGGAGTATTAAAAAAACGTTTAAGCTTCCTACTCGCAGGTTTTGGCGGGGGCACAAGCCGTGCTTGCAGTTCTTCCCCCTGAACAGGGTTCGCTATGTTTCATCTTTGAGCATTACATCATTTCCCTTGGTACCTTCTAGAAGGACCTGTTTGTTACGCCTCAAAAATAGAGCCATCCTCAGGTGTCAGTACCAAGAAGGACCCTTCGGGAAGGAAGCATCGACAGAGCGGCGAAAAAACCTCCGTAGATCAATTTAGATGAAACTGGAAATTACTCTTGCAGTCGCAAGCGTTTTTGCAAGATTCGTAAGCGATCGGAAGGTCCTGCGTAAGCTGCATGCATGAGTCACTCGTCGTAAGCTTTGCGTAAGCTCTGTTTGTCAGACCCGTTTTTCGTTCAGATTGTTTGGTAGAAGTTGCTTTTGGTCCGCGTAATGCTTTTAGGCGTGAAAATGGGATCAGATTGCTGGAGTCAGACAACTGCTGTTTGACCGTTGGGTTGCTTGTGCAAACCTTTTGCAATGTTCCACGCACAGCGCGTTGGCCAGCTTGAACAAAAAAGCTCGCGTTTGGAAAACAACTTTTCGAGCCCGGAAAGTTTTGTTTTGGCACCTCACCTTTTTCGTTGCGCGGGCTTGGAAACAACATGCTTGTTTTGCTGCGGCTTTGCCTTTTCACCTTTGGGCCTCGGGCTTGGAAAGCACAAAAAAGCTGGTTGAGCCCAGAAAAGTTTTTTTGGGTTGCGAGGCACCTGTTGCCACTTGCAGGCACTTTTCAGGGCCCCGAAGCCTAAAAAAGCTCGCGGACTGGAAAACTTTTCGAGCCGAAAGTTGGTTGTGGGGCTGCATGCTTTGATGCCCGCTTCAGTTTTGAAGAAGTTTTTGTGACGGCCACCCGGAATATCAAGACTTGATCACGTAGTGGTTAAGATCACGCCTCTTCAGCCTGGCTCGAGGAAGTGTGGGGCTTCGATTCAGCTCCATCTTCGAAAAATAGCAAACGTAAGCGACCTTTCGGTTGGCGGAAGCTTTCCGCAAGCGATTGCGGAAGCTGGAGTAACTTCCTTTACGGGGAACAGGTTTTTTTTCGCTGCTCAGGTGGTCCAGGAGACGAACCGGGTGAAGCAGCACATCACCAAGCCCTCGACCATGCTGGAGGCAATTCGCAGGGAGGCAGTTGGCCGGAGGTTGACACCTCCAGCGATCCCAGAGGTTCCACTGGCTACATCTGTTTGATGGCTTCCACCAGAATGAGTCAAACCCCCCGCGTCCCAAATTTTAGTGTCACTGAAATGGGAGTTTGCTCCATTGCAGGTTTTTTCAAGCAAAGCTGAATGCCCTTGTCCCGGGCCATTGGAGGTTTCGGGGGGTGGGTTCAGCCCCAGTTTTGGCACACTCCTGCTTGGACACAGCGCGGCATCGGAATCAGTCCTTGCGTTTCAGCGGTCGCCACATTCGCATCTTGGCTCAAGATCCTAAGCTCAGGTTACATATCGCTCCCAGTGGGAGATTGTCGCAAGGCCATTTCCGGCAGCCCGGGTTCTTTCAGCTGCCTTGGTGAAATGCAGGCTGAGGCATCATCCAATTGTGAGACTTACTTTCTTTGAGCCGACTTGTAGCTGCTAAAAGGGCGAATCTATGTGTCACTGACCTAGTTGAAGTACCGTCTGCTTCAAAGCAGAGGAGTTGTCCGGCAAACGAGCCACGATCGCCCCCCTTCACTTGTGCGAGCTCTTGCGGCTGCTATCTGATGAGAAAGCCGGGGCTCCTGGCTATGCTTTGAGTAGGGGTCGAACTTTTTTTTGTTGGGTTCCTTAAAATTTATTCCAGGGGGGCGATTTCCCTTCAAAGCCTCATCTGGAGGGTAAATTTGAGGGTGTTATTCTCATTTACCCGTATCACAGTTCATTGGTCGGTAGTCATACCAACTCTTTGAGAAAAAATGCAACCTCGCAAAGAGTTTGCTTTTTGACCTGCCCCGGGACAGCTCCAACTGCGGGTGTCCTCAGTGGAGACCCTTGGGATGAACATTTGCTGGATCCGCCATGGTCAACCCGTCAACATGCTGGATCCCCTCCAAAGCATTCCTGCCTTTCGAGGGAAGGCAGAGATGGGGTAGCGTCAAACAAGGCATGAGGGCTTCCCTTAAGCTATCATTCCCTAAGCGGTTTCCCTAGATTGTGCGCCCAAGTGTGGGTCGTGGGTCCCCCCAAACCCCTTGTTTTGTTTTTTGGTGTGTTGCTTTAAAGCCACCCAAAATGGGGCACCCTCAACAAAAGACACACCCATTCGGACAACTGACTGCAAACCCTGATGTACCTGGACGAAGACCTCGGCAAACGTCAAGGCAGCTTTGTTGGCGTGTCTTTTTTTTGAGCTTTACTTGGCTTTGTGGTTTTACAGGAGAACCCAAAGGAAGATGTATATTGTTGGGGGCCTCGCAGAATGAGACACCCACATATATACATATATATATATAGACACGGCAGCGACGGACAAGACTAGCATCGTACGAGTTGTGGGTGGGCCCTATGGTGCTTGCTGGTTGACGTGGATCGGGTTTGGGTAGTCAATACTTGTTTGGTGCATGATAGTATTGCGGGTGTTCATATGCTCGTGAATTCTATGAGGGAACCCCTGAAAGGTGGTTGTCCTTGAAAGGGTCGCTCAGAAGAACATGTTGTGTCGCCCTTTCGGCTGGGATCTGCTTGATCGTTCAAGTGGACCCTCCCTTCACTGCTCCAGCGTTGAAGCCTTTGTGCCTGCATTTCTTATCCTGAATGGAATATCTAGGGGGGAAGCGATCATGTCCACCAGTTGGGACGTTTGCAGGGGCTGGAACTCGTCTTCGCCCACGGCCTTTCTTCGCTAAGGGACGCCGAAGGAGCCTACCGTCGTTTGTGCCGCTGGTGGTGCGAGGACGTGCCGTGCCAGCCGGATCCGGCACTGACGCGTGGCCGAGTTGGGGAGGTCCTACATGCGAGTGTGTTGCGGTTGGACCGTCGGAGCCTTTGCTCACTTGCCCAAGGCGGACCTTTTGACTTATTGGTTTCCCCGGTTTGTTGGGCAAGTGTGTTTCGTTGCTGGATAAAAGAACCTGCTGATATGCTGCATATTTTGTTTTGGGAGGGTTCAGTATGAAAGTTAATAGCCAATTCAGAATTGACCGGTCCTACAAATGATTAGCTTCCTTTTGGCCACAAGGTCCCCAGGTTTGCAAATATGGGCAGTCGTTTGGGCCTGTACGAGGCATGGATAAAGCCTGCCATTGTTGCCAAGAAGAAGGTTCTGCAATGGGAGCTTGCAGGCCGCGAACCGATACTCACCCACACTCAGTCGATACCGAACCGATACTCATGCCTGCCAAATCCAACCAACCTTTGCTATCTACACACCAACTCCTTGAGTTCCTCTTCCTGATGACCGAACCCGCTTTTGAGACACGCGAAACAAGTCCGTGCGCCGCCGCGTTACGTGGCGACGTCAACCACTTGTATTGCTCTGAACTACTCACATGCCACAACGTTGTAAACCAATGCTGAGAAAAAGAGAACGATACTAAACGGCATACTGGTACAAAGGCTTCATACTTGTTTTATTTTGCTCATATGGTTGTTTCTCAATATAGAAATCGGGCCATTTCTAGAAATGGCAAGGGCTTTCCTTTGGGTTCCCTCTCAATACCACCAGAATCCACCATTTTGAGAAACTCCCGCTCATGCAGTATGGTAGTCAAGAAACTGGAACCCGAAGAAAATCATATGTCCCGAACAGGAAGCGGGTTCCGAACGTTTTTGGGATCCATTTGAAGCGCAGGCTATGCCAAAACAGAGACTCCACGCATTTAGACGAGAGTGGTGTTGCTCATCTGAGGAGCCGCGCTCTGCTGTTGTTGGCCTTCCTTGTTCACACCTACTTGTGGCAAGGAGGTGCCGCCAGAAAACTGGGGTGAGGGAGTGCATCCGGCGACGTCAAGATCCGGGTAAAGCTTTGGCTCGCCGTTGGGGTTGATCCTCATTCTTCTGAATTGGCCCTTTCAAAGACCAAGGGTCCATAGATTTGTTCGTTGCGGTTTTCTAGAAAAATGGGGAAGCCCCCAGACATGCGCACTGAGTTGCACCCAAGATTGGGAATGTAAATCCTGCCATGTGAGAGGCGAGGCCAGTTCGGTGTGAATTCGCCACAGGTCCTCAGACGAGGTCAGACTACCCCGCCTCGTTTTGTGGTTTCCTCCCAGGTCTCAAGGCCCATGGAGTGAAGGAATGTCCCACAAACACCATGGGGGCGCAATCCTGGAAGTCACAAGGTGTGGCTGACTGAAATCGGCACTCCCCAACAACCCCAGAGGTCCCCTCGGGTCAATGGTTGTGAAACAACAAAACAGGTCCCCTTAGCATGAGGATGGCTGGACTGGGGGGGGGGTAAGAAACGGGGGCCGTTTGGGACCTGGGGCTAAGCACCTCCTTGGAAATTTGTGGAATAATATTGTTTGAAGTGTCAAGTCGTTTTTGTGATGCTGGGGAATCTAATCCACTGAAAGTGAGAGAACTTGCCCATGGGAATCAGCCATGGTGTAAAAAAGAATGGAATATTTTTCACACCCATGAACACCCCTCAAGGGGAGCCCCATAAACCGGATACCCACTGTTGTAGAATATCACGTTGGCCTTGACCCAAACAAGTTGTTCACCATGGAAACCAGGTTTTTCAAAATCCCAACCAAAAGTTGAGGTAGTTGGAGTAATTAGGTGGTGCTTGGACTGGGAAACTGGTCCAAGGTCTCACTGCCTTCATCCACGACCTCACCGGCAGCAGGGCCAACGTGGACCTTGAGAACGAGGAGGGTGGCCTGCACGAATTCCCTGAAAACCTCGCCACCGAATGGTGCAGCGCTCAGAGGGTGGGTTGCTTCAGAATGACTTGCAACAAGCTTACCTAAAGTAAAATCGAGCCCGCTCAAGATGAGGCTCCCACCCACGCATTTTGCATCACCAATCTAGAAGGAACCTGTAATAGATGATCAAACCGTGAGGGCAGACACTTGGTTGACAGTGTCCAGTATTTTCTCTTTCCCAGGGGACCAACTTTCTGCTGTTGTGCCAGACCTTTTGATTAACCTTGTATTGCGATCTCACCTAGGGGAAACAAAATACCTGAGAGTATTGACCCCAGAATGCCCCGGGCCGCTGCCGGGATATTGTTGTTTGCTGCTCACAACGTGTATAACATGTGTATATATAGATACATATGTAGATTATTATAAATATATCTACATATATATGTACATATATATACATATATATATATATGTATATATATATATATGTATATATATATATATGCATTTTTGAAGCCAAAATGAACACTCCCTCCCCCCCCCCCGTTTCTTTGATCGCTAATTTGACGAGCCGTACCAATCAAGTTATCTCAGGAGGTTGCCCGCAGGAATTTGGGGACCTTAAGGCCCCAGTTTGACTACCTCACTTTAAAGGAACGCCCGATGGAGACTGGAGGGTCCTTTCTGATGCTCAGAGAGATCCTCCTGGCCTCTATCTCCGGAAATTTCCCCCGACATTCCCCCACCCCCCCCGGTTCTTTGCCTCCTGAGGATGGCGTTTGGGGACTTGGACCCTTTGAGACACAGAGCCCGCAAACCTTCCTGGTTCAAGCCCGCAACGCAGAGACACAGCGCTTAGGGCCCGCAGCGCCTCGGTACACCCCGCGGTGCTCGCGCCTTTCCTCGTGACCTTCGAGCCCAATTTGGCGCCCGCGCCCTCCGCGGCGCCTGCGACACGAATCGAGCGGCAGATGTTCGGCCTGGATGAACCCTTGGGGTCAAACCATTGAAACCACGGCGGGCAATGGAACACTTGCCATGCTTTTGGGGGCTATAAACCCCAGGCGTAATAATTCCCCCCTGCTTGATTGCCTAGGTTTTGGCCCCTTGCCGGTGTCCCCTTTTGGTGGAGATCCTTCACTTTGGTGGCCGGAGGGGGTTCCCATTAAGCTTGCCGAGTCGGCAGTAAAACGAGCGAAACGCCATGTTATGGGCTCTGTACTTGGGGACGCGAAAGGCGTGCGTGCTTTGGTGCCTTAGGTACCAAGCCCTACTGTGGATGGACGGAATCCTGCACCAGATTGAACCCATGGGAAACCAGTGCTAGTTGGCATTTACGGGGGAATCAACATTCCCGGTTTCTTAGCTGGTGGGATTTCGTCCATCCACAGAATGGCAAATCAGGCCGGAGCTGAGGCTGAGACTTGAAATGTTGGGATTTGGAGGCAACAGCCTTGCGGTGGTGAGCGGATCTCTGTGAGTGTGCGGTTTTTCGGTAATTATTTGGACACATGGACGGAGTCAGTAGCGTGTGGCTCACAAACTGGCAGAGCTCAACATGGCTTGCTTTTGGCTTTCCTTCACACTATCGCCCAAAAGGCTTGCCTGAGTTGGCGGAATTTGGTCGTTCAGTGGCCAGAGTTTGAAGCTTGGACTCAGCAGGTTAGAAGGGCCCTCCTGATCTGTTTTTTTTTTGCAGGTTTTGGGTAGACCCCTTAAGCACCAGGTTTTTTTATTGGTCAGTTCCCCTTGGTTCCCAAATGGAAGACGCTCCCCCTCACTAGACAACCAATCCAAGCACTAGGCCCTGCACTTCATGCTAGCTTCGGATTCATCTACAGAAGCCTGCTAGTCCGAGGACCCCCCAAAAAAGGTGCCCGCAAATCACCAGCCCTGGCACCACTGACCCTCCAGAACTCTGGAAGCGTTGACTCAAAGAAGCCTGAAAGCATCAACCCAAGGCCTTTCAGCTGGGGGAAAACAGCAAACTACCCTCAAAACAAGAACCGCCACTGAGGAGCACATCTCCAATTGCCTGACCCACCTGCGGAGCCTTCTGCTGGTCTGCTGGGTTTTGGCCGCCTGTCTCCTCTTCTCCCTGCACCTTGCCATGCGAAAAGCCCCGAGATTGCCATGGGTTTGGTCGAAATCTGACGGGACCCGTGAAGGTTCGGGGACTTGCCATGGAGTGTTGATTTGAGTAGACTTGCACCAGCGTAAAATTGTGACTCGCATGAGGCTTGGTCAAAAGTTGCCATTCGGCAGGGACATGGGGGGATGAGCTCCTAATTTCCCACTTGTACGGGAGACACATATTTGGCTCCCGTGAGGCTGCTCAAATATGGGATGCTGATTTGCATGAACCGCTGTGTGAGTCTGTAAAGGGGGAAATAAAAATATTATTCCTCTGTGTGGGGTGGCTTCCCTTTGGTCCCAGGGTGAACTTATGGATGTGGGTGTGCCTTTTTGCGGGACTGTATGCCTTTTGGAGTGGTTTTAAGGGGAACCAAAAGGAAACCAACCATTTGGGGGTTTCCCCTATTTTACGTGGTGAAGCAAGCGTACTTGAATTCCGTTAGCTCTGGAGCTGGGCTCTGTGTAGCCGCTTTTGTCATGGAAGTCCGTGTCTTGCCGAGCGGGAAGAGCTGCTCTGGCGCCAGAGTCGAGCGTCCGCGAATTAAAGGCCGAGGCACAACGGTGGCACTGCTTTCTGAGGCTCGTTCGAGGGCATGAGCCGGATCCTTCTAGGGAGAGGCAGGCGTGCTGGGGACATTGATGCTATTGCTCAGCCTGGAAGACAGCTTTGGGGTTACGTGGGGCAATGCTGCGGCTGGCGGTGACAGCAGCCAAGTGCGCGAACAGCTTGTGCAGGTTCAGCAAATGCGAGGAACTTGGGGGCTTTTGCTACCATCCGGGAGGATGGTTCTGTGGTGACTTGGGGCCATTCTGGCTTTCGCAATCACAGCGCTCGGATCCAGCACTTTCTTCACTTGCCGTGAAACAGCGCTTGCCTTGCGAAGAGGTTGCTGTCGAGCAAGACCTCTGCTCTGCCTAGCCCTACGAAGTGCAGATCTGCATGCTGATGGTGTGTCTTGAGATAGGGAATCCAAAGAAATGCGAATCTAGTTGCCCCCTCCAAACTCCACTTGGATAATGTTGCTCAGATGGGTTGGACACCCCAGAACTTCAGGGGGTCTTCAGACGGCTGAGCTCTGGCCTTTTCGGGCCGTCCTTCGGGGACCCCGAGGCACTTCTACCGGAAGTCCACAACTCTTCGAGCGTCTGCGTCTGCCCTTCGGCCTTTGGTTTCTGTGCGGTCGGCCTGGGTCTGTGCGGGGTGTGTTTTTAAGGGTACAACATTGGGGTCTGAGTAAAAGGATCCTGTTCGGGGAACCACGGCTTTGGCCCATGTGATGGCACATATGAGGTTTGGTTGATAAACTATGCTCCATATGGGAGAGATGAGATGGGGGGCTTCCACAAAAGCAAGGGCTCCCTTATTTGCCCTTGTCCTTTGCGGGAACCACATATTCTGACCGCGGTTCGGTGTTGGAGACACGCCCAGATCAAACCCGTACAATGTTTTTTTTTCAGGGATTTGAATTCGGCAATCTTTGGATGGAACATGGCGGGAACTACAATTTTCTCTGGATTGTTGTGGTTCGTCTCCCCAAAATTGACCAAAAGCCTTTTATGCGTTTTCTGTTGTCTCACGGAAGCAGTCAGCCAGTGGACAACCCAAGGAGCCTTCCAACTTCTGGCAGAATGACACACAACATGCGCGTTTCCTTTTGGGATAAAGGATGCGGCCACCGATGGAGCTGTCAGAGTGTCAGGGACAACACCGAATCAGCTATGAGTGGGTCAAGTGCCTCTTTCCTTGTCACTGATAACGACCTCCTGGCGCAGGTCATACCTCACTCGGGTCACGACACCCCTCGAAACGAGCCGTGATGTTCAGCCAGAGGGTCCTTTGATACCTCCTGATGGTCTTTGAGTGGTTTTCAAGGGGTCTCTTGGTACTTAGGAAAAATTATGGGTCAGGTGTATCCCCGAAAACGCCATCAGCTCAAATAAATACAAATTTGGTACCAAGTTCTGATCAAATAGCTACTCTTGCTACATTTTGGTACCAACCTTTTCGGAGTGACATGGTGATTAGGTTATCCCTCAAATCAAACAGGTACAACATTGGCACATCTTGGACCTCTTGGTACTCAACCCCTGGGGGTTCCACCCCCCGTGACAGTACAGTTGTGACTCTAGGTAAAAACTTGGTACATCTTACCATCCGAGTGAGGTGGCGTGTGTCTTCGTGGCCTTGGTGAACTTCTACTTCCAGGGCTTCGCGGCCCGGCTGTCGGACCCTCTGGTGCCCGCCTGGGCGCCTCGGACGTGCCCGGTGCAAAGCCGGGGATGTGTCTGGGGTTCGGTGGGAAGTCATGGAACAACTGGGTGCGATAGGCAGGGAATGAAACTTGGAATGACTATGAACAGGGAACAACTCGGTGCGACAGGTAGGGGAGAGTTGGAATGACTATGAACCACCCAACTGGTGGTTTCCTTTAAGGGGACCCCCAGGTTCATTCCCTCGTTCCCCACTGAAGCACCAGCAAGAAAACCAAACGTGGCGGGGGGGAGGAGGGAGCAGTAGTTTCAAACGGAGGTAATTTACTAGGCCTGGGTATTGGTTTCAAGTCTGGAAGTGGAGTCTGTGAAAGGGCGGTTTCAATTATTTTCAGAGTTTCCTGCTACGGGGGACAGGCCACAAGCAATGTCAGGAAGGAATGCGCGTAATCCTAATAAAGCACTTCCCCAGAATGTGTGCAACCTTTGTGGGCACCGGGGCAATCATGAATCGAGGTGTCCCACTTCATTCTCCATGCATTTCCAAATTCATTCCCACTTCCCAATTCGTTTGCCCGATTTGTCTTTCGATTGAAGTTGTTGTCCCGCTACTTTTCTTTGGCGGCGAGTAGTGCTTCCTTACATCCACAATGCTTCCCTTGAACCCCCGATAGAGCTGTTCTACCGCCAAAACCTCACCCCCAGGCCTTTCGCCAGACCTTGCCTTTTCGCCTGTTGCCTGTCGGTTCTCCCTCATGTTCCCTCACGTTAAAAGCTGCTAATGTTTTTGGAACCAATCCCGTATTGCAGGGAACATTCCGGAAACCGCTGGTCTAATTTCCCCCTGGTTTCCATTTCGTGGTTGAGTGAAGTTGGTGTTTCCTGGTTTTTGTTGGGTGGTGGTACTTGCATGTTTTCTTCCCCAAAGGGTCCCTTGGTACCTGACTCTCACCTCTTAGAACCCGCGCATTCCGCCCCGCGAAGACGAGGCCATGGTCTTCGTGGCCGTGGCGCAGGTGGCAGACGGGGGGAAGTGCGGCTGGCCCTCCGGGTGGTGCTGCAAAGCCTTGCTGGCGCTGCGCCTTGGAGGGGTTAAACCGACGAACGCTTTGATTGGGCCTGGACCAGAAAAGCAAAAATCACTCCATGTTCCTTGAAAACACCAGCGTAGTTTGAGGGTCCAAGTGGTTTGTGGTTTTCCCTAAAGGGTAAAAAGCATGGGTTGGTGAAACCCGTTGTGGGTCAAACACCAATGGGTGCTGGCACTGCTCCTTCCAAAACTCTAGCACACCACGGTCTTTCCCCTAAAACCCGAAGTGCCGCCCAGTGATGGGCTGCGTGTATGGTTTGTCTAGCCTTTTAGGGGTTTTGGGGGTGCGCTACTTGGGGAAAAAGAAGCTGCAAGCTGTGGTACAGCCTCACTTTTTTGGGAAGGCACGGCAGCGGTGCTCGGTTCCCTTAAATCTTCTTTGTTTTGTTTTGCAAGTGTACACCGCATTAATTTGTAGGGCCTTTTCTTGGAGAGTATAAGGTCTATGGGGCACCTCCTTGTCTGCAAGCCGCTTTGGAGGTAAGGCAGTAACGTCAACAGAGCAGCGGTTTTTAATCAAATGAAAGGGGTTATACAAAAAGGGAACTGCATGTACTTTGCGGAGGCAATCCTGGTTGGGGGCGTAGGCTCGCGTAGGCTTCAGCGCGTAGGCTGTTGTGTCAACCCTCGCGTAGGCTTTTCGCGTAGGCGTTTGTTGAACAAATCATGACTCAGTGCTGTTTGCCAAGTATAAATGAATTTGCTTCTTTTGCCTTCCTTCTGTTTGTTCTGCAGTCTTCGCGTACGCTCCGCGTAGGCCCCGCCCCGCGTAGGCATTCGCGTAAGCTTTCAAGGCATTTTGGGTACGTAGGCCTTTTCTGGCAGCCAGATCCTTGGACAGATGCGGGCTTCTCACTTGTACTGCAATTCTGATCTTAGAGCCGGAGCTGGAGCTGCCAAAACTGCACTTGTACTGAAAAGATCTGAAAAGTTGCGATTTTCCAGCTGGAGCTGCCACAGCGCACTTGGACACTTGAACTCAACATTTGCCCGCGTAGGCATTCGCGTAGGCCCGGAAGCTGACTTGTGCTCGCGTAGGCACCCCTTGCAGGCCGCGTAGGTTTGCGTAGGCCTGCGCGTAGGCATGCAAGTAGTGTATAGGCCTCGAACCACCAAAAAAAACACTGCTCAACAGGGCCCGCTCCTTCAGTGTTGGACATCATAATGGGTGCACCCTATTTTTAGGCGCCTGCCCCTTCGGATTGGTGTTTGAGGCAAACCCTCCCTGTGCCAAAAAAGCATTGCGCAGAAAATCTCAAATTTGAGTGGGTGTTGTCGCTGTGATTTCGCTTAATTTGCCCGGCAAACTTGTGCTGGGGTTCTTGTTTTTAGAAACTCCCAAATGAGGTAGTGGTGACCCAATGAGATTCCCAACCCAGGAAGGCCGCTGGCCACCATTTTGGTGGCTATCATGTGTCCTCGACCCTGAAATGTATAGCCAGTGTGAGCAGACCCCAAAGGGTCGCCAAGCGGGGCCTGTTTGAGAGAGCGCCTATGACTGAGTTGTTAATAGAGCCACACTCACATTTCAAGAGCTCGGTGGCTTAAACCCACACGCACGCAATGATGTAGATCAGCCAATGTTTCCCTACTGGTACTACCTTAATTTGTACTCAATAGACCAACCACCCTTGGTGGAAACCAGCAGGAATTAGAGGAAAGTGGTCAAACTCCGTTGGCAAAGGAGGTTGTTGGACAAATGTTCAGATTCTGTTGAATGTTTGCCCCCGTGAATGTTCGGCATTTCAACGTCATAGGAACAGGAATGTTTACAGCAAGGTCCGAAGGTAGCCAAATTCCCAACAACGAGGATGTCATTCGTTTTTCCTGATGCTTTCTTTGAAGCCAGCGAGCCCCTTCGCCTGACTTCTGTCGAGTCTTCGAGGCTGTGCTTGTGCTACTTCCTGGCGGGGTGCTACAAGCTCAGCGCCTGCGGACTGGAGTGGATGGATGGTCGCGTGCTGTCCTTCTACGCGCCTCTCGGCCGCAAACATCTCCTGCCCAGGCTCCGGCGGTGTTCCTTTTTGTCGATTTGCTTTTTGTGTCCCTTTGTTTCCCATGGCCACTGGTGGGCCAAGTACCCCCATCCTTATCTCAGGATAGACTGGGGCACCCAGGGGCCGCACCCATTTTCGTGAAAGATTGATCTGAACATAGCGAGTTGTTGGGTTCCAGGTTTGTTTGCAAGGAAGTAATAGTTTGGGGAGGCCGATGCTGGGGCAAGAACCCGGCAACCTTTACAACTTTCGTCCGCGTTTGTTCAGAATGGAAGTCCCACACTTGGTCACAGGGTTGGTGGATTACTTAACTTGCCCAAAGCGAATCGACCTTGGGACCTTTTAGTTTCCCCTTTTTGTGCATGTTTATATAGTCATGGCCTGAAGAGGTGATCACCTTTTGTTTCAAGGTCCTTTGGGCAACTGAGTTCCGAGAGAACCTTCAGAGACTTAGATGGTCGGGGAAAACAGTCCTCAGAAGGGTTTTACCAGAGTCGGATTTGGCTTCAAGAATGGGCGGCGGGGTAGTGCGAATCTGAACCTTTCATCCGCCTTTTGCACATGGCAGATGGACGGATGTTGAATATTCCACGGAAGACTCGGTACGCCTAAGGAAAGCTTACATGGCAGTGGCTTGGCAAAAGGTTTCGGTCCGGGAGGTGGGGAGTTGGCCTTGACTCGGTCAGAACTCTCGTGTTTAAAGGGTCAAACAATTTGAATATTTGAGCACAACCTCTGGAAGACCAATATGTGAAGGGAGGGACATGACCACACATACCAACTTGCGCAGTAGAACGTACCAACAGTTTTCAGGAACGATAGGCTCCGCACGACAAAGTAGAACAAAGCAACGACGTGTCTAAGGGTTGTCTTACACGCCCGTCTTTTAACAAAGGCTCGGAGCAACCCTACCCTACAGCTGATGATGGTCTTTCAGTTGCAAACATTCCTGAAAGCCAAACAGGTGGAAGTGCAACCCCATGCGTGTTTTTCCTCTTTTACCACCCACCTTGGATTTGAGTTGCTGGCTTTTCAGACAATCTGCATATCTCACTTGCCCAAAGGGCCCGGAGCTGCACAGAATTGGAATGAGACCTGTGACTGTTTTGGGGCCCTTCCGATCCCCCCAGAAGCTTTGAGACGGGTATCGCGCATTGCGGTCACGGGGATTTGCAGGGTTTTGCATGTCAGCGAAAGCGAACCACTTGGCTAAGCCCCGGACTGTTCTGGTATTTGGAGTCGTGTTTGGAGTGATTGATTGATTAGTTGGTTGGTTGATTGATTGATTGACTTGGTTGTTTTGCTTGCTTGCTTGCTTGCTTGCTTGCTTGCTTGCTTGCTTGCTTGCTTGCTTGCTTGCTTGCTTGCTTGCTTGCTTCCTTGCTTGCTTGCTTGCTTGATTGCTTGATTGCTTGATTGCTTGATTGCTTGATTGATTGATTGATTGATTGGTTGATTGAATGAATGCTTGATTGATTGATTGATTGATTGATTGATTGATTGATTGATCTTATGGAGTGAATGTGTGAGTGAGTCAGTAAGTCAGTTTTGTCAGGCAGTCATTGAGGCAGTGAGTCAGTGATTGAGTGAGAGAGTGAGTGTGTGAGTGAGTGAGTGGGTGGGTGGGTGGGTGGGCGGGCGGGCGGGCGGGTGGGCGGGTGAGTGAGTGAGTGAGTGAGTGAGTGAGTGACGAAAACCCTTATTCCCCTCGGTGAACTAGTACAATCACGTAAGCCGGCGCCATGTATATAGAAATTAAACACGCGCAAGGGCCTATTGTCGATCCCCCCCAAACATGATTCAATTGCGAGACCCTCCCTGATAGCCACTGGTGCATGATATTTTCCATTGGCTTATATGCACATGTGCCGTGGTCGAACAACTTGCCTTTTCTGTTGGCTTGGTCGGCACCGTCATCTGTGAACAATGGCCCATGTAGGAGTTCGGACTGTGTCACAGAAATGAGTGTGTGTGTGTGTGTTTCTTTATTGGGCACACTCTGTTCACACAGTTTTCCCAGCAACAAAACAACGATTCTCGTTGGACCCTGCTATTCAGAAACACAACACACATAGGCACATGCTTATCTTCCGGTGTTTTCGGTTCTCAAGTTTGCCCGAGGAAGAAAGCTGGAGCGCCGCCATGTACTCAGCGCCTTGGTCGCTTTCATGCGTGGTGGCTATCTCCGTGTGTGACTGGCGAGTACGTGATTAAGCGTTTTAAGGATGACGGATCCCCTCAAATGCAAACAAAAATAGCAGGGAACCACATATACAGTGGTTGGTGGACATGAATCCCGATAGTACCGGCTTCAGCGTAAAACAAGTGCATCAGACCCCAGCTCAAGGACAACATCCCACGACATATGACTTGTCAGCGCATTTCCAGCACAGTCTTGAGGTTGATGCAGATGGTTCAAGATAATTTACCTGACCACGGCTCATGCACTCCACTCACGATTCAACACCTCTCGATTTGCTGCTCGAGCGGTTCCATGACCTTACCCACTGGCTTGAGATGGCCAATGCCACGTTGCCCAACCACTTGATGGCAGGATTCGCAGCGTCATGCGCTGTGGTCGTGATGCTTTGGCTGCCCATTCTCTGTGCGGTCTTACAAGTGGTTTGGGCGCTTGCAGAGGTTGGCCCTGCCCGAAAAGTCATGACCACCTTCTTCATCCTAGTCTTGGGCATGCCGCTTTATCCTGTGTTGGTGGCCCTGCTGCTTGCCCTGGTTTGGCCGGTGATGGGTTTTACTGTCTTGACATTTTCGTTTTTTCGGACCTTGTGCTTTAGGTTTGTGGTTCATGAGCTGCCTGTGGGAATGGATGGAGAAAACAGTGTCCACGCAGAGGGCGACATCGCACAGGATGCAAAGACGCAACCAAAGCGTTGAAGATATCACTTGTTGGGAGCTGGTATGTGGATTGTTCATTGGCACGTTGAGCTGCTGTACTTTTGGTATGTTGGCGGTTGTGTTGACAATTCTGAAGTCCCCCTTGGTGATGTTTTCCTTTGTGCTCCGCTTCGTCTACGAGTCTTTGTGTCGGTGGCTGGTGTTAGTCCACTCCAGCTGGCGACCTTGGTGCTCTCAGTGTGCCACCTCCCAAGCGGTTCAAGTTGGCTCTGAAGCCCAAACCATCCAAGACTTGCTCTCGCAGGGCTACTCAGCGACAGATTCGAAAGACCTGGGGGTTAGCTTGGTGGACTTGTATGCAGCAGGTTTCACAATCAAGGAGTTGCATAATGCCGGTTTCCAGGCTCGCGAATTTGGCGCAGCGGGGTTGTGTGTGGAGCACTGGTGGCATGAATGTGGCGGGCATCTTTGGTGGTGGTGGTTCCCGTTAGTTTTCCTAACTTGGTTGAGCTCCCTGGCCTGCCTTCTATGCATGGTTGTGGTGCTTATTCTTGTGGCTTGCGTTGGCAAGCTTATCCTAGCTGTCATTTGGCCAGCCTACATTGCAGCAGGCTGGCTGCGAGTTCTGGCACAGGCGCGGCGGCGTGCGAGCGCTCGCCAGTGCTGTGAACCCCTGGTTCAAGGCCTGACAGCTGGCTATCAAGTCGTTTGGGCCGGCTCTGTGCTGACCAACATCTGTATCCTGAATCGGGGCATGAGTACAAAATGGAGTATGGTCCAGCAAACCTGTGACGAAGTCTGGGAATATGCCAAAGGTGACAGACAGGAGCTGTCACCAAGCCTTAGCAGCCTCTCGCTTTTTCCGCCTATCCTTGTCGGTTTGTTTGCTGACTCCTGGGACTTACATCTCCGCACTCTTGCCCAGCGCCTGGGAGTATCCAAGGACAAAGTTGAGGAAGCGTGGCGAGGCTTGGCCAGACAGATGATTCGACTGGGGAAAGCTGCTGTGGAGACAGGTTTGCTGACTTCAGAATGGGTGGGTGAAGTTCCTGCTGAGCTATGTATTGGGCTTCCAGCCCGGGCTCTTTTGGATGCTGTTGAACGTTCCCCACCAGGAGAGCTGCTGTTGGTGGGAGGGTTAAGAATCACACCAAAAGCGCTGCCGGAGCTTGGCAGTTTTGCAGGGAAGTTTTGGGAACTCTTCTGCGAGGCGCAAGCTGCACGGAATGCTCCAAGGAATGCCACCCACATTGATCCTGCAACATACCAGTTGCTGTGCGCAGCTATTTTGGCTGGCGGCGGGAACCCAGAGGATCTTCCAGAAGGTTTATCAAAAGCAGTGAAGATGTACGAGAGCTTGCCAGAAGAAACTTACAAGGCCTGCCAAGAGGTGCTGCGACCTTTAGTTGCCTTTGCCTTGGAGTGCGGTCGGCAAAGGCAATTCAAGGCGAAGCTGGAATTGGTGATCGAGTCTGTGGCTCACCTGAATTCCGAAGATATCACGCAGTATCTCGTCGAACCAGCCATGAGTGGGTCTGATCTGGAGGATGGCAGCTCTAGCTCAACCATGGCTCAAAGCGACTAATTGGTCCAACAAGATCATAACAATTAGCCTCAAGTTGCGGCGCATCCAGTGGGAGGACGATGGGGAGCTGTCTTGCGACATGATGGGGTGTCTTGCCACGGGTTCGCGCTTGGATGGCCATTGCACGCGGTGAGAAAATATGCGTTTGTTAGGAGGATTGCCCTAGAAGCGCAATTAGGTGAGGCGCGAAGGAAGTTGGACTCGTACTGTGGATGGACGAAATCCTGCACCACTTGGAAACCATCATCATGGGAAGGCATGGTCCATGGGAATTTACAGGGGAATCATCATTCCAGGTTTCTTAGGTGGCGCAGGATTTCGTCCAGCAGGTGCGAGAGCAGCTGGTGCTTGTGCAGCAAACTTAATCAACTGGCTTTGCTTTTGCTGCTATTCTTGGTGGTGATAGCAGCCACAAGCTGACTAGTTTGTCTTGGTTGTGACAGCAAATTGCTGGATCCTGTGGTCTACAACTTGCAGTGCCCAATGGTCATCTTGCGCTGTGGTGCCTGTTTCTTTCATTGACTCCATTTCCATGTGCAGCAGGCAGGCAAAGCTCACGGGTGGTAGTTAGCCAACTAATTGATTTAGAAGGCGGTTTTCAATGCTTGAGTGTCTGTTGTTCGGATACGAGCTCCTGTTTTGAGGCTTGTTTAAAGGGATTTGTTTAAAGGGATTTGTCGGCTCCCCCCTTTTGTGTGTTCTCTTAATCAGGCTACACAGTTTGAGATGGACCCTATTCTGATGCAGAAACACCAGCAGTAGTCTTGACTCAGACCGCGCAGTTGCTGTCTGTCAAATAGTCATGGAAGTGCGGAGAAGGGTTTGCAAGCCTGCCATCATGTTGAACGTCATAAAACTTCCCACGTTCTGAGTAGTTGGGCGAAACAAATAGTCCAAGCTGTTTGGAGGCTCTCCCTACCTACTTACAACACAACTTCGTGCGTGGTGGGCTATTGGAATATTTTGGTGGGCAGCATGGTTCTCTGAAGGTGTCTGGGCTCGCCACCATTTTGGGACGTAAGGCGATGGATCGGCATCACGTGTGGCCGGCGCTGTGCAGCTGCGGTTTGCTCTTCGAGCTGCTGTGCCCGGTGGCGCTTGTGCTGGAGCCGCTCGGGTGATTTCAGGGTTCGCTGGGTTTACCCGGGAATCTGGGGAGCTGATGTTCTCCCGCTTCGTCAGGTTGCTTGGGTAGCAGTTAGCAGGTTATTTTTTAGACCAAACTCCAGAGACCCCCCGCAGCTCTACTTTAGCAAAGGGGGGGTGCGTGACTAAATAGACTCTGGAGACCTTTGTGAGGGTTTGAATGACGAGGTTGGAAACAAAGTTGGCTTCCCATTTGCCCGTGGAATTTCTGATTGTTCCCAACGTGCACCGGGCCGGCCGGCTCCCAAAAGTTTCGCAACAATACATTTCTCCGATTGGGGATACAGCTGCCCTCATTAATTGTAAGGGAAATATCATCCATAAGTCCTGCAAACACCTACCAGACTCTGGAATGACGATTCCATGCAAACACCAATAGACAATCGTTTCCCATGGTTTCCACATGGTGCGGATCTTGTCCACCCACAGTGCCATACAGGTACTGAGCAACCCCCCTTTTTCTCGCGGCCGCAAATCCGAGGACAGCTCGAAGGCCGGTCATCTTCCTGGCGATCATCTTCCACGTGGGGAACTTGTGCCTCATCACTTTGAACGGCGACCGCTTCCTGTCCTGGGTCTGGATTCTGCCACCCGGCATTGATGCGCCAGTCTCCACAGAGCCCAGTTGTTTGGTGGTTCAGGGCAGTTTCCCATTTACCCTTTGCGAGAACCAGGGGTCGCCAATCCAAACCACTAATTGAAACAATGTTTATTGAGGATTTTTTTGTTTGGGGGGGGGGGATAAAGCTTATGCACGCAAAGCGAGTTGATCATGCATGATATGGGTCGAGTCAAGTCGGTCAGTTGGCAAAGTGAGAAACTCAAGGACCGTCCGAACGAGTGGCTTCATTTTGTTGACCACACATTTGTGTTCACATGCGTTCTTGGAAAGGAGCTGAGAAGATGATGTGTCGAGAGCCCTGCTGCCATGGTGTAGGGGCTCAAGTGTACTGTCAGAGTTAAAATGTGATTAGCATCCTAGTTTGCGTCGTCATCAGATGTCACCCCAAATCTTGTGCCATCCATGGCATTGGAGGGGTCACGAGATGCTCTTGCAGGGATTGGCATTGACCAACAGGCGTTGGAGGGGTCATGACTCGGGAGGACTGTTCGGATTCCTCGCATAAGGCTCTTCATCCTTGACGTGCCCGCCTCGCTCTTCCGGATGGCTTTGGGACTGCAGGATCAGCTGATGCTGGAGGCTGGGCTGCGCACTCCTTGCTAAGGCAGACCCCCCACAAGGGAGCCTCCAAGGGAGCCTCCTTGCTAACCTTTGCGGTGGGGGAGAGCCTTGGGTTTTCGAGTGCTTTCAACACTGCTTCCAGCCATAGCAGGTGACCAGATAAATCCGGACAACACCATCACGAGGTAAGCCCACCTTGGCCACGGCTCGCAACGGGTCCCAGGGCCAGCGCGGCGCTGACGCCTTCTTGCTTGACCCGCCGGTGCTCGCAGAAGCCAAGATGCTGAAGGTGCAAGCTCGAACAGCCATGTGGGGAATGTAAGAGGTGGGTGCTTAGCTTGGCGGTTCCCAGCCATCCCCTTGGCTTTTTAGGTTTTTAGGGTTTAGTGGGGGGGGAGGGGGGTCGGTTTTACCCACTTTTATTTAGCAGGGGATCTGAGGACAGCCCAGTAAGGATCCGGTACCATATCGCCATGATTTGTGTTGATAGGGAACCACCTTATAAGTGGCTGCTGGACATAAATCCCCGCCCAAATAATATCCACTGTCCACCAAAGGGGTCCTTTAGAGAAAGTCACGATCATATTTGCGCCATGTATCTCCACAGATGGATTGTACTGAGAGGTCTGATTCGTAGGAGACAGTCCCCCTGTTTGAATGCGAGTTTTTTTTTTTTTTAGATGCTTTTTTCGAGTGGCAGCGGGAATGCCAGGATAGCAATGTTGGCAAGGTTATGGCCTTTGTGTTTTACTTATTTTACTCTGTCACGCATGCCTGATGCGTTGGTTTTGCAGCACTCTCACGCTGACTGGTACCAACGTTTCATGGGCTGTGTGTGTGTGTGTGTGTTTGGTTTGCCTTTCTTTTCGGGCAACACCTTTTTGTTCGGTTTGCAAGGAAAACCAAAAGGAGACTACAACACCATCTGTTTTTGCCAATTTGGCGTGGAGTTACAAAGTGATTTTCCCTGCCCCTGAAGGCCGTAACAAAGTCTTCTTGCGGAAAGAGTCGGGGTGGGAATCTGATGATTGGTTCAAGCGACCCTGAAATGTGCAGAACATTTCTACTGACCATCCTCTCAGTTTGTACCAAAAGAACACTTTTCAATCTCTAGTTGATGGTTTATCCTGGGCAAAAGTAAATCGCCTTGTTCTCGACCGTGGCAACATTCCCTTAGCTCTCTTGCCGGATGGCTTTCCATCCACAGGTGATAGCTGAACAGAGGCCGCTTGCATTTTCTTCTGGAGAACTAATTTCAGAGGCGGTTGGATCTTGTAGCTTTGGACGTATAGCATTGGTGAAGGTTGTTACCATTTACCAGGCCAGGGGTGGGAATCCCGTCTGATGTACCGAGTGAGCCAATCTCAGGATTGTCCATTTAGATTGGATGATTTGGGGACAAATATTGCCTTGGTCCATTTGTGTTTGTTTCCAAATGGGGGAGCGAGCCCGGAAGGTTCCCGTTGGTTTCCCTGTAGAGGCGACCCGAGCCTCAAAACAGACTCACCGACTTCCCCTTTTGGTGTTGTCTCCTTTTGGCGTCCCTTCAACACCTTCCAACAAGGGGGCCCTGGACCCTCAAACCACCCATAACAATCAGATATCACCCCCATAACTTGAGGGTGAAAACCAATTAATTTATGGGTCATCCGAGCTTTTTTATGGGCCATTCGAGCTTCAGGGTCCAGGCATGGTTGTTGTTGGGAAACATTTTACATGTTTGCTTATTGTGGATTAGTGGGAAATCCCCACTTGACTGCTATATTTTTAATGTTTGCTCCCCTTCCAACGTCAATCAAGCAGGGCTACAGTTTTTGGACCCCCCCCCCCATTTTCCCTTTGAGGAGAAGGAGTCCGCGGGCGTGCGCCACGCCTGCAGCGTGGGCACCACGCTGCTGCTTGCGCTTTGGCACCTCGGCCCTGTCCTTCCGTCCGTGAACTCCAGGAGTGGATTCCAGGCGGAAAGGCCCGCCCAAAGGGTACCCTCAACAAAACACAACATATATATATATGCACGTATAATTCAATAAACTATACACTTTAATTATGCAGTGTTTGACATCATGTGTACATATATATATATAATATAGATATGTTGATGGTTGATGCTTTTGGGATTGGTCTTCTTGTTGGAGTTTGTTTCAACACAATGAAAGGGACCGTGTTTGTTTTCAAGTTGCTATTTGAATCGTGCAGAAACATGATTCCCTTTGTTTTCTTGTATGCATCACAATTGCAAGAGCGGCGTCAAACATGATGCGAGCGTCAAACATGATGCGATGGTTGAAACACCATGATGCGGGTAGTATGTTTGTTTGTGGCAACCATGTAAAGACATCACTCCCGGTCGGGTTTGTTGTGGGCACGATCATGGACAATATGGGTGTGTCTCCTTAAAGGAGTTTTTCAAAATGGGGATCACCCCCCCGGAGATTGCAATGTGTATCAACGTGTCTTTGTGTTCTCCCCAAAGGGAGAGGCGGGGTGGTGTTGGCAAGGGCCTGGCAAAGGACATGTGAAAATGGACCGCTAGCAACACGTTGGTTTATCAAAAGCTTCACTACCGCTTCGGGATTAGGGGCTATGTCAGCCTTCTAGGTTCCACTTTACAGCCAAGCAGGTACCATTAAACTAGCACACACAAAAGCAAACACACATAGGTATGTGGTTATACATGCATGGCATATGGGCTTGCGGCATTGAAGCTTTCTTTCTTGGAGGTTCATACCAAATTTCAGTCTGGTGATTTGTCAAGACTCACCCAAATACGTGGTGCATAACTTAAGTGCATAACAAGCACTGAAGGTCCAAGAGCATCCCAAAGGTATGTGCCGACTGTAAGTTTGCGGGTCACGTGCTTTCTGATTTATGTCGACTACACTACTATATGATGAGATGAGTTTTTGGTCACATTGCAAGTGAACCATCTACACCTACATCCAACCGCGACATCTTTGTAAATTGCGGCCCACTTGAAGCGTTCCAAATTAACACATGCAGGGTTGTCTCGCAGTAGGCTTTAGTTTCCCTTTGTTTCTATTCAAAACAATTCAACTCAAAGGATATCTCTGAAAAAACAAAAAGCGCAGACACACACACACACACACCAAGAGGGAACCTCCGAAATGGCCTTTCTTCGGTTCATGTTTGTTTCCCTGGAACGGTTGTTTCGTGGTTTCCCCACAGATGCGGCGGTAATTACATACTGCAGGCTGAGCACCTCTTTGTTTCGCTGCGCACGGCTCACCCACACAGCCTCTTGGATGGGCCCAAGGCGAGTTTGGTTTTTGGGGATTGCTGCTTGTTGTTTTAAAAAGTGTTTGCCTCTTTGTGTGTTTTGTTAGTTTTCTTTGCTTGCTTGTGTTTTTGCCCGCCTGCTTGCTTGCTTGCTTGCTTGCTTGCTTGCCTGCCTGCCTGCCTGCCTGCCTGCCTGCCTGCCTGCCTTGCCTTGCCTGCCTGCCTGCCTGCTTGCTTGCTTGCTTGCTTGCTTGCTTGCTTGCTTGCTTGCTTGCTTGCTTGCTGTCTGCCTGTTTTGCCTGCTTGCCTTGCTTGCCTTGCTTGCCTGCTTGCCTTGCTTGCCTTGCTTGCCTTGCTTGCCTTGCTTGCGTTGCTTGCGTTGCTTGCTTGCTTGCTTGCTTGCTTGCTTGCTTGCTTGCTTGCTTGCTTGCTTGCTTCCTTTATGTATGTTTTGATTTACGTTGTTATTTGTTTTGTGTTGTTTGTCTTTTATGGTTGTCGTGTTTTATATTATTATTAAGCAAGTATGTTGACATGTGTCTATATAGATGTACTTGTTATGTTGTATTTGTTTCATGTGTTGTTCCCGTCTGGCTTTATTACTTATTTATGTGTATGTAGTTATTTCTTTCTTTCTTTATTTCTTTATTTTTATTATTTATGCTCATGTTGTTGTGTTTATTGTTGCCGTTCTTTCTTTATTTCTTTATTTATTTCTTTCTTTCTTTCTTTCTTTCTTTCTTTCTTTCTTTCTTTATTGCTTTCTTTCTTTCTTTCTTTCTTTCTTTCTTTATTTATTTATTTATTTATTTATTTATTGATTCTTTTGTGTTTTGCTTATTTATGTGCGTGTGTGTTTCTTTGTTTTTAGTTTGTTTGCGTGCTTGCTTGCTTGTCTGTTTGTTTGTTTGTTTGTTTTTTTGATTGTTTGTTTGTTTGTTTGTTTGTTTGTTTGTTTGTTTGTTTGTTTGTTTGTTTGTTTTCCATTGTCTTTCTTTGTTGCTTGGTTGTTTGTTCACGTGTTTGCGTTGTTCATGCTTGTCTTTCATTCATTCTGTTGTTTTCGGTGCACTTTGGGTTGATTGTGTTGACCAGTTTTAACTTTCCAGCAATAGCCCTCCTGACCGCCGAGACGCCTTTGGGTTGGTCTGGGTGCCAGATTGCCATTTGGCGCCAAACCCCCATTTGACACCTGGGAAACCAAAGCGAATTTCGAAGAGCGTATTATGTGTAATACATCCATTCGAAGTGGATGTGCACACCAAACCCGCGAACAGAGGACGATTTGGGTGTTAGGCAACACTTTATTTCCATCCTTGCCTAAAAAGACTAGGTGCCCCAGTAGTGCCCTTTCTAACCCTTTCTTTGGGGGAGGGTTCCCCTACGATAATAGACTACAGAGGAAAGGGTACCCTTATTTTAACCTCTCTACTGGAGGACCTAGAAGATGAACCGATCAATTTATCTCACTCCTAGGTGTAGAGTTGAAGGCCAAGGGATGGCCAGACCTTCGGTGAGGACTGGCCGTTTGTGGCGCCGGACATGTTCTCGCGCGTGGGCGTGTGGTCTTTGCGGGAGCCCTTCCCGGACGTGCTGGCGAAGGCAGCGAGGCAGGATGGCAGTCGATCGGATTCCATAGGTGGGTCTTTTGTGGAGGGTATCCTGTTTAGAGTTCAAAATGCAAACCAAGTGGAACCCACCGATTTCACGTTTTGTTTTTTCTATTTTGACCCATGCACGGGGCCTGGTCCTACCGGCTGAACAGGCATTACAAGAGGACCCTTTTTGGGGTGTGTCGTTTCTTGAGTTGGTACCTTTTTTGGGGTTAAAGGGAAGCCACAAGCAACACCACCATTTTGTTCGGGGGCAGGTCCCCCTAACAAGACCCACATACCCTTGACAGCCATTATGGTAGAGCCAAAAGTCAACAAGTTTCGGGCGCGGGACAGGGTTGCATTGAACAGCCGGTTCCGGCACCATTTTCCTTGGGAGGCACTTTCCATGGAAACCGCCAGTACAATCGCAACCTTCAAGGGGGTAATCCAGTGACCCCTTTCAAAAGGAGATGCTGCGGGATTGAGTCTACCTTGTGGTAATCAACAAAAAGGGGGTGGGGAGATAAGGTTCAAGTTTGCAAAAGCTGGGTGCTAAGGAAGCCATATAAAGGGGGTTTGGTGCATTTTTCCAGACCGTCTATTCAACACGAGATGGGTGCGTTTGTTTCATGGACACCTCTTTTGGGTTTGTTTAAAGGAACAAGCAGAAGGAACAGAACACCGGACAAAACACATAGTGCAGTAGGTGATGATGTGAAGCACTGGAAGGGGAAGGCTGTTTAGAAATTCGGAAGTGAACCTGGCTGGAACCCACTTGGGAGGGGGCTGGTAAGCATGGTAGCAGAGTAAACTCTACCGACTTACTGAGTAACCTGCCTTAGCTGGGTTGCTTCGAGAACCTCGAGGGTAGAACATTGGCGAGTATGGCGTTCAAGCATGTGAGTGAGTCTCAAAAAAGAGGGCGCAAACATGTGGTCCACCCTTTGAAATCAATATCCCTTCAATACCACCCCACAAAAGATACCCACAAGAAAGATGCAAGAGGGACTCATTTTGAGAGGAGTCTGCTTTCGGGGATCCTCCTTTTCGTGCTCCATGTGGCGGTTGTGAAAACCAATGGGATCCCATTTTGGGGGTTTTCGGTGCACCACCCATTTAGTCTATTTTAGTGGGGAATGGGATGTTCACTGGGGGTGCAGGATTTTGACCCATGGCCATGTGAATCAGGGGAGCAAGTCCTTTGGTATCTCGCGCGATGTGTTACGCTTTCAGGCCCCGGAAGAGGCTGCGCTTTCAGGCCGCCACCTGAGCATTTCTTGAGCGAGCTTTAGTTTTTGGGGGCCGATGCCACACGAGGAAGCATGGGATGTTCCAAGGTAGGGTTGGTCTCAAACCAATGGGACCTCACAAGAATATGGTGGTGCTCCTTCAGGATGTCACTTATAACACAAGCGGAGCAAAGGGTAGCCCTTCACAAATGACACGCAGTTGGTACTATTTTAGGAGCCGTTTGAACGGGAGACCAAGCGGAGACTAGAATTGGGAGAGGACTCCGACCTCATCGACAAATAGGTTCCGTTGTTTGAAGACGCACCCGTATGATCAACATATTGTATTCTAGGTTCCTGGACCCTCAAACTACCCTTACAGATTCGAATTCACACCACCCGTATCGGCCAACAACTCTGTAGTTTGAGGGTCCAGGTAGTTTGTGGTAACGTGGAGAGGACTGTTCGGGTGGCCGCGAGAGATGGGGGGCGTACTTGCAATTCTTTGTCCTCGGGAAGCAATGTCATTGCTTAAGATTAGTTGTTGTTTTCCCCCTTGGCTTTAAAGGGAATCTATCTCTACTGGAAATATACATGTTCCTTTCCCAGGGGAAATAAGCAAAGGGAGATCACATCCCCTATACATCCCCTATACATCCCCTATACATCCCGACACATGCGCGTATAATATCGGTGTACATGTAGAAGTAGGTGTGTTACACATGACGTTTTGTTTTTTTTTCCAAGTCAATGAGGAATTACATGGTGTTTCTCATTTCTCCCTTGCCATACGGGCTTGTCTCACCAGGGGGGGCGCAACAAATAGGCAGTTTTTGTTTTCGTCAACCCAACAACGGTGCCCTAAAAGCCGACTCCTCAAACATCGGAGTTTAGAACAACGCCAAGAAGGGTGCCCATTTCAATCGGAGTGGACTGTACATGGCCAGTTTTTGCACGGATTCCGGCATCCCGCTCTCCCGTCAGGAGGGAGCCATGCTGCCTTCGTAATCGCCGAAAGCCTTCGCAGAAGAAAAAGCGCCCGGACGGGGTCCATAGACTTTCCGAAAAGGTACCCTGTTGTTGATGAATGGGGGGTGTCGCCTTTCAGTGGAAATCCTTTACTTCTGTGGTTGACACCCCTCTCCCATGACTAGGATGTGCTAATGAAGCAGGGCTTCACATGTCCTGCGACGCAAGTGGACAGCACGAAAGGGGTGTTTGGACGTGTGGAAAGAGGCAAGGGATGCTATTGAAACTCCTTTTGGCAGTTTTGAAAGCATCATCTGCAAAGGCCCTTTTGAGATTGACTTTCCGCGTGGTGATGACAGGAGAAATGAGTTGCTGTGAAGACCCGGTTTGGGAACCGCTTTTAGAGTTTCATCCTTGTTCCAATAGTCAAAGGCAAACCTTGTTGAGGAGAAAGATGGCCAACCTTGAAGGTACCCCATGGGTTTGGTCAACCTGTCCACCTTGATGAGATGGACGCTTTGGGCAACGAAGGAACCGTATTGTCCCACAACTAGGGGTGCAAGACTGCAAGAACCTGGCGCCTAGATACTCATGGGGTTGTAGGATTGAAGACCAGTTTTAGTCATGCTTATAAATTGTATGTCTAATTGGTGCAACCTTTATATTCCTGCATGAGCCTGGGCCAAGGGCACATCTAGACATCTAGAAAGAAGCATTCGCCCCTGCCTTTGCCGCCGGCGGTGGATGATCGTTATGCCAAACCGATTTGGTACAAATCAACGGCTGACTGATGCATGGGCAATCCTGGAGGGGCGAAGCATCTGCGGATATACGTTGGTTTACTTTGAGTTTGGCGTTTCCCGCAAGGGCCTTGCCGCGCCAACTGGAGAATCACCTACTTTCGATGTCACATTAAGCAAGAAAGTCCCACAACTGTCAAACATGCAAAGGGCGCCCACGTGTGGAATCCTGCTTTGTTCAGCCTGAATGTAGGAACCAAACCCATATCATTAACCCCTAGTATGAACCCAAATTATTGGCCCACATTTTGCAGAGCAAAACATATGTCCTGATTCTGTTTCATATTGGTCTACCCGCAGAATATGTATGTAAATTGTTTTGGAGGAGACCCCAGTGTGTTGCCTTGGCTTAGGACACGGAACTGCCCCAAACGTGGGAAACGTCCGAGCCGAACTGTAGCTCCGTTTGAGACCAGGAAAATCAAACACCCTGGCTTTCAGGGTGAGTTCAAGGATGGCTATGAACTTCAACAAGGAACCGCACCGCAGGTGGTTGGACATGAATCCCAAAAGTCGGGTCCACCAAAGGGTCCGCAATTATATTTCGTGCCCATACGGGTCGGTCTTTTTCAGGAGACCCCCCCAAAAAAAAACCACAAGAGTGGATTTCTCTTGGTTTCTCTTGAAAACCACCTAACAAGGGATACCTTCAAGAAAACACATACCATATGGATACGGGATAGCCTTTGACGCCCTTTGTGCCGCATGGCTTCGCAGGCCCGCGAACTTGCGGCTGCGCTGCTAACCTGCGCCAAGGCGAGTTGGGCAAGCGCGCCTTGTTCTTGCTGGGCTCATTTTGGAAGCCTCAGATCCCTGGATAAACGATTGATGCGTGTTGGACGGGTTTACGTCCTCCATGGAAGTGTCGTTTCTTGGGGCTGCGTGTTTTATGTTCAGTGGATATGGGCAGACCTTGAGGCCCTCTCCCAGCGGCCTTAGCTACGAGATGAAGCCAATTGGTTGCTTCTGTGCACAAATCCGGATGTGGTTTTGATTGCTGTCCTGCAAATTAGGAGATGGAGGAGTGGATAGATGGGCCAGTATGTCACTATGTATTCTCAAGTCAGACAAGGGATAGTAAACATTTGCCAATAGGACTGTTACATTTAGATGGGAATGCCCGAACTTAGAAATGTACACACGCCCCTGCTGAGCAGTGTCTGTTTGCGCTGGGGATATTTTGGCAATGGCAACTATTTCGTGGATCCTTGCCATGTTCCTTTTAGTTTATCAAGGGTGGTTCCCCTTGGTTTCCCAGAAGGAAATGCAATCGCTGGATATGCCAAAGAGCATCATGAGACGTCAAACTTGGCGGTGTTGCTCTCGTTGGTCGGACCTTCTGTCAGTGTTCTGTTTTTGTGGTCTCAAAGGGTCTGAGGCTCTACTTTCAGAATGCACGTCAGTGACCTCACGGGGTTTTGTTTCTTTGGCTTAGTAAAGTGTTGGGGTATGAAGGGTGCAAGAATCGGGAAGGGAAAGCAATAGGAACCCGGCCACAAGATTGCTCTTGCTGTGTGCGCGCAATTTGAGGGCACCCTTTTCACCTTGAGGGCACCCTTTTCACCTTGGAAAGGGGAAGCAACGGGAACCCTCCCCTGTCAAGGTTCCATATCCTATTTTGACACATACCCATCACCTTCTTGGGCAAACAGGCGGGATGGAATGCATGTTTGGTGCTAGTGATTCCATTTGACTGTATAGCTATAGGAAACCACCCTTCATGCGAAGGGTGTCTGCTGCCTATGCTGGTATCTGGGATTCCAAACCTCCAGTGGCGCCCGCTGTTCTTTTGGGAGGGGGGGGTTTGCCCTTTAAAGTAAGCAAAAAACAGGAGTGCTTATACCCTGAGCATACCCATACCCTTAAACAGGGTGATTGCCCCAGATGTCTGGGGTGAATTCCCCTTTTATGGGTGTTTGGGTGTCCACGTGTCCTCTCCCCCCATGGTCACTGGGGGTGCTGGAAATTTGGGCCGCGGGCCCCCCCAAAAATCTTGAGCACTGCGGCAGGCGCGTGCGAACGCGTCAGAGGCGGGACCGATCGTGTCGTGGAGGGGCCCTTTCTTCAATTTCAGTCAGGGTGCCCTTTGATTCCCATGAAAATCCATGGGGAATGATAGACAATCCATTGCACATCCTTTTGGGTGCCCTTTGATTTCATGGGGACGATGTTTTGTTAGACCTAGCGAATCGGTCATTCAATGTGGACTGTTAGTGGTCGGGGATGTCGGGGCCCAAGGCATTGAGCAACTTTCGCGATGTTGTGTGTGTGCGCGTCCGGGTGCAGTGCTGCATTGCAGGCGGCTTTTTTTTGGTTGTTGGGGTGTCAATGTAAAATGCATTAGCTGGACATGCGTATGGTGCCCGTGAATCCGCAAGGGATCAATGTATATCTTCCATTCGCTTCTTGCTTTATGTCCCCTTCTGGGTTTCGCCGTATGTTTCCCTGGGGACTCAAGAAATGGAGGATATGGACTCTCGCTTCCTCCATCGCGTCGCAGTTGCCATTGGAACAGTTCTCCGACCTTTTTCTTTCAGTTCTCAACGGGTGGTTCCCTTGGCCACACTCAGCTGGAACGTGGAATTTTTGGGTTCGGTCCGGGCCAAGAGCTGAGGTAGCCAGTTGCAGGCCAGCGACGGGGCAAACCATGCAAAACCTACAGAAAAGCCCAGGTGATTTGATCGAGTGGTGGCCGGAAGCACCAGCTTCGGTGGTTGCAATGTCTAAACGAGTGCAGCTCGCCTTGTAGGCGCAAGCAGCAGACGTGGCGCAGGAGGCACAGGGTGGTGGGTTTTGGAGACCCCGGACTTCCAGTGCCGCACCTTTTGCATTTTGATTCAAGGGGGCTTCCCTTCAGAATCCAGTTTTGGATGGCTTCCCATTGCAGTCCTCGAGGGTTACCCTTTAATATTCAGTGCCTTATTCCCATGCATGCAAATCCACACGAGCTCGGCGCAATGTGAGGAACAAAGGGACAGTTGGTTGGCCCAGAAGAATCAAAGAACCAAAAGGACGGTTGAGCCAATGTTTTGTCCAGCTGGCAAGTTACGTCGCGCTTATCCATGTTGACCACCCTCCTACAAAGGGATCTTCCTGTAGCCTCCCACCTCAGCTGGCACCGATCCACCCACCTATGCCAGCACGCACGCAGGCCCTCAAGCACGCAAACATAAGACTGAGCGCCTGCACGCTTGCACGCGTTTGCCCACCCCCACCCTTCACGCAAACCTGCGTTCACCATGTTTCACGCACTCGCGCACGCACTCGCGCACGCACTTCACACTGGGGACACTGTTGCAGGGCCTAGAGCTCCAAAGGTTGCCTCGACGGCACGAACTGGAGAAATACGCATTGACACGTGCCACGGTCAAAAGACTTGGTTGGGCCATGGCCGACGCAAGTGACATAAAGAGCTTTGACCATGGCGCATATGCTTCTTACCCACACAACTGATTTCAATCATGGAGTAACGCAAAGCCTTTGGTTTGAACAAGGATTCAGGAGCACCCCACATTCCAAACTCAAGGCCATTTCCATGACACGCCCGACTAGCATCGGCAGATGGTTTTTAATGAAAGTATGAGGAGATGATGTGTTCCTCGCGGTCAGGCCACACCCCATTTCAAAGCCAGCATTTCAGAAGGAGAGTCATACTCCCAGATTCAACACCCAGTACCTCAGCAGGTCAGCAGTTACAGCCCCTCCGCCAGGCCCTTACCCTATGCGAGCGTATGGGGGATGCGAGGAATGCGGCAATTGCCGCATGCAGGGGAGCCTGGTGCAGGGAATCGGAACTGGGGATCCAGGACGCATGGTTCTGAATGGTGAGTACGCCTGGGAGTAAACAAGCGCCTGTAGAACCTGTGCTTGGGGATGCCTTGTTCGATCTTATTGCACAAATGGCAGCCCTCTGTAAGAGCTCTTGGGGCATGCGCTTACAGAGCGTCAGGGTGGCCAGTTGTGGTATGACACAACGCGTTGAATCCCACCTCGAAACGGCAGAGCATCCGGAGGGGTTAGGGGACTTTTCAAGTTGCAGCATTCATGCACAAAATGAGTGGAAGCCCTCCAATTGGTTGGCTTTGTATTGCCTTGCTTGAAAAACTGTCCCAGTTTTGAGAAGCTCTTGACTTGATGTTCTTTGGCTCAGAAATTCAACTTGTCCGCCTCCTCGTTTGCCGGGGTGCACGCGCAGACCGTCATGCAAGTGTACGTGCACTTGCCAAGTGGGAAGACTTGCGCCGCTGCGCTGCCTTCGCCTGAGTCGAGCGTCCGTGAGCTGAAGGCTGAGGCACAACGGCAGCTGAATCGTCGCTTTCTCAAGCTTGCTTTCAGAGGGCAGCTGCTGGGTTTGTCGTCTACGTTGAGTGAGGTGGGCGTGCAGGACGGGGACAGCGTGGAAGCGGTTGTGCAACCGGTCAAGCTAGCTTCCACGGAATCCGCGTTTGCACTTCATGTTGTCGGCGGCTCTGCGCTTACTTGGGGCAGGCGTGGTTTGGGAGACGAAAGCAGCCGCCACATACGAGAGAGATTGATACGGGCTCAGCAGATCCAGGCAAATAGCTTTGCGTTTGCTGCCATTCTGTACGATGGCTCTGTGTTTACTTGGGGCGAGAGTGGCTTTGGTGGTGACAGCAGCCGGGTTCAAGACCAGCTGGTCCGTGTCCAGCAGATCCAAGCAACTGGTTGGGCTTTTGCTGCGATCCTTGATGATGGCTCTGTGGTTACTTGGGGCGATCACAGATACGGCGGTGACAGCAGCCAGGTGAAAGAGCAGCTGGTGCATGTGCAGCAGATCCAAGCAACCAACTATGCTTTTGCTGCAGTTTTGGGTGATGGCTCTGTTGTTACTTGGGGCGATCGCAGATATGGCGGCGAAAGCAGCCGTCTCCAAAAACATCTAGTTCACGTCCGGCAGATCCAAGCAACCACCCAAGCTTTTGCTGCCATCCTGCTAGATGGTTCTGTGGTTACTTGGGGTGGCCTTGGCGGTTGCTGCCAGCATGTGCAGGGGCCTGTGCAGCAGATCCAAAGAATTGCTGGAGCTTGTGCTGCCATCCTGGAGGACGGCTCTGTGGTCACTTGGGGCGATGATTGCTTTGGCGGTGACAGCCGCAATGTGCAACAGCAACTGGAGCACGTTCAGCAGATTCAAAATACTGAGCGTGCTTTTGCTGCCATCCTGGACGACGGCTCTGTTGTTACTTGGGGCGATCGTGGCTTCGGCGGCGACAGCAGCCAGGTGCAAGACAAGCTGGTACGTGTTCAGAAGATCAAAGGAGCTGAGCGTGCTTTTGCTGCTATTCCGGATGACGGCTCGGTGGTGACATGGGGAGATCCTGAGCATGGCGGTGACAGCAGCCAAGTGCAAGAGCAGTTGGTGCGCGTCCAGCAAATCCAAGCAACCAGTCGTGCCTTCGCTGCGCTCCTGCAGGACGGCTCGGTTGTGACTTGGGGCAATTCAAACAATGGTGGTGACAGCAGCCAGGTGCAAGAGCAGTTGGTGCAGGTCCAGCAGATCCAAGCAACTTGCTCTGCTTTTGCTGCCATCCTGCATGATGGCTCTGTTGTGACTTGGGGTGATCGTGTTTGCGTCAATGATAGCAGTCACATTTCGGCTCGACTCGCCTGCTGGTGAAACAGACTAGCTTGCGTTGTTCTTTGCGATTGGCATGCTTTAAGCTGCAAGAGTGGAACATAGCGTCACCCTGGGCCCCTTCTTTTATTGGTAACTTTCTTGCTTCAGGGAATCAACCAGGGGTTCGTGCACCTGTATAATTCCCTCGAGTGAACGTCGTTTCACTCGTTGCAGTCCCAACATTTCGGACATGAACAGCACGCTCCGGGGATCGCCCCTCCTCGCGTAGGTGAAGAGGCGAAGGCGTACAACGGCATGAAGTTGGGCCAGGCGAAGCCGAAGCGGCGAAGCCGACGACGTTCTTGCGATATCTTGCGACGCGTCTTGCGATGTAATGACCTTGTTCATGGGAAATCAATTCGAATTGGCTTGGTGCCCATAAAATCCGGATAGGAAGCGACCCTCACCTAAGTTGAAGCCGGGGCCGATGGGGTGAATAGGGGTCAGTCCCAACCAGAAGGTTTGCTGCGTGAACCATGGGTGGTCACTGAGAGTTGGACCATGGTAGAGTATGTCAGAAAGGTAAACAAAACTCCAAGACTGCATGTTTGAAGGAGAAAGAGTGGAAGCCAACTGTGGGGGTCCGGTCCAACTAGCGAATTTCCTCTGGCTTCAACTTTTCACATCCACCCTTCTTTCGGGAAGTCCAAAGTGAGTCGCAAAACATACTTTATAGGGGACATACAGCGGATGCCCAAACACATATTGCAAGTAAACCAATGGCAAATCGCAGTAAATTCGAGGGTTCCTTGTTCGCTTACTTGTTTTGAGTTGGCATCCGTTGTAGCAAGGGTCCAGTGCCCAAATGGCCGAAAGGGTGTGGGCAGAAATGATCATGACAACCAGGTCCATTAAAGAGTTAGTTAAAGCAGACGAACTGGGTTTCCTTCCACAATGACGTATGCCGACGCTTGGAGTTGCCCTTTGAGTCACGCACAAAATGGGAGTTGTTGTTTTTTATGGATGATAGCACCAGGCCCCTAGCGCCAGCCAGACGACTGCTTGTTCCTATGCCAACCTGAAGTGCTGTCCGCAGATGGGGGGTGCGGGAAGTGAATGGTTGTGTCTTACAGTCTCAAACATTTTTTGCGGTGAATCCCCAATAAAACATTCAGAGTTTGTTAGGATTTCACTTGAATGGACCCAGAAAAGTGAAAAGGCTTCCGAACCGGTCTTTTCACGGATAACCAGACCCCTGTTTGACTGGTTTCCTTTCTCACCTTACCCTTGCCAATTTCCAATTTCTGGTTGACTGCTTGTTTTCCATCCAGCTCACTTTTGTTAGTTTGCAAATGCACCCGCCCCCCACTCCTCCTTTCTGCAACAATGCTACGCGAAGGTTGTTGTTGGGACACAGTTTTTGCTATTTGTTGCTTATTGTGGGTTAGTGGTTGAAATCCAACCACTTCACTGCCACAATTTAGACAAATCCAACCACTTAACAGCTAAGATTTGAGAATTGTTGCTCCCCTTCCAACGTCGACGCTACGCGAAACCGCGCGCTGCTCTTATCGCCGTCCCGCGCTCACCTCCGCAGGCGGCGGGGCGCAAGGCGGCCAGTCGGGCTGTGGCCTTGGCCAAGGAGACCTGCGACAGCAAGATCGAGGCGCGGCGCTGCGTCTTCTTTGAGGTTCGGTCCCCCAGCAATTGGCGCCAACTGTTATCGTTTCTTTCTTGGGGGAGGGTTCCCCTACTAAAATAGACTACAGAAAAAAGGGCACCCCTATTCTAGCCTCTCTGCTGGAGGACCTAGTTAAGATTCAGTGCCCTTTTGGGGTGAGGGAAACAAAACGGACAACCCAAGCCGATTTTGGGGGGCTCTTGTAACCGATTTACCCACAAGATCTCCCAGTGAATTTCCAGATTTGGGAGGTGGAAATGGCGAAGGGCCGGCTGAAGTGGTAACTGGGATCCACCGGGCTGTTGTACAGATCCTTTTTGTCTATCCTAAAAGAAGTTGGTATTTGGTGTGGCAGGGTACTTGCTATTTACACCTTGACCCGGATCAATAAAGTCGACGGGGAAGTTGGAGGGGGTATTCCCCTCCAAAGTCACGAATCCGCACTAGAAGAGAGGGATACTAGTCTTGGGTCCCCAGTATTCTGACACCTACGGGTTTCTCTCAAAACAGACGAATCCACAAAATGGCTATGGTCAACAGGGGACCCCCTACAAGACACAGCGTCTTCTGACGGTTACCTTTTGGGATTAGACCTCTCCCTTTGACACGCCCTCAGTTCATTCATGCCCAAGCTAGAGCCTTTTGCTCAGAGACTGCTTGGACGGACGTAAGAATTGGAGTCAGAACATCAGAGACTTTGTTTGGAGAATTGAAGGACACCTGAAAGGAGGCCAACCATTTTGCTGGAACGCTTCTAACAGCCCACAACCTGATGGATTTGTTGTGAACCGACTCCTTTGCTTTACCAGCTGGTTTACCAATGCTGCTTGGAAGTTGGGCTTCCAGGGATTTGTACTTTGGTCGGAACTGTGCTTGAGTCATGTGGGCGTGTTTCGCTGTTTGGGGGATTTTCCCTTCTTCATTTTGCCGGTGCTTGTTGTTGGGTGGTAATCCGCTTTTGGCTGCGTCGAATGTAAAACCGGGCCCCCCAAATCGCGGGTCCCAGTCCTTTTGAGACAGCCAACACCTGGAGTTGGAGGTAGTCGTGGAGTGATCAACCCATTTGGGCGGATTCCACCATTTTTCCCCGTGTTTGGGTAATTCCTTACCGAGGGTCAACCCCAAAAGTTCCGTTTTGGGTGTTCCCGCATAATTAGTGGTGGGTTATGTTTGGCTCCCCTTTCAACCAACCTAAACAGAGTCTCAACAAACACGCGACCCTATGTGGAGTTCAATCCACTTTGCCACTTAGTAGGTCTCAGAACCATGGCTGCAACTGGGTAACTGGGGTTGGCTCCTTACGAACATGACTGCAACCTGCTCGCCAAGTGGGTTGAACACCCATTTTTGGAAAAGGAATCCAGCATAGACAACACCCCTAGTTGATTTACAAGAAGGTGTCCATGTTAGAAGGGACATTTCACTTTCTTGGTTCCTCCCTATCACCCATCATCTTGCCCCGGATCCAAATAGGGGGTGACAAATCAGAGTAACATTTGGTTCACACCTATGGGAAGCAATGTATCCCGTGTTCCAAGTATTGGAAACACCCCGGTAGTAATCCGTTCCCCCTATTAATAAATACGGGTCCCCCCCCCTATTATAAATAAATCCTCCCTATTATAAATATATCCTCCCATTTTTTTTTATGTTTTTTTAATTGGGGTTTTCGGAATTGTTTTTTTTTGCTTTTCCAACAATGTGAGGGTTCACATAGGATTTGGAGGAAATGGACTGAATTGTAAGGTCCGCGAGTAAGCGGTTTAATAAGGAAATTTGATGTATCATTCTATTTGTTTTTCAGTTTACTGGCTGTTTGTGATTGACTGCTAGACAGTCCAGTGCTCGAGAAGGCAGTGTGGGTTTCAAGACAGCCAGACATGCATTCAGTGATAGGAAGGCAGCCAGCAGTCAGCCAGCAGGGCACAGCTAGGCAGAAAACTCAGAACAGACAGCATTTTGCTGATCTGGGCGGCAGCAATGGCTGGAGATGGTCAAGGCAGCCAGACTGGTGGCCAGGATGGACACACCGAGCAGTCCTTGCAGAGCTTCGTGCAGTCTTTGGACCCCAGCCAGATGGCCATCTTGCGCCAGATGTTGGAGAACAGCAAGGACAGGGGGAAGGGGTAGATACAGATCAGACATTGGTCGAATTCAGAATGGCGATTGTTTATCAAGCATCACACGTGTTTTATCAAGCATTTCCTTGATGACAAGGCCGAGTCTAAGAAGGCTGCAAAGAGTGAACAGACAGTCCAGGATGCCCCTCAGCAGTCAGAAGCCGTCCAGCCGCAAGAGGTCGCCCAAGCCAGGACAAATGAAGAGGCAGTCAGACAGGCAGCCAGACTGCCTCGAAAGCGCCCCAGCAACGCAGCTTTTGGTGTAGTTAAATATGTGTATACAAATATACAAAAGCAATTGTTTGACATATGAAGCTAATTAGCTGTTGTTGATGTCGTTGTTGTTGCTGCACTGCTGGGAGTGCTTCTTTTGGAGCCAGCCAGGCAAGACAGAGACAGCTAGGTCAGCCTAGCTGGGTGCAGCTAGCCAGGCAGGCAAGGCAGCCAGGGCGGAGTAAGTGTGGTTTGGGTCCCCATAACCCTACAAAAAGAGGGACAGCCAGGCAAAAAGGATGTTTCGTAGTTTTTTGGGGCAAGCCCAGGACAGAGCTCTGCCCAGGCAGCCAGACCAGACAGACCGCAGCCAGGTGACAAATGCAGTCTGCAGCCTGTTCCTTTACCCCCTTCGAACCCTTTGTGGAGGCACTGGTTTCCTTAATATCCCCCAAAGCATTGAAACTTGTTTGCATTGAAGTCAGGGAGTCAGGGACAGCCAGGGACAACTTTTGGGGACAGAGTCAAGAACAACCTTTTGGGGAACCCAAAAGAACCCAACCTTTTGGGGAAGCCAGCTTTTGGGGAAGCAACCTTTTGGGGAATTGAGGAACCCACCTTTTGAAAAGTGAGGCTGGAAGCTTGCTAAAAGTGCCCTCTAATAAGGATTCCAAGACTTTAGTATTGGTTTCGTATTGGCGCAATGGAAAATCAATTGTGCGGAGTGGAAATCTGGTCTCGGGCCCCGGATTTGCATTTATTATATAGGGGGAGCGGATTATCTGGGGCCTCCATGACCCTCCATAAAAAGGGTTGTGAAAGTAGATAGCGCGACAATTTCTTTTATTTGGGCAAGTACAGACGATTCGACACCATGTCCGATTGCATAATCCAGAAATATTGGGTGCCATGGACCGGGCCCCGAACGTCAGGTTCCATGTTAATTGGTTGGAGGATATATCATTATTCTAGGGGTCGATTCCCCATGCGTGGCCACCGTCGCTCTTTTCAATATTCATCTATATCTGTTGGGTTTTTTGAGGGTTTCCTGAAAAGAAGGAAGGATCCTTGGAAAGAACGGAAATGGACGCTTCCCTTAGAATTCTTCGTTCGTAGAGACTAACCCCGATCCCTTCGACTCCGAAGGCCGCGGCATGGCTCGCCTCCTGCAACGCCCTGCAACCCAGTGCTGCGAATATGTTTGCTCCAGGTGAAACGGGACGAGCTCTAAACTTCAAGCATTTTTTTGGGACATGCTCTAAATGGTCCGTGTTGGGGAACAAGTCACGAATTTTGGACGGTTCAGGTGCCCAACCAGGTGAAATCAATATATGAGCCTCGGTTTCCCCTTGGTGTCCCGTTTCTTTTCAACGTGAAAAGGGCACCCTTGAAAAAAACAAACACGCCTTGTTTGGGGCGTTCCAACGGGAAACCAAAGGGCTGTTTTGCGGGATACAAGTGTATAGGGGTGTCCGTATTTTGGGAGTTTGTGCTCTTTGGTGATATTCACTTGGTGCTGAAGGGAAAACAACGAGGAAATTACAATATGGGTGTATGGTCTTGATGGTACCCTTTCGGGGTAGCTTGAAACGGAAGCTAGGAGGAATAGCGCAATTTGTAGATTTGTAGTTTCCCATTTGAAAACAGCCCCTTTCGGAGTATCGCAAAATAGCGGACCCCAAAACAGGCGGTTTGCGTTGGTTCTCTTTAAAACAAGGATTCGCGTATCCATGGTGCCATTACACACTATATATCTATATATATATATGCGAAGATACATGTAGAGTTAGAAACAGACAAACATGTTGCATGTATCTCTCTCTCTATATATGTATATATATATATTGTGTATATGTGATCAGGGGCTTGCCCCTCCCCCCAAAGGTTCCTTCGCCCAGGATGGGTTTGGATCCCCCTCCTTTTTGTGGAGTGGTTGGGGGTATGGGTGACAAGTAAGAAGCTGAACGAATGCCACCGCCATCTCCTGAGACCTGACGTCAGGCTTCGCCTTGAACTACCGAGCTTTGTGGCCCAGCAACCCCTGTCACTGGAGTCACAGGCCGGCACGGTGGCCTGTGACAGTGGCCTTTGAGCTGTCTTTGTAGGTAGCTGATGATCAATAGCGCGAGCGCTTGGTTCAGTCTGGTCAACGGTTGGCTTTGTTAGTGGGTCTAGGCTGTTGTTGGGTTAGGGAGGATTGTTGGTTAGGATTTGTTCAGTGTTGGTTACCAGACTAAAGCTTAGGAGGGCACTTTATGGTTGGCCAAGGATTGGCTAAGGGTGGGATTGAAATAAAGGGTGTTGACGTGGCTTCAAGCTGTGTAGGCTCGGTTTGGCTTCGGTGCTGCCACTGGCCCCAACGGTGGCGAATCAAGGGCCCCCCCCTCCCCGCTATAAACAAGGTTATGTTGGGTATTAAACAAACAAAACACATGGTATAAATGTACGAATAAAATATAAATACCTCACGTGTTTTGTTGTTTGTATTTTTTTCGGGTTAACAGGATACCTCAAAACCATGGGCATTTGAAGGCGTCCCTTGCCCGAGGCCTTGCAGTCGGCGGGGCAGCGCCATGATGCCCTCAAGGCCTCGTCAGTGCCACTGCGCCTGGCTGAAGTTCCAGTTCGCTCGGCTCGGCTTGTGAAGAAGCTTCTTGAGGGCACCAGGGGAAACACGCAGAAAACAGTTCGGGCATGTTTCAAGCCGGTTTTGTTGATACATATGCCCCTGAACCCGAAAAAGTGGTTGGGATGACCAAGAATGAGGGTGAGGCCATCTCGCATTGTTGTGAGTTTGAGGGTGGGACCTCCTTTCACCCTCAGCATGGAGGCCTTTTCACTGGACCAGGACATCCTCAAAGGTGTGTATCAGTGCCCGGGTATCAGACAAAAACCACGAACTCCTTGTGCATTGAAACGGCCAAAGCGGGCGTAAGTTGGCAACCATTCCGTACCAGACCCCCTGTTTATGTTGGACCTGGTGCTGTACATATTTATACGAATCCTGCGTCCCCTTGTGGGGGACCTCAACATTACTTGTTAGGCCTTTCCATCTTGAGTTGTCTTTTGTTCGGTATGTTGGGGTGGTATTCATTGGGACATATATCCATGCACGTATTTGTCATTTCCCCCTCAAAGAATAATAAGCCTTACGCGGCCGAACGGCTGTGGTTTGCAGGAACCGGGATGTCACGCCCAACATGTCACCCATGCCTTTGTGAGTGGACAGGGGCCATGACTAGCCCATTTAGAGAGACGTGCCACCTTTGCATAGCCGCCAAGGCTCGAGGATTTGATGCCATGACTCGGGCAGTGTGGTTGTGCTTGGTAGCCGCAATTTGCAGTCATTGGCTGCATTTCCAGAAGTGCTTTGGCCCCCCATGCGCCAGGATCCAGCGGGCTGGCCTTGTGCAAAGCTTGGATCGCAGCGTCAAGGCGCATGCCGTGTTCTTGCGCATCATTGAGACGTGTACAGTCCCTGGTGTCTTGGAAGTGGTGCACGAGGAGCGCGAGAATCTCAGGGACAGCGAGAATCTGAAGAGCATTGCTACTGCCTGGTCTAAGCTTGCAAGGTATGCGACGCACACAAGTCAGGTGAGAACGAGCCAGGTGAACGTGACGCACTTGACAAGCTTTGTTGAGCTGACGTGTCTTTTGCTGGCACAGGGGGGGGGGGAAGTCGATATATCATATGTCGAGGGTATTCTTTGGTCTGCAGCCAAGCTTCGACAGCTTCGAAAGTGGGCTCCCTTGTGGCCAATTCTGGCGCGCACACTCAGATATGTGCGATGAACTCAAGGCAGGTTGCCAGCACGTTTCAGAGACTCGGCCTTCTTTCACATTTGGAAGAGATGGAAACTGGTACAGCCATGCTTCCTGCTTTGGCCCAGAGGCTGCAAGCTGTGATATCAAGGATGAGTCCGTTTGATGCCGCAAAGGTGATTGCTGGCACGGGCAGACTCGTCAGAAATTGGGTGAGCGGCAATTTGTCCAAGTTGCCCGCTGCGAATGATGTCCTGGAGACACTCGTGTCCCATGCCGAAGAACTTAGCGTTTGCATGCGTTGTGCATTCCTCGCAGATTCTTGCTGGGAATTAGCGCTTCTGGACTTCTACCATCCAGATTTCTTTCGACACGTTGCAAGACAGGTGGTCAGATGTTTGGAATATGAGCCGTTGGACGAGCCGCACAACCTCTCATTTCTGCAGGTCAAAACCTTGAGCTGTCATTTGCCCATGTTGCTTCTTGCTTACGACCGGCTTGACAAACCTGCATATCACGATAGTGCTCCGAGGCCGATTTAGAGCACTCCAGGCCTACAACGTCTACTTGACGACTGGGGTTTGTGCGCCGTGAACATTGTGTATGGGGTATGGTACCCCGGAGTACTAGGGTTTTGGTATCCCAGTGAACTCGGTGACATCCAGCAGAAATTGGACGAAGAAGTGACCAGGCGAGGACTTTCTGAGGATGACCTGTTTCGCAGCCACCAGGGGCCAACCATGTTTGAAGCGGAGCGTGACAAGCGCAACGAGTGATACAGGCGCAACGCATGCTGGCGCAGACAAAATTATCATGTGTATTTGTTCACGAAGCCATGACCATACTAGCTTTTATGATCACTTGGTGTCTGATTACACAGTTTGACATGTTCATGTGCTTTTGGTGCTTTGGCTGCTGCCTATTTGTACGCGGTGTTTTGCTCCTGCAATGTGGGGCTTGGCTGAAACTCGGCGATCCGCGAGCTTTCCTTGTTTGCTACATATGACTTAAATATGGGTGTCTTTGGGCCCTGTTGAAGCTGATCTTTGTTTGTCCCTGGACCACTTGTAGATATGTGTTTTTTCCTCATCTTTTCAGCGGCGCGAGAAGCTTGCTGTTTTCCCTTACATGGAAGGTCTCCGGGTCGGTTGCTTCCGCAAGCTCTTCAACCGTCCTTTTCAGCTTTCGAAATCGGATTGGTCGCGTTTTCGTGCACACATCGCGGGGTTCTGAATGCTTGGAAGTTCTCCCTAGAAAAGGAGACGAGTGGGTTGGTCTAACATTCGGGGGAATGCCCCATAATGGGGCCAGGGATAGTTTTGGAACTAGATAGGAATTGACTTCTATGAACATCACTGATTATCTGAAGAGCCCGATTCCAAAACTTCCCCATCACAGGGGTGTAACATAAGCCTAGCGACCCTCCCGACAAAAAGCTCCCCGACCCCATGTCCCCATGTCCGTTGACGACATGCTAACCCTCTTCGATATCAGCTACGACCACATCGAGAACCTTCGTCTCAGAGCTTGGCCTCCGTTGCAGGTTCAAAAAAAGTTGGGTGGGTTGGACCCTAAAATAAGTCATCTATTTTATTTTAGTCCAACTTGTTTTCCATAAAACTCATTGCGGCCTCTGTAAAAACCCTTCAAAGTTCAATCTTTGTGAAAAAAAACTGTGAAAACAACCCTGATTGAAAAATCCAATTTTGAGAAACACAAGACCAACATCTAGTTCAAAGCCTTACGGAAACCATAGCGATTTCCAGGACATCATGGTAAGCCCAAAACAACCATCCGAGTTGAACCCCCCCCCAACTTTATTTTGTGAAAAAGTGGGTGTGCAAAATAAACATGAGTTGGACCCCCCTGACGTTGTTTTTATCCAACAATGAAAATGATTTACGTTTTGTCCAACTTGGACTGTTCAAACCAAACCCCCAAAATGAGATCAAAATAAATCGTGATTTGTCAATTGATTTTCTGTCAAAGTTGGACTATTTCATGTTATTTTCCATTAAGGATGGACTCACCCTATTTTATCTGATAAAATGGGGGGGGGGGGGGTTCAACCTTGTCTGGAGCCTCTAACGGGGGTCTTGAAACTAACCGGGAACATGGTGCGCCAACTCAACCAAAATACACGCCTACGTTTTAGGGGCCCTCCTTTGGTCCTTATGCTATTTTAGGACACCAGAATAAAAGGGGACAGAACGCGTTTCGGGGCACGGAGACGACAAAAACATCGGCTCGACACCCAACCGGAAGCGGTGCACCCAGCCCCGTCGAGTGCCCAAACCGGAGCACCCGGGGCCCTGGAGTGACCCTTCCGCCGATTTTCCCCAGAGTTCCGGGGCCGCTTTTTTATTTGGTTCGGGTGAAGCTGTTCACATTCGAACAGAAGTTGAAGTGATGTGTTGAAATGTTATGTGAGCACAATTTTAACATGCTGTGGATGGACGAAGTCCTGCAGCGCCTAAGAAACCCTGGAGTGATAATTCCCCTGCAAATACCAAGAAACAATGGTTTCCCATGGTTTTCAAGTGGTGCAGGATTTCGTCCACCCACAGTATCAACGCATTGATTAAAGCGCAAGCCCGGGGCCACAGGGCAACAGCCAGCCGATCGACTTGAGTCAGCAAAATAGCGCTCGGCGCGCTCGACAAGAGCCCTTGACATGGAGCCCAAAGCCGAGGTCCCTCAAAGGGAGCTCTACAAATGAAGGTTGCTTCGTTGCAGGGGTGGGGCATGTTGGCTTTTCCGTTGCGCCCTTTTTTCGGGACGGTCCTTTTCGGGAGGAGGCGGGGGCACCTGCGAAAACAAAGGGAACCACACTTTGACAAATCTCAAGGAAAACCCACGCAAAGCATGTACCTGGGTTGTTACCCCAACATGTTGGAGATGCCCTGTTTTTGCGGGTAGTTTGAGGGTCCAGGTATAGCAACATTTGACCCATTTGGATGGTCAAATACTGCATGGAGTGTTTGAGAAGTGTAACCCGTTGAACTCAATCAGGTTGTGTGCATCAGAGTCAGTGTCCACGTTCTCCAGGATGTTTGTATTTGCCTGTTGCATTTGCTTGCAGAACAACTGGGACAGTTTTCCATTGTTTCGATAAGAACATATTTGAGTTTTCTAGCCGATGGGGCTTGGGACCTTTTTTGGGATGCTTTCGAAAGGGAATGGAAGCTAACGCATTTCGTGAGCTACAGCTTGAATTATGTGTATATAGGTATGAATCAATTATGCATCACAAAAAAATCAGAACAACTGGCATATGTTTGTCATCGATGCCTTTGGGGGTTTCTCTCAAATTGCTTGTTTCGGTCAAGCCCATTGTTTGGTCCATTTGAGACACGCCCCATGAAGCAAACTACATCTATATATAATGAACGCATTCGGAAAAGCACACTTCTACAGTACAATCAATCTACGTCTATGAATGCATGAGGGAAACAAACGCTTGAGTCAGGAGAGCCTGCATACGTTGCTCCGTTTGCTTCCGTCTGCTTTCGGAGCCTTCGGAGGCGGGGAGGCAGGCGCTGACCTTGGCGCGGGAGGCCAAGGACCTGGAGGTCATCGGACAGGCGGTGCAGGCGACGCATCGGGTCGCGTCGGGTCGCGTCGGGTCGCAGGGGTCGGGATCGGATGATGGTCGCAGGGGTTGGACACGGGTCGTGGAAAGGTGGGCCGGAAGAACATGGGGCGATCTAAGGTATGGCGGGGACAGCGGCCAGGTGCGAGAGCTGTTGGTGCAGGTCCGGAAGATCCAAGCAACATATGAAGGTGCTTTGCTGCCATCCTGCACGATGGCTGCAGTAGTGACGTGGGGCAAGGTGACAGCAGTCAGATTCAGACTGATCTTGACCTGCTGTAAAGGCGCATTTGAATGGGTGTATGTGAAAATTTGGCACCTCGCATTGTCGGGTTTCCCTTTGATCTCCCCTCAAACCCATCCCCAGCGCACTGGAAAGAAGACATGGCCATGAGAAGAGCAACGGTGGCCTCGGTCAATTGGGCCATTCCATAGCACTAACATAATCATGCGCGGTCAAAACACCGCTTGACTTGGGTTGGTAGGGATGGTCATGGACCCCTTGCAATAAGGTCTCCTTGTAAGGGAGGAAAGACTATGGTCCACATCATGAGATCATACAATAGCGATGGATCAGCATTGCGCACCTTTTGTGGACATCATGAACTCTGTGCCAATGGAACCCAATGAAAAGTTTAATAGTCATGAAAGTGTGTGTGTGTGTCTTTGGTTAGGGGACCCAACATGGGCAGTTGTTCTCTTTCAATCCACAAAGACGAGGGTACCAACTCCAAAAAATGAAGCACTATTTGTAAAGGAGTGCTTTCTTTCCATCATGCGCCGTAGGAGGATACGGTTGATTTCCACATTATTGCAAGTTGATTGTATGGGCCATTGTGGACCGGACCGATACGTGATGCAATTGCCACTTTGTGGCTGGCCTTCCACAGTGAAGCATCAAGTGTAATTGCTCAATCAACGGGGCTGCATATGCACTTGTCTCAAAAAAGGCGGATGGGGGGACCTAACCAAATGGGAGGTTTCCATGTTCATTTGTTTTTCTTTTGCAGTACGAAAACGGGGGTAGGGGGCAAAAGCTGGTAGATTGGATTGTTTCATCCCGCCAGCGACTGCCTTTTGGCCCTTGGACTGATGACATGTCCAGGGTGAGGCCTAAGTTCTGCTCACATGGAAGGGTTTTCATAGAAGTGGATGCGCATGGCAGAATTGATTCACCCTGGCCCTAGGAAAGCCCAGCGCCTGGAAGCTTCCAAGAGCCTTTGTTTGTTCCTCTTGGCACGGGAGACCGTGCGCCCTGCTTGGTGGAAGGGCAAGACATGCTAAAAGGGGCAACGGCGCGACGGCTTCAGCTCGATTCCGTGCACGGGATGTTCGCTGGACAGGCGGTTGACGAGAGTTCCGCCGTAAGGAAGTGGTGCTGAGGCTGTCTCCGCGCGGCTTTTCAAGGTTGAGGGTGCAACGTTGATGCATCTGGGGCAGACTAGCCAGAGCCACGGTACGCTGAGCAGGGCGAGTACGTCCACGGGGTCTTCCTCAAATCGACCACCCAAAAAAGGTTTCATCAAACAACGTCTCAAAATGCACTGTCTGTAATATATAGCTACAATCACCCTTTCGTGATATGCCCAATTCGGTGCTACCAAGCTTTAAAAGCCCACACCCAGAGGGTTGGGTGTCATCGTGGAATTGGAACCCTGTCGGAAGTTGGTTCAAATGGAAGAAGCCGCACCCATTTTGACATATTGTGACACAGACCTTCCCGCGTTTTTCCTTTTGTGGAAGGTTGCCATGGTTGCCCTCGCAAATCAACTACCAGAACAGGAGTGCCCTTTTTACCCGTGGCCACTGGGGGTCTGGGCACACCCATCCAACCCTCCCTCCCACTTCTCGTTTGAGCCAGGCGCTGCTGTCCTGCAGCGAGCCGGCCGGGGCCTGCGGGATGCGCACGAAGAGAAAAGCCAAGTAAATGTTGGGTCGGCCAAAGGACGTAATCTACCAACAAATTGGGGGGGGATTCGAATGGGGGTGGGTTGTGCTCTGATTGTCCACACTTGTGGCAAAACCACAAATACCCGTGTTAAAGAACGAGCATCCAAACATTGGATGGGCCTGACCCTTTGGTGTGATTTGCAACCGACCTCGAGAACCACAACTGCTTTTGGAGGCGTTTCCGGTGTTACCTGAGAACAAACACGTAACTTGAAATAATCTGTCGTGGTTTGTAAGACAAAGTATAAGGTGTTCATTTAACGATGTACGAGTAGACATTGAGTGAGGTATGCTTGTCATTTGTCGACATTGCATTTATACAAGGCTAAGGGTCAAACTGCAATGACGGTTGCTAGCGAGTGGGTACTGTAAGCGCGCGCAGTTTGGGAATCGGCTAGATTGGCCTCCAAGCGCGAAGGATTTGCTCTTGGATGGGACACCCCAGTGAACCATGGGGTTTTCACCAAGGAAGCAGATGGCACGAATTCCTTCATGTGGGCAAGTAAGGTTATTGGGAACTAAACAAAACGGAGAGATTTGTGTCATCTACATTACATGAACATGAATGGGCTACTTGCATCCAGCTGTAACCCCTGTTTCCCACTGGAACACGAAACTCGCTTCAGGAGAAGGTTGCTGGAATCGCAGAGGAGGAGAGCCAAAAAAGGGATGGGGCCCGGGGCAAGGGCAGCTGCGAGAGTTTCGGGCAGAAAAAATGACCCCTTGAATTGTATACCTGGCCCCTCAAACTACCCCTTTGTTTGCTCACAACTTTGAATTTGGGGTGATTTCCCATTTTGAAGATAGTTTGAGGGTGGTATTTCTATGCCCATCTTCCATTTTCCTTGTCAAAGCCGGTTTACTGGAGAGTTGTCGCAAAGAGAAATCGGGCGATACCCTTTTCGTTTGCCCCACTTGGCCCGAGCCCATAGATTTTCCATGAAGATGGCTCCTGTTTGGCCAAGAGACAATGCGACCTCCCAGAACGGTCAGCACTATTGGATCAGCACCCCGACTGTACATGGACAAAATCCTTGACCACCTGAAAAACATGGATGGAACCATTGTTTGTTGGTATGTACAGGGGAATCATCATTCCAGGGTTTCTTAGGTGGTGCAGGGTTTTGTCCATCCACAGTATGACCAAGAATGCCCTGTGGTTGCTTGTTAGTTTGACCTGTACGCCTGTCTTGCCTTTGCAATCAATGACAGCTACTCCGCTTGCTGGGCACAGTCTTGCTGGCAGGTCAATGTCTTGGTTAACTTGTCCCAAACTCGAACAAAAGAAAGTCCAAGCAGGTCAAACACTTCCCAACCACTTACTTGCAATGCATGTTGCCTACTTTTTGGAGGGGTTCGGGTTTGACCGTTTGGATCTAGGAGCCTTGTGCAACACCTTCCCAACCACCGGCAACACGTTTTCCGCATGTTGTGCCGCCGATTCGAGCACACCAGCGTTCCAGGAATCTCGGAGTATGCTTTGGTGTCTCAGATTGGCTAGACACGAAACATCTGAACACATTTGTTGATTTGCCCTGTGGGGCCCAGGTTGAATCGAATCGCAAGCTTTCGCAGGAAGTCATGATGGCCAAGAAGGTGGGCGACTATCGCCGCGAGGCGTGCGGCTCGAGAAAACGAGCGCCTCGAGCCTCGGCCAAGGGCCGGCTTTCCGGCCGGCAGATTGGAACTTAAGGTGCCGTGTTCGGAAGGGACAACCTAGGAATCTAGGGCACCCGAAAAGGGAAACCCTTTATAAGGCAGACCAAAGTTTTTGGGGGGTGAAAATGGAAACCGCGGTAAGTGAATTGTGAAAAGGGGGTTTCCTGTGTTGCGATACACCCATCAAACTCGTCCATGCACAAAGGAGGACCTTGTGTGGTGTTTTCGTTGAATGGCAGGCACTCTTTGGGAGTTCAATCCTCGAAGGCTGCCAAATGGAGCTGGAGTGGGGTCTGTTCCCGATGAAAGACCTACCAGGATGATCAAGCTGCCACTCACTGGACTAAGCACCCACGTGGTGCTCTTGCGCGTCATCTCTGGCAGTTCATGTAGGCGAGGTGATTAAACGTCCTGCAGAGGTTTGCGCTAGGCTTGTAGGTGTCCTCGTTTGTTTAGCTTGGTTGCAAATGGATTTCACTGGTGTCAGTTTGTTTGTATTGATTTACCAGTGCCCTCGTGTTTTTTTTCCCCGAAAGGAATCCCACGTCTATGTGTGCCTCTGGGTTGTTGCAAGCAAATGTATTGCTTGCCATTCGATTTTCAGGACGGGCCAGATTCTAGCGATGGCTGATTCTACATCGGGTTGCAAACCGTTGCAACACCATGGAGGCATGATCCCAAGCGGCTAGCATCTGCAATCAGCTGCCAGTTACCCAAATCGAATTGGTTTCCCAATTTGCAATTCCATCGGGTTGATCTGCTATGTCTTTGTTCTTTGGGCAGAGCAGCCTCAAGTATGTCTGCTGTCTAGGCGCAAGGGCGAAGGCAGTCTCTCTCGGATGGTGATTGGAGCCAGCAGTGCTGGCACCATGTGCCATGCCCAATTTCCTTGTTGGCCATACCTTGCCTGCTGAATTGGCACACAAGATACTTTTAGATTTTATAGGTTTGTCCATAATGTTAGTAAAGGCCCAGCAAGTTCAATCTTTGTTTGGTCAGTCAACTTAGCAGGTCAACTACCAGACAAGGGGCCGTAATCATAGCTTTTTGTTGTGGTTCAGCACTAACAATGACTCCAGTGTGCTTCGCCAGAGATGCTTGGGATTTTGGGGCATTGAGCCTTTTGGTGCTGCTGAAGGCAACCCAAACCACCACGATTCTAGTTACCAAGGGAGCATAATTTTCATAGCATGTACTGCCCGTTTTTTATCACCTTAGCGGCAACAAAGTCATGGGTTTTGGGAAGCCGCCACGAAAATTGGCGCATGCACTCCAGGCCTATGCTCAGAAGGGCTTGGCCACGGCTATGCTGATGCAGGCGCAAGCAGGGGCTTTGGGGAGGGGGAGGGGGGTGGCGCAAGCAGAAACTTGAGGTATATCGAGAACTTGCTTGCATGGCTGGTCTTTCCCCTCATTTTTTGGGGACTTCGGAGATGTGTTTTGGGAAACAAATGGGTTTTTCATTGAACCGACCACAGTTGCTAAGCTGGCCTTCAACAGTTTCCATGTTGAATCGGATGGTTTGTGCAAAGAGGGGCCTTCGTATGCAATTGGCTTTGCCTGCCTGTCAATTTGGAATGTGTTCGACCGAGTCTCCGTGAAGCGGTTACTTTCGCAGGAAGATCCCACCCCCATTCATGCCGCGTAAGAATGCTCTCTCACACACCAAAACCGCTCGCCCTGGTCCAAGCACAAATTGTGTATACATTAGACAACAGGTGTTGATTGTTTGCAGAATGTAAGCAAGGTCGCTTTTGAAGAGGCTGCTTGGGGGGCCAGGCTACTTAGCAAGTGGGCCCAACAGCACATCTTCAGCACGATGGAACTCATAACGAGATGCAGTAAGCACCATGAATCTTGATGAATAAGGAACCACCCTCAAAAATGGTTGGTGGACATGAATTCCCGCCTGAATGCTCTCCACCAGACGAAGATTTTCACACATGTAAGAATCGTTTGCTTCTTGAACTCTCACTGAAGTCAAGCCCTGGACTTCCCTCAGCCCAAATCAGCCAGCTACCCTTCCTCTAACCTGGCAGTGCGAGGCTGCTTGGATCAGCTTCCTCTTGAAACTTTCTGTGAGGCGTGGCAAGGTGGGAGAGAGGCTACCTCTTCAGAACCACAATGGACATACCCTTCACAAAAAGATACCCAAGTCGGAACCAGGGGGTAAAGAAATGGCTGTTCGACAAGCTATGCCAAATAGCACTGGAGCAGAAAAAAAATAACACCTGCGTAACCCTGGCTCTGTAATTTGCACACCCATGCGGTTCTGAAATCTAGGGGCTCCAGGATGCTTCGAGCTGTTCAACCGCTTCCCCCTCGGACCGACCGAACCTCCCGAGCCGAGCGAGTCCGACGCCAGGAGCGGCCCAGGGAGGCGCTGCGCCGCGCCACGGACTGCGCGGAGCGGCTGAAGCAGCTGGGGGACCTCAAGGGCGAGGCCAAGGCGCGATGGAACCCGAGGGAGGGATTCGGTGAGAGAGAGAGGTCTCCTGAAAATTGGATTGGATTTACTTCGTGGTTCTCAGGGAATCAGTTTTTGCTTTTTAAAGAATGAACCTGCAGATTGTACATTCCCCGGGGGGGGGAGTCGACGAAATATGAGGCAGCATCTGACAATATTGGAGTGCCCCAGATGTCGGCCAAGTACAAATTGAAACGACCAAAAGAACAACGAAAAGAGCAGCTATCAAACTGAGATAACTGGAGTTAATCACCATGATGATAGCCCGCCTGGACCCTTAAGGACCCGGGGCAAACATGGGCAATATCCCATTGGTAAGGGTCCTGTGACATGTTGTGCACGAGGTTGGTAGTGGTCATGGCCCCTGAAATTTAGACAAAGGATTCCTGGAACCACGATGCCACACAGCCGACTGCCAGTGACAAAAAGGCTCAAAGAGGGCCTTTTTGGGAACTTCAGGAGACAGATGGACCCATACTGATGGACCTGAACCTTCTTAGGGCTTCTGAGCACCTTCCTGGGTTGAGTTTAGCGGGCCCAATGTCCCCCCCCCGGGAAGTCTTCTGCGACCTGTTGTGTTTTGGCACTCCTTTAGTGGCACTTAGGGGTATTGAGCCGTTCTTTGTGAATCTTACAATGGCCTCGCAGGCGTTGCACTTCCTGGTAGAGTTGCAGTGCCAGGCGGGTCCGTGTAGAGCTTTAGGGCGTCGTGCGACAGATAGCCGTTGCAGGCTTTGCAAGTTGCTTCCCTTCTGGAAGGCTAGCATATGGTGCTGGCATGAACATGTCAATGTTATTGCTGACCAAGAAGATGCGTTGCGACACAGGCAGGGGGTCGAACAAGTGCCGCTGCCCGCAGCCATATTCAAAGACAACTGGCTTTCACAATTACAGATTGGGTTCCGTCATGCTGTGAGCTCCGAGTACTTGGTGGTGGTTCTTGTGCCGGAGGTGCCAGCTCTGCGTTGAACCGGGGCGTGGCAGTTGATGTTGAGGGGGAACAGCCATTTTGGCATGTGCAACCTGCATGAAAGGCTCAGGATCCTGGACCAGCTCTTTACTCAAATACGAAGGCCAACTTTCCATCTTGAGTTCCACATTGGCATTGAAGTCATATTGAGCAGTGTGCGTTGTAGTATGCAACATGTTCAACACCAAGAGTCATGTGACCTGACCATGGATGGTTGGCCTGTTGGTCTTCAAAGCCTTGCTTTCATGATCCGCCAATTGCGGATCAGCTTATGTTTTGTGCTGATGGCCTGGTGGATTGGTGCGGTGTACTCATGGGCCTTCAGCCCAGTGCTTAACCTTGGCCAGAGCAGGCGGCACTTGAGACTCACTCTGCGGCGGGTACGTGAGAGGCGCCAGCCAAACCCTCGACAGCACCAGCAGAAGTCCACAGATCTTGATGGTCACACCGACCCAAGGCACATCACGCGGCGCGTTACGCAAGCTGCCTCTGCATCAGAGGTCTTGAAAGTGATGCATGTGGAGCACGATAACCCAAGCATGAATCTGATTGCAGTCAGCGCTGCGTGGACTAGGCTTTCAAAGCTTCACGCCAGCATCACAGCTCGCGTAGCGGCCCTCGCATCTTTGCAAAGCTTTGTTGAGCTGACAAAAGCTTTGTTGGAGAGGCCGTCAGGATTTTCAAGACAGGTAGCCAATATGCTTTGGGCAACAGCCAAACTTCAGGACTGCATCCCTATGCAAGACTGTTTGCAACAATCCCTAGCCAGAGCAGTGAAGAGCACAGCAACAGGAATGAACGCACAGGAGGTTGGTATTGCGATTTGGGCAGTGGGGACATGCTGCACTGGCTGTGCTCATTTTGAAGCTCTGTTGGGAGTGCTGCCCATCTTAGCGGCCAGGCTCCGAACTGTGATGTCAGAGGTGAATTCTCAGGGCCTTGCCAATGTGATTTGGGCTACGGGACAGTTGTCAGTCGACCCCTGCCACCTGGCCGAGTCACAGGGTTTGCGCGATTTGCTTCCCAGCTTGGTGACCATTGCACGCAGGGTATTGCCTACAGCAAAGCCGCAAGAGCTTGCAAATTTGTGCTCCGGACTTGCGCTGAGTGGCCACTATGACGCAGTTTTCTTTGAGGCTGTTACAGACAGGGTTGTAGATGAAGCAGAGAGGTGGCCGCCAGCAGGTGCTCAGAAGGATTTGCCGGAGGTGCTCTGCGCATTCGCCAGGCTCAAAGCCGTGGACCATTCTGACTTGCTGTCTGTGTACTTGACGCTATCACCCGTGCTTGCCGGCATCAACGACTGGGGCCTTTGTGCGCTGAGCTGGTCCTACAAGGAGCTGGACTTCGGGAACGAGTTCCTCGAGTTCCGGCGGCGTTTAGCCGCGGAGGTTTCATGCCGCAAGCTGTCAGAGGCTGACGTGGAGCGAAGCCGCCTAGGGCCCCGTGCCTGGGAATTGGCTGCACGCAAGCCATGTAAGCCACACAAGCCACGCCTTCCCTAAGCTTCCATTTGCCGAATCGGCATCTTGTACATTTCCTGCTTTTGAAAGAGGCATGGGAATGTCACGGTTTAGTGGAATTGCTGCTAAGGAGCAGGTTATGTCACTCCCGAGTGGTGACTTATGGGGACTTGTAAGTGAGTCTATGCGAAAGCGGCGCACCCAGCCCCGTCGAGTGCAGGGGGAGAACTCACTTCTCGCACCCGGAGCTGCCGAGTGACCCTTTCGGATGGCCAATGCTCCAACCGGATTGCGTGCAGAGGATATGAACAAGGAAAACGCCCTGCGGGCAAAGAGCAAAGAAGCCTTTGCTGGAGCATGGAAGGAGGTTTGTAGTCGGGAAAGGGAGTCGAGGCTTGTAAAGCTTGAGTGAACGTTTTTTTGGACGGGAAGCATGAACTACAACGAAATAAATAATTAGAACGAAAGCGGCGGAGTGCTTCAAAGCTTTAAAGCCGTGATGAATCAAGATCCTAACAACACCGTGTGTGTGCGTGTAGCCCCATACAGCTGTTAGTACTTTCTGGCGCCTGAATTCAGCCTGCCTCAATAGAGGCAGGGCTTGGACGGCCTTTACCGCTAATTTTACGTACTTGCACGCCAGCAACACATGTGTATATAGGGTATGTTTGTTGTATATGTATGCATACATGTGTTTACAGTTCCGATTATAGATATGTACACCACCACCCGGAAATGTCCAGGTCAGGTGTTATGTGCTTTTTTGCGGCATGTGTGTGTATATATATTATAGTGCACGGTTCTCTTTTCATTGGTTTGCCAACGAACCGCGGCAGGCGCGGCAGACGCAGGAGGCGCAGCGCGCGGCCAAAGATGCTTGGGCCCCCGGGTCACTGATCTCGGACGGAACATGGTGAGTGTCGCTTTTGAAAGTACCTGGACCCTCAAACTACCAATAAAACGGGAACTCACCCCATAACTTTGGGAGCTACCTGCTTTTTACGGGCAGTTTGAGGGTCCAGGTACGCTTTTGTTTGTATTTTAAGGGGGAATACCTTTTGCAAGTTACCCAACCAGACTCAACCACCAACGCATGGGACGCCTCGGAGTATGAAATAATTGGCTTCCTTGTTCCCTTTCTTGCACTATGGTAGGGCATCCACGGTCGCAATTGTCATACTTTGCATGATTGTTAAGGGCTGGAGTCACACTGCCGTGTGAGTTTCATCAACAAGTTTGCATTCAGTAGGTTGTTGGGATGCTTGCCTTTCTCATCAAAAGTTGGATACGAGAGGGCGTTTACTCTGCTAGTCGCGTCCCAACTGTATGCCAAATGGATTACAATAGCACGCTTGGTGTAATGTTTAACCATGTTGTGAGATAGCACATTTGGCCAGGCCAGCAACTTTTCTTACAGGAGACTCGATTTGGCTATCGAGCCCGATGTTCACCCATCTTGCATTGCCCTGACGTAAGGTTGTTCGTGAAGTGGCCTGTGCGTGTGTGTAGTCTAGCTGCAAGCGCAATAAAGCTTGTCATGTTGAATGGCAGCAACAGTTTGGTCTTTTAGTGTCCGTTGTGTTGACCGGCGGGCCACAATTTGGTCGCAAGAATGTTGACCCACGCACCTCTTGGCCACTTTGCTTGGTCTTCGTGGTGATGTTGACTCACGGGTCGTATTTTTCTATGGTGACCCTCAGGGCATTTGACCTGTGCGCTGAGGTGACCCAGGGAATCCAAACAAATGGGTGTGGGACACGTTGCCGATTCAGCGGAAATCCTGCCCAGTTGGTGGTGGTTTGGCCAGTATTCGTATTGCTTCATCCATCCCAACTTGTGCGAAGCGGATTTGTGTCCATCCGCAGGAAGTCCAGTTTTTACGACCCATAAGCTGTTGAGGGGCGCGTTGAGAGTTCCCCTGAGAGTCCCTCGGTACCTTCTAAGGAGATACATGGACCCATGCCACCCAGTGAAGCCACCAGAAGATGCCCGGGGGACCCTCTGGGTGTTGCCTCCTTGCGCACTTCCGCGAGGCAGTCGGAAAACTAGAGTCGTGCTGAGGCGCAGCGGCTTTACAAGGAAGTGGGCAACTTCAAGGCCAGACTTCGCTCTCATTCTTGCAGCGAGGGTGTCAAGGCAAGTCAAACCAGAAGAAGGAAGGCCATTGATATACCCCCGAAATCGTTGGCTTCCTTTCCCCCCCCCCCCCCGGAAAACCGGTAGTTTGCCCTGGTTTCTTGGTTGAGTGTTGGATTACTTACAGCACCCATGAATCGACTTGTGTGTCATGTTCTACAGTTCCAGGCGACCTGTTGACCTGCAGGCTTCCGATGGTCCACCTTGAGTCATGAGTCACAGGCCCAAAAACTCGAGCTTTTATGGGTCTGTCTTAAATGGGGGGAACCCCCCAAATGGCTTTGTTCAGTGTGGTTTCCCTTTAGAGCCAATTTCAGGGGGAGTTCCCAAACAAACGACACACTCATATCTAGGTCCCTTGGGCAAGTGAGACCTATTGTTGGCCAACATGGTCTATAGTCATGCTGCATCTAGCACGAACCCTCTGATTTGTGCTCTTTCTGCAGGTCGGTGGTTGGCGGTTTTTGTCTGTGAAATTCCGGTGCAAGTCTATGGGGAGCCACCCTTAAAGAGCCGCATGAATCACGTTCCAGGTTTTAGTTTACAAGCATCATCCTAGAACATTCCGACTGCCAATTTCACATCTTTGGCTTAAGGATTGCATGCTTGTGGGTGTTCGTTGTCATGCTATGCGAATGTTGTCCGGCAAGTCCGTCTTGCCAAGAGCAATATCCGGCGTTTCAATACAGACCTCATGGTGTTGGGCGTGCTGAGGGAAAACTAATGTGTTTTGAAATAGATTGGGTTCCCCCCCCAAAGTAGTGATTTTCCCTTTAGTTACCCTGTGACAAGGCTACCCTCCAAACAGACAGCTGCACGCATTGAATTCGGATTGGACTCAGTTGACTGTCCGTAAAATAAGAGGCATCTATATGATGCTTGCTTGTGCCCATTTGGCCATTTAGTTGAACTAAAAGCGCGACGTCGCTGGGGTTGCAACGGTTCGTTTCTTGGGGGGATATTTTTTTTGCCCAGATTTACCTGTGTGCCTTCTGCATGCTTGGGAAACTGGCGTTTGCTTTCCTGAACTGATTGGCGGGTCTGATGCTTTGACATCTTTGAGGGGTCCTTGCAATCAGGCCTTCGGACGTAATCTAGGAGTTCTGAGTTCCCTAAGTGGATGGACAAGCTCCCAGACACCCAGTGGTTTGCTTTCTTTTTGTAAGTTGTTTCTTTTTGGGGGGTTCGCTTTAAAATCAGCTGTAAAAACACATGTACTCTTTTCCCAATGGCCTCTGGGGGGTTTGGGAGCTGTCTGCTTCTTCCAGACATTCCGGTCCTTCTTGTTGGAAGTGCCTGTTTACTTGATTTCAACAACCCCAAATGTTATGTGTTTGTTTCTTTGTTTCTTTGTGAGGGTATGGATCCTTGTTTCATTGAAATAATCTATTTCGCAAACATTGCCAGATGTAGCTTCCCCGTTCAACTTGATTCCGCTTTGGTGTGCTTTCACCAGGAACAGGTGCAACTATTTGCAGGGGGTAGGATCCTTTTGGCCCAAGCAAACCCGATCACCATTTTCACTCTGGCCTTTTTCCCAGTTCAGTGGATTCCAACTTCCCTTAAACGTCGGATGGGCTCCCGTCATTCGAGACGGATTCACAAAGCGGGCCCAGAACACTTTTTGTGCAACACATGCCTTTTGTTGCAACTGGCCTTTAATGTGGGACAGAGGAACCCTACCGCTTTGGTCACTGGCTGCCATGAAGAGTCGAAAAAAGGACCCCGTTCTGGTCAACCAGACCAGAAAGGTCAACCATTTGGAAAAAATCACTTGATTTGCCCAAACGCGTGATGTCTAAAGCCATCAAATGGGGAAATCTATGGGTGTGTGTGTGTGCCTTTTGTTGGTGACTCGCATGTTGGTCTTCCTCTTGGTGCATGAAAAAACCTGAAGCCCGTGCCATAAAGAAAAGGTACACCCCTGTAGGTCACTGGTTTCGCGCCCGTCCCGGCCACACTTTGCAGGGCGCGGTGGCTGTGTTGCAGCTCCTAACAGCCCTACACCTGGAGGCTGGTGGCAGATTTCGGTGTTGCGCTTGGGAGATTGGTGCACTTGGCCCGCGGCTTTTTGATGTTTTGTTTGGTCAGAGTCTGTGACATTTTTGGACCCTGACACAGACAGTACCTGGGTTTGTTGTTTTCGAACCCTGGTTTTGTTGGTTTTGAACGGATTCCAAAAGGAAACTCACCCTTCTAGAGGTCCCCAAATTTTGAGACCATCCGTCCTGCCCGGGCTGGTTTGTGGGTAATCAATGTGTGCACAGATTCTACGAGAATCGAATAGCTAGGGCTTTCTCATGACTGTAGAGATTGTTTTTGTTGGGTAGTGGCGGGTTGAGGCTTGCGGTTGGCTTAGGTAGGATGAAGGTGAGTTTGGGGAACAAACCAGGAACTTTCCCAAAGGGTTTAAGCAGCTCATGAGAGTGGTCAGGCAAATAGGGGTTTCAATACATCCTTAGAAGGTATGGCTCATAGAGGTTGGATTGGATTTCTTGGTCTTCATCCGGATGGGACCAGTGTGAATAGCAATATAATTTTACTTACTACCTTCAGGCATCGACGTTTTCACATATTAAGCTCTTTCATCCCACTTTAGCACCGTGATCAGTGATTAGTGCCCTTGAATGGTATGACGGTCTTGTTTATATGCATTGGCTTTCACCAGCACCGCTGCAAATGACCATGTTAAGATGAGCCACAGATTGGTTCATTTACCCCCCTCAAAGGATACACCTAACAACCACCTGATCATGTAGAAGCCCTGTAGAAGCCCCTGTATCCTTTGTGGAACTCTGAGAGACGACGCGCGTCAGCAACTCTTTACCATGGAAGATACCTAAACAGACCCCAAGTGATGCTTCAACACATCTTGCTCGAGGCCGCCTTTGCAATCCCTACTAACCTAACTCTTTAACCGAGCGGTTCACGACACGCGTCAACCGCCAGTCCGGAGCCAACCACGATGCGATCCAATGCGCCGCTCGGCCGAGTTGGCGCATGGGTTGCAGTGTGAATGCTGATCCGCCCTGAAAGATCACGCATCTTGGTGCCGTTTTTAGGGTACCCCCCTTGTTTGTGGTTGTAGACAATCACCATTTTGCGGAGGTGTCCACCAAAAGAGACGCGCCCACGTGTGTTTGTCATTAAAGAGTACAGCTTGGGGGGGACAACAAGTAATCTGCGACACAAGTGAAACACTTACTTTGGGCACAGGCTTTCGAGCCAACTGAACCACTGGGTTACCAGGGATCCATGGGTCACTGGCCTTTGAAACCACTCCACGCGCCCATTGTCTAGCCACCTTGGCAGATGCAAACCAACCACGGTCCACTTGCCTTGGTTGTCTTGCTGGTTCTCAGTACGCACCAGGGTGTTGTTGGGCATGAACCTTGGGATTTGTTTGAAGGAAACCGCAAGGGATGGTTCCCTCGCTTTCCGAGTTTCTGCAGTTTACACTTGTTGGACGACTATTTTAGTGGTGAGAAGTCTTCTTCTTGGTTGGCCAATCCCCTTCAGTGAGTTCAGTAGGCTTTAAGGGAAACCAATCGGGGCACCACCCATTTCAAAGAGACCCTATTTAGAGGTCCAGGTGCTGCATTGTCGATGCTCCGCAAGACACGTAGAAGCGGAGGTCCAGGGGAAGTCAGCTTGGCAATGCGGTTGGTGCACTCCAGCCTTGGAAAAGAAGCAACAGGATTTCGAAGCTGTTCTAGAGCACTGGATTTACGAACTGATGATATGTCATGCCATTGAGCGATTAGAATCATGACCTGAGTCGTTGCTCGCCCATTCGGCCTCAAGCTCCCATAGCCCGCCGGCCCCTTTGGCGCAATGGCGCCTTTGTCCTTGCTCTCGATGGCAGTGCTGGTGCTGAGCCTGAAAGGATGCAGCAAGACATACAGCGACCAGCAAGCTGCTGTTGATGAAGTGTGCTTCAACGTGACCTGCGCTAGCGATTGTAGACTGTGCATCCACAGCAGGTGGGAGCACCTCGTTAAACAACAGCGGGAGTTTACCTTTGAAACTATGCAACAATGCGGCTACCCCAAACAAACCTGCGAAGGGGAGCGCTAGGGCCGCAGCCACAGCCGCGGCGGAGGGAATCCGCCTGCAGGCTGCCTTGGATCCTTGATGCTGTTGTACATGTTTGGCTCGCTTCGGAGCCTTGCTGCTCGGGTCCATCCTGAAGGATACAGTATTCAATGCTTCGAATGCAGTGGTCGAACTAGCCTGCTTTTTTTTGGCTGGCCAAGCCACCATCATAATTACTCGGAGTCGTGACTCGGTGCTGCGAGAGGGAAAACGGTTGTCATCACCGTCTTTTTCGTCATTTCACACGTACTCGTAGTTGTGATGGACTAGTTGATTTCATGGTCTAGTGGGGCTAGTTTGATGGACAAGCATGGGTATTATACCGACATATATATATATATATACATATTAATTATGGCTGTGTGATGATGTTTTGATGGACTGCTACGTGCTATGAGTTATGATAGTTTGAACCCAAAACAATTATTTTCCCGGGCAAGCGGCTCAGGCGCGAGACCAGGTGAAGGTGTACCGGGAAGCCGGGTTCAAGGAGGAGGAGGCCCGCACCGTGTTTTTTTGTTTTGTGTGCTTTGTGTGCAGTGTTTTGCGTGCTTTCCCCAAGACACAGGTGCCAAAGAAGGGGTTCGGAGTGGCTGTGTGGGGCCGGACCAGCAAGAGCTGAGGATATCATTTGGGCTTGCTGTTCCCCCCAAAGGCTATACGCTTTTGAGTGGGTCGGAGGGCGCTGGGGTAGGGTTGCGGCATGTCCCAGGATTGCTGTTGGGGAGCAGCTAGGGAGGTCTCACGGTTCCTGGGGCTTTTGCGCCTATCCCAGTGGGGAGGCTATCTTTTTCCTTTTCGGGGGGAAACCCGAAATCAAAGGCAGCCCTTGCCTTCTCATAGCCATGTCTGGGAATCAATCCTTTTAGGTAACCCTTTGGTGGTTTGGTCCTTTGAACCTCTGGTTCTTGAGGATCCCAACAACACCTCGTCGGACTCACCACCCAGTGGGAAGCTGAGATCGTAGGGTTCCTTTCTGAGACGGAGGAATCCATTTCAAACCGAGCTTGACCAGGGTTGCTCCCAAGCTCAAAAAAGGCCAATCCGCTTTCGGTAACATAGCTGGCTGGCTGTTGGGACGAGCAAATGAGCAATCCAACTTTTACCACAAAACGAGACGAGCAAACGGGGAGGTTTCCAGCAGCCAGATAGTGGTAGAAGAAATCCTGTTGCTTTCCTTTGCCCTGGACATGTCTACCCTTGTGACGATCGGGTTAGACCCTTGGATCTGGTTCCAGTTTGCTTGAAGGCTCAGCCGCATGCATTTTAGGGAGGTGCGGTTAATTCCCCAAGTGGCTTTGTCTTCAATTTGGCCTTAACCTCTTGTTCGGATGTTTTCAAATGGAAACAACAGGAAAACCGACCCAGTGTTGCAAATCCGAAACCAAGAGAACCTTTTAACATCTGGAGTGGTGCCGTTGATTGAGTTGCCTTTTTGCAGCGAATCAGCCATAGCTCTTTGGCAGCTGCTGAACAAGCACACGACGATATACACAAGTTGAGTGACGCAGGGTCATTGGCATAGGCCTACTGCCACTGGAGCAACGATTAGCTGAAGTTCTCTCGTTTATTTCCCATAATGACAAGAAAGATAATGAGAGAGAGGGAGAGTCGGAGAGAGAAATATCAAGATATAAATGGAGAAAGAGCGAGAGAGACAGAGAGGGAGAGACAAAAACAACAAAGACAAAAGAGAAAGATAGAGAGAGAGAGAGAGCGCGAGAGAGAGAGAGAGATAGTGATATATAGAGCTGTTCGGAGACATCCAACCTCCAGCGTCACTCCTTTGTGATTTCAGGCCTTGCAATGCTGCAATGCCCCTCCCCCCGCCCGGACGCTTTGGGCTTTCTCTTGTCTCATTGACAGCTGCCACTAGAATCCATCCAAGCGAGTCCTACCCCACAGGTACAGCTGGATGTGCCATGGATGGCAAGTGAAACACATCAACTAGACAGCCACCAGGCTTGCCGCGAGAAAATATCCAACCAAATCCATTATTTCTCATTTCAGTGGCATCTAGTGGGTTCCCCCATTAACATGGAATGAACGCACCAAAAAGCGTTCTGGGTTCCAATGCTTCTTAAACTGGGGCCGCTGGTTGCAACCGGGCTAAACCGCGCAAGTGACGTCGGTTTTGGGCCAGTCAGGGTAGTTTTGCCAGTTTGGGCCACCCTTGCGCACTCGGCCGGAATGTCCCGATGGTCCCTTGCTACCTCCTTACCAAGCAACGCTCGCGAGTGGACAGGCTGCCGCCACCCTGGGCTTAGCGGAGATGCGGCGCCCTTGGTCACATCGTCGCCCAGGGTAAGGGAAGGAGACTTCTCCTATGGCTATGAATTTTAATAAGGGACCCTTTGGTGGACATCATGTGGGTGGGGATTCATGTCTACCAATTACTTTTGAGGTGGTTGCCTATTAAAATTCATGGCCATATGTCGTGATGGAGCCAGCGCTGCACAAAATGAAAGACTTGTTCTCGGCCATCGGTCCTGGTGTCTCATTCTTTACGGTCCCTTTTTGGGCTTGTTGACTTTCTTTGACACGACCTGTTAGACGCTTTGCATGACCTGAGCAAGGCGAGGAGGTGGCTCACGGTTTCTAAACTTTGCTCAAAGTCGGATATTGCTCCAAGATCATGGTAGGTTGAGTGTCCGGGCAAGTCAAATGCCACTGGAACAACCCTCGTGGCGAATTGGTAGTGTATTTTATGGCATTTTTATGGCGAGCAGTTCCACCGATCTGAGGGTTAAACGTGCGCAAGCCTGGACATCCCTTATTTCAGGTCTTGGACTTTGTTTACCAAAATGCAGATGTGTGGAACGGGCGTACGAGGATCAATTTGGCATGACAAGCTCGGCTCAAACCTCCAGTGTCAAGTCACCAGTGTGTGTGTGTGTGTGTGACATGTTCAGGGTGTATTGGCCAAAAGAAGCCGTTGATGCATGGTTTTGGGCGCCCCAGGAATAATAATGATAACACTGATAAGCCAGCTTTCATTTGGACTGCAGATCGGCTTGGCCTTTTTCGGGTGAATCCACTCAGGAATTGAGATTCCGTTGGCTAACTGTTCTTCTGCGGTGCATTTTATTTTGCAATTCATCATCGGCCTGTGAAGCAGCTTTACCGCTGGCATCGGCAAAATCGGCGCAGTTTCAGGCTGGCTTTCTAAAACACACCAAATGCCTTAGCCTGTCCTTGAAACGAACAAGAACCTCCACACATTCCGCCTGGCATGATCCGTGGCGAAGCTATGACGGGCTATTGGGCGAAGAGGGTGTGGCCACAAGAACAGCACCGCTGTCTCCAATGGGACGCAGGACGTTTTTTGATCGGGATGCGTATGCGTCTAGTCTGTTTTGCACCTGAGCCCCGCCAGCCGGGTTGTCCATTGAAGGCGGTAATAACTCGGACAGCAATCACCAAACTCGAACCATTTCGCTGGCTGCCGTACTTTGGCACTTGAGGATGTCTGAAAGTTGCTTTCTGCAACCTCCGAAGCTTCATTAGTTTAGTCAAGACCTGGTACTTTGACCCCCCAAAAATGCCTCAAACCAACAGCCTCGAACAGTACCGAGGGACCCCCCCAAAAAAAAATCGTCCAGGCTTTTTGCGGGGGCCAATACGGGTGTTTCTTTCAATGGGGGTAACCAGAAAATGGTTGCTTTCCATCTGGTTTCCAATTCACAGCCAACCTGGCTTGAAGGGGTGTTTTGGCACGGCCAATATGGGTGTGTCTTAAAATAGGAGCACCACACACAAATGGACCATTTCCTTTTGGTCTTCCCTTAAAAACACTCCAAGAGGGGCGCCTTTTTTCACTATGTAGAACCACAAGTCAACCACAAGCCCAGGATGCAGCAGACCATGGGCCCCCGGGACGCTCTGCGCCTCTGCAAAGATGCTGCCAGGGTTTCCCAGTCGGCTGCGAGCCCGGTGGGGGGCCGATTCTTGTTGGGAGCCATTTCTTGGTCGGGGGGCCTCTTTTGGATGTTTGCAGGGAAACTTGGTGTGTTTCGAACACCCGCAAACTCCACAGCAAAAGAGATAGATTTGTTTGTCCCCCATGTTCTTATCTTCTGACTGAGCAGTGTCCAATATCCTAGGCAATTTTCTGGGGTCTCCTTCCAACTGACTGATACTTTGTGGTAGACGAAATGTGGACCTCAATCCGATAGAGTTTTGCGCACCTCTTGAGCTTCTACTGCTTTAGTTGCTAGGTCCCCCAGTAGTGCCCTTTTAACCTTTCTTGGGGGAGGGTTCCCCTACTAAAATCAACTACTTACCCTTATTCTAACCTCTCTACTGGAGGACCTAGTTTATTATTTTTGTAAAATCGGGTTTGTGCCACAAGTGAAACATTTCGGCGCTTGGCACTCGCGTGGCTGCTGCAGTGCAGCTTGTGAGTCTATCCGGCAAAACTTGGCAGGTTTGATATGGCGGATTCCCTAGACGTTTTATAAGGAAACCAACAATGCGCAAAATTTATCTTGGTGAGTTGCGGTAAATTTGAGGGCCTCTTAGATCCCTTGCAGGAATTAGGGAATTAGGAAGAGGATTGCAGTGTGCGCCGTGTAAAACGACGTGTTGAAGTCTACTCGTCAACAGGGAGTGAATGCTGTAGATGCCAAGGTTGATAGGCTCGAGGAGACACGTTCTTGGGATATGAGTCTTTGAAGGGATATACTTTTTCAACTATATTAGGCGAGACCAACAGGAAAACTACTATTCTAGCGAGGGGAGGCTGCTCCTATTTTGATAGACTCATGAACAGTTTGGCACTCAACTGGCTCACGCAGAACAGTGGGGCATTGAAGTAGATGTCCTTTCATGCCTGGAGTAAACACCGTTCAGTCGCAACAGGTTGTCCCGCTGTATTCAGCCCGCTTAGATGCCGTGGAGGTGATATATGAACGTACAGGGCTCAATTAAGATGTTGTGCCGGTGTAGCGTACGAGATACCTCCAATGAAGGGGCGTGTGTTGCATATGTTTTCAAAAATACATGTTGGCAATTTGGTGACCCTCTGTCCCCTGCGGCACACCACATTTGTGGACGACATAGCTATCTTTGGTGAATCCTTAGATCTTTTGGGATACTGTTGTGTTTCCATTTAACTCGTTGCGGCCAGGCGTGCCTGCGAAATCATGAAACCTCATTCAAGGTTGGACAGCTTGTGGGCTGCCTGGCTGGCTCGTTGGTTGGTTGGGTTTGGTTGGTTTTGGTTGGTTTTGGATGGTTTTGGTTGGTCTTGGTTTAGGTTGGGTTTTGATGTAAACCCGTGCTGTCCAACAGGCAGTTCCTGGGGGGGAGGCCTGTAGAACCGGCCCATTTCGAGGCCTCCCTGTCGAGAGCCCGGAGCCTAGATCGCGACGCATGGAGCTCGCAAGACCCACGCAAAATCCTTTTGCCTAGTTGGATGGCCATGGTTTTCTATGGTTTTCTCTCGTTGTCCATCGGTTTCTGTGGTTTTCTACGGTTTTCTATCACTTGCTATGGTTTATTGTGCCGTGTCTGTTGTTTTTGAGATCTGATTTTGTGGCAATAACCAAGTGTTATGGGTAGTTTCAGGATCCAGGTATCCTTTTTTTGAAGCTGCTTTTTAGTGAGAAGAAAAGGGAAAGCACCCTCGATTTTTGTGGATTTACACCATTTGGAGACAAGGCCATGTCGGACGATCGGGTCCACTGATTTGGGGGGAAATGGGCGAAGCTGCATGTCCCGGACACATGGTACAGGACACACAGCAAATTTTCCGAACACGCTGGTCGTGAGTAGACCAAAGCTGAGGGGTGTGGGGCATGGTAGGAGCAGTTTTGTGAATCAGCGAAGGCTCTGGAGGGCTGTTCAAAAGCGAATTGTGGTTTCACGGCCCGATCGAGCAGATGTGCATTTGGACCTTGTTGTGATGCCTTGTTTAAGGCTTAAGGGGACAATCCGTAATTGGCACACTATTAGCCCTAAATTGAGGCCCATTCTTTGTGAACCACACAGGATCTGGCGAATTTTATGTTATTGGCTCGTTGTGAGGGGTCCCTGGAAGCAAAGGGACTCGCACTAAATATATCAAAACATGTTTTAAGCGTAACATTGAGGGTGGCTCAACTGGCAAAGGAATTGATGAAGGAGCTTTTAGTGGTTTAAAGTGGCAAATGTGCGGATCCAACTACGCGGACCCTCGAACCACTCTTAAACGTATGGAATCACCCCACACATTTGAAATTTTGTTCGGGTGGTTTGAGGGTCCAGGTATCCACATATTTGTTCGCCTTGTGCCCTTTAGGGAAACTACGCCTTGGGTTTGTTTGTCACAGGGCAAGCTGATTCACTGCCTAAAAGTCATGGTGGCCTCGTGGGGCTGAAATGAGCCCAAGCAGCTTCCAACGAAGCTTCCTTTGTTGGATGCTGGCTTTTCCAGGTGCCGATTGGATATGGGGTTTGTCACAAGATGCTGAAAATCCAACATGCGATCCACTTCCTTGGGATTCTCTCTAAATACTCGCAAACCATCTCAAGACAGAGCACTCAGCCCTCTCAAAAAGAGACAGCTGTATAGATTCTGTACATATATATATATATTACATATTATATATATATATATAGTCTGTGACTAGGAAACTGTTCTGTGTGTGTGTGCCCCTGTTTTTAAAGCTTTTGTTTCCCGATCGGCCGTCAAGTCATCCAGCCCCAATCCGGGCTTCTGGGACAACAGGCAAAGAGCCGTTTTGCTTCTCAAGTATCAACTTGGAAACAGAGAAACCCTCGAACCAAGTTACCAGTCTCTTGTCAGTGAAATTTGGGACTCCTCTTGGGAGATTTCCACCAGGGTTGGCCTAGCTCCTTTGTTAAACATGTGTGGACTTCAATGAGCCATTGCTTCAACAGCCTCCTTTTGGTCGACAAGGAAACTGGCAAAAACCGCCAAGTCTGCGCATGAGTGATCTGTGTGGTGCATGGTCCATGTACTGTTTTGCAATTGATCGTTTGCAGAGCTTGTTGCCAAAGCTCCGATTTTGACAACCAGAAAAAAAGGTGTTTCTTTTGAGATGCTTGTTGTTTGTAACCCCAGCCTCAGCTCCTCTTTTTTTTTGTTCCGCCTGCTTAGTGCATGTCAGGCGGCAGGGGACATCGCCGGGGAGGCCCGCGCTTTGGCGCAGGTGACGCAGATGCCCGGGGCCCCAGGCGGCGCGGGGGAGGATGAACCAACCCACTGCCGGGGGCTCCCGTGAATGGGGTGACAATGCTAGTCTTCAGGGATGTTGCTAGGCTTTTGGCCCTGTTTTTCAACCTAGCAGAGCTGGCCCAGTAGGATGTTAGCATGATCCTTGACTCTCAAACTGCCCTTCACAAAGGGGAATCGCTCGGCAAGATCGCATTTTAAGGGCACTTGAAGGGTTCGGGGATACAACGGGGACAACGAGGGATAGTTCCCGTATAGCGATGGGCATAGCCTGGGAGTTTATCATCCAAGCGGGGGTCGGCTTGGAAGACTCACTCCCAGTAGACCTTTAATAGATTTGGAGTAGTGCACCCACTTGTCGTCGCGTTCGTCGTCCTCTACTGTCTGGAGTAGCGCAGCAGCATCCGTGACTCAAGGAAAAAGGCGTGCGTAAGGAAACCATCCAGTTTCGTAAGGGATTTTCTTCGCATGAACCGCGTGCAAGATTTGCGCAAGGGAAGGTGATAAGAGTGTAAGCGCGTAAGAAAACGTGTGCGCAAGCTCGCGCAAGCACCTTCGCATAAGAGTTCCTTACGACCTAGATTTGAGCAAGACCTTTTGAACTCTGCTCGAGTGGTCTTTCCAATTGCGGAAGCCGAATGTAGTTGAAGCAAATGCGTTTTGAACGTCAATGGGGGACCCCTCAACACTTACCAGAAATAAATCACCTATACTGCCCACTGTGTCCCTCAATTGTTAAATCCATATGGAACTTGCAAGAGGGGTTCTCAAGCGAGCTGTTCCAACTAAAGGGCTTGGGGGGGAGGGGGGGTAGCCTTTTAGCCAAGCCCTAGAGCCGACAGAAGGCAACCAGAAAGTCCGATTCGAGGCTCTCAAGACCTGACGTCCAAGATCTTTGCAGACATCGTGCAAGGACTCCTTTTCCCCCGGACATCGTTCATCGAAGTCTTTGACCCCGATTGTATACACATTAGTTGGACTAGACGCAACTCAACATAGATAACTATACAAAGTACTAGTTACATGTGTACAAGTACAGCGCAAACCAATCATACTTGATCACACAATCCATGGTACGGCTCAGAGAGGTGGTTTCTGGTACCCACCATACCCAATCCATCTAGGTAATATATGCCAACATTTGACTGAGCATTTCCATATATGTCGAGGGTAAATGTGGGCTCATGCATGGTGTGTTTGGGACGAGTTGCAGAAAACAGCTTGCAATCTGTTTTCATGGCTATACCAATGAGTTTTATGGTACTCCCTATTCGTTTTATGACGCATCCCTGGATCCCCAGGCAGCCACTTTTTTCCAGCCACTTTACCCACTAGTAGCCCACAATTTGGCAAAAGTAGCCGGAAAATAACGGCAACTGATCCGAAACACATCCAACGAAGCCACCCAGCCCGCCGTCACCAAGGTCACTTCTTCCCAAGCCCAATCCAGGTCTCCAGGTGCGATGCGTTCGGCCCGCCGAACCCGGGCGGGGCGTTTGAGGCATCTGGCGCTGAAGGCGACGAGCATGGCCACCAAGACGGCAACGGAGGCGGAGGCGGGACGGACTGTATTCGTGGCGTCACGGGTGATGTTTTTGTTCTTTTCTTTTTTTTTTCTCCGGGTGTTTTTTTTGAGGGTGGTAGATTTGAGGTTCCCAGGTTTTTGGGTATAAGCTGTGTTTTGCGGTCATCGAAACAGCTGTTTCGTGTGGTTTGTGTAAGGCTTGATTTTATGGTTCATCAAGTCATTGAATCAATATTGTTCTCCACTAGTTGATTCAGCTTTGGTCGATTGACCCAGATCGATAGGCGACAAGGAGTGGATCGAAACGGCCAAGGGGCGTGTTTGGGTGCCAGAAGAGCTTCGGCGGTTGCTGGGGATATCATCCGGGTCTATCTTAAATGGTTTCCTTTACGGTGGATGCAACCCGAGCGCATGTGCGAATAGGGGAACATTTGGAAACCGACCAAGTCGTTCTGACTTGCTGTGATTTACTACGTGATGGTTGAGTATTGTCAGTTTACTTGCAATGGTGAAGGCATCCAACGTGACTCTATATGTTCCATTGCCGGTATCTCCTCAAAAGGTTCCCTTTACCGCTTTCAATGTCCGTTGCATTGTTTGCGTTATCTTCAACAGTCCCTTTACATCCCTTCAATGCCCTCTTCACTGTAGAAGGAAACCCTTCGACAACCCTTGGACAACCCAAAAGGCAACTTTGTTTGAGCCACTTTTTATTCCAGTGGGTTCCAGATCCCACCACCACCACCACCACCACACAGCAGATCCTGCGCCCGTGACCTTTTGGTTCAAGGGTGTCTCCTTGCCCACAAACCTACGCGGAATCACAATCACATATGGGAACCGTATCTGTCCGAAGGGAGTTCCCTGGGGCCCCAATGGTTTTCAAGTGTGGAGTGTTTGTCGAAATGGATTTCAGGTGATGCTGGTATTTCAAGGGAAGTCAAAAGGAAGCCAGCCATCGTACTTTTGGGGCATGCTGTTTGAATGGATAGTTTGAGGGTCCAGATCCTTGTTTATTCGTTAAGTAGATTGCCGGAGAGTTCGACGGTGACGGCGCCAATTCGCTTTGCAAACTTGCCGAGAAGCGCGTTAAACGCTCGCATAGCTATCTGATGAGGTACATGCCCTTCATGATGATGCCTAATCCCAACACAACGGTGAATTATTTGGTTGACGCATAGCTCTTATTTTGCGGATTGTCCAACAGCCCTTGACTGGGACCTCAAACAAGCTCGGAGTCAATGTTGGGCCTGTTGCAGAAACCGTGTCCAAATCCCCGATAACTTTAGCCCCATTTGGACAGCTTGAGCTATCGCCGGGAGTTCGGTTCTGCTCGGGCGATCGCCAGACGTTTGGCCGTTGCACGGGCGAAATCACGAGCAAATCCGGAGGAGTTGGCGCGGCAGTCTGGAGATCCGCGGACGCTGTGCACCACGTTGCAGGCGGGGCGGTTTGGGGGACGGAGGGGTGCCCTGCTTGGGGCTGGCTTTTAAAGGGATACCAAAAGGAAACTAACTATTTTGTAGTTTCCCCATTGAATTATTTTGAGACAAGCCCAGCAGTTCCTCTATTTCCCTTTTTGGAACCTCCAACACAGTGGCTAGTTTGATGGATACTGCCAGTCAAGTGGGACTTTAGGGGAAATCCAATCACCCCTTGTCAACATACTTTGGACCAATTCCTGCTGCATGAGGTTTAGTGGTTAAGATATGTTTGGCTGGACAAGATTCTGCACCGGTTGGGTGAAATCGGGTTTGAATACGGTAGCCAACTACCCAAAGATGCGAAGTTAATTTTGTTCATCGGCATGGGCTTGTGCGGTACAGGTTTTTAGGCGGGTGTAATGGGATATCGACAGCACCACCACCACCACCACCACCACCACCACCACCACCACGGTTTTGGGAGACCTCCCATTCCAAAAGCAGCATGTGGTTTCGAGTTTGTCAATCGTATTTGCAGTTTTTATCATGTTGCTTCCAGTTCAATGACCAAGTTGAGTTCGGGCTCGGCACACAGCCTTCCACACAGCCAGGGGAGCCATGGGAGGGGGTATGGCCCCAAGGGCCCTTCTGAGTGAGTCAGGCTGCATTGGCTCTCCTTGCTATGGCTTTGTACATGATATGTGATCGCCTCATGTTTGCATATCCCGTTATTATGATCCATTGACCAGGGACATGGTGGGCTTACATGTCTGACACTGCGAAAAGTCGGGAGGTACACATACTAAGCTTGTGTCTGTGAACTTTAATGTAGAGCACCCTCAAAACGTGACACCAGTGTAAAACCACTTTTTTTTTGTGGACGGGAGAGTCTATCATTTGGAGACATGAGTGTGAATGACTCCTCTTTTCTTGGGTAGTTCAACCATGACCTGTTGGTTTGTTTGTTTGATTGTGTGTTTCTTGTTTGTTTGCTTGATTGTTTAGTTGGCGTTACTCTTTGCGTTTTTTTGTACGTATCAGTGTACAATTGTATGTAACAACTATATATATATATGTCTGTGCGCGCGTTTGTGTGCGTGTTTGCATTTCTATGTGTATTGTCTTTGTCGTTGTGTGCTGGTGTCTTGGTTTGCCTGGTGATTGCGCTTCCATGCGTGTTTTGTTTTGCTCTGTGTTTGTCTGTGTCTGTGTCTGTGTCTGTGTCTGTGTCTGTGTGTGTGTGTCTGTGTCTGTGTCTGTGTCTGTGTCTGTGTGTGTGTGTGTGTCTGTGTGTGTTTGTGTGTGTCTGTGTGTGTGTGTGTCGGTGTGTGTCTGTGTGTGTCTGTGTGCGTGTGCGTGTGTGTGTGTGTGTGAGAGTGTGTGTGTGTGTGTGTCTGTGTGTCTGTGTGTGTGTGTCTGTGTGTGTCTGTGTGTATCTGAGTGCGTCTGAGTGCGTCTGAGTGTGTCTGTGTGCGTGTGTGTCTGTGTGTGTGTGTGTCTGTGTGTGTGTGTGTGTCTGTATGTGTCTGTGTGTATCTGAGTGCGTCTGAGTGCGTCTGTGTGTGTCTGTGTGCGTGTGTGTCTGTGTGTGTGTGTGCGTGTGTGTCTGTGTGTGTGTCTGTGCGTGTGTCTGTGTGTGTGTGCCTGTGCCTGCGTGCGTGCGTGCGTGCGTGCGTGCGTGCGTGCGTGCGTGCGTGCGTGCGTGCGTGCGTGCGTGCGTGCGTGCGTGCGTGGGTGTGTGTGTGTGTGTGTATGTGTGTATGTGTGTCTGTGTCTATGTCTGTTTGTGTGTGTCTGTGTCTGTGTGTGGCTGTGTGTGTGTCTGTGTGCGTGTGTGTGTGTGTGTGTGTGTGTGTATCTGAGTGCGTCTGAGTGCGTCTGTGTGTGTGTGTTTGTGTGTGTGTGTCTGTGCGTGTGTCTGTGTTTGTGTCTGTGCGTGTGGCTGTGTGTGTGTGTGTCTGTGTGTGTGTGTGTCTGTGCGTGTCTGTGTGTGTGTGTGTGTGTCTGTGTGTGCGTGTGTATCTGTGTGTGTCTATGTGTGTGTGTGTGTCTGTGCGTGTCTGTGCGGTGTGTGTATGTGTGTGTGTGTGTGTCTGCGTGTGTGTGTCTGTGTCTGTGTCTGTGTGTGTGTCTGTGTCTGTGTGTCTCTGTGTGTCTGTGTGTGTGTGCGTGTCTGTGTGTCTGTGTGTCTGTGTGTCGGTGTGTCTGGTGTCTGCGTGTCTGCGTGTCTGGGCGTCTGTGTGTCTGTGTGTCTGTGTGTCTGGTGTCGTTGTGTTTGTGTGTCTGTGTGTTTGCGGCGTTCAGGTGAGGATTTTGATGCCCCTGTGGGGGATTCTTCGTATTCCAACAAAGCCAGGGCCTAGTTTCCGTGCAGGCCTGCGCTGAGGCGGAAACCGCAGCTGACAGGCCGGAGTCTTGACGGGTGGTGAAATCGCACCCTTGGACGTTGGGAAGTCTTTCGGTTGCCTTTGGCTTGGAAACAATCAATCAAGCAAACAATCAGACCAGAACCGCTCAGGGTGTTTGGCGGATTGTCGCGTGAACGCCTCGTCACTGGGCCCCCTTACTGCTCCAACGACTGTTTGCCTGCCGAAGTGCTGTGCAAAATGCAGTCAAGTTGGTTGGCGTGCGTTCCTGGACTTCGTGCCTCTGACAGCTTGCTTGTCGCAAACTAGACAGTTTGGACTCTTGGCAAGTCAAACTGCGATGGGTCGCAACATTTTGGATTGGTGATGTCGCATGTGCGGTTTGATACAAGTAAGGTCCGGCAGGGCCGGGGGGCGGAAGTTTCAAAAATATAAAAACTATAGTTCCCTTTCTCTTTCTTTTCTTGACTCTTTTTCTCTTCTTCTTCCTTTTCATTGTTTCCTTTTTCCCCGTCATTCTTCCTTTCTTCTTTCTTTCCTTCCTTCCTCCCTTCTTTCCTTCTTTCTATCTGTCTTTTCTTTCTTTCTTTCTTTCGTTTGCTTGTTTTTGCGCTGTTCTCTCTTTTGTCTCTTCTTTGTCTATCTATTTGTCTGTCTATCTATTTTTCTCTACCTATGTATCTATCTCTCGTGCTATCTATCTATCTGCTTATCTATCTATCTATCTCTCTATCTATCTTCTCTATCTATCTATCTTTCTATCTCTCTATCTATATATCTACCTATCTCTCTATCTCTCTATCTATCCATCTATCTATCCATTTATCTATCTGTTTATCTATCTATCTCTATCTCGCTCTCTTTCTCTCTCTATCTATCTATCTATCTATCTCTCTCTATCTATCCATCTATCCCTCTCTCTCCATCTCTCTTTCTATCTGTCTATCGATCTATCTATCCATCTATACCTAGAGATTCGTTGCGGCAGAAATTTCTGCCGCAAATCAAAAAAGGCGCCTTTTTGGATTTGCGGCATTTCTTCCTGATTTGCGGCGTTTTTTTAGAATTGCGGCAGAACTTGTTTTCAGTTTTTTCTACCCCCTGATTTGCGGCGGAAATCGGCGGGAATGCGGCGGAAATCGGCGGGAATGCGGCGGAAATTCCCGGAAAGCAAACGGTGTTGCGGCGTTTTTGTTTTGGTTGCGGCCTTTTTGTTTGTTTGCGGCTGATTTTCTGGAATGCGGCGGGAATTTCCGCCGCAATGCGTTGCGGCAGAAATTTCCGCCGCAGGAAGTTCTAGGTATCTGCACTTAAAAGTTGCGATTTTCAAGCACGAAACTTGACTTCGCGTACTACTTTCGTACTTAAAAAATGCGATTTTCGAGCCCCAGCTGCGAAAGTGGACATCACGTACTACTTTCGTACTTGAAAGTTGTGATTTTCCAGCCCCAGCTGCGAAAGTTGACTTCAAGTTGCGCTTTTCAAGCGCCAGCTGCGAAGTGGACTTCGCGTACTACTTTCGTACTTAAAAGTTGTGATTTTCAATCCCCAGCTGCGAAAGTGGACTTCACGTACTACTTTCGTACTTAAAAGTTGCGATTTTCCAGCCCCAGCTGCGAAAGTGGACTTCACGTACTACTTTCGTACTTTGGAGCTCCAGCTGCGAAAGTTGACTTCACGTACTACTTTCGTACGTAAAAGTTGCGATTTTCAAGCCCCAGCTGCGAAAGTTGACTTCGCGTGCTACTTTCGTACTTAAAAGTTGCGATTCTCGAGCCCCGGCTGCGAAAGTTGACCTTGCGAAAGTGCTGCGCCTGCCACGAAATCTATACTTGACCTTGCGAAAGTGGCACTCCTGCCGCGGGTTTTGCACTTGACCTTGCGAAAGTGCTGCGCCTGCCCCGAAATCTGTGCTTGACCTTGCGAAAGTGCTGCGCCTGCCACGAAATCTATACTTGACCTTGCGAAAGTGCTGCGCCTGCCACGAAATCGATACTTGACCTTGCGAAAGTGCTGCGCCTGCCACGAAATCTATACTTGACCTTGCGAAAGTGCTGCGCCTATCTATCCATTTATCTATCTGTTTATCTATCTATCTCTATCTCGCTCTCTTTCTCTCTCTATCTATCTATCTATCTATCTCTCTCTATCTATCCATCTATCCCTCTCTCTCCATCTCTCTTTCTATCTGTCTATCGATCTATCTATCCATCTATATCTGCACTTAAAAGTTGCGATTTTCAAGCACGAAACTTGACTTCGCGTACTACTTTCGTACTTAAAAAATGCGATTTTCGAGCCCCAGCTGCGAAAGTGGACTTCGCGTACTACTTTCGTACTTAAAAGTTGTGATTTTCAATCCCCAGCTGCGAAAGTGGACTTCATGTACTACTTTCGTACTTAAAAGTTGCGATTTTCCAGCCCCAGCTGCGAAAGTGGACTTCACGTACTACTTTCGTACTTTGGAGCTCCAGCTGCGAAAGTTGACTTCGCGTACTACTTCCGTACTTAAAAGTTGCGATTTTCGAAAGTGGACTTCACGTACTACTTTCGTACGTAAAAGTTGCGATTTTCAAGCCCCAGCTGCGAAAGTTGACTTCGCGTGCTACTTTCGTACTTAAAAGTTGCGATTCTCGAGCCCCGGCTGCGAAAGTTGACCTTGCGAAAGTGCTGCGCCTGCCACGAAATCTGTGCTTGACCTTGCGAAAGTGCTGCGCCTGCCACGAAATCTATACTTGACCTTGCGAAAGTGCTGCGCCTGCCACGAGATCGATACTTGACCTTGCGAAAGTGCTGCGCCTGCCACGAAATCTATACTTGACCTTGCGAAAGTGCTGCGCCTGCCACGCAATTCAAACCTTGCGAAACCTTCGCGCGGCCGTGCCAATGGGCCCGTCTCCGAACCCGTTCCGAGACCGTTCCGAGACCGTTCCGAGACCGCCGCCGTACAGGCGTCGCAGCCGAGGTGGTTTGCGCACTGTCCGGAAGCCCAATTCACGCACAGCGCCAACGTTTTCTGCATCTTGCCATCCCCCAGCTCGCAGAGAGTGCTTGCGAAAGTGCGCCTGCCACGAAATCGATACTTGACCTTGCGAAAGTGCTGCGCCTGCCACGAAATCTATACTTGACCTTGCGAAAGTGCTGCGCCTGCCACGCAATTCAAACCTTGCGAAACCTTCGCGCGGCCGTGCCAATGGGCCCGTCTCCGAACCCGTTCCGAGACCGTTCCGAGACCGTTCCGAGACCGCCTCCGTACAGGCGTCGCAGCCGAGGTGGTTTGCGCACAGTCCGGAAGCCCAATTCACGCACAGCGCCAACGTTTTCTGCATCTTGCCATCCCCCAGCTCGCAGAGAGTGGACGCAGCACCTTGCGAAAGTGCTGCGCCTGCCACGAAATCGATACTTGACCTTGCGAAAGTGCTGCGCCTGCCACGAAATCTATACTTGACCTTGCGAAAGTGCTGCGCCTGCCACGCAATTCAAACCTTGCGAAACCTTCGCGCGGCCGTGCCAATGGGCCCGTCTCCGAACCGTTCCCCGTTCCGAGACCGTTCCGAGACCGTTCCGAGACCGCCTCCGTACAGGCGTCGCAGCCGAGGTGGTTTGCGCACAGTCCGGAAGCCCAATTCACGCACAGCGCCAACGTTTTCTGCATCTTGCCATCCCCCAGCTCGCAGAGAGTGCTTGCGAAAGTGCTGCGCCTGCCACGAAATCGATACTTGACCTTGCGAAAGTGCTGCGCCTGCCACGAAATCTATACTTGACCTTGCGAAAGTGCTGCGCCTGCCACGAAATCTATACTTGACCTTGCGAAAGTGCTGCGCCTGCCACGCAATTCAATCCTTGCGAAACCTTCGCGCGGCCGTGCCAATGGGCCCGTCTCCGAACCCGTTCCGAGACCGTTCCGAGACCGTTCCGAGACCGCCGCCGTACAGGCGTCGCAGCCGAGGTGGTTTGCGCACAGTCCGGAAGCCCAATTCACGCACAGCGCCAACGTTTTCTGCATCTTGCCATCCCCCAGCTCGCAGAGAGTGCTTGCGAAAGTGCTGCGCCTGCCACGAAAAAAGCTATCTATGTGTTAAGCTGGCTATATGTCAAAGCTATCTATCTGTCATGCAAGCCTATTGGAAAGCTATCTATCTGTCAAGCTAGCTATATGTCAAAGCTATCTATCTGTCATGCAAGCCTATTGGAAAGCTATCTATCTGTCAAGCTAGCTATATGTCAAAGCTATCTATTTGTCATGCTAGCTACCTGTCATAGCTATATGTCAAAGCAGCTAGCTCATTTAGTTCCAGTACTACGGAAGTTTCTTGTTAAACTTCCTTTGATGAGGGTATATGTTAGTCGGTGGCTCTGCTCTGAAACGTGGGTGATTTTTTGCGAAAGTTCCGCGAAAGTTCCGCGAAAGCCCGCACGACAGCGCGGGCTTTGATTGGGATGGCAGGCAGGTACTTTCTGAGCGCCGCATTAGTCAGTGCACTGGCCTGGTACTGAAAAGTTGCAACTTCTAGCTGGAGCTGCGGAAGTGCATTTCGTGTATTGGCTTGGTCCTGCACACAATGCAGAACAGTTGCGGCTTACCAGCTGAGGTAATGTTGCTGCAAAGCCGAAGCTGCGGACGTGCATTTCATGTACGGCCCCATGTGCTGAAAAGTCGCGACTTTACAGCAGGAGTTGTGGAAGCACATGTCGCGTATTGCGCGGGTACATAAAAGCTGCGACTTTATGACTTTAGCAATGAAAAGTGCACGGCGATGAAACCGCGAAAGATTCGCGAAAGTCGTTTTTGTTTTGCGCAGAGTGGCCGTTTCGAGATAAAGGAATTTTTAGAACAACCATCATATGCAGCTGCGGGGGCGTCCATTGGCACGTTCCGATATGCCAAAAAATGCTGCCTCGGTCCTGGGAAGAGGTTTTTTTGCAGGATGGTAGCGATTTCCAGTGGTGCCGTCTCGAGTAGTTATTTTGCATCGCTCCGAAAAAGGGGAAACATATCTAGCGTCCTGCAATGTGGTCGTTTCGATCTCACCTTTTTTGTGTGGGTTCCCCAGTTCATTTTTCAGAGAATGTTTCAATCCCCTCTGACCATGGTTACTATCACCAGTATGGGGCAACCTTTACTTTTTTCTGGGAAGGTTTTAGGCAATCCCCCTCCTCCCCCCTGTTTTTGGCTGTTCTACTCCCACCTGAGTCTTTTGCAGCTTCGTTGCACAAGAGTTTTGGAGAAGCCATGGCTGGCTGGCACATTTTCTTGTATTTTATGGCGTTCTGGTCAGAAGGTCCCCCTTTCCTCTTTTCGCTGGGAAGGCTTCCCCCTCCCCCCTTCCCCCCCATCCCCCCCCATCCCCCCCATCCCCCCCATCCCCCCCCTTTCCTCCCCTGGCCATTGGACGCGCATTCGATCGTACAGCGCGAGGTTCACAGAAGCCCTGCAGATGGCCAAGGAGGCCCTGCAGCTGGCCGAGAAGGCCGGGGCGTTCGTTGCTCGCGTTGGTTCTGGGGTTTTCCGGGAAACCGCAAGTCAATGGAAGGGGAAACCACAGGAACGTCCGGGAAGAGGTGGGAAAACCAATTTGGCTTTGGAATTTTGTTTTGTGTGTTTGATGTTGATTTGTTGATTTGGGGGGGGTTGACCACAAATCAACATGATTCTGAGAGGCTGGAAAAGGGGGAAAAACATTGAGTTTCTCCCACGTTTCCTTTTGTGGCCGTTTTTGCCGGGGAAGCCACAAATGAGCAGCGTTTTGTTTGTAGCGCCCGGAGCCGCGTAGGCTGGAATAGTGTGCCTGCGCGGCTCGCGTAGGCTCGCGTAGGCTTCCACGGCGGTCCCCTTTCCATACCCGAAACTGACTATGCTCATAAGTAACATTTTGCTGGTGAGGGCAAAGCAGGTGTTCAACGTGCGTCACTATGGTGGATACCCTGAGTATTGCAAGTATGGGAAGAACACCTTCTACTTCACCGTGAATTACCAGGGTTCCGTGGCCGATGGCTGAGATATTTGCAATTGTTGTGTTTAGCGTACCTGTCTCAGGGCTTGCCCTTTTGGGTGAACCCCGGGGTTGCCGGCTTGCCCATTTGGAGAGAGGCAATTTGTTGTATGCGTTTGTTGATTGGTTTCGTTTTGGGAAGACCATTTGTACTGGCCAACAGAAAGGTTTTGACTTGCATTGGCCAATCCATTTGAGCCACAAGAAGCCTCCAACATGCCAGTTAAGCAGAGCCCAAAACCGATTCCTATTGGCTTATAGCTTCAGAAATGGCAACCTGTTGCGTTGGGTGCCAGGCTGTAAAGGACGAGCCTATGAGAGCTTCTGCTTTGGCCTGCCCGGTGGCCAAGCGGGCTTAAACAAATCATGTTTGCACAGACAACCGAACGCGGGAGTGATCATTTGTTTGGAAACTTTAATTCGGCCGCTTTGTTTTAATTATTTGGTTGTTTGGTTGCTGGGCTTGGTGGATGAGTTGCATCGCATCGCGTTGACCCCGGCACAGGTACACAAACTCACACATGCACACGTGTAAAACTAGACGTACACATATGCACACATCTACAAACACATACCTATCATATATGCCTGCTTGCCTGCCTACCTGCCTGCATGCATGCATGCATCCATGCATACCTACCTACCTACCTACCTACATGCAAACACATACATACACGTACATACACATACACACGTACACACCTATAAATGCACATGCACATACACATATACATGCATGCATGCATGCACACGCACAGACACACACACACACAGACATACATACAGACATATAGGCATAGGGCAGGCAGGCAGGCAGACAGGCAGGCAGACAGGCAGACAGACATGCAGACAGACATGCAAACATACATTTAGACAGACATACAGACATATGCACATGCACACATACGCACATACACGCACATACACGCACACACATGCATCCATGCATCCATCCAGCCATTCATCCATTCACCTATCCATGCATGCATGCAGGCATACTTACATACATACATTACATACATACATACATCCTACTTACGTACCTACCTAATTGCCTACCTAGCTACCTAGCTACCTACCTACTTACCTACCTACCTACCTACTTACCTACCTACCTACCTACCTACCTACCTACCTACCTACCTACCTAACCGACCTACCTACCTACCTACTTACCTACCTACCTACCTACCTACACGCAAATGCATACATACACATACACACGTACACACCTATAAATGCACATGCACATACACATATGCATGCATGCATGTATGCGTACACACACAGAGACACACACAGTCATACATACAGACATATAGGCATACGGCAGGCAGGCAGGTAGGCAGGCAGACAGACATACAGACATATGCACATGCACACGCACACATACGTACATACACATGCATCCATTCATCTATCCATACATGCATACCCACACAGGCAGCCGAGACGAGACTAGGCCAGACAGCCAGACAGACAGGCAGACAGGCAGACAGACAAAGCTGCACGTATGTGTGTATATATATATATATATATATATATATTTTTTAACGCCTCCGGCTCAGGCCGCCGACATTCAGGCCTGCTTTCTTATTTGCGTCCCCTTGGAATTGTCCCCTTGCCCCCTTCCCCTCTGAGATGTTTGCCCCCCTTTCTTTGTTGAGATCCATTCCCCCTTTCCGCCCTAAGGCCTTTTCTCCCTCTGATTTTTTCCCTTTTCCTCCGTAAGATGTTTTCCCCCCTCTCCCTGTTGAGATCCTTTCCCCCCTTTCCCCCCTAAGGCCTTTTCCCCCCTGAGATCTTCTCCCTTTTCCTTTCTTTCACCCACTTTCCCCCCTACGGCCTTTTCCTCCCTGGGATCTTTTTCCTTTCCTCCCTGAGATCTTTCCCCCCCTTTCCCTGTTGAGATCCTTTCCCCCCTTTCCCCCCTACGGCCTTTCCCCCCGCTGAGATCTTCTCCCTATTCCTCCTTAAGATCCTTTGCCCCCTTTCCCTGTTGAGATCCTTTCCCCCCTTCCCTTTAAGGCCTTTCCAGATCTCCCTTTTCCTTCCTAAGATTGTTTCCCCCCTTTCCCTGTTGAGATCCTTCCCACCCTTTCCCCCCTCAGGCCTTTCCCCCCCCTGAGAGCTTCTCCCTTTTCCTTCCTTAGATCTTTCCCCCCTTTCCCTGTTGGCCTTTTTTCCCCCAGATCTTCTCCCTTTCCTCCCTAAGATCTTTTCCACCCCTTTCCCTGTTGAGATCATTTCTCCCCTTTCCCCCCTACGGCCTTTGCCCCCAGATCTTCTCCCTTTCCTCCCTAAGATCTTTCCCCCCCTTTCCCGCTCAGATCCTTTCCCCCCTTTCCCCCCTAAGGCCTTTCCCCCCTGAGATCTTCTCCCTTTTCCTCCCTAAGCCACCTTTCCCTGTTGAGATCCATTCCCCCTTTCCCCCCTAAGGCCGTTTCTCCCTCCGAGTTTTTCCCCTTTCCTCCCTACGATGTTTTCCCCCCTCTCCCTGTTGAGATCCTTTCCCTCCTTTCCCCCCTAAGGCCTTTTTTCCCCCCGCGATCTTCCCCCTTTTCCTTCCTAAGATCTTTTCCCCCCTTTCCTTGTTGAGATCCTCTCCCACCTTTCCCTGTTGAGCTCCTTTCCCCCTTTTCCCCCTAAGGCCTTTTCAGATCTTCTCCCTTTTCCTCCCTAAGATCCTTTGCCCCCTTTCCCTGTTGAGATCCTTTCCCCCTTTCCCCCCTAAGGCCTTTTCCCTGCCTGGGATCTTCTCCCTTTCCTCACTGAGATCTTTCCCCCCCCTTCCCTGTTGAGATCCTGTTCGGGGAGGGGGTAACAGGTAAAGAGGTAAGGAGCATTTTTTGTGTCCAACACGCCATCTGTCCACGTACCACGCGGTGATTCGAAGACGCTTCACCAAATCTGTTCAAGGCTTGCGAGTTTGTCAAAAACATTGGGGTGTTCGATTCCCCCGGGTGCGCTTTCGCATCCTTAGCAGCTCCTGCGGCACATCGCCAGCATCACCTGCATCATCCGCATGCCTGCCAAGGTGCGGATGATGCAAGTGGTGCTGGGGATGTTGCCCATGCTGGTGAAGGAAATGAAGGGGGGAAAGGGGGAAAGGATCTCAACAGCGAAAGGGGGGGAAAGATCTCAGGAAAAAAGGGAGAAGATCTGGGGAAGAAATGCCTTAAGGGGGAAAGGGGGGAAAAGATCTTCGGGAGGAAAAGGGAAATCTTTCTCGGGGGGAACAGGCCCTAAGGGGCAATCGGGGGACAGGATCTCAATCGGGAAAGGGGGAAAAAGACTTTGGGAAGAGAAGGGTGGAGATCTTGGGGGGAAAAGGCCTTAGGGGGGAAACGGGGGAAAGGATCTTAAGCGGGAAAGGGGGGAAAAGATCTTAGGGAGGCAAAGGGAGACGAACTCAGGGAAAATGACTTAGGGAGGAAAGGGGGGGAAAGATCTTTGGGAGGAAAAGGGAGAAGAACTGAGGGTGGGAAAAGGCCTTAGAAGGAAAAGGGGGAAATAAATGATCTCAACAGGGAAAGGGGTGGAAAAGATCTTAGGGAGGAAAGGGAGAAGATCTGGGGAAAAAAGGCCAACAGGGAAAGGGGGGAAAAGATCTTAGGAAGGAAAAGCGAGAAGCTCTCAGGGGGGGAAAGGCCTTGGGAGGGAAAGGGGAGAAAGGATCTCAACAGGGAAAGGGTGGGAAAGATCTTAGGGAGGAAAGGGGGGGAAGATCTTAGGGAGGAAAGGGAGAAGATCTGGGAGAAAAGGACTTAGGGGGGAAAGCCCAACAGGGAAAGGGGGGAAAAGATTTAGGAAGGAAAAGGGAGAAGCTCTCAGGGGGGGGAAAGGCCTTAGGGGGGAAAGGGGGAAAAGGATCTCAGCAGGGAAAGGGGGGGGGGGGAAGATCTTAGGGAGGAAAGGGAGAAGATCTGGGGACAAAGGCCTTAGGGGGGAAAGGGGAGAAATGATCTCAACAGGGAAAGGGGTGGAAAAGATCTTAGGGCGGAAAGGGAGAAGATCTGGGAGAAAAAAAGGCCAACAGGGAAAGGGGGGAAAGATCTAAGGAAGGAAAAGGGAGAAGCTCTCAGGGGGGGAAAGGCCGGGAAAGGGTGGGAAGGATCTCAACAGGGAAAGGGGGAAACAATCTTAGGAAGGAAAGGGAGAAGATCTGGAAAGGCCTTAAAGGGAAGGGGGGAAAGGATCTCAACAGGGAAAGGGGGCAAAGGATCTTAAGGAGGAATAGGAAGAAGATCTCAGCGGGGGGAAAGGCCGTAGGGGGGAAAGAGGGGAAAGGATCTCAACAGGGAAAGGGGGGGAAAGATCTCAGTGAGGAAAGGGAGAAGGTCCCAGGCAGGGAAAAGGCCTTAGGGGGGAAAGGGGGAAAGGATCTCAACAGGGAAAGGGGGCAAAGGATCTTAGGGAGGAAAAGGGAGAAGATCTGAAAAGGCCTTAGGGGGAAAAGGGGGAAAGGAGCTCAACAGGGAAAGGTGGGAGAAGATGAAAAGGGAGAAGATCTCGGGGGGAAAGATCTTGGGGAGGACAAGGGAGAAGATCTCAGGGGGGGAAGGCCTTAGGGGGGAAAGGGGGGAAAGGATCTCAACAGGGAAAGGGGGCAAAGGATCTTAGGGAGGAAAAGGGAGAAGATCTTGGGGGGGAAAACGCCTTAGGGGGGAAAGGGCGGGAAAGGATCTCAACAAGGAAAGGGGGGAAAAGATCTTAGGAAGGAAAAGGGGGAAGATCGCGGGGGAAAAAAGGCCTTAGGGGGGAAAGGAGGGAAAGGATCTCAACAGGGAGAGGGGGGAAAACATCGTAGGGAGGAAAAGGGAAAAACTCAGAGGGAGAAAGGGCCTTAGGGGGGAATGGATCTCAACAGGAAAAAATGGCAACAGATCTTAGGGAGGAAAAGGGAGAAGATCTCAGGGGGGGAAAGGCCTTAGGGGGGAAAGGGGGGAAAGATCTGAGCGGGGGAAAGATCCTAGGGAGGAAAGGGAGAAGATCTGGATGATCTCAACAGGGAAAGGGGTGGAAAAGATCTTAGGGAGGAAAGGGAGAAGATCTGGGGGAAAAAAGAGGGGGGAAAGATCTAAGGAAGGAGAAGCGTTTAGGGGGGCAAAGGTCTCAGAGGGAAAGGGTGGGAAGGATCTCAACAGGGAAAGGAGGGAAACAATCTTAGGAAGGAAAGGGGGGGGGGAAGATCTTAGGGAGGAAAGGGAGAAGATCTGGGAGAAAAGGACTTAGGGGGGGAAGCCCAACAGGGAAAGGGGGGAAAAGATCTTAGGAAGGAACAGGGAGAAGCTCTCAGGGGGGGAAAGGCCTTGGGAGGGAAAGGGGGGAAAGGATCTCAACAGGGAAAGGGTGGGAAAGATCTTAAGGAGGAAAGGGGGGGGAAGATCTTAGGGAGGAAAGGGAGACGATCTGGGAGAAAAGGACTTAGGGGGGAAAGCCTAACAGGGAAAGGGGGGACAAGATCTTCGGAAGGAAAAGGGAGAAGCTCTCAGGGGGGGGAAAGGCCTTAGGGGGGAAAGGGGGCAAGGGATCTCAGCAATAAAAGGGGGGGGGGAAAGATCTTAGGGAGGAAAGGGAGAAGATCTGGGGACAAAGGCCTTAGAGGGGAAAGGGGAGAAATGATCTCAACAGGGAAGGGGTGGAAAAGATCTTAGGGAGGAAAGGGAGAAGATCTGGGGAACAAATGCCAACAGGGAAAGGGGGGAAAGATCTAAGGAAGGAAAAGGGAGAAGCTCTCGGGGGGGAAAGGCCTTAGGCGGGAAAGGGTGGGAAGGATCTCAACAGGGAAAGGGGGGAAACAATCTTAGGAAAAGATCTGCAAAGGCCTTAAAGGGAAGAAGGGAAAGGATCTCAACGGGGAAAGGAGGCAAAGGATCTTAAGGAGGAGTAGGGAGAAGATCTCAGCGGGGGGAAAGGCCTTAGGAAGGAAAGGAGGGAAAGGATCTCAACAGGGAAAGGGGGGGAAAGATCTCAGTGAGGAAAGGGAGAAGATCCCAGGCAGGGAAAAGGCCTTAGGGGGGAAAGGGGGAAAGGATCTCAACAGGGAAAGGGGGCAAAGGATCTTCGGGAGGAAAAGGGAGAAGATCTGAAAAGGCCTTAGGGGAAAAGGGGGAAAGGAGCTCAACAGGGAAAGGTGGGAGAGGATCCTAAAGAGGAAAAGGGAGAAGATCTTGGGGGGAAAGGACAAGGGAGAAGATCTCAGGGGTGGAAAGGCCTTAGGGGGGAAAGAGGGGAAAGGACCTCAACAGGGAAAGGGGGCAAAGGATCTTAGAAAGGAAAAGGGAGAAGATCTTGGGGGGAAAACGCCTTAGGGGGGAAAGGGCGGAAAAGGATCTCAACAAGGAAAGGGGGGAAAAGATCTTAGGAAGGAAAAGGGGGAAGATCGCGGGGGAAAAAAGGCCTTAGGGGGGAAAGGAGGGAAAGGATCTCAACAGGGAGAGGGGGGAAAACATCGTAGGGAGGAAAAGGGAAATCAGAGGGAGAAAGGGCCTTAGTGGGGAAAGGGGGAATGGATCTCAACAGGGAAAGGTGGCAAAAGATCTTAGGGCGGAAAAGGGAGAAGATCTCAGGGGGGGAAAGGCCTTAGGGGGGAAAGGGGGGAAAGGATCTGAGCAGGGAAGGGGGGGAAAGATCTTAGGGAGGAGAAGATCTGGGGGCAAAGGCCGTAGGGGGGAAAGGGGAGAAATGATCTCAACAGGGAAAGGGGGCAAAGGATCTTCGGGAGGAAAAGGGAGAAGATCTGAAAAGGCCTTAGGGGGAAAAGGGGGAAAGGAGCTCAACAGGGAAAGGTGGGAGAAGATCCTAGGGAGGAAAAGGGAGAAGATCTCGGGGGGAAAGGGGGAAAGGATCTCAACCAAGGGAAAAGATCTTGGGGAGGACAAGGGAGAAGATCTCAGGGGGGGAAAGGCCTTAGGGGGGAAAGGGGGGAAAGGATCTCAACAGGGAAAGGGGGCAAAGGATCTTAGGGAGGAAAAGGGAGAAGATCTTGGGGGGGAAAACGCCTTAGGGGGGAAAGGGCGGGAAAGGATCTCAACAAGGAAAGGGGGGAAAAGATCTTAGGAAGGAAAAGGGGGAAGATCGCGGGGGGAAAAAAGGCCTTAGGGGGGAAAGGAGGGAAAGGATCTCAACAGGGAGAGGGGGGAAAACATCGTAGGGAGGAAAAGGGAAAACTCAGAGGGAGAAAGGGCCTTAGGGGGGAAAGGGGGAATGGACCTCAACAGGGAAAAATGGCAAAAGATCTTAGGGAGGAAAAGGGAGAAGATCTCAGGGGGGGAAAGGCCTTAGGGGGGAAAGGGGGGAAAGGATCTGAGCAGGGAAAGGGGGGGAAAGATCTTAGGGAGGAAAGGGAGAAGATCTGGGGGCAAAGGCCTTAGGGGGGAAAGGGGAGAAATGATCTCAACAGGGAAAGGGGTGGAAAAGATCTTAGGGAGGAAAGGGAGAAGATCTGGGGGAAAAAAGGCCAACAGGGACAGGGGGGAAAGATCTAAGGAAGGAGAAGCTCTCAGGGGGAAAGGCCTCAGGGGGAAAGGGTGGGAAGGATCTCAACAGGGAAAGGGGAAAACAATCTTAGGAAGGAAAGGGGGGGGAAGATGTCAGGGAGGAAAGGGAGAAGATCTGGGAGAAAGGGGCTTAGGGGGGGAAGCCCAACAGGGAAAGGGGGGAAAAGATCTTAGGAAGGAACAGGGGGAAGCTCTCAGGGGGGGGGGAAAGGCCTTGGGAGGGAAAGGGGGGAAAGGATCTCAACAGGGAAAGGGTGGGGAAGATCTTAAGGAGGAAAGGGGGGGGAAGATCTTAGGGAGGAAAGGGAGACGATCTGGGAGAAAAGGACTTAGGGGGGGAAAGGGGGGAAAAGATCTTCGGAAGGAAAAGGGGGAAGCTCTCAGGGGGGGGAAAGGCCTTAGGGGGGAAAGGGGGAAAGTGATCTCAGGAGGGAAAGGGGGGGGGAAAGATCTTAGGCAGGAAAGGGAGAAGATCTGGGGACAAAGGCCTTAGAGGGGAAAGGGTGGGAAGGATCTCAACAGGGAAAGGGGGGAAACAATCTTAGGAAGGAAAAGGGAGAAGATCTGGGGGAAAAAAGGCCAACAGGGAAAGGGCGGAAAGATCTAAGGAAGGAAAAGGGAGAAGCTCTGAGGGGGGAAAGGCCTTAGGCGGGAAAGGGTGGGAAGGATCTCAACAGGGACAGGGGGGAAACAATCTTAGGAAGGAAAAGGGAAAAGATCTGGAAAGGCCTTAAAGGGAAGAAGGGAAAGGATCTCAACGGGGAAAGGAGGCAAAGGATCTTAAGGAGGAGTAGGGAGAAGATCTCAGCGGGGGGAAAGGCCTTAGAAAGGAGGGAAAGGATCTCAACAGGGAAAGGGGGGGAAAGATCTCAGGGAGGAAAGGAAAAAGATCCCAGGGAGGAAAAGGCCGTAGGGGGGAAAGTGGGGGAAAGGGAGGAAAAGGGAGAAGATCTCAGGGGGGAAAAGGCCTTAGGGGGGAAAGGGGGGAAAGGATCTCAACAGGGAGAGGGGTGAAAACATCTTAGGGAGGAAAAGGGAAAAAAACAGAGGGAGAAAAGGCCTTAGGGCGGAAAGGGGGAATGGATCTCAACAAAGAAAGGGGGGCACAAATCTCAGAGGGGAAGGGGGCAAGGGGACAATTCCAAAGGGACGCAAATAAGAAAGCAGGCCTGTAATGTCGGCGGCCTGAGCCGGAGGCGTTAACATACATAGACTTAAATTTTCATACCTACATGTGTACATACGTACACACACAAAGAACAACGTTTATAGCAGTCATAACACTCAGGCAGTCATACATTTATACTAGTCCTGCTTGAATACATGAATGCGGTTGATGCATGGATGCATACATTCGACACACGCACACATATGGGTGAAGTCATAGCTGTCAGAGGCAAGGCGAGCCACAGCAAGTTACAATACACGTCCAAGACGATTCAGGGCTAAACCCAGGGTTGCATGCAACACTTGTTCAATCAGCCAGACCCATAGGCCCCTTCAAAGGGGAACGAAAGGGAGGCTGTTTAAACAATCATGTTTAGGAAGGAGGTTCGCTCAATCCTGCTCAGAGCCTTTCTGTGCTTTTCCGCGCATGCTCAAAACACCAAAACAAATGGAGTTCGGGCGTTTTGGAGGCGATCGTTACAAGCTGTCGCCCATGTTCGTTTGACTTGGTTGACTTAAGAGTGCGTCACACACGCTACCTACGGTGGCTTCCTTGCATATTGCATATAAAGCAACCACAAAACATGGCAGCAATTGTTGTCCCAGGATTCATTAGCTTCTGGTGGTTTTTGCTTGGTGTCCCATTTCTAGAGGGGACCATTTTCCCTGGAACCATCCATTCATTCCGGCCCCTTGTCACGCCTCTGAGCGACTTTGCAAGGCCTCGGCTCCGTGCATTTGCAGATGGGCCATTATGATGCCGGGTGCCCGGCCGATGTGCCGTGTGAGGGCTGTCGTCTGTGTTTCTGTTTTTTGTGTTTTTTTTGTTTGAGGGCATGTGCAGTGCAGGGAATTTGTGTCGCTTGAGGTGCCGATTTTGCTGCAGTTTACAATTGGGCCTTCGTGAATTATTGCTTCGCGGCTGCGTCGATGAAGCCCATGCAGTTAGCGGCAATTCCAGTACTGTACCTATTGGGGAATCCATCTTAATGGGGAACGAAGTGCAAGGGGAGAAGCTTTCCATTTGCGCCGTTGCCCAAAAGTTGGCGGTCCGATCAATGTACATGTCACTCGGGCTTCTTTTGGGATGCCTACCCCTACCTGCAGTACATGTTGCCGGAAATAGGGTCTTAGGGCCTTTTCTATCCATGCCTATATGCAACACTTTTCCCCCTCGGTGTGATTTCCGCAAGTTCCCGCCTCATGTCGTTTGAAGCATCGAGTCTTGGCCCATTTGTGTGTGTGCTTTTTGTATGCCAACTTTGGTAGTTTGCAGCGAACCCTAGGCACATGTGCAACGCCAGGCCCTGCTGGGCTGACCTGGTTCAAAGTCGGAAACTTGCCACTTGAGATTGTGACCTGTGCTGAAAGTGGTTTAGAAACGTGTGCGGCCCCGGTGCCTGGGTTTATTTGCAAGCCCTACAAAAGCCCTGGATCCAAAAACGACCAGAGTCCTGGCCCCAAAAGAGCGCCAGAACACCAACGTTGCAAACACTTTTGCACCTCAGACCCGCCTCATCGGCCGGAGGTGAACAACCCCGGGGTGCGCAGCCGGCCCCGGGGGCTCAAGGAGTGCCTGAAGGCGAGAGTCCTTGACCCCGGTGCCCACCTGTGGGAGGCTATGGCTGGTGTTGTTTGGGCACCCCCAAAAGGGATTTCGGTGCTTTTCCTGGTTTCCCTTTTTAAAGCCAACCAAGCGCAGGTAGTGTGAAAAACTGATGTGTTCGGGACAGTATCCAATTTTGATGAATAGATTGAGGGTCCATATATATATATATATATCTACATATCAGTGTCAGGGTCAGGGTATTTGTGGGTACAACGTGGTAAACACGCCCGTTACCATTTTTGCATGTGGGTGGGTAAGTAAATGTGTCTTGAAATAGTGGGCCCAACCTAGAATCGTAGTTTTTGTTTTGGCTTCCTCTTAAACCACCCCAAAAGGGTGTGACTTTCCAGGGTACATTCCCTTTTGCGGCGAGGGGTGAAAAGGGCACTTTAACATATGGTGGGTAATTATTTGGAGTAGGGGTTTCCTATATTTCCCATTTGGGCGGTTTTAACGCATCACCATGTGGGCCAATCGAATTTGAAGAGCAGGGGGGATCGAGCACCAAAATTCAAGCAGCAAAGCCAGAGGGCTCCCATGCGGCAAAAGGGATGTGCAGGGAAGATATTCTAAGCCCCCCAGTAGTGCCCTTTTGCCCTTTTTTGGGGGAGGGTTCCCCTACTAAAGTAGACTACTGAAAAAAGGGCACCCATATGCTAACCTCTCTGCTGGAGGACCGAGTATGGTTCCCAAGACGGCAGACCACCAAAGATGATGAGGGTGGGGTTTCCACTCAAAACTCGACTTGGTCCCCCCCCCTCCCGCTCCTTTTGCGCAGCAGGTCAGTGAAGAGGCTCTGGCACTGCACCGCAAGCTCGGGGATCGCTCCGGCGAGGCGCGGCGCCGGGCCATGAGTTGGGTGTCGTTTTTTGAGGCTACCCCTTTTGGAGCGGCCAGGGAAACCACAAGGAGAACCGAAATCCATTTTGGGACGCCCCGATTCCGAAAAAAGCAACGGACGCACCCGTCCAAAGATCGCGCCTCAGCGTTTCGATCGCCAAATGGATCGCCAGATGGGCGGAGTGCAGCGGATCTTCCATGCACACCTCATTGGCGAGGACCTCAGATATTCCACGGACCCTTCGAACGTGTTGTTTTTTTTGGTTGCGACTTGCGGTGCCCTGAAAGGTTTATTATTTTTGTTTGGTGGGTCCCTTGAGATTTCAAGTACACCAAAATGAGTGCCTTTTTAACAACATGGCCACTGGGAATTTGGGAAGGGTTGGAACCGAAGGAGCGTGAACATAATTGTCCATGAACAGGATGTCCACAGGGATGACATTTCATTGCCGTGTGGAAACATTGGAGCAAGCACTACGGTCTTCAAAGCGAAAGCCCGTTTACATAGGGTTACCCAATTTTGCGACCCCAGCAAAGGTGTTGAAGGATAGTGTGAATGAGGAAGGGTTGTTTATGGACAGTTATGGCATTAAATGATGGGAACAAAGGAAGATTGGAGGGTTGAAACGGGTGTAATTCCTTGGTTGCAAGGGGATGCGTTTTGGACCCATTTTCAGCGGGAACATGGAGCGAACCCACTTTTGGTCTCAAGTTGGAACCCTTCATTGGAGGCCTGCTATGGTGGCCGCATTGTAAGAGAACCAACTGCGAAAATATGTTCCAAAACCCTGGCATGAACATCAGAGTTCATTAGATAAGTATATCATTGGTTTCCTTGTTTCTCCTTACTTGCAAGGGGCATCCGTCATTCTACCATCCTCTTGAGGGGCAAATCCAGTCCGTAGAGTTAGAAGGGAAGCCTCCTGGTTGATATTGGCACGGAGGCCTGAAACCCCGCTGGAAGGGACGGGAAAGGATGGTCCAAGAAGTTTGGGTTGGGACACGAGGGAGCCTCGAACAGAGCTCATGGGTAGGGTTCATGGCTACTTGATTTCTCTTCATTGGGTGCTGAACAGAATCGTCGTGCCTGGGTACTACATAGCTTCACGATTGGGGATGTTCCAGGTGCCAGAACACCTAACAGTTCAAATTTATCCAAACCGACACCAAAAGGCTATGGGTATGTTTGTTTCCAGCCCCTATCGTGGCTGGTATTTGATGTGAAGCCTTTGACTCCTACCAACCTTTGGCTGAGGGGGTCTTGGAACAAGAAAGGGGTGCCTGCAGAGCAGACAGCACCCATGGGTATCAGGCAGCCCTGTGGTTGTTTGGTTGCTCTTCAGGCGAGAGAGCCCGAACCCGGATTTGCCAAATCCGGAAGGCCGACGGTTTAGGACAAGGCACTCCTGCGGGAACTCTATGGATCTCGGTGTTTGGCTTGCCAGAACGGGAAAAGCCAATCGCAACTCACTCCTCGAGTTGGGCAATGTGGGAAGCCAACCAACGTTTTTGGCCCGATGGCCAGGTTTAGATTCACTCTGATTTAGAGGATCCGACTCCTCGTAAAACCGGTTGCTGTGGAATCCATTGACGAAACTTGGTATGCTGGATGCCGCCAAATACTGGAAGGGGAACAAGGCAACCCGCTTGCAATGGGATGGGGTTACATCCGTACATCGTTCCCTCGTGGTTCAGGTCAAGATGGTCCGGCGTCCCTGCGCTATGCCCGCGAGTACATGGACTGGATCCCAGTGGATCTTCAGGGTAGCCCTGACCTAGAAGGGAATCAAGAGAAGCTAAGACCCGAGTGCGGGTTCCCTGTTTTGTGGTTAGTTACAAAGGGAACACGCTTGCTGAGTTTCTGGAGGTTGTTTGGTTTTGGAAGACCATGTCTATGCCAAACAAATGTTGGACCTTTTCTGGGGGCCAATCCACCCCCACAGCGTCCTGTGGTACCTGAGGATCTTTGAGGGGGGGCAACGCAAGCAGCCGAATCTGTCCTCCAAAACCCTATTATTATTATTTTTCAGGCTAGACCAAATATGAAACATAATCTGAAATTGGGTTTTGTGTTTGCCCCAGATGTGGGCCAAGCAATGAGTTGTTGCTACCTATGATAGAGCCTTAGGTGCTTGCTCTCGCATCACAATTAGGATGTAGGGAATGAAGCCTAGCTTGGTGCTCCAGTGGTCTATGGCTTTTGATCCATCACGTGGAAAGACGACTTGAGATTCCCAGTCACAACCGTCAGGCCGGCACTCAACCTGCCGCGCCCGGAGGTGAGGCGCAATTGGACATCCCCCCCCCTCCTTTTCAGGTACATGTCACTGCAATTGCCCCGACGAAGCAAGGTAGCCGGATGAATCTTGGGCTACCCCGGATGGCCCTTCCAGAACTTTATCCCAAGTGAATAGGAGGGAGGGGAGGGTGGTACTCCCCAAGGCACTTGGAATGAACACAAGGGAGGGCAGTTCTTTTCATCCATTTGGCGCTGGGTACAGGGTGCGGTTTTTCTATTCCCATTTAGGCATTGCTTCTGTCTAACATCAATTCTGGCTTTTTGATTCTTCGCCGAGACAGAATCATTGGGCAAGAGATGGAGCAAAAGGAAGGACCTTGCCGCTCAGGAAATGGCACAGCAGAGCGATCAGAAGGACAACTTGGGCCCGGCCTTAGTCTCTCTGTGCCAGGCGGACCGATTGCCGATGCGGAGTCGAGGAGTGAAGCCTGGTTCAGAGTAGTTTGTTTGTGGCACCTCAAAACCGATTGGTCGGATTGTTGCCGACCATATGTTTGAAACGGATTTGGTCTTGTTTGCCAGAACCGACTTCTCAACGAGTGGGTGTCCAGTGCTCGCCTTGCATTTTTTGGTTTACCCCTGTTGGAGTAGTTTGAACGGGGAACTAAAAGGAAACCAACAATTTTTGGTGGCCCCCTATTTTAAGACGCACCCATTTCTAGGTTCATGGCTGTGGATAATTTGGTCTTCCCACTTGACGTGAAGAAGTGGGGACAGAACGCGCGCTGTAGGGTGTTCCCAGGGCCAAACTCGGCGGTGGATCGGGTTGCTCCGAGCCTCTGAACAAATTTCAATCCACAAGGACATCCCAAGGGATCTTTGAGGATTTTTGTTGGGCGTCCAAAGGGAGTAAAGTACCTCCTTAGGTACCAAGGGAGCCTTAGGGGTAGATGCTTTGATGTCCTTTTGTTTGCCCCTATGGACCAATTTTCTACCGTGCCCCTGGACCTTCGGTCGAAAGCAAAACCCTTGTCACTGTATTTGACCATTGCGTGGTTGAGTGGTCGATTACAGTTTTTTGCGGCGGAAAGCTTTGGGGTCTCTGCCAAATACGCTCTGGGGTTTTGGGCAGCTTTCAGGGAGGGTTCAAGTCGCAGGACCAGGTGAAGTCTGGTTGATGGAGTTGACCGCGTTTTCCGCAGGCTCACTTCCTGTGCCGCAACTACGAGGAGGCCGAAAGGGCCAATGTGGCGCTCACCCCGGTGGGGAACACGGGAGGGGCAGGATTCGGCTTTGATGGATACAGTCGTGCGGTATTGATTCTCGAGGGATTCCTTTGCTTAGGTGTCCAGCTGGTTTTTGTTTAAAGCAATGCCAAACAGGGTAAACAAAAAGGCTATACTTATCAACAGTCCGGGGATGCCCTATTGCAAGTAAACCAGCCACACTCAAACAGAAAGCCAGGTGTTGCGGGAAAAGCCAAGGGTTTTCTTGTTCCATTACTTGCAATGTTTAGGGCAGACATGCATCACCGGCCCTTGGGAGCCATGGGCTGTCAGTTATTGATTGTAGCGAACCCCTCACAAAGTGGTGGACAGATATCCCCCGCCCCCCGCCCCCCCCCCCCGTGTAAAGGATGTTCATCAAAGGGTCGTCAAAGCATACATCCCATGGATACTTTGTGGCCCTCATTTGGCGGCTGGTTTCCCAAACTCTGGTTCGTAGCGTAGGTTCACGCGTGTTACCGCTAGTTGCAGCGTGTTGCAGCCAGGATTGCTCACTCACTTAGCAAGCCTACTCGTGACCTTGAAGAAAACGGGCAGAAAGTCTTGCCGCCAGAGTTTCTACTAGTATCATGTTAAACCCTAAAAAAGCCAGCATGGCCCATGGAAAACCGGGCTTCGACAGGGGCAGGCAAGTGCCAATGGGTCATGGACAAGGATCCTTCCAGAACTCCCCGCTTATCCAGATGGAGCGTAGGAGACTTATGGGTGATTCTAAAAATGGGTTCGGATCCCGTTTTGTTTGAAAGTTCAGGGAAAATGAAAAGGAACCCGTGGTGTTAACCCCGCTACATTGAGCCACGAGGACCAGGACCATGTGGTTTTATAGAAACCGAAGTGAGGCATATCGGCTCTGCTACCCTGCGATTGACCTGCCTGTTTACACTCTGACAACCTTTGCTTGGACGAGCGTAAGCCTCTCGTTGGCAACAACACACGCGAGACGGCCAAGTCGGTTGACTATCCGACCTTCTACATCGCTATTTTTGCAGCTTTTCAGCTTTTCAGACGGCCAGACTTCGCTCAAGACGTCTCCAGGCACGACGACTTTTGGAGAAACGCAAAGGGCAGGCGCAAAGGTTAGAAGGATCCTCAAGTTTGGGCATCGGTGCGAAGAGCCCCAAGTCGTTCTGAGCGTGCCTCCAGACATCAAGAGCTACTCGAGAAGTCTTTCTGAGTGAAACCAACCGGGGGGTCCTGGGAAGGCCCTTTTGTTGTTTAAAGACGTTTTGAATATGAGAAACCGTTTTTTCTTCCCCGAGCTAGTCCCGGCTCGGGGCTTAGCCCCTGCTAGTAAAACGCCGGGGCTACTAAAAAGCAACACCTCGACCTTGAATATGGCCGTGCATTGCGTCTGTGTTGGGGGGCATCCAGGGATTTCACCTGCGGAATTGGCATTGCAGGAAATCTTGTCTGTGAACCGTGTTTCCCTTCCGGACCTCCAGTAGTGCCCGCCTGGTTTTCGCATGGCCAGCTGAAAGCTTCGGGAGTGTCATGATGGGGGCTTGGGACTCCCAAAATGGAAAAGTTCCTTTTGATGTCCCCAAACAAAATCTCATCAGGGGTAGTGTCGGGTGGCCTTAAATTCCATCATTTGGGTTTCTTCCCTTTTCCCACCAGGGAATTCTGCCATCAGCGCGCCCAGGTGTATCCCTTGTGGTCCAAGTCTCTCCTTGATGCGACCGCCTCCCGCGCCCAAGGAAGCCCGCGCCATCTTCGAGAAATCCCGGAGCCATGAGAACATCGAGGTCTGCGACCAGGCGACTGCGAAGATTGGCGCTCGCAACTGATGTTCAACCCACTGAGTTTCAATCAATGGATTTTGGACCCCCTTTCTGGGTATCTTAAAGGAACCAGAAAGACCCCAACCATGTTGGGGGACCTGATTTTGTTGAGCAACACCCATTTTGTAGGTACCTTGAACCTCAAACTGCCCTTAAACACAAGGGAAGCCATCCACAATTGTGGGCAGTGTGAGGGTCCATGTGGGTCTTAAAGAACCCACGGCTACGAATGGGACAACTGGCGTTGATTGACTGAATTCGCTGCTCAAGTTCACAAGCATTCTTGAGCACGATGGTTTATTTCAAGCAGCTGCACCTTGCAAAGGATCTGTGGAATTACCCTGCGATCCGCAAGCTCCTTGAGTTGCAAAAAGCATTTGGTCCCTTTCCTTTCTATTGGCCCTAACCGACTTTTGGACTCGGATTTTTCACACACCTCAATTTCGAGTTCGCCCGGTGTGAAACAAAAAGACAACAACCCTGGTTAAGACTTAAAGGCTGCTTGCTCAGTACGTTGGGCAAACAATGAGGGGCCCAGGCTGCGAAAAAGATCAAACAAGGGCTTGTCCATTTAAAGTCGCAAAACCCTGGGGAAAGGGCGCAACACGAATCAAGACTCTCGCAGAGCGAAAGAAAATATCTCCCCCACACACTGTTTCTGGCATACATCAGAGCTTCATCAAAACCAACTGGGACAAACGCCTCCAAACCAGTCACAAGTTTCACGTTAAGTCGAGGTGTGATCCAAAGCAAGAAGTGTATGATCCTCCAAATTATCGCAATCCAAAGTTGAATCAAGAAGGGTGGGGAGCATTTCACCAGTGTTCGCGAACCCATGTTCCACTTTTGATGTTCGATGCGTTTGTTTCCGAATGCCACAAGTAGTATCCTTGATAGTTGTTGTTGCGCCATTCTATTTGGCCACTTTTCGTGCTTTCTTTGTGAAGACTACGGCATCGGTGTGTGTGTGTGTGTGCTTTATTTAACCAGGTGGTGTTAAAGTGAAACCAAAGGGACTACCGCAGCGGACTCCCCTAGAAGACTACCTGGACGTATTGGCGGGAGTCAGCGTGTTTGGACAAGGGCTCGAATCGCCTGCGAATGGTCAAAATAGCTCTTCGTGGGTTGAAGCCAGTCACTTTGAAATCAGGCAAAGGGGGTATAATTACTCTCCCAAAGCAAAAGCTGAAGGATCCCTGAGAGGCCCGTGTTGGTTGTATGCTGGCTTTGAGGAGGGTATTTCTCCTCATTGTGCTTTCACTTGAAGCCAGAAGCATGCCACCCATTGTGGGGGTTGCCCAGTTATTTAGCAGCCGTTAAGATAGAACCACAACGTGTTGTTTCTATGTTGGATTCATCCAAAGGACTGTTCTTGCATAAAAACAAACCGTAATGTCCCCAACCCACGTCTGAGATACTTTTTGTTTGGCATTTCAAGGTTCCTATATGTGCGTGTGTTTTTAAGGTACCTTTTCAGCTTAGTTTAAAGGGATCAGCATTACCCGCTTATCCCCTTCAACAGGCATAACATCAGCTCTGAAACGGCTCCAAAAAGGGGCCAACCCGGTTCCCAGATTATGCGGGAGCTGAAGCAAGAGATGGCCCGGGACCAGCGCCCCACGCAGCCCATGGGCAAGGCACACACTGCCGTGGGCGTCGCCCCTCGACGGAAAACGAGCGGGCCGACGGTACTTGTCTGCTGGGGTTGGCAGTGGATGCCCGGACCGTTTCCTTTAAACGGTGGTTGGTGTGCTTTTGGCTTTCCTTTAAAATAGTGAAAGTAGGGGAAGGTCCTCTATTTTGAGAAGCCCACATAGGAAGTTGTCAACCATACAGCACTAAAACATGGTCGTGAACAGGAACAACTGGAGAATCGGTCCCTTACCACCGGCATACCAAGGGAGAACTATATATAGGGAAGGTTGCCATTTTCAGTGACCCCCTATGCGCGGTGATGCCAAAGGAAGCCCCCAAAGTTGAAAAAGTAGTCATGACGGCTACCACTTTGGTATCACAGTGTTTATTTACAACCATGGACATTGGTGCTTTGTTTTTTTTTTGTGGCTGTCCCTTAATTAAGTGTGTTGTCTGCTGTCCCCTTTTTCAACTGGTGCTGCATGTCCCGCTTTTTACGGATTGTTGCGGGCAAATGATTTGGGTACCTGGTTGGATGCTTGGCGCTGAACAAAAGAGCAGCTTTTACTTGCCCATAGCGAATCGACCGGATCTGACCTTTCTGAGTTTCCCCCTTTGTGGGTTCCCATTTAAGTTGCCCCAAAAGCTGATCGCCTTTTGCTTCTGGGTCCCCGCTGGGCAACCGAGTTTTAGTCCCCAGTTTTGAGCGTACCTGCGGATGCCTTGATCAAAATAGTATGTTCACCCAGGTCTGGAGGGTGACATGAGGGGATGCTTGCTCTTATGTTCCCGTCTTTGTTTGATGGTGCTTCTTTTGTTTTTGCCCTTGTGGTGGACCGGTAGACCAACTGACCTCTCAAGTTTCTTCAATACTTCCGCCTGTTTAGTAGTAAGCAAAAGCAGCCAGTTGGCGCTTTTCGCTGCAGCTGATCCACCCACGCAGCCTGCCAAGCACTTGGAGGTTTTCGGGTGAGATCCCAGAGCTACTGCCATTGGCAGAATGACAGACGGGCTTTCGTGACAGGTCTGGTCAGACTTCTCAGCGTGTGGACATTGAGGGACCCCTTTTAAATGTGATTCCAGGAACCTTCAGCATGGCATCGTTTTTCTTGGGTTGCCTTTGACACCCACCAACAGTGGGTTCGCCAAGAGCAAATGCACCCATTTCGTCGATAAAGGTCCGAGTCCAGACAATTAAACAGTTGTATAAGATACCCGGGATCCCCGATCTTGCCATCTCGGCGAATTGTCAGTCTTGCTGGCGCAATTTTGTTCCCAGATGTCAGCCCAGGGCGGTTTTGGCTACAACTCGCTCCTGCCCGAGCAACTCGACGCGCGGAAGTCGACTCAGTGTTTGGAGCTTTGCACTTTTGGGTCAGATCATGTTGAGAGCGCTCGCAAGTTCAGCCTTGCTTAGGCTAACCCACTCAGGAACATAGACAACACATTCCCGTCCAACTGGTGCGAACCAGTGACATGACAACTATGGCTTCCTCACTGCGTGAGTGAGTCTTTGTCCAGAGCTCTGATGCACGCATGGTTTGTGAAATGTGGCACACCTGCTTCAAGACACCGCACAAATGCCGTGTATCTTTTTTATATAATAGGGAAGACGCTTTCTGATTGTTGGTTCTGATTGTTCGGTTCCAAAGGCAGCAACAGAACATCATGAGCCTCCCCAATTTAGAAATCTCCCGCATTGAAATGTGTTCTAAATATTCTATTTCTAGCCACCATTCCCCTCCGAAAGGGATGATTCCCCGCATCCAGGCACCCCCTATTAATAGACTGGTTGGTTGATGAATACAGGGTTCCGATTCCCCTCCAGCCGTGGTGAAACCGGAGAGAAACGAGTAGCTGCGTAGCTGCATAGCAGCCGCCCTTTGAGGTCTTTGAGGGTAGCCTTGAGAACTGGGGTATGGTTGACACAGAGTACGTAGCTAAGATGGCTCGGCATGTCCAACCGTTTGCACAGAGCTGCCATAGATTGTTGTGTCAGCTTGGTTGAAAATAAATGAATCTCACGGGTTTCGATTTGGTTCTATGGTGGAATCCATCTATGTGTAGCCTCGGATGGAATACATGACTCCGGACTTCCAACTTCCAGACTTGGGAGCCTGCCAGATGTGGAGCTTCAGACCTGGAGGGACCTTTGATTTTTTTGGTTTCATTGAAGGTTTGCCAAGACAAAAAAGTCTCAGAGGGCCCACCCAGAGGGCCCCTTTTCACAAAGGGAGCAGCATACCTCTTGCTTTGTCACATTGGAGCCCTCGATGGGATCTGGGCAAGTGCTCCCATCGTGAAGTGGCTAATTTCATTTGCATGGGGCCCTAGCTGTTTGAGCCTGGCCCTGAGACCGACTTCGTCAAATTCGAGCAGGACCCAAGAGTCAGACCAAAAGCTCACTTGCCCGAAGCCGACCTTTTGAACTTTCAATCTCACCTGTCCATGTTTCGTCATGTCCCCGCTTGACTTCCTGGGTCCTTTGGGCAGCTGAGAAAAGGAAACCGACCAGTTGCCGTTGGAAGCACCCATCTCTTTTGGTGCTCTCCTTTGGAGCCCTTGATGCTTTGAGCCAGGCGGTTCCATTCGGCTAATCAGGCGTTTGCAGCTTGCTATGAACCGCTGGTTCATAAAGTATAGCACCCGATGTTCGGGGGCCGCTATGCGCGTGCTTTTTTTGTTTGTTTGTTACTATTTTTATTTGTGTAATGGGGAATCGCCTCAACAGTGGATGGTGGACGTGAATCCCAATCCAATTTTGATGTCCACCAAAGGGTCTGGGACCCATGAAATTTCACACATAACTTATATATGTTCCAGGCTGTGAACCCCCCCCCCTTCCCCACCCCAACCCTATATACATGGTCATGTGGGATACACTTTTCCATGGTCCTTCTTTGCTCGGTCTTTTTTCGTTCGTTCTGAGGCGACAGCAGGCGAGGTCCCCGCCCAGCGGCGCACGGCTCAGGAAATGGTTGGGTGGATTTGGTTGGATCAATTTGGCTAGGTCCCCCAGTAATGCCCTTTGTTCCACTACTAAAATAGACTACATGAAAAGGGTACCCTTATTCTAAACTCTCTACTGGAGGACCTAGCTGGGTATCTGGGGTCTCGAAACATATTCAATATATTCTGGGGTAGACATTGTTTGGAGCAGAGTCAGACAAAGCATGAAACACATTGTTTTCCCCCCAAGTGTGGGCCAAGCGTAATTTGTGTGTGTGTGTGTTTCAAAACAGGGGATCCCAAATTTGGCTGTTTTCCTTTTGGCTTTCGCTTTGACTACCCTCAGAAGGGTACCCTCAAACACGCACCCATTTCAACATCCATTGTAGCGAGCCAGGCTGGATATGGACCAGGCAAAAGCTGAGGTAGTGCCATCGACAGGCAAGAGAGTTCCTTTGCCCTCGGTAGATTTCGGGGGAATGGGAATGAGCTCCAAACACCATTCCCTCTCAAACCCATTTATGCTAGGAGGATCATTCCCCATGTTTCTCGATTTTAGGTGCCCTTGGTTTTCGTTTGATTTCCCAAGAGGTCCAAGTACCTCCGAGGGATGGTGACAGTTACGGATCTGAGTGCCTCCTGAGGATGGTCGTTCAGCGACAAAGAACTCAATCTAAGCACCTCCTCAGCACAATCGGGCAGGGACAAAAAGCGGGCTAAGTGCCTCCCAAGAACACTTGAACCCTTTTGAATTTTGGAGGACCCAAAAAGGGAAAGCATTCAGTGAATGTATAGAGCAGGAAACCAATTCTGCAAGAAAACTGTTTGTTTGCTTGCGAACTAGGATCAGGGCATGGGTAGCAGCTTCGATCGAGGCCCTGGTCTGCCTGTGGGGGGCTTTGCGGCTGCCGGCACAGAGATGCCGGCGCCGGAGAAGACGACGCCCAGCAACGACAAGAGCGCCCAACGCTTCTCCGACGGTCTTAGAGGCGGTTTGGTTCTGGCGAGAAAGCGACCGTACACTGCGATTCAATTGCCAGGGAGCCAGGGAATCCAGAAAGAGATTGGTATTTGGGAGTCGTCTGAAAGGTCCTTGTATTGAGATAGGGAAGGCCTCTTTGGTCTTGCGTGCGAGATCCTCGCGATGGAGGTCGAGAAAGTTGTTTTTGGGAAAGTTTTGCGTCACGGTGGTTCGGCAAAGGGAGGATCGACCGATGCACCTTGTGTATTTGCTTGCCAAGCGTTAACAGACCAAAGCTGGTCGGAGGAGAGGACGGCCTGAGTAATTCCGCAAGAATACGTTTCTGCAAAAGCAACCCCCGCCAGAAGCTTGTCGGAGTTTTGAAGCTTGCGTCCAATCACGCGCAACTTCCCAGCCAGATTTGTGGTAATTAAGGTTTGGTGCAAGACTCGCGAAAGTTGCGCGACCTCCGCCAATGTCCGGACATGGGTGGCCAACGGGTTGTTTTTGTGCTGGACTTGCGAGCTGTGACTGCGGAAGTGTACTTTGTGGACTACTTCAGAAGTGGCAATTTGGTACTGTGATGTACTGCACAGTTGCAACTTTCGAGCCGGGACTGAGGTGTACTTCTTGTATAGCCCTACAAAAGCTCCACGATGCAGGTCGCAAAAGTAGTCTTTCCCAATCTCCGTGAATGTATAGGGAATGCTCACCTATCAGATTTCATGCAAGCCTACTGGGGCGGCCTGGACAAGACAAATCTGTCCAGTTGAGTTGGCTTGCTCTTCCACGGCGGGGGTGTGACTTGCAGGGGCACTTTTGGGGAATATAGGACAACCAAACCACAAAGGGAACCAACTCCATGAACGGACGTGCTCATCTAGATTTTCCCGAAGAGAGAAACGCCGAGATCCTGCTTTTGGGATCTTTAAACACTGCATTATCTTGCATGTTCAGGTTATGTTTCAGGCCTTCTTCTAGCTAGCGCGCGCCTTGGGACCCTGCCAGAGGGTGGTGCGTGATGTTGGCGGGCTTGTGAGTCTTCCAGTATCTGCCAGTCGGTGTGCCAGTCGGATAGTCGCTCGCCCGGCGGGTACGTCAGTCATCCGTTGATTTATAGTTTTTTTGGCTTGAAGGTTACTCGGTAGCCCCGCTTGGCAAAGACGGCCAGCAAATCAAGTTGTCAGCCGGGCCAGCCTTTGAGCATGCAAGTGGATGTGTACTTGCCCAATGGGAAGAAACACTCGTTTGGGCTTTCGGAGGAGTCAACTGCAGGCGAGTTGAAGGCTGAAGCACAGCGGCGCTTCAAGCGTCCTTGTTTGAGGCTGGCTTTCAGAGGAAAGCAGCTGGACGCATTGTGCGTGCTGAGTGAAGCTGGCGTGCGAGATGGGGACAGCATTGATGCAGTGGTGCAGCATGTTATGCTGGCTTCCACTCATTCAGCATTTGCACTTCATGTGGTAGGAAACGCTTCACTGACGTGGGGCCATCCCGACTTGGGCGGTGACAGCCGCAGGCTGCAAGAGAAATTGGTGAGGGTTCTGCAGATCCAAGCAACTTCTCATGCTTTTGCTGCCATCCTGGTCGATGGCTCTGTGGTGACTTGGGGCAGACTCTCTGACTTGGGTGGCTCCTTTGTCAGCAGAGAGGTGCAAGAGCAGCTGGTGCGGGTTCAGCAGATCCAAGCAACAGCCGGTGCTTTCGCTGCAGTTCGGGACGACGGCTCTGTGGTGACTTGGGGCCTACATTGGTCTGGCGGTGACAGCAGCCAAGTGCAAAAGCAGTTGGCGCGGGTCCAGCAAATCCAAGCAACCGGAGCTGCTTTTGCTGCAATCCTGGACGACGGCTCTGTGGTGACGTGGGGCTCCCCCAACTCTGGCGGCAACAGCTGGCAGGTGCGAAAGCAGTTGGTGCAGGTCCAGCATGTGCAAGCAAACCATGGTGCTTTTGCTGCCATCCGGGAAGATGGCTCTGTCGTTACTTGGGGCAGCCCAGACTTCGGCGGTGACAGTAGGCAGGTGCAAGAGCAGTTGGTGCGGGTCCAGCGCATTCAAGCAGCTAGGCGAGCGTTTGCGGCCATCCTGGACGACGGCTCCGTGGTGACTTGGGGCGAGCCTGAGTGGGGCGGTGACAGCAGCCAGGTGCAACAGCAGCTGGCGCAGGTCCAGCAGATCCAAGCAACTGAGCGTGCTTTTGCTGCCATCCTGGCCGACGGCTCTGTGGTGACTTGGGGCAATCCCCAAGGTGGCGGTGACAGCAGCAAAGCGCAAAACCAGCTGGTGGGGGTCCAGCAGATCCAAGCAACTGACCTTGCTTTCGCTGCCATCCTGGAGGACGGCTCCGTGGTAACTTGGGGTGATCCTTCCTGGGGCGGTGACAGCCGCAGGGTGCAAGAGCAATTGGTGCGGGTTCGGCAGATCCAAGCAACTTATCGTGCTTTTGCTGCCATCCTGGACGATGGCTCCGTGGTGACTTGGGGCGATCCTGAGTATGGCGGCGACAGCAGCAACGTCCGAGAGCAATTGGTGCAGGTCCAGCAAATCCAAGCAGCAATGGAAGGTGCATTTGCTGCCATTCTGGAAAACGGCTGCATGGTGGCCTGGGGCAATTCGGACTTTGGCGGTGACAGCAGCGTGATTCAGACTCATCTTCGCTGCTTGTGAGACAGACTGGCTTGTCCTAGTGTTGTGCAGCTGAGTTTGTGCCTGGCGTGTGTGTGTGTGTGTGTGGGTGTGTGCGGGTGTGTGTGTGTGTGTGTGTGTGTGTGTGTGTGTGTGTGTGTGCGCGTGTGCGCGTGTGCGTGTGTGTGCGTGTCCGCGTGTGCGCGTGTGTGCGCGTGTGCGCGTGTGCACGTGTGCACGTGTGCGCGTGTGCGCGTGTGTGCGTGCGCGCGCGCGAACGTGTGCACGTGCGCGAACGTGTGCGAACGTGTGCGAACGTGAGCGCGTGTGCGTGTGCTTGCGTGCGTGCGTGCGTGCCTGCCTGCGTGCGTGCGTGCGTGCGTGCGTGCGTGCGTGTGTGTGTGTGTGTGTTGTGTGTGTTGTGTGTGTGTGTGTGTGTTGTGTGTGTGTTGTGTGTGTGTGTGTGTGTGTGTGTGTGTGTTGTGTTGTGTTGTGTGTGTGTGTGTGTTGTGTTGTGTGTGTGTTGTGTTGTGTTGTGTTGTGTTGTGTTGTGTTGTGTTGTGTTGTGTTGTGTTGTGTTGTGTTGTGTTGTGTTGTGTTGTGTGTGTGTGTGTGTGTGTGTTGTGTGTGTGTTTGTGTGGTGTGTGTGTGTGTGTGTGTGTGTGTGTGTGTGTGTGTGTGTGTGTGTGTGTGTGTGTGTGTGTGTGTGTGTGTGTGTGTGTGTGTGTGTGTCTGTGTGCTTGTGTGACTGTGTTTGTTTGCGTTCATGTGTGTGTGTGTGTGCGTGTGCTTGTGTGTGTGCTGTTCTGTTCACGTGTGTGTGTGTGTGCCATTGTTGTGGCCTTGCTGCAGCTCTTTGCCTTAATCCTCAGGTCGTGGTAGACAAAACAGCTTGTCAAGGTCACTCGGCGAGGTGCATGGGGAGTTGTTCAGCGGATGCTCTTGTTGATTTGGGTGCGTCTTTCTGTAAGAACATTTACCCTTGCTTGGGTTGGTTTGCCTTTTGCCTTGTCTGATGTTGGTGGTTGTGGCGGCGGCGGTGGTGGATGTGTGGATCGGTTCAATGCTGGCCTGTTTGTTCTTATGGTTTCAGTTTGGTTCTACTGATTTTCCTGCACTGAGTACCAAACAAATGTACAACGAACTGCATGAAGCTGCCTTCTTTTGGCATAAAAGTATCTGGTTCCCAGAAAGAACTTAAACTGTTGAGGCCTCGAAGCGTCCCTGAACCGAACTACCCAAGACGGGCAATCATCCTTTGCATGCTTGGCTCGGGACCCCGTAGCTCGCAGGTGCCTTCAGCCGGCAAAGCGCCGCCGCCGCCGCCGCCGCGCGGAGCGCACCGGAGCCGGCGCCAGTGCCGGCGCCGGCGCCGACGAGGAGTGCGCCCGCTATGAATGGAAGCACCGCCAATGCACGCAATGGAAGCGCCATGATCCTCGGCGATTCCCCAAATGCCCACTTAGTTGGAAGGTATAGTTTTCCAGATGCGTCCATGGGTATCTGGAGTAGCTGAGGGTCTTGGTAGATTCTACAGCAAGCAGGCACCAAGGGAAACTGTTTTTTCTCCTGCAAGATCATCCTTAGGAGGTACCTGGGGGTCCCTTTGGCGATAGCGCCAAAAGCCATACAGTGGCGCCGTGGCAAGGGCTGTTTGAAGGCAATCCGCAGATGCAGGAGAATACCTTTTGCATTGGCTCCATAGCTTGGCTGCTATTTCGTTGGATCTGTCACCATTTCTTTTTAGATTTCAACTTTGCGTCTGTGTCATGTTTCCCACCCAGTGAAAAGTTTGATTAGAACAAACGAAACCTCCCATTAGTGAGCATCACAGTAGGAGGATTTCCAGCCACACAAAATCACGACTGTGCAGTACGAGATTGCCGTGGAGCTTCATTCCCCCTTGCGATTTGTGACTGTTTGAACAAGTTGCAGGACCAATTTGGTTGCAGTTTTCCCACCCCAAACTGGATGCTCAGGAACGGCGCTGGCACCAGCAGCTCCAGCTACAGCGGGCGCTCGGCAGCCGGAAGCGGCGCTTTGGGGGGGCCGCGCTCGGGCGGCTTAGGCGCGGGAGGCCTGGGGTCGAGCCGCTCCAGCGGGTATGGCAGAGCCAATGGCGGCGGCAGCTATGGAGGCAGCAGCTATGGAGGCAGCAAATTTGGGGGAGGAGCGGGAGGTGATATTTCCCAAGAACCCAAAGAGGTACTTGACCCTTCAAGGAGTCCGCTCAGCATGGGCCCAAACAGAGATGAGGACAGATGCTTCCCGTTTCCAGCGACATAAAAGGAGACTGTGCTGACACCCCCCCAAAGGGAGGAGTCCTGGAAATTATCCATGCAGATACATGTGGGTCCCATTCTACGACTTTGGATTCTTCAACGCATCTCCTCCAACGACTCCCCAATTATTGGCAATCAGACGCCCCGTGTTTTTGTTTGAGGGTTCTTACATAATGTTCAAGTTAGAATTGCAGCATGGTTTCGCTTCATCCGTTTCCACGAGGTTGACAGCGCTGCAGGGCCACGAGAAACCTTCAATTCTTGGGAACATCCCCTAGCTTGATTTGTCCGGGACAACTTTGTCGTATTGGCCAGACAAATTGTGCTTGTTTTCCGTACTTGAGTGTGGGCCTTCCTTGTTTGGAATCGGTGTAGCCTGAAACGACATCCGCTGCAAGAGAGTGGGCTGCACACACCCATCCAAGCAAACCATTTGAGTCCAGGGTCGCATTTGGGGACCTACTTGAGCCCCTGTAAGCATAGGCAGGGGTATGTAGTTCTGTGGAAGTTTCTCAAAATGGCGGACCCCTTTTTGGTTAGCATTTAACGGGATTCTAAGAGGAACCAACCGTTTTGGGGCACCCCTATGTTGGCAAACCTTCAACGTTTGGGTGTGTTGGCTGTTAAGTAGAACCATGGATCATTTGAGGTTGCCGCCAGGGCATGTGTTTGACACTCAGACCGTCTTAGGGAAACCACGATAGGAGTTTGCTTAAGCAATACTGCTTGAAACATGTTGTGCTCAAACCAAGATAAGTTTGTTCAATGATTTGTGGTTTAACCACATGTCAAAGGCTGGCTCCAACCCTCACTGTCAGGTGGCTTAGGTTCGAGCTCAAGCCGCTATGGCAGCTATGGCAGCTCTGCCAACAGCACCAGACCAGGCCGGTCGAATGTGTCCAGCGCAACCAAGTTGGGTCAATCAAAACGAGCTCAGCTGCGGGCTTACCAAAATTCAGGGCCCGGTGGGTTTCTTTGAAAAGGCGAACCGTGGTTCCAATACTGTGGATGGACGAAATCCCGCAACAGTTGCTAGGTGTTCATCCCAAGACGTTTTCCATCCGGCACCGTTTTATGGACCACTCCCCTATGAATTAACGAGGGGAGTTTAGAAATGCAGGAGAAACATTGCTGGCAAAGGTCTGACTTTGGTGCAATGGGGCCACCATATTGTCCACCCTCGCACATCTCGGAAGGTCCCTTTCATGGTCCTGCGTATTTTGTTTCCTGGAGAGCGGTACGCCGTGTTTGAATTTCGTTTCTGTGGGTTTTCTCGAGTTTTCTTTGGATTTCTTGGGATGTGAATGGCAAACACCAAAGATGCAGACCCCAAGTTTCAGGTGTCAGGGCTCATGTGAGAGGTTGTTTTTTAATATTTATGGTTTGCTTCCGTTTTGTTTTTCTTGGTTGAGGTTTTTTGTGTTTGCCATGGTTCAGAAACTCAGCCCCCATGGCGTACCCTTCTTTTTTCATGCTTGTCGAAGGGTGTCACGAGAGGGCCGCAGTACAGGTTCAGATACCCGGAAATCCCCTCCCCCTTAGTGGAATTGCGGAAGGGTGAACCCGGAGATTCCATTTGTGGTTTCATGTACCTAGCAACAAAGAATTGAGGGACCCCCAACAATTTGACAATCTTTGCTACATATCAATATCCACATATAGTATATTTACATATATGCATGTATAATATATACATTATATATATATACATATATACATACACGGAGAGCAGAGAAAGAGATAAAAAAAGAGTGCTCTATATATATATATGTCTGTATAGTATGCGTGTGTGCAGATGCCTTCAGGATACGGTGCCCCTGCGGGTGTGCCGGCGGGGGGCTTCGGGGGCCGCGGTGTGCCGGCCGGTGGCTTCGGCGGAGCGAGCGCGCCGGAGCGAAGCGCCAGGACCTTGGGTCCCAGTCTTTGGGTTGGGGGGGAAGAGTTCAAATTGGCGCACTCAACGAGCTTTTTGTTGAAGCTTTTCTCTTCTTCTTTTTTTAATGGTGCAAGCGAGACGTGTCCATGGCACGACGGGGCAGAACAACAAGCGCTCTTGCTAGTTTGGACTCACACCCACCACTCCGAAACAATAGCTTGCCATTGCAGCCTCACGGTAGGGCGCTAACTAGCCGATGTTGCCCAAAAGCAAGCCAAAACGAGACACTTGTTGTTTTTGTGTTCAGACCCTCTATTCAACACCCTGAGAAGTATCCCTGACTATCATGCATGACGGGCGTGCCCCTTGCCATGAATCTGAACCACTATTTGACGTTTCGAACATTTACATGGCACCCCAAAAAAGAGGCATCCCACAAGCGACATCATTGTTGTCTATCTCGAGAGCTGAATCGATCAGCACTGTTGTGAAGCACACAAAGCCCGTGGTCTGCTTTCGTATGTTGACAACGGATGACTGACCCCTCTTTTTGATGGGACCTTGTTGACCTTGAGGGGATTGCAGGAGGTGAATATAGGTAAATGAAAGATCCCTAAGGACCTTCTCAGGATGGCTTTTGGTGTGTACACAGGGTTCTAAGTACCACCTTGGAAGGTACCAAGGGATGGATTCAGGCCCACAATGCCCCCAATGCAGCCGAAATCCAAAAGCAGACGCACGCTTTGCCGAAATTTGGCGCCCACTAGGCACCCCAGGATGCGGAGAGGACACCGTGCAGCCGAAGTGACAGGTTGAAGGGAACATTTAGAGCTCCCCAAATTCCCTGTGTTGGTGTCTTGAACATCACGTTCTGAGCCAATGAATGTGAGTTTGGACTGTATGCATTTTCTGCTAAGCGTTTCAGGCCTCTTAGTTTTGGATGGCAGTTGAACAATATGGGTGCTTGTAGCAATGTGGGCAATTTTGGATGTCAACATTCCATTTCATGGATTCCGGGTCCGAGTAGGGGGTGCAGCTTTCTCACAACTCGCCATGGCCTCTCGGCGAACCCCAAACCGTTCCCTTCCGCTTCCCTTTCTGGAAAACAGACCCATGAAGGTACGACAAAGTGTTCCTTTGGCGTCCCTCCCACACATCAAGGGTTCGCGACTCGAAAGCAACATCCCCGATGCCAGACAAACTCGAATGCATCTTGTGCCTTGCAAAACAGTGAGCAGCGATCCAAACACCCATGAAGAAACCTAGTCTTGGGGGTGCCAGAATGGATTCTGCGGAAGGAATGGTTCAGGGCGCGGAGCATATCGCAAGTTTCATTGCCGCGGCAACACCACCCTCATGTTGCGGAAGGTTGCGGAAGCCAAACAAATCGCAGCTTGCAGCCCCATCTTATGACAAATGGTCCTTAGTGATCCTTTTGATTTTGGTCGCTCAGATGTTTTTTTTCCCCAAATTCAAAGCCCACAGACCTCTTGATTTTCCCAAGGTCAACAGACCAACCTATAGTTGACCTGTTTACAAACTGGGGGTTTTGTACCTGTTTGCTTAAAGAGCCAAAAGGGACCGGATCCAGGAGATCCGGGCGATCTGCCTTCGCTGGCTTCTCCAGAAGCGACAGAAGCACAGGCGAAGCGAAGCGTGGGCCATTTGTGACCAGCGTCGACGCCATGGTGGAGGGCCACATTTACAGTGGAACCGAAAATAACACCCTCCAGTGGTGACCTTGTTTGTTTCCTCTCTTCTTTTTGTTGGGGGGGGGGGTTATTGTAAACGCTTCGCGTTGCCCGCCTCGGCCCAGCCTAGTTTGAGGGAAGGGTCAGGAACACCGAAATCCAGTGTTGGGAAGGTCCGAATACCTGAAGCTGGCTCCAGACAAGTCAGACAAGCCGGCCTCGCCTGGTTGGGCTGGGCCACAGGCTAGTCTCAGACACATCAGATAAGCCTGCGCTGGGCCTGAAGCTAGTCTCGGGCAGCTTGGCTGGACCTTGCTTGCGTGGGTTGTTGGTTGAGCTGAAGCTAGTTTACGGCGGGCTGGGCAGCCGCACTGAGGGGGCTGGGCTATGGCCGGGCTGGGCCTGAGGCCAGTTTCAGACACGTCAGACAGGCCTGCAGGCGGACTGGGCTGGGCTAGACGCTAGTTGAGCCCAGGCTGGGGCCCAGTCTCGGCGCTAGATAGGCTGAGGCCTGCGAGTCTCAAACCGGGTGGGCTTGGGTGGGGTTGGCTTAGGCGGGTTGCTGGTTGGGCTGGGCCTGAAGCTAGTCTCAGCCACGAGGCTGCGAAGCCATGGGTGGTGCTGGGGGCCTGAGGCCAGTCGCAGACACGTAAGACACGCCAGTAGGCGGGCTGAGGGACTGGGCCTGGGGCTAGTCTCAGGCTGGCGTACCTTGAGACCAGTCTCAGACTGCGCCGAAGGGGCCTGGTCAGCCTGGGCTGCTGAGTAGCTGGCATAGCTCACGTGAGACTGGTCGTTGGCCACTCTCAGACACGTTAGACAAACCTGACCTTGGCACACTGGGCTGAGCCTGCTGGTCGGCTGAGCTGGGGGCCGGTAGTGGCTGGCATGCCCTGAGATGCGCTGGGGCCCAGGCTTTGGGCTGGGCCTGAAGCTAGTCTCAGCCACGAGGCTGCGAAGCCATGGGCGGGTTGCTGGCTGCCGGGCAGCCGGACCAGGCTGCTGGTTGTGCCTGGAACTTGGGCTGGGCGGGCTGGGCTGAGCTGTGCTTGGGCGGGTTGCTGGATGGGCAAGGCCTGTTTCATACACACTTGGGCCTGAGGCTGAAGGACTGGGCCTGAGGCTAGTCTCAGGCTGGCATACTTTGGGCCAGACGCGAGCAGGAGGTCAAGGCCTGGCCAGCCGGCAGCCGGACTGAGGGGCTGGGGCACGCAGACGGGCTTGGTGGCTGGCATAGCTTGAGACCAGTTTCAGACACGTGAGACTGGTCGTTGGCCAGTCTCAGACACGTTAGACAAACCTGACCTTGCGCCGGGGCCTGGGCTGGGCGCTGGGCTGGGCTTGCTGGATGACTTGGGGTAGGCCTGTTTCAGACAAGCTTGGGCCTGAGCTGGGTGGGCTGGGCTGACAGGCCTGGCCAGCAGGCGGGTTGCTGGTTGGGCTGGGCCTGAGCCTAGTCTCAGACACGTCAGGCAGGCCGGTCCAGCCGACATGGGTGGGGGGGGGGGGGGGGGGGCGGCCCGGCAAAATTTTGGTCGGGGAGGGGAAAAGCGAAGATTCTCTTTGGAGAAGAGATCTGAGCGCCCTTGGCCCCTTTGGGGCCGAGGCGAATTGAAGTTATAAGTATAGCAAAAGCGGTGGTGAGTGAATTCTTCCATGGCCATCAGTTTGGTGAACAATCGATGGCCTCATGAGTCAGTTCCAATTGTCATACAGTAGAATGCCATCTTGTCCCAAAAGGACGCCTACCACCACCCCCGAGACAGCACTTGGGGTCTTGGACATCGCAAGAAGCGCGGGGGGCTGCGGGCTCAGTCGCCAGGCGGAGAAGAGTAAGGCCTGGCAGGCAGGGGGCCCAGGGCCCCGACATGCCCCGACATGCCCCGACGGCCCTATGGGCCGTGGGAAGGTGCCTCGTGTCCAAACCTCATCTGCAATTTGTTGCATGTGCCGGTGGTTTTTCATTATTCCCACACATGGTTTTCATTATTCCTGTGGAACAAATTCCCCCAATGGTTTCCTTTTTTTCTCCCCACGGAGTCATCCGCAATTTGCTCAACTCGAGGGATTTTTGCTCAAGAGCCCAGGCCCGCGGTGTTTTCGGGAGGCCGGGACCCAAAAACCCCGGCTTCGGTTGCAAGGGGAACCCAAGCGAAAGAGGCCGGGCAGGAATCGCCGTTGACCCCAAAGAAAGGAAATAGAAAAGCACACAGATGATACGGATTCCCAATAGATGACCAGGCGCCATAGGTTCGACAACGGCTCACATGTGCTTCTTACCTCCAGCTTTGTGTTACGGTGGAACAGGGAGCGATTCCCCAACTTGTAGTCCCAGGGTGTATTAGCAAAACCGTTGAACGCACTATGAAACGGCGCAAGCTAGCACCAACAAGGGAGCCAGAAGGATGTGCCTACATGACAATGTCCCAGCCTTGGCACGTCAACGGAAATAGAACGGCTCAGCATCCCGACGCTTGGCTCGAGCCTCGAAAAGGACACTCATGTCGACCTCGCCCTTGAAAGCAACAGCTTCTGACTTGACATGCAGAAAGGGGTCTGCACTTGAAGGCCAGCGTATCTTGGGCTGGCAGGGCATGATCAATTTGCAATGGAGTTGTGTGGGCAAAAGCAAAGCTGGATGGGTGTTGCCATGGTCCGTACCCAGCATCTTATCCCGACATCCGGACTAAGCCATCCCCAGCCTCTGAACCTTCCAGCATGCAGGCCTTCCGACATGGGGAAAAAGAAATCCCAGGTCACCGGATCACCGGGAAAACGAGGGCCTAGGACATGCGATTGGCAGCGATGTTTTAACCCAGACGCCTTTGGGGGTTCCAATGGAAGACCCGGACCCTCCATTGGACACCCCAGAGGGGTGTTGGGGTCTCAAAACCTGGCGGTTTGAGGGCCCAAAGTGAATCGGGAGCGTCTGGGAAGTGAGGCTTCATGTCCCGGGACCCCTTCAGATTGTCGTTTTCCTGCTTGGTCTCACCCAGAAATGGAGTCCAAGCGTTTAGGCAGTTTAACGCTCAGTTGGCCTAAGCGAATCGATCTGTTGACCTTCTGGCTTGCCAATTAAATCCACTAACCCAAAAGGTTAGCTGCTTGTTCTGTTTGGTTTTTGTAGAATGGAGCCATCGCTTCAGTTGCATGGGACATAGATTCGGGCAGAACAAGTATATATATATATATACATAATCGGAGTATTCTGAGGCTATTATGTTTTCCAATTTGCAGTTGAGAGTCCAACGCAGAGGTCTCCATTTTCGAGAATGCACCCAAGTGGTGGTGTCCATTAATCCAAATGTTGACGAATTGCGACGAATGCACATTTCACTTCTGTGAACTCTCTCTTGATGTCCATACAGCGGGACCATGACTCAGTGTAATCAGTGGGAATAACAGACACTTTACCTCCGGAAGGTGGGTTTTCTTTGATAAAACACATTTTTGCTGGGGTCCCTGATTCCATTTGGTTGTGTATCTCTTTGAGGGTACCCGTTGGGCTTGTTGCAAGGGGCAACCAAAGGTAATGTACTGCAGTCAAGCTTGATCCCCGCCCACGCTGAACAAGCACGTTACCAAAGGCAACCACGGTTTTCAGGGGTTTCCAACCGTTTCAACACCAACCCAGTTTTGGCTGAAAGACACGGATGCTTAGGCGAAGATGGGCGCTCCAAAGCTGAGCCGTTTGGGCCATTGCCGGTGTCCGCCACGGAGAGTTGACAATATGGCTGCTATTTGGATGCTATTTGGGTGTCTCAAAATCGGGGACCCTCAAACCGTGTGGTTTTCCTGGTTGTTCCGAATTCCCCTTTAGAATCACGAAAAGGGTAGCTTCAAAAAAGACTTCCTCGGTTGGACCTTGAACGCTTGAGTTTCGAGAGCTTTTGAGGTGTAAAGACATGCCCAAGCAAACGGAGGTAAGTGAGGCAAGCACATGTCGGACAAGTTCACCGGAAAAGCGGCCGGGATCCCATGTCTGCGGTCCCATCGGCGGTTGGTTTTGAGCCCGAAACCAGACGGATGTGTGTTGGTGTTTTTGGAAGCAAGTCCGTGCCTCGCCTCCATCTTGCACCCAGTTATCCTGCCCTGATTGAGTAGGATCTGTGATGAGCAACCCCCTGAGTGATAGGCACAGTTTCCTTCACGTTCCCTTGGGGGCAATGTTGCCCTTATGTCATCCGCAGTTGCAATGTCAGATTCAGAAGTGTTGCATCTTGCACGTGAGAAGCGACAACAGTCGGGGCGGCAACTCATGACCTGACCTGACGTTGAATTGTAAGTCCTTATCCTTGGAAGCCAGCAATTGTTCAGCAGGTGCAGCGGGTGAGTGACAGTGAATATCCCCAAAAGCAGTGAGTGCTCCAGAATCTGGTTGGCAATCGCTCTGGCCAGTCTTTTCAGTAAGCCGCGCTCTTTCCACATGACCCTCATTAATGCTTCAAACAACACAGCCCAACAGAGGGCTGAGCAACCCTGCGTTCCTTCCATCGTGGCGCGTGCAGTGGGAGCATTGTTACTGTGCTCCAGTCTCAGCCTTTTGAGCCATTCTGGACTTGGACCCTTCCCCCAGGAATGAGCATACCAGAGATTCCAAGAATTGGGGTCTGGAAAAGAGAGATTCCTCTGCAAGTGAATCGAACTAGTTTGGTTTCATTGCCTTTCCAAGTCGGGCACACAAGGCTGAAAGGCGGCACGTAGGATCGGGTGGGCGGCTGAGTGAAAGCATGTGCGTCGTACAAGGCCTTTAGCTTGCTCAGCTTGCCCACGTTTTGGAACCCTAGGTTGGTTAGTTCCGTGCGAGGAGCAAAACATGCAGCTGGCATTCAGCTGGTGGCAAGTCTGGCTGCTTGATACGTGCGGTCGCAGAATATACATGTTTGCGGATCCCAGGTACCAAACAATAGCTGGTCCTGGCTAGTGGATGCTCCTGTTTTCTGGTCTGTCAGCTGCGTTGTGTGATTCCGCATATTGCGAGCCTGCGGCTTGGTGTCCAATTGCTTTCCCTTGGAATTTATTTAAAGTGGATGTCCTAAATATTGCCCTTGCAACATGCCGGGCATCCATATCCCGATTTGGAGACACGCCATGTGAGTGCTGTCGCCGAAGCCGCTGGCTCATGGGGTCGAGCTTACCTGTTTGGGGATACGAAAGAGGGGATCCCCGACATGTACTTTGTAAGTGTCCGATCAGACATGTATGTTTAGAAGTTCGTGCAGATTGTCACTTCAATCCTGCCGCACGGACAGACTGCGAGCCTATGGCTGCTCACAGTAACAGACAGGTCTTAATGGACGCGCGGATAGTGGCTTGTAAACCAAAGTTACAGTCCGAACTTGTATTTGTTGTCTTCGTTTGGTGTCAGAATTCACCAAAAACAAGTGTAAACTGAGACCCGGGATTAGAACCAGGTGCATATATGCTGGCACCCCGGCCGACATGCGAACGAGCTGAGAAGACATTTGGCGGCTTGAGCTGGAGGTGGGTAATGGCGGCGGGCCCAGAAGGCAAGGGTGTTGCGAAATATACCCTCCCACCAACACCCATGGAAGCTGACTGGAGGGTTTTGGAAGACGACTTTCCTCTTGGGGAAGCCCCCTGTCCACTTCCATAATTTTTGGACAAAAGGGTAGAAATCATGTCCCTAACATGGTTCGTGTCCTTTTGTTTCTCGAAATGCCAACCAATATACGGGGTACGCCATTTGAGAAACTCCCCACTGTTCACTTCCACGATTGGCGATGGGCACAAGGGTATGAATGGGGACCCTCGAGTGCGGACAGTGCACTTGGGATGTGTGTTGTCCCCCCCCCAGACACGTTTGGAGGTGTCCCCCAGTCAAATTTTATGCCCAAGGCTGGGACTGGTGCACGGATACATGGACCATATGCTTCCATGTGGATGTTCAGGCAGTTTGAACACCCCAAGAGCCCAGAGCCTCAGGTCTTTTAGACCATGTGTGCATGGCATAGCAATCAACTGACTCTGAGGGCCTTTGTGATATGCGGCATCCAGATGCATCGATGTTTTCGGGGGGCATGGTCTGGAAAGCCGTCTCTATCCCCTGTCGGCAAGGAATATATGGAATTGCTTGGCAGAGCATTTCTCCACTGCTCGAAGTTTTTTCGTAGGTTGACCGGGTGAATCAACCCCAAAAGTACTATACGGGGGGGTGGGGGGCTTGTCAAGTTATGTCAAACCACTGGCGCCCTTTTCCAACCATTTTTGGACATGTGGTGCCGCCTTTTGAATGAGGCTTTCTGCGTTAACCGATAGCATGCACATGTGTCCATTTGACCCGGTGTGGGCTTGTCTGAAACAAAGGGCTGGGATATGGACGTGCAAACACATAAGCGCTCCGGTGTCCTGCGTGTCCCTTAACGTACCCCAACCAACAATACTGAGCTTGATACATAGAGACACACCCGGAAATGGGCTTTGCTTTCTTATTTGTCTCTTTTTGAAAGCAACCCACCAAGGGTACCGAGCCTTTAAACACATGACTCAGCCGAATAGTTTTGCTTGTTTTCGCTCCATATCGAACCGCCTGTCTTCTGAGGCTCAGGATGAGGCAGGGATTGCTTTTGACGGTGGGATCGTTTGATGCTGGCCTTTCTTGGACAGCTGAATTTTGCAGCCCTCTTTAAAAGGAGCGCTATTCTGTGGGCATCGGGGCTCTCAATTCAATTGGGACCCAGTTCTTTTTGAAAAACCCTACACACACATATATATATATATATGGAGTTGATGTGTGTTTGATACACGTGGTGACCTTATCAAACATATCTCCCTGAATGATGTGCGACAATGTCAAACAGCCTGCCTGTACAACTCATTGCCCGAACTTGGGTTCCATTCGTCAGAAGCTGTGTCAGAGAGATGGTGTGCAGTCCATGGCTCGGCGTGGAGCTTGGATTTGATGCTTTGCGTTTGTTGTTAGCAGGATCGGAAGCCGGATGCCGCACACCAGCTTCTGAACCTCTACATGGTTGGGCTTTGTTGTGACGGTACTCTTCCGGGGTTGGTTTAAAGGGAAACCACAGGGCCGCAAACCCCATGTTGAGGAGGTTCCGCTATTTTGACTCGACCCCTCATACGTCACCCCTAGATACCCGTAGCTGTCTTGGTGTGTCACCAGATGCGTCGTTTGGCAGGCCTCGCTGCAACGATGGCTTGCCCAGGCCGATCGGAGCCGTTCGAGTCTCGAGTCAAGTCTCGCTTGAAACAACTCGCGGATGAACTGGGGTCAAGAGTTGTTTGTAAGTTTGTTTGTACCCTTCACTGAAAGTTGGTGTCACTGGTCGATGCCGTTTGATGCCTTTGGTCAGTAAGACTTTGGAGTACAACCAGGGTTGCGCGCGCGTATCGCGGTGCATGATGTAGGTTTTTTGTTGGCGCCCTGCAATGATCGGAGACATGCTGAGTAAGTTACTGTGCAACACAGCTGACGGGCGCGCGCTGGGTTTCTTCTGGTGTTCTTTCTTGCTGGGTACTAACACGTTTGGCAGTGTCCCTTGTCAACATATATCATAAATTGAAGCTTGCTATAGATGCAATCCTGTGTGACCTAGCTATCAGAAACACAGGCGGGACACAATGAGTGCTCCACTACTGTGCTGGGCAAGAAGCACGCCAAGAGCGTTATTTGATGTTGTTTGTGTGTGTGTGTGTGGCAGCTTCTGGCCGAGTCGCATGTCGCTAGTTGACACATGTTCACTCGCCGAACCTCTCACGGATATGCGTTAAATATCAATGCCGATACTTCACTGCCTTCTGTCCTTCAGACTGAAAGCGCAATCAGGAGTGAGACAACGTCTCAAGCCACGTACTTGCAGTTCCGCTGTGTTTGATTGCAAGACCGAGGTCTTCGTGTCAGGAGCCAAAGGAACAGCGGCCTTGGAATTGTCCCCACCCATTTCTACATTCTGCCAAGCTGCCGGACCATCGCTGCCGTTGGGAAAATCTGGCGTTGGATGGACCTGGATACATGGAGCCCTCAGTTCCCAAAGACAACCAACAAAAAGAACGGCGCGCTTCGCGTTTCGCGGAACTTCGCCAGGAGGAGGGTGACCGGGATGCGGCCAAGTTCGCCTTGCACCGGCTCCAGAGCACGGCGCGGTGTGTCGCGCTGCCGGGGGGGTGGGAGCCCAGGCCGGGTCTTCACTACCAACACCGGGGGAATATTTTGGGATAGCTGTTGACTGTGCCACGGGCTTGTAAAAGTCGGAAGCCAAGGTTGTTTCTGTTTAATCCAGCAGACTGGGAGAATCATGGGGCCAGGAGCATTGTGTTGCAGGAACTTCTGGGGGTAGTGGGGTAGTTGAAGCCTTGTCGGAGCCAGATCCAGTGACCCCCCCTCTTGGGCTCGGACCTTTGGCTAGTTCCATAGCTTTTTGCCCGCGACCAGGTTTTTTCGAATCCCCGCCCCCCGGAACACGGGACTTTACATTTGTTTGTTCGATTGGGTGTAAGGTTCTCGTGCGATGGGCAGAAGGTCATGATTGTCTCAGTGGTTGAGTTTCACAGTGGTTTGGTGTGCCCAAAGCTGTGCAACTCCACATTCGAGTGCAACAATGTAGCTCATAACATGGATAGATCTTCCTTGCGAGGCACGTTTTGCAGGGCTGAGCTTGAACATATTGAGATCTATTGAGCTTGTTTCACTTTTGTAGGTGCAATCACCGAGGCCAGGGGGTTAGAACGGCAAAGCCCCTTTGATTAAGAAAGTATATCTGCAGGGGCCTCTATGTTCCCCATCTTGTCCTTGTAAACACAACCCTACCAAAAGGGAGCTCAGCTTTCCCACAGTTTCCCGACAAGTTATTCTGATGCAAAGAAAAACACCAACCAGATTCCACTAAATGTGACGCTGAACATCACCAAGATCCCGAAAGGGAGATGTATGAAATCGTCAAATTCCCGTTCAAAGCCACCCAAAAGCCTTGGGAAAGACGAGCATCTATGGCGAATGTGTCAAGATTGAAGACCCCCGAAATGCTGGCTTTCCTGTTGGTCTTTAACCAACAAGGGGTACCCACATATCATGGGGGTATGGAACGCCCACACAATGAGTGGGTTTTTTGTGTTTCCCTCAAAACAACCCCAAAAACAAGAGTTCAATCAGGGAGCCATCTCACACGTGGCTGGTGGACATTAATCTGCCAATGTTCACCAAAGGGTCCCTGAAAACAAATGCCCAAGGATACCAGCACCCTCCGACTACTGCCCAGGGCAGTAGATAGAAATTTCCCGAACATGACCGTAGTTAGAAAAACTACTGTCAATTATTTTATTGCGAGATGCCCATAGTCTAACTACTGCTAGCTACTGCTTACAACGGGGAGATGCCATAGCAGGCGTGGTAGCAATCAAGGGGTGGCAGCAAGTGCAGCAAGCGCCTCACAGCGTGTCACCCGGTGTCACCTGCGTGTCACCCCGTGTCGCCCCCGTGTCGCCCCCGTGTCAGTATATAGAACAACAGTAGATCGCTGCGAACAACAGTAGTTTTAGCGTGTCACCCCCCCGTGTCACCGCCTGTGTCGCCCCCGTGTCACCCCGTGTCGCCTGCGTGTCACCCCGTGTCGCCTGCGTGTCACCCCGTGGGCTTGTCTTTTACTGTTTGGGACGACGTGAAACGACAGTTTATTTTCTGGAAGTACTGCCAAATACCCGGTAGTTCCGAAAATTCAATTTAGACGGTAGTCGGAGAGTGCTGGTACCGAGCCCTTGTCTTTTTTTTCTCGACCCAATCCTCAGGCGGAGTTCTACCGCCAGCGGCTGCTGGGGCTCTTGGTGCGGGGGAAAGGAGGCCAGCTGATCGACGTAGGGCGTCTTGGCTGGATGGTTTTCAAGGGGAGAAGGGAAATCCGCAAATTTTGAGGGTCCATTGTGCGACAAGCGCAACCATATTTTGGGACATGTTGATGACCCCTTGTGTTCACGCATCCTATGGCACAAACGAAGATGTTATGCATGTTCGGACAGGAACGTGTTTTTGTTTGTTTGAGGGCACTTCCTAAACATTGGCTGGGACATGTTGACTGTTTTAAGGCCAGTTTGAGGGTCTAGGAAGCTAAAAGACAACCACCTTTAGCGTTCCCCTATTTTGACCAGCCTTTGGGCATGAAACCGGTCTCATTCTTTTGCAATACCAGAGCCGTCCGGTTTGGTACTTCCCATGCTTTGGAGGGTTTTTCACTTACTCCTGCGCTGGGAACGAGAAATGGAATGACCCTAACCATCCCTTGCTGCTGGTTTCCTAGGGAATTTTCAGGTTCAATGCATTTGGAATGATGGAATGACCCTATAATCCAACTGGTGCTTTCCTTTTCTTCGGGAACCCCCAGGGAAAATTCCATCTCTCATGCCCCGATCTGACCGATCGCAAGTTCCGGGGGGTTTGGTCTCCTTCGACACCAAGCGGGACCCGACCCGCTGGAACCGCAGGCGAGGGCGCCGTGAGCCGAGCTCGGGAGCTGCTGAGAGATCTGGAGGCGGAGGCCGGGATTCGCCGAATTCTGGTCGTCTCCGCGGGTTGGAGCTAACATGGACCCCATGTCCTGGAAAAAAATAGGGGTGATGGCCGAAAATCATATTGGGTGGCTTGCGGAGATGGGTTGGGTGGTTTGCTTTCTTACCAGAGTAGGGCTTATGGCCGACAATCACAGAGGGTGGTTTGCTGTTTCTAAAGAGTAATTTGAGGGTTCAGGTGCCTATTCTGATTTGAGCGGGGTGGGCGGGGGTTAGGAGCTAAAAAGAACAGGTTCATGCTTCCTAACAGGCTGCCTGGAGCCTCGAGCAAGAAACACATGGGATATGACGGTATTGCCAACCAAAATTCTGGAGGGCGAGTTCAAGCATTTGTTAAAGGGTACCGAGCCTGTCCCTTGTCAAAGTGCCAATCCTCTGCGAGTTCCACGCTGTCCATTGGGGTCCAAAAGCCACGTAGATGTAATTCCCACATGTTCCAGGATACTTTGCACAAAACGGTCGATGACTTTTTTCACACATATTTATCGGGACTCGTTTTGCCGTTTTGACACCGAAGTTCGAGAAGCAATTGCTATCTGGGATCTATCCTCGGTTTGTCTGAACAGAATAGGAGGCTCACTTCACTTGCAGGTCTTCCTCGTGGCTCCTTGCTGAAATTGGCTTTGTTTGGTCTTTTCAATACGATGATGGTTGAAAAGACCGCGGAATCGGCCCCTCGAGTCCATCCCCTTCACAGCTCTCCGAAGAATCCAGCGTCTCTCGGCGCGAGGTCACAGCCTCCGACAGCAACTCGGCGCGCGCGACATGTCGCCGGAGCTGAGTTGGTTGGGGGGGTTAGCTGAGAAGGTGGGGCTCCCCTCATGAATGAACCCTCCCCAGCCCCCAGATCATTGCTCCCCTACACCCTACAGATGGTGGGGGGTTTATCTCTAGAATGAACACCCCCCCAATTCATCAGCCAGGGGCTATTCATTTGGGATCATTACTCCCCAGATGAGCCCACAAGGTTCTCACCATTCAATGTCAACGCGAGGTATCATCAACATGTTCGATTATGGCCAATGTTGAAGCGACCTTGGGGGGCGGGGGGACTACGGTTGCCACAACAAGCGGGAGACACCCTCGTTTCAACAATGGCAACCGCATATCTTGACTCTTGACCCTAAATTTGTTGGTTGTTGCAAATCTGCATCAGTAAGTGGGGAAACGATCAGCATGTGCATTTTCTACTCACCTGGAAACAGTGGTTTCAAGTGCTTGAAGATAGTTTCAATGCCCAGACATCTTCCTTCAGCGCATTTTGACCTTTCTCCGTTGGTTCACGTCGCAATGAGCAGCCAGACATCATGAGACCATACTAAAAATGCAGGGTCCTCCAAATTTTGGCCCCCCCGGCAAAGAAGCCGTGAAGCAAGTCTTTACCCTTTTCTTCATGTATTTTTTCTTTTTGGCGAGTTCTCTACTGGAAGGGCTCCCCTTGCGACTCAGCTAAGTTGATGACAATCAGCTCCACAAAGCCCACACTTGGGCCAGACGTCTGGGAACTCTGTCACCCATGGAACACCTGCATGATTTTCAGGGGGATCTAGACATTTCCATAAACCCGGTTGAATATATTTGGGTTGACTCAAAGAAGGAATCAGATCACCTGCAGTGGTGCCTATTTGTTGACAACCACATAGTATAAACACTTCAAAAAGCATCGTGTCAGGGCAAGACTTCCACTCATGACTCAGGACCATATTGACCAGCCCGTTTTCCTATGGAACTGGCGCCATATGTTTGTTCTCACCTCGTTCGGTGTTTGGAAGCTCCTTCAGACTTGCTGGTCTGTGTCCGATGACTTGCTGGCGTGGTTGTATCGTGGTGTTTGGCCACGTCTTTGCTGACACATCCACCCGGGCATATGACGTAAGAGGGCTGACACATAGGACCATGGATGCGCTCTGGCTTCAGCTCGGGTCCGGCTTCATGTCTGACCCCTTGTTGGGAAGTGAACTAGTTGCGAACTTTTCCAGACTGAAGTCTTTCAAAACCCTTCTGCCAGCTTCCACGGTTGGCAAGAGGGTACCTGGAGCCTCAAAGTACCCCGATCAATGGCAAATCACACTATAAATCCGGGGCAGTATCGCAGTGCTATGTTTGAGGGTCCAGGTATGTTTTGAGAAGGACGGCTAGGATCACAAGTTGATTGCAAGGGCTGGGGCGAGGCATATCAGTTCTCTTGTCTAGGTGGCTTGTACAGGGTGTATTTCAGACAAACCATTCATTTCTCCCAGCGAGTCCGAGTATGTAAGAACAAGGTGATAAAGGTCTCTATTTTGGGCCTCAAGGACCTTCCTCAAGGGGTTGCAACGAATTCTTCGGGTATACATTGGGTTTATCGGTGGGACCGGTGCTCTTTTCCGGGTAGGGATTTGTAGCTCGCCAGGGCGGGATGCAGTCAAGGACCAGCAACTACGAGGCCTGCTTGAGGGACCCCAAGCCTGTAACTCGTTGGTGGTGAAGAGTTGGACCCCTGTTGAAGGGTAAGGTCCTGGGCGGGTATTGTTTGTTTGTAGTCCGCAACATATGGAATCGTTGTTGCGTGTGTTCCTTTTTTTTCTGAAGCAGGGCTTGGTAACGAGGATCCCAAGATGAAGCTACTCTTTAGTGATGTGATTCATGAAGCAAGGGCTTGTAGGATATCCCTCTCCCTAGTGGTTGACCCAATATGCCTTTGCTCATCGACCTATCGGAGCCCCAAAACCACCCCGGGTCGCGCTGCAAGTGGCAGTGTGATCAGTACCTGCCGGACGTTACCCAAAGGAAACCAATCATTTCGATCCATTTCGTTTTTTTGTTCTTCCTATTTTGAGGCATACCCGTGAGTCGGAATACTTAGTTGCCCAGAGCCCAATTCCGATCTCCGGCGGTGCAGAGTGAGCTGAGTTGTTTTTGTTTGCTTTTTGTTTAAATGGCATTCCGCAACAAAAGTGTCAAGGAGTGAGGGCAACACATGGATACAGTTGCTTCTGGTTGGCTTGAGCATCACACCACATGCCACATGTCTCGTAGTAGCCTTAAGGGGTTAATCGCTGTCAAATATTGTTTTCTTTCACGTGATCAAGCACAGCTAGCTGTTGGTTCAAAGCTTGCTCTTGCGGCCGAAGAAAGGTTCAAGCTTGCCAGAAGGTGCTACCATGCGCTCACTTGCCCAAAGCCAGCCTTTTAACTTACACCTTTTGGTTCCCTGGTTTGGTTCATATTTAGTCAAGGTTTCGTCAGTCTCAAGCCTTTAGGCAAGTGAGCGTGCCGATTGATTTCGGTCGGCCAGGTACTGTCTTCGTCTCTGAAGGAGACGCAGCGTTCGTGCGACAGCCTCAACCGTGAGATGGCCAGAGCCTCAGATCGGGTCGCAGACGCCCCGTCAAATTGACCTGGGCCCGGTGGGGTTCGTCTCAGTATCTTAGGCACCAAGGGACCCTTTGGTGTGACATCTCGAGGTTCAGCAGGCGAGTTCCAACGAGAAGCTGGTCGAGTCCATGGGCACTGTGAAGGCATCGAGTGTCAAAAAGCCGCCGGTCGCATCAGCCGAGACTGTTACCTCAGGACAAATCGTTTGTATTTTTGTCTGTCGGTGCCAAAGGCAATCTATGACTCTTGGAAGTATGTTTCCTTTTCAGGGGAGTTGAGCAAATGGACTTAGTCGGGGAGGTTCGCTTTTGATAGGGAAGCAGATTTAGGGGGAGTGCTCAGGAAGTTGACTTCGTTGTTTGCTTCAGACCTGTCCAGTTTTTCCCATATTATATGATTGTTTTTGGCGGAAAGGGAATGCTTGAGATGTGATGCAGTTTGCCATTGTTCAGTCAGAATGGCCATCATGTGCAGCATGCTTGACTTGGGTCCATCAGGCTAAGAAGTTTGCATGTGGTATTGTTCTTGGGGGAGACTTGCAGCCTTAGATGTCTTGGTTCGATCTGATCTAGGCCTTGAAGCGTCATACCGAATGGACATACCCACCTACAAGCAATTTTTTGAGTACCCTGGATGGCCCAACCCCTGCATAACCTAGCTACTGCCATTGATGGCCACTCACTGTTCCTGGCGGGTATGTCAATTTCGGTAAGGACTCGCAACAAACATTGAATCATGAGGTATAGTTTCGTTTCATAGTTCAATCGTTGCCTACAACCCCATTCCGATTCACTTGAGTCCCTTGTATCCCGCTCGACATCACCTCCCCTTTCCCCCCCCCCCACAAAGCCCCAAGTCGCACGAAGCTTTCCTGGTGCCAGGCTGCAAACAAGCGCCTCCTTGAGCAGATCCGCCCTTTGGCGACATTGCATGGCCGCTGTTTGGGGTTCAGTTTGTTGGGTTCTGGGTCCAAAGTGAACGTTTTTTTGGGGTTCTGAGCAAATCGAAATATTGCTTTCAGGGTGTTTCCCTTTTCCCACGATTTGGAGGCTAGTTTTGAGGATGAGAGTCTGATGATCAATCAGTTTGGCGGAAACATGGGGGACACTTCGGGTTCCCATCAAATCCAGGGTGACCCGCGAGCTTTTCGATGTCCATAGTAGCTTCATATTTGGACCGTCTGTCAAAGGAGCTTCGTTACAGTCCAGAGATTTTCATCGATGATATCCAAGCATAAGGGATGGTGGCCCAGCCCCGCATGAGGTAGATGGAACCATCTTCACACATACCCCAAATTTGAAATTGCACGCCGGAAAGTTACTCCTAGTTGCATGTGTTTTCTCATGGGAGCCAGATTGGAAATCAGGCTTTTGTTTTGGGACGACCTATTCTTGTAGAGTTTTTGAGGGTTTGGTAGCTGGGGTGAACATTCCTGGAGAAGCCACGGATCCTCTAGGACGGTTTGAAGCGATTCAGAAGGCGTGACATGCTCCCCTCGCCTCTGAAGGGTTTCAGCCAGGCGGCTTACTTTGGGTGTGAAACTCCAGCGGTTGGGAGTTCTGGAGCAACCAACCGGCAAGTGAGGTACATGTCAAAAGTGAACCTTGCTGGGCATTTTGTTTCTTCATTCGTCCAAAAGGAGTCCTGGCACATTGTGCCACTTCTCCGCGGACCATGGAGAAGCGCCAAAAATCATGTCCATGTCTGTGGGGCCTACCTGGTTGGATAGGGGACTGTAGTGTGTGTGTGTGTGTCTCTGTGTCTCTGTGTCTCTGTGTCTCTGCGTCTCTGCGTCTCTGCGTCTCTGCGTCTCTGCGTCTCTGCGTCTCTGCGTCTCTGCGTCTCTGCGTCTCTGCGCGCGTCTCTGCGTCTCTGCGTCTCTGCGTCTCTGCGTCTCTGCGTCTCTGCGTCTCTGCGTCTCTGCGTCTCTGCGTCTCTGCGTCTCTGCGTCTCTGCGTCTCTGCGTCTCTGCGTCTCTGTGACTGTGTCTCTGCGTCTCTGCGTCTCTGCGTCTCTGCGTCTCTGCGTCTCTGCGTCTCTGTGTCTCTGTGTCTCTGTGTCTCTGTGTCTCTGCGTCTCTGCGTCTCCTGTGTCTCTGTGTCTCTGTGTCTCTCTCTGTGTCTCTGTGTCTCTGTGTCTCTGTGTCTCTGTGTCTCTGTGTCTCTGTGTCTCTGTTGGCAGTGCATTTTTTTGAGGGGTCTGTAACAGAGCCGCGGCGGACATTCGTTACAGACCTCGTTACACACCCCTCGTTACACACCCTCGTTACACACCCTCGTTACACACCCTCGTTACACACCTCAGATGAACAAACCGGGCCAGTGACGTGACTGCCCTCTTTTTGCCGCAGCCTGGCTTGCGTTGAATAGCTGCAATCAAGCTGGAGCTGCGGAGGCGCTTTGCGTACTGTGCTTTGCTTTGCCTCGTTACAGACCTCGTTACATAGCCGTTACATACCTCGTTACAGACCCAACCCCAGCCCGGGCCAGCGACCCTGCTTTTTGCCGCAGCTTGGCTTGCGTTGAATAGGGCTGCGGAGGCGTGCTTTGCATGCTGCGCTTTGCTTTGCCTTGTTACAGACCTCGTTACATAGCCGTTACATACCTCGTTACAGACCCAACCCCAGCCCGGGCCAGCGACCCCCCTTTTTGCCGCAGCTTGGCTTGCGTTGAATAGCTGGTGCTGCGGAGGCGCGCTTTGCGTACTGCGCTTTGCTTTGCCTCGTTCCAGACCTGGTTACATAGCCGTCACATACCTCGTTGCAGACCAAACCCCAGCCCGGGCCAGCGACCCTGCTTATTGCCGCAGCTTGGCTTGCATTGATGTGATCCTGATTCTGCTTGTCAGGAAATGTTTTTCCCGTTACAGACCTGCGTAACAAGGACCTCCGTTACAGACCTCCGTAACAAGATTCGTGCCGCGTCGCGCGTTACAGACCCCTAAAAAATCATAGCCCTGTGTCTCTGTGTCTCTGTGTCTCTGTGCCTCTGTGCCTCTGTGCCTCTGTGCCTCTGTGCCTCTGTGCCTCTGTGCCTCTGTGCCTCTGCGTCTCTGCGTCTCTGCGGCTCTGCGGCTCTGCGGCTCTGCGGCTCTGCGGCTCTGCGTCTCTGCGTCTCTGCGTCTCTGCGTCTCTGCGTCTCTGCGTCTCTGCGTCTCTGCGTCTCTGCGTCTCTGCGTCTCTGCGTCTCTGCGTCTCTGCGTCTCTGCGTCTCTGCGTCTCTGCGTCTCTGCGTCTCTGCGTCTCTGCGCGTCTCTGCGTCTCTGCGTCTCTGCGTCTCTGCGTCTCTGCGTCTCTGCGTCTCTGCGTCTCTGCGTCTCTGCGTCTCTGCGTCTCTGCGTCTCTGCGTCTCTGCGTCTCTGCGTCTCTGCGTCTCTGCGTCTCTGCGTCTCTGTGTCTCTGTGTCTCTGTGTCTCTGTGTCTCTGTGTCTCTCTCTGTGTCTCTCTCTCTGTGTCTCTCTCTGTGTCTCTCTCTGTGTCTCTCTCTGTGTCTCTCTCTGTGTCTCTCTCTGTGTCTCTCTCTGTGGCTCTGTGTCTCTCTCTGTGTCTCTCTCTGTGTTTGTTTCTGTGTCTCTGTGTCTCTGCGTCTCTGTGTCTCTCTCAGTGTCTCTGTGTCTCTGTGTCTCTGTGTCTGTGTGTGTGTGTGTCTGTGTCTGTGTGTGTCTGTGTCTGTGTCTGTCTGTGTTTATGTGTCTGTGTTTATGTGTCTGTGTGTGTGTCTGTGTGTGTGTGTGTGTCTGTGTGTGTGTCTGTGTCTGTGTCTGTGTGTGTGTGTTTGTGTCTGTGTGTTTGTGTGTGTGTCTGTGTGTGTGTGTGTGTCTGTGTCTGTGTCTGTGTGTGTGTGTGTCTGTGTGTGTGTGTGTCTGTGTGTATGTGTGTATGTGTGTATGTGTGTATGTGTGCATGTGTTCATGTGCGCGTGGCACGTTTTATTCCCCCTTCCCGAAGAGTTTTTGCACATACCCAAGGCCTGTGTGACCATTGTGATGTAGCCCACCGTCCATGCCCTGGCTTTCGATTGATACTTAGCCTGAGGAACTCAACAAGCGGAGATCGGGCAGTTGACGCAACAGTGTGTGAACACCGAGGAGCCGAGTGGGTATGGGGGGGGGTTCAAAAAGTTTTTACATGGGATGACCGTTATGGGAAAACACCAAATAGAACCCCCACTTTACATGGGAACAGCTACCCATGGTCATTTGCTTCTCCCTTTGGCTTCAAACCAACCTCCTTCGCCTCAAAAAGACGACCCCCCTCCCCTATGGTGGACACTTTGCGGGGGCGGGGGCCTTTTTTTTTTTTCTCGCTCCTTGTGAAATCGTATCCAAGTGTCCATGCAAAGCGATCCCTGGATTAGATGGATCTGGGGCACCTTTCCCCCGATCTCCCTTACGGTCGAAGCCATCTAAGACTGCTTGTCCTCAGGGAATTCGGCGTGACCCTTGACCTACAGTTTGCTTGGTTCTTGTACATTCCCATTCTCCCCTCGAACAGCTAGGGCACCTTGCCCCTCCTGGGGTGGATATCCCTACTATATTGCAAGTAAAGGAACAAGGAAACCCTCTAGTGTAGCCTGATTTACCATGATTCTGTGGTTCAGTACGATTGGTTTGCCTGCAATGTGGAGTATGAGCATGAATCCATATCTACTCTCCCCCCCCAACTTTCCCTTTGAGACATATGTTTTGATGGCCCACTTGTAACTGGGATAACAGCTGTCTGTTCCCTCCAGCCCGGCCATCCACGTCTCTCGCCACGGACTCGTTCGATGGATTCGCGCGTGAGGAGCGCACGGAGCAGCTGAGGCGGCGCCAGGAGTTGGACCGCGAGGCCGCGCGCCAGGAGGCGCTGCACCAGGCGCGCGGTTTCGGGGGGTGAGAAGACATGCGGAGGGCGGAGGGGGATGGTGGGTGGGGGGCTTGAAGAGGTGACGTCCCTTTTTTTGTGGCATTGCTTGCTTTTGTTGTTTGGGGGGGGCGTTGGTTTTGGAGAGAAGCCAAGATGCCCGCAAGATGATGTGGGCTTTTTGGGGTGCCGGCACATGTTGGGCACATGCCTGGGCGTTCCTAAACTTAATATTCGGAGAAGTCCAGTTCTAGTGGCAACCAGCAAGCTTGGACTTCTTTGTCCAATCTACTCGGGACGGGAAGTGAGGACAAGCGAGATCTCACAAAAGAGGGATGTCCTGATTCTGGTGTTGTTTTGGATGCTGAAAGCCCCGTTCAAGCCAGGTCGAAACAACTCAACGCATAACTTATTGGTTTGCCACCTGTATGCGAGCTTTTTTCCGGAGTGATGTTTTGGGTGGAATTCCGGGGAGCGCGGTTTCATTTTGTGCCAGCGCGTCCACCCTCGGATGGCCTGGCAGGCGGTGGTCTGTTTTGTGCAGTGAGGAGGGTGGGTTGAAGTCACAAGTTTCCCCTATGGACAAGCCACGCGTTGGACTTCACCCAGTTGCAGCGGGCGCTAATTAATTTGGCTCCAAGCATCGGGTTCCAGCTTGCAGCAAAGCTCAGCCATGCGTGCAACATCTTAGAACCCGTTCGTTGTAACCCACAAGGTCACCCGAGCAGCTGCGCAGCATGCGCCGAAGCCGATCCGCGCCTTCCGCGGGTTCCGCGATTTCCGGATCGAGGCGGCAATCCTGCGAGAGAACGGCGCGGAGCGCCGGAGTGAGGCCAAAGCGGTTTCATGGGATTTTGGGCGAGTTGGTGTCATTTAATCCCAGACCTGCAGCGGCAATCCATCTTTTTTGCTTTAGGAGGAGGGGCTTCCCTTCAACCCCAGAACCTAGGCGTCTGTTTGGAAGAATTTGAGTTGGGAATGACAATGATTCCCACCTTAGTTGGGTCTCGAACCCACAACACCGAGGTTGCCGTGGATAGTTTCAGGGGCCCGGAACCCACTGACAATCCTTCGGCACCCTTGAACCAGTGGCACCATACTTCGACACCTTATCTCGGAGGTTCCAAGTAGGACAGCAGTTTAATCGTTGAGATTTGTTGTTTTGGAGGGGAAAGAGTGTTCTTGTTCTTGATGATGAGTGCTGAATAGGAAATACTTGTTAATTTGTGAAGCAAGCTAAAGCTGGCTTGTTTCCAGAACCCCCTTTAGCCTTATATGTCTGTTTGGGTGGAGGAAAGAGGTGTTGTGCTGCTTTCAGACGGCTACTTTTGTTGGGATTTTTGCAGCAGTTTGGCGGTCAAGTCAGCTGTCATGTTTGCCTCAGCTCCTTTTTTGATGAGACGAGCATATGCCAACAAGTTTGAACACTGTTGTTAGTGGGAAGACATGGGCCGGCGGCCCCAATTTGTTCATGCCATTGGAAACAAGTAATATCGCTCCGCAGTCCGACTTGAAACATCGCTTTTCATTGGGGTCCTTATCATTTGAGGCTCAACCCTAAGAAACCTTAACTTGAGTCGGCAAAGTTAAGTGGTTGGTACCCTTGGTTACAAGCTACTCACAGCAAGGTTAGCACCATAAAAGGGGCCTTGTACATGGGTATTGCGGAATTGCCCCAGGATCAAAGAAGATGTCAGCCCTTTTTAAGGGTCGTTTTTCCGTTTGAAAGTACAGGTTCCCATCTTTCAGGGTCGCCTGGGGTCCAGGTGGACGCTGACTCACTTGGCCGCCAGGTTCAGCAGCAGCTTACGGGCCAGCTGAGGCCGGATCGATCTCGTGCGACATCCACCCTTCTTTCTTCGGGAACCCCGAGGGTCTAAGTCTAAAGACAGGTACGCTTTATCCCCCTTTAACCCAAGTCTAAAGAGGTATGAATTAATCCCCTTTCAACTTTTAGCCCACAAAAGACCACAGAAGATGGCATGGAGTTTCGGGGAAGATGAACTGTGCCAGAATGGTTCTGCGAAGGGAACGGGGATGACCCACACGGATGGCGACCATCTCCTTGGATGCGGCACAAAAGGCAATTTGAGAAAGGGCTCGTCAGATCTCAGGTGGACACAACAATGCAATTCTGAGATGCATGAACGATCCTGAATCACCGTCCAATGCTCTCAGTGAGGATGAGAAGGCGAGGTGTATGACGATTCTGCTGCCTCAGATGAGCGAAGCCGTCAAGCTTGAATCAGACGGAAACATTGACAACACGGAGGCCGGGCTCTTCAAGAAAATGGATCCGGACACATGCAGTGATTTGTGCTGGTCGGTGCCTTCCGAAGTCAGACAGGCATTGACTCAGGAAGGGAGAGGCCCTTGCATTAACATTTTCGTGGGTGGTTCGATTCCTACCAAGAGGGACATTTTGGTAGGTGGTTGAACGCAAAAGTGCCAATGTAGCGAGTGGTGCGGTATTTTGTTTTCTGCCATGGTCACCGGGCAACTCGGTGAGATGATGCCATTCGGTGCTGGGCCTTTCAATGGCAAGTTGACCGCTCTTGTTGAAATATACAGTACGTAATTGAGGGAAGCCATCATGTCCCTAGAGGGAAAACGTATGAACAACTCCTGGGGTTTGGAACATGGCTGGAGCCGAGACATCTTCTGCAGATTATGATGGAACCAAACAAAAGCACCATGTTTATCTTCCGGTAATCTGTAGGGGTGCAAGGAAGTAAAGGTTTGTGAGGGAGGTACTCCGCTGCAGTTCCGGGTCATGTCATTCCATTTCTTCCCCGAAATGCCACCCGCCTTTGAAAAGCCGCAAAACCCATCCACAAGAGGCACTTCACAGTCCCTTGACCCCTACTTGACCGCCTCACTTAGCCTCACTTAGGTGATTCATGGGTTATAACCCTCGTGATTTAGGGCTAATAGGTTTTGTGGCCCGATTTCCACCCAAGCTGCGGCCCAAGCCACGCACCACACACCCACCCCAAATCCGCTCGATCGCGGGAACGCCCGGGGCCAGGAAGCTGCAGCTGGGTGCGGTGGGCGCCCTGACGGGGGCCCAGCAGCTCTCCCAAGAGCTGCAGGCCGGACGCCATACTGGACGAGGGCGGCGCTTGGGCGGGGGGGAGGGGCCTGCTTTACCTGTCTCCAGCACCACCCCAAAACATCAGAAGGGGCCGACATGGGGCCGGCATGGTGGTTTCAGAACCTTGGAATTGCCATATCTGCCGATTTCGGGAGGTGTCTTGTTGTGTTTCACCTGGACTGGAGGGAAGAAACAAGAAAGCAACTCGAGAAAGCCAATCAAAACAACGCAATCCGGCAAGCAAAAGCTCAGGCACTCTCCATTTTCTTATCAGAATTATTTTTTCGTCTAGTTTTGTTTTCTTTGTGGTGGGGGGGTCCTCGAGGATTTTGGTCATGTTTGGTCTGTGGGAAGAAACACAAGTCACAAAGACCCTCCGGGAAACCACCGAAAAACATCTGGCAAACAAACTCTTAGGCACTTCTCCATTTGATTGTTTTGCTTTGTTTGTTTTGTTGTTTTTGGGTTTCCTCGAATTTGTTGCTCATGTGTCTTTGTTGCTCCATGGCAGGAAGAAACACTAAATAACAAGCTGCTTTTCAACAATACTATGAATGTAGGAGTATGTTGCGTTGCGTTTTCACCCGTTTAACACTTGAGCTTGATCTTGGAATCACCTGCTGTAACTTTGCACTCTTTGCATTATCTTCTTTTCGGTCTAGTTTCTTGCATCTGTTGTTTGTTGTTCTACATCCATTACAGCCTGCACTTATGACCATACTAGAATTGCTCAATATTTTATTGTGTATGTTGTTCGCACTCTCTTCTTTCCTGTTTGTTCATCTGGTTCAAAGATGTGTATCTAGCACACGTTCTGTGTATTTGCACTTTTTCCTGATTTGGTTTGGCTTCTTTCTTTCTTCTAATGGTGTGTTTGTGGTGTCAGTTTCTTAGTACTGTCTTTCTCGTTCTTCCTTTCTTCCTCTCAAACATATTATAGCAGTGGCATTATTCATGTGCATTGCGATAGTGTGTCTCTTTGTTGATGGATCCTGTCTGTGCATTGTTTTTGCTTCTTCTGCCACTTTTTGTGCTAGGTATAATATTCACTTTCTGAAGGCTAGCTTCTCCACCAACCAGCCTGTCTGTAACAATGTAACAGCTCAAGTAGCTATAATTTAAGACCCTTTGCCCTTTGCCCAGTGCGATGTTTTGGGAAGCTAGATTGCAGTCAAGTTTGTCATTGTTTGCAAAATAGGTGCTGCCTTGACAAACATGTTCGATGTGTTTCTGCAGCCTAGACACTCTTGGCCACAAACAATATTTACAACTTACCAAGCAGCATTCCTCAAGGCTTTGCAAGCAGTATGTCGCTTGGGCTCTTGTATAGCATTTAGCTCCATGTAGTTTTTGGCAGCACAAGAAACTGTGTTTTCATACTTTCACATTTGCAGGTCTCATGCGGTTCGGCCCGCTCTCACGATGGTGTCATGGCCCCTTCCTTCTGGGTAAATGGCTCATGGAGACTCCAGGTACCGTTGCGAGGCCCTTCCTAAAGCAGCTGCAGGTGGTTCATTGGTGGACAGCGACTCTGGTTACAAGGGACTTTTCATGGAAAATCACCGGGGAGCTAGCTAGCTTAGTTTGTCTTTTTGCTTTTTCTTTTTTCAGGTATGAACAACAACCTGGAACCCGGCTCGGCATTCGCCTTGAAACTACGCCCCCCGTCAAGATGTCCTGAAACGACCCTGCAGTTCTTGGTCTTCTGCAGTTCTTGGTTTTGAAGAGGTGCGCTTCCCAAAGGTTGCATGGTCCAACTTACAGGCCAGTCCAGGTGAGCCCCAAACTGGGTAACTTCCAGCTGGGGATTCCACGAGGCCTCACTGGTGCATCCGAGGTGCGGCGGCAGGAGTCGGTGGCATTTCTGGAGGAGGTCTTTAGTTGGCTGCACATTTGGAAGCAGGCGCAGTGGCCGGGTCGCTGTCTTTTTTCAGCATCCCTGTAGTCTTGGCGTTCGATGAGGTGCCCCTCAGTTCCTGGATATTTTGCCAGATCCACCGATCTCAGGAATTGGGAAGGCTTCCCTTAGGTGCGACAAAAGAACGAACGAGGAGTTCGACTTTGGAATAGTGTAGACTTGTAGTTTGACAGACATGGGATAATCAACATATGTCTTACTTAAGCCAAGGTTTGACACATGCTCGCCATGTCTGTGTGTCTGTGAACTGAGCTGGAAATACGGAAAACAGACGCTGGTCACATTCTACATGTGGACATGCGTGTCACGTATACTAGAAACTAGATAGGAATGCTATGCAACTGTGCTGGACCTACTGTGGATGGGCAAAATCCTGCACCACCAAGAAACCCTGGAATGATGATTTCCTGCACATACCGGTTTCCCGTCTATTCCAAGTGGTGCAGGATTTTGTCCATCCACAGTCTGGACATATGTCAGTTGATACATGCTGAGACTTCTGGACGTGTATACCAAACATACGCGAGTGCTCGTCTTCCATGCCCAGCTCAAGCGCACAACTTGGTTCCCTTCTCCGGCCCCATGGATTGGTGCTGAAAGCGCCTGCTCCTCGATGTCTGCCGTTTTCGCAAAGAGACGTACAACTTCCGCGTGATTTGCCATAGCCTCAGTTGCAACCAGAGCAAAAGGAAATAACACCAGTGCTTCAAAGTCATGCTAGAAATATATCACGCTAATTGCTCAACATTCAAAAACTACGACAATCAGATACAATATTGGCGTTTAGATAGAGTGTTGAAAACATTAGTGTTGAACAAACGCTTTCTGTAGGTGAGTCCAGATATAAATCATGTTTAATGCACGATAATTCACAGCACTTAATATAACATATTGTAACCATGTAAATGTTGAGGTTGTGAGATATCTATATCTGGATACGTGTTTTGTGTTGAACAAGCAGTATGCTGACTGCCCTTCCTTGATAATATAATATATATATATATATATATGTATATATATATACATATATGCATATATATATATATATATTCCAACTGTTGTGATCAACTGGAGGTTCTCTGGAAGCAAATTACACAGACCAGGTCCATAAAAAAGCTAGATACAATCTACACATTTGCCAGACACTCTCAACAACTCGAAGATGTTGTGGGGGTGGGGGAACGCAATAAGACCAAACACGATAAAACCCTAAGGAAACAGATCATGGTTGATGCCTGACAACATTTTCTTGGGTGCTTCGCATGTTGCTCTTCGTTTTTTCCCCATTTCCTCCACACTTTTGCAGTGGGAAAAATAAATGGGTGTTTGAGCAGTGCAAGCAGGGCGCAAAAAGCTGTCATAAGCCGAACACTTCAGCAAGCTGTTTGGATTGTTCCTAGATTTGCTCGGGTCTATTGGCAATTGCCCCTGCTCGCTTGCAACTCTGGCGCATTGTCCGCCATGCTATTGCATATGCACCTGCCGAGTGGCAAAAGCTGCACAGTTGCATTGCCTTCGCCGGAGGTCAGCATCCGCGAAGTGAGGGCAGAGGCACAACGCCAGTTCAAGCGCCGATTTTTACGGCTTGCTTTCAGAGGGCAGCCTCTGGATGTGTCGTCTACTTTGCTCGCGGTGGGCGTGCAGGACGGGGACAGCATTGATGTAATACTGCAGTCTGCCAAACTCGCCTCCAATACCAGCTCTTTCGCCCTGTACAGCGCAGGAGGCGTTGCGCTTACTTGGGGCCATCGTGGTAGCGGCGGTGACAGCAGCCAGCTGCGAGAGCAGTTGGAGCGCGTCCAACAGATCCAAGCAAGTGACGGTGCTTTTGCTGCCATGCTGGCAGACGGCTCTGTGGTGACTTGGGGCGATCCTCACTGGGGTGGTGACAGCAGCCAGGTGAAGAATCAGTTGGCGCGGGTCCAGCAGATCCAAGCAACTGAGGAGGCTTTTGCAGCTATCCTGGAGGATGGCAGTGTGGTGACTTGGGGCGATTCTGATTGGGGTGCTGACAGCAGTCAGGTGGAGGCGCAGTTGGCGAGGGTGAAGTGCATCCAAGCCACTCACTTTGCCTTTGCTGCGATTCGTTTGGACGGTTCCGTGGTGACTTGGGGCATTCCTGACTATGGCGGTGATAGCAGCCAGGTCCAAGAGCAGTTGGTGGGCGTCCAGAAGATCCAAGCAACAAGGGCAGGTGCTTTTGCTGCCATTTTGGCAGACGGCTCTGTGGTGACTTGGGGAAATGCTGAAGGTGGCGGTGACAGCAGCCAGGTGCGTGCGCAGTTGGTGGGCGTTCAGCAGATCCAAGCAACGAGGGCAGGTGCTTTTGCTGCCATCTTGGCAGACGGCTCTGTGGTGACTTGGGGCCATCCATACTTTGGCGGTGACAGCAGCCAGGTAAGGGAGCAGCTGGTGAGGGTCCGGCAGATCCAAGCAGCTGATCGTGCTTTAGCTGCCATCCTGGAGGACGGCTCCGTGGTAACTTGGGGTGATCCATCCTGGGGCGGTGACAGCAGCCAGGTGCGAGAGCAGTTGGCGCGGGTGCAGCAAATCCAAGCAACTGCGCAGGCTTTCGCTGCCATCATGGACAATGGCTCTGTGGTGACGTGGGGTGAATCTTCAGGTGGCGGTTACAGCAGGCAGGTGCAGGAACAGCTGGTGCGCGTCCAGCAGATCCAAGCAAGTGCCTATGCTTTTGCAGCCATTCTGGACACAGGCTCCGTGGTGACTTGGGGCAACCCTGAATATGGCGGAGACAGCAGCCAGGTGCGTGCGCAGTTGGTGGGCGTCCAGCAGATCCAAGCAACTGACCGTGCTTTTGCTGCCCTCCTGGAGGACGGCTCTGTGGTGACGTGGGGCCATCCATACTATGGCGGTGACAGCAGCCAGATTCAGACTCAACTCGACCGCGTGTGATTGGGCGTTCGCTTCTGGACTCTTCCTACGTGCAGGGCAGCTGGGACTTCCTTGAAGATCGGCGTGTACATGGGCGTGTTCAGATATGCTGAATCTTGCTGCCTGAGTCCTGGTAAGATGCTTCTTTGCGAGATACTTACGACTTCCAGTGGTGCCCTGTGTTCCCTTTGCTGCGGGGGAATCCAAGGGAACACACCGTTCAAAACCTGCGCTTAAGCTTCAGTGGTATTTCCTCTTGACCACTTATGTATTGCTCCCAATACTGGAAAATATCTAGCATCCCGCTACAGGAACCTTTTTGGATCTCACCATTTTTGCCAGGTCCCCAGTCGATTTGCCGGGGGGTGTTTAATCCCTCTTGCGCCTCAAATCACCCGTAAGTTTGTTGTGCAATCAGCAACCATCAGTGTCCCAAGGTTTTTGGGGTCCAGGTCCCTCGGCTGCTTAGTTCTTGGCCCCGCAGCCAAAAGAATATCGGCGCAAACACTTGAGTCGTTGCATTGCTAGACTAAACTTGCCGCCTTTTTAACCTTGCCTCTGCTTAAGAGTGGTGTTTACTTTGCCTTGTTGGTTTGAAAAGGACATCTATACTGGACATATTTGTATAGTGACTCATGCAAATGGAGCTCAGCTTTGGCTTTTTTGGTTTCCCATGTATCCTTTCAACTTTCAACTCGAAGTCTGGCCCGGTTTGGGTGTACCCATTTGGGGCAATGAAAATCACGGGGAGCCCAGCAATTTGTTTCAGGCTTCTCCCAGACACACCGGACTTGGATTTGCTTTGGAGGGTCTCTGTTAGGCTTCTCATCGGTGACGCGGTCCTTTGATGACCTCACTGACCTTGGGCATGACTCAACTCAGCTTGCCATCTTTGTTTCCTTCCGTTTCCCTTTGAAGCAGCAGGTCAAGCTTTGCAGGGGCAAAGCTTGGGGAATAGTTATTGTCGCCAGCATGCGCTGCTGTTGGCGAATTCCTGTGCATCCAAACACGGGAGCTGCGGCGATCACCAGGCAGCTTGACCGAAGCAAGTGCAGCTTTCTAATTACTTGGGTAGAAACCCTGGCTATCCCTGGCTATATCCCAGTTTCCATGTTGTAAGTCCACTTTCCCAGGGTCACTCTCTGCGTTTTTTTTACGTAACCTACCTCTCTGCGCAGATCTTTCACAACCACTGAAACTCCCGCGAAGGCTGGTAGTTAGGATCATAAGAAATCGTTGAAGTGGGGTGTGAATAAGGATGCTATCGATTGCAAAGCAGCCTGCTCGCTTACGGGGAGAACTTGGTGCAGGTCTGACAGCAGTTTATAATTATAAACCCCCGTTGACCCATTGGGCGTTGTGACAGGTGGTTATAGTACCAGGCTTACTTGGGGTTGTAGTAAAACTTGTTTGTGTTTTCATTATAAACCTTTGCAGCCATCTCAGTAGAACCCAAAGTCAACGGGCTTTGGGCGCGGCTCCATGCTTTTGCACCCAGTTTGGAATTTTCTCAGTTTAGAGTGAGTGTCCTTGTCAAGCTAGGTGTTAGGTTATTTGTCCATAATGTGTGTGAAGAAGAAGCATTGGTTGATGTGCGTCATCCACTTTCCAATAATCATGGTTGCATTGGAAGAGGGCCCCTCCCGAACCTTAAGTGTTTTTTTCCACATGGGTATGTCTCCCAAAACGTGCATGCAGGTCCGAGCCTGGAAGCCTGCAACTGGAAGTGCGCTTGGCGAGTGGGGCCAGCTGCTCTGTTGTGGTGTCCCCAGAGTCGCGCGTTCGCGATGTGAAGGCCCAGGCGCAAGAGCAGCTGAAGCGTCGCTTTCTGGCGCTGAGCTTTAGACACCAGCGCCTGGATGTGGAATCAGGATTGGCTGAGCTTGGCGTGCGAGATGGGGACATCGTTGATGCCATTGTGCAGCCCATCCAGTTGGCTTGCACCACCGGGGCCTTTGCCCTTCATGCTACGGGAGGTTCTCTCCTGGCATGGGGCGATCCTGCCTATGCCGGTGACAGCAGCCAGGTGCGGGAGCGGTTGGTGCGGGTCCAGCAGGTCCAAGCAACATTTAGTGCTTTTGCTGCTGTCCTGAGAGACGGCTCTGTGGTGACTTGGGGCGATCCTGACGAGAGTGGTGACAGCAGCCACGTGCAGGAGCAGTTGGTACACGTCCAGCAGATTCAAGCAACACATGGTGCTTTTGCTGCCATCCTGGATGACGGCTCTGTGGTGACTTGGGGCATTGATGACTACGGTGGTGACACCAGGCAGGTACAAGAGCAACTTGTGCGCGTTCGGCAAATTCACGCAACCTGCGGTGCTTTCGCTGCCATCCTGGACGACGGCTCTGTGGTAGCTTGGGTGCATGTTGATTTCACCTTGAAGCTTGTATTTGTTGACAATGACTCTTCCCCCGCTAGCAACAGTAGGCTGTACTTTCGCGGAGTCAAAGACCAACCTAGGTGGCCTGGGGTGATGAACGGGGCGGAGACAGCAGCGCGGTGCAGGAGCAGTTGGTGTGCGTCCAGAAAATCCAAGCAAGTGCCCGTGCGTTTGCTGCCATCCTGCACAACGGCTCTGTGGTGACTTGGGGCCCTTCTGAATCTGGCGGTGACAGCAGCCAGGTGCAGCAGAAGCTGGTGCGGGTCCAGCACATCCAAGCAACAAATGGTGCTTTTGCTGCCATCCTGGACGACGGCTCTGTGGTAGCTTGGGGCGATCCTCACGAGGGCGGTGACACTAGCCAGCTGCGAGAGCAGTTGGTACGCGTTCGGCAGATTCAAGCAACACATGGTGCTTTTGCTGCCATTCGAGATGACGGCTCCGTGCTGAGTTGGGGCAGTCCTGACCATGGCGGTGATTGCAGGCGGGTGCGAGAGCAGATGTTGCGCGTTCATCAGATCCAAGCAACTGAGAGTGCGCTAGCTGCCATCCTGGATGACGGCTCTGTAGTGACTTGGGGCGACCCTGAGCAAGGAGGCGACAGCAGCTGGGTGCAGAAGCAGCTGGCGGGGGTCCAGCAGATCCAAGCTACTCGGAGTGCTTTTGCTGCCATCCTGGAGGACGGCTCTGTTGTGACTTGGGGCAATCCTTTTTCTGGGGGTGACAGTAGCCGGGTGCGACAACGGTTGGTTCGTGTGCAGCAGATCCAAGCAACTCACGTCTCGTTTGCCGCCATCCTGGACAATGGCTCTGTGGTGACTTGGGGTGATTGTTGCTCTGGAGGTGACAGTAGCAAGATTCAGCTGGACTCATTGTAGGATTTCCAGAGAGCAAATGGTGATGAGATTTTGCCCCTCAAAAAGAAGTGCTGCAGGAAAACAAATGAGGCATGTGGAACTGCAACCAGTCAGACCTGCAGTGGTGCTCTTTGTTCTTGTTTGGGCTGGGTTCCCTTGCAAATTCCAGGACCCACACAAAGGTCGTGTCAAAGCACCCTGCAACCAAATGGGTGTGTCTCAAATTGGGGAGCTCGGGCTTCCTTTGGTTTTCATCCAACATGATCAGCACCAAGAAGGGTTCCTTCAAGAAGGGACCCAGAGAAGTCCTGCACCGGTTTGGTTGCCCTGGTCGATAGTTGCTGGGGCTGGATCGGGATGGTCATCAGTCCCCTGAGGACCGCTTTTTATAGGCCACTCGTTCAAGGTTTCCAAGTTTGAGAACGATGCCACAACTCGCATAAGGAGCTGCTGACCATGACACATGTCAATGTGTAAGATGCCAGTGTACAGCGAAACTGGCCAAGATGCAGCAAACCAGGCAAACGAGCAAGCAAGCATCCGACAAATCAAGCAACCAAGGAAGCAAGCTACCCAACTCACCAGCAAGTAAGCATTCGGCCGATCACCTGAGCAACGAAGAAACCAATGAACAGAGGGGGTGCCGCGCAGCAACGTACCTGGGTTTGCCCAATGCATGTCAAAGTTTCCTCTCAGATGTTTGATAGTTAGCTTTTTCTGCTTGTCTTTCTTGGCCCTGAATTGCGCTCCACTGACTTATCCAAAAACTATGCGGGCCAGCAGTTATTTTCTCAGAGTATCCCCGAATACGTCCATCGGTGGCAACTAAGGAGGCACCAAAGGACCCCCTTTCCATCCGCAAAAGCTGTCTCGGGATGTACCAAGTGCCCCTCTGCGATTTTTGCCTGGGCCAGGAAGTGCCGAAGCAGTCTCGGCCTGAGAACCCACTAGGGTGCCACAAATGGGTTTGCGTCAAATGGGAGGTACCAAAATGGAAAACCTTACGATGAAGGTCCGTCACTTTCAGATTCCAAAGTTCCTGTCTATGAATTACCCCCCCCTACATGCAATCAGGGAAGCCGCCAGAAGCCTTTTGTGTTGGGGAACAGCGGCGTTTCTACTTCCATTGTTGGACAGAGGGCATTGATTTGTTAGAGTTGTGGGAAATGAGTTGCTGGAATCTCAAAATGCTGAAAAGTCAGGGAGTTCCGTTTTGGTACTGGGGCCCACACCTTCAGTGGTGGCCTTTTGGTCCCAAAAAGGAGTGCCGCGGTTCCCCATGGCCACTGCGGCTTTGGGGCATACTGCAAGGAAATCAACATCCGACTGCAGCGCCCTCGCAAATTGAGGTAAGTCCCAGAGTTTCGCTTGTGCCCTCCCCGGAAGGGAGAACTCTGCAGATGAACACACTCAAAACACCCATCATTTGTGGAGCAACTCCTTGTTGGAGAATGGACCTCTTTTTGAAACTCCAGTTGGGGGGGCTCCCCTATTTGGGCTGCATATCTTACATGTGCTTGTGATGACTTTGCTCCATTCCTCTTTTGTTTCAAAGGGAACTCTGCACTGCTGGAAAAAGTCCCGTGAAATTTACAGGTGCATGTCTTCCATTGTTTCTTCTGACCGTCTTGGTTTTAAAGGGAACCTTTCACTGCTGTCATTTTTGTCCAGGGGACTCAAGCAACAGGCGGATTTTCCTCGAGGTTGCTGGAACCTTTCCAGCGCCAGAAGAAGCACGCGGCTGAACTGGAGAAGTCCATAGGCCGGAGGGAAGATGAATGGAAGACGGATAGTTGCAACATACGGAGATCCGCCGATATTTACCTGCTGTCTTTGAGTAGGCCAATTTACATGGTGCTTTTTGAGGACATGGTGTTTGAAACAGACTTCATTTTTTGCATGGTCTTGAGTCGTTTCTTGTTGATACCAGGTTTCGACTGTGAATCACTTGAAACCTGAACCTACTTAGGTGATAGCCAGAGCTGGTGGACTAGTGATACATTCGGACCCCTTTCAAGAGAATCGGACAGGCGGTTTCCTCGAGGCATGTTTTTACAAGGGCTTTCTCCAGTCTGCTTGACGCAAGGCCTCGTTTTTTTTGTTGCCAGGGCACTTCGGTCAGGCAGCACTTTGTGGCTGGTGCTTTGGATTCGCATTTGAACTGGTTCTTGATTTGCTCGTGTTAAGCACTCAGCCACCAATCGAAACCAATTGAAAGTGGTGTTCCCAAAACCAGTAAAGGCCTTAGGCTTGTCCACCCAAGAACAAGACTGACTTTACTCGAGCTTTGGTTTGACAGCCACTAATTCCCCCACTGCCCACCATGAAATACAAGGGGCTGACACGCGGGTTGGTTTGTTGCCACCACGTTTTGGTTACGAAGGCTAAGCGGGGTTATGTTCAACATCCCTCTTTGGCGGCACGTTTCGCGTGTTTTTGTCTGTATATGCGTGAGCCACGGAACTTGCCACAGGAAGATGTAGGGAAGTCAGGTGGATGCCCGAATTGTTTGAAGGGTAGGGAAAAGGGAAGCTCTCTGATTTAACATGCTTTGACCATGGTTCTGTGGTGGGGTATGGTTGGTTGAAATGCAATATTTAGGGCAGGCTGCATCACCCTGCGGCACCGTTCCTAGAGACTGTTTCACATGGTGACAGGCATGATGCACTCGGTACCTATGAGATTTGGCTTCAAGCAGGCAGGGTCGTTCAATTTGCGCACTAGCCACTAGACCTGGTCGATGGTCAACTTTGCAGGGACCATTCGCTTAACTTCGCACAGTTCTGCGGCACCGTTTTGCCTTGAGGTTGTTTCCCTCACCATGGTTAACACCTACTTACACATGCGACCAGGCCACACCAGTTAGTGGGTCAATCCATTGTTTCATGAACAAACAATAAAAAACGTCGAAACTTTCCACACGATGATGCCCCACTGTCCTTTTCGTTTGGGCCAACCTATGTTTTGCGAGACCCATGCCCAACCCCTCAAGATGGAATGTGCCACACATTTGTTTTGTCGTAGGTGGGTTTAACAAGGGGTTGCAACCTAGGTTAACATAGGTCGAACCCACCAAAGATTGAAGGTTCCTTTTTGTTTTAGATAGGATTCAATCGATTGAACAAGTTTCAATCTTCAACTTTGGTTTAGATAGGGTTCAATCCCATAGAATTCGGGAAACCAACAGGAAACCCAAAGGAAGCCCAAAGGAAACCAACGGCATCTGGGTGGCAAGCGCTGGAACTTGGCGCCATGGCCTCGGACAGCTCGGAGGAGTCGGAGGCCAAGCGCCCCGCAGCTTGGACGAGGAAACGTGGGGTGATGCATGTACATACGCTTGATCACAGTGTATGTGAATTATGATTATATATATATATATGTATGTATATTGATCATATGCTCATATATGTCATGAGAGTGGATATATATATATATATACATATTATACCGATGTACATGTATTTCTACATCAATATGGCATGCGTATATGCATAGAAACATATGGGGTGAATTGCAACTTGAGCAGTTTGAGGTGGCACTTGACCCAATCCGAACACCGGGTTTCAGGGCTCGACTCAGGTGGACGCCCTGGATGTCCGGGTGCTGTCAGTGGCAGGGGAGGTCTTGCTGCGCCTCAGCGCGCGGAGGGACTGGAAGCTGACCCGCCTTAAGGCGCGGCTGGGCGTGAGCCGTTTTGTTTTGGGCTCAAGCTCAAAAGGCCGAGCCTTATTTTGTTTTTGTTTCTTCCATGAAAGTGGATGAAAGCTTTGCCCTGCAACTGAACTGAGATCATTCAGAGGAATCAAAACTTCAATGTGCTTTTTTTCCTGGGTTAAAGTACATCCTCGCTACCTGGACCCTGAAGCTACCACTACAAATCGAAAGTTGCCTCAAAATGATCGGGTTGTTTTCCGGGTTTTCAGGGTAGGGTTCAGGTACTTGGACCCTTACAGTTGGGTCACAATGCCCTAAATTTTGGTTTCACCATCCCCTGGTCGAAGGCAAATCGACCTTTTGGGCTTCCCTTTTTGGCAAAATTTGCAGGTCTTTTGCCGAGTGAGTCATGCGCTCGCTCCCCGAAGGAGAACGCAAAGTCCACTTCGGCATGGCTCCTGTTTGTAGTTAATCATGCGACTGATCGGAAGGTGAAACGAGCTCACCCGTTCTGACGGCCGCTTACTTCGGCACTTCAGAATTGTGGTTTGTGAATTACGTACTATTTTACACGCAGTACTGTGGATGTATGAACCCATATTATGATCCCCTGGTTGTGTGTTGTGTGTTGCTGACTCCCTTGCTCCAGTGCATGTTTCGGCGGGAAAAGGCACTTGGATGAAAGCACAGTTCTGATTGGAGAAGTGCATTTGTTTATTGACTTGGGAAGCTGGGAACACGAGTCAGCACCCAAACGTTAAAGTAGTAAGATCCAGTTTGGTTGGAAAATTGGATGTATCTCTCAGTGAAGTCACAGGGCTCCCGATTAGTCCCGGTACTCTTGGAGGCTTTCTTGAAGGTTCGGAGCTGTCCGTTGCAGGGGTCCAAGCTCGCAGGATAGCACGCAGTGTGAAGGGAAGGAGCCTAAAAGCATGGTCGCCCAAATGCGGATTTGTTGGTTCCATGTTATGATGGTTGGGGAGTAGTTTCATTCCATCCACAAACAATGCGGCACCTGATTGGTTGCTTGAAGAGGAATTGGTGCCTTCTGCTAGTAGGAGGAAGGGAAGTTCGCGAGGTTGAAAGGGGGTCGTTTTCAAATCAGATGAATGTGATGTTCAATATGCCCTGCTGTATTCCCCCCCCCCCCCCCCGCCCCCCGAAAATGGTGGCGTTCCTTTTGGTTTCCCTTTAACACCTACGTGTCTCCTTCGCGCACCCCGGTCCAAGATACTTGGAGAATGGCCCATCCCATCCCATCCCACAAAGTCCATGCTCTCAGGCGCCTTCCCCTGGGAATTTGCTGTTGCTTCTTTAGTTAACCTTATGGAATAATGTAAGTGAGGTCCCAGGCAAATCTCGTTGCCACCTTGCAAGTACACCAACTATGCGAAAAACTACACATAGCATGGTAAAGCACCGGAAATGACTGCAAATTTGTTCCCGAATGTTCCATTGCCATGGATCGGATTGCTTCCAAGACTGTTCCAGGCCCCCCATCCCTCGCCCCACACCACCACCGGCGTCACGTGCCGCTAGGAGTTCCTTGAGGCGGCCCTGAAGATGCCCAAGCTCACCCAGCGCCTGCTGCACGGCCAAGAGGTGCTGGAGGAGAGATCCGTAGATCCGTTTCGCCGAGACCCGCTGGGATTTTCCGGTTCGGTCCATGGAATATGAAGCTTTGCGGTTCTTGGCTGGTTGCTCAGTTTGGTTTGCCCGGCGTTCATTTTGAGTGGGGGGCTTGCAAATGCTCATGGTTCTTGGCATGTTGCTTATATTGTTTGTTGTTGCGTTTCTGTTCAAGACCAAGGGTGGAACGAAATGGAACAGGGTCCGGGAAACCACGTTGACGATGGCAACTGAGAGCCCAAGGGGCATTTGACTGCCGGGGGAACTATAGTAACTATACATGAACACACCGTCAAACACTGTCTAGTCCCGTACATGGGGAAAAACACTCATAGGTAGGATGCTGGCTTAAAACGATGTTTGGACATTGATTTCCTTTTTGCTTTGTCCAGGGAATTCCTAAAAAATGTGACTTGTTCTTTTTGGTTTCCCCTTAAACACCAACCCAAAGAGGGTAGTAGTACCCTCAACACCAACTCACGCCTTTGTTTTCTTGCTTTGCTTTTGGCCGTTTGGCAACGTGGGGCGCTTTGATGCTAGCCGGATTGCTTTGTTCCCATTAAAAAGTGGTTTTCAGAAATGCCCCAGTCCTCCAGTGGTGCCTGTTTTTTGTTGTTTTGCGAAGGGTTCCCTTCAAATCATTTGCCAAAGAAAGGACTGCCTCTTTTTCCACAGTCTTTGGGGGCCATGACATGTGTTTTTCCCAGAACCTTAGTGGTATTGTTTTCAGGTTGTTTGGAGGTGCAATTGCTTTCAGACTCAACCAGCCCAACTGCGGGTGAGTGTGTTTTCCATTTTGCAACTGATGGTTTGCGGCATTTGGGTTACAAGGGTTGGTAGATTTCGTTTGGCTTAGGCGTGGAAGCCCCTTCATGGCTGCTACTTGGGGTCAAGCATGTGTTTTGTTTTCCCGCCGGAAGAAGGCAAGTTTTCTCAAAGGGGATTGCATGGGATGGCTAATCTTGTTTCCACCCATCTGGACTGAGCAAGGTGTATGAAGGAATTTTCAAGAGACGATGTCATTTGGGTCGTGCTGAGATACGTTGCGTTGCAAGCCTAGAAGATCCCTTCGGACATTTGGATGGTGTCAACGCAGGACCAGGGGAGAACCAAAGTCTCCCCCTTTTAGGAACCTGCTGCAGCCTGAGAGGATAGCGGGGAGAGGTGTTCTGACCCTGCCCCAGGATCAAAGTGTGCTGGGCAGCTGCGTTCAGGACGGACTCAACAGGAAAGGAAGATATCGTGCTGCAACTTTGAAACGAATGCGCACACCTTGTTTGTCGGATCGGATCCTGTTGATGGAAGATCAAGTTGCATGCCCGGGCCCCTGGAAAGCTTGCCTCAAATAGACTCGCATTTGCCTGGTATGTTCTTGTCGGGCGGTCGACAGTGTTTGAAATGGGCCTTGTTTGTTTGGTCAACAACCCATGTCAGGAATGTGCAGCCAGAGGTTGACCAGCACTTTTACATTTGAACCCCTGGTGGAGACAGATCCAACGTGCTGACGTCTCGCGTGCTGGTTTGCGGGGCAGGTTAATTATCTACGCCAAAGGCCCTCTAAACACGGGGTCATGACTCGAAACTTTTAGGCACATGACCCCGGCTTCAGTTCAACATTTTGGCGCGTGGACACTCCCGGAACGCCGTGTTTTTGGCAATTAGCTCAGCCTCGCACCCAGAAGAGGTCCGCCAGTTTGGCCAGCTGATTCTCGGGCTCCGTGAAATGAGTTGAGCCGAAAGGATCCATTGCCACGTGTAGCGGAAACACCGCATGAGGGGGCCAAAGGCCTCCGGCCTTCCCAGTAACATATTCCCACATCCAGTCACCTTTGATGTTTGTGTTTGACGGGGACCCGTTTTGGGGGTTGTGTTGAAAGAAAAGTCAAAGAGAGACCGAAGCTCATTTGGCGTTTGCAGTTTCTGTTTCGAGGCAACCCAGGCCAATTCAACAATTTGCCGGTCGAATTTTATTTGACAAGTCTGATTGCCTCAGACGGGGACTCCCGGCATCCCCTTCTGCGAATTTACATCTGGGGTTGAAAGGTGTCCAAACCTGGAACAATCTATCCCAGAGGGATGAAAAAACGTAGTGGATTCATGCGAAGTGGTACACCATAGTTCAAACACACATTCAACACACGCACAGGTGTGTATGTAAATATGTACACAGGTGAGTATTCGGCAAAGCAACATATACAATGAGTACCAGGCATGAATTGTCAGGATCAGTATTTGCTGCAGTTTCTACGGAAATTGGTTTCTTTCTCTACCACTAAGTCCTAAGTCCAAATACCCTTTGAGGTTGCTTTGAAGGTGTGAAAGCACTTAGACTTCCCTTCAAGGTACTTGGACTGCCCCAATCCTCCCAACACAAGTGCAAACCGAGCAGACAGACATACAAACAAACAAACAAACAGAACAAAATCAAGAAGCGAACAAAAAGAAACGAAACACAGAAACAAATAAAACCACCGAATCCTTGCCTGCACGACCCACCCACCCCCCCCAAAGAGCGGCGTTTGGGACCTGGAAAGCTCCAGGACTGCGATCCGCGGCTGGACTTGACGCTGGTGCGGCAGAAGCCGCCTGTGGACTCTTTGATGCAGCAGGCGCGGGCACGGGCTCCGGGCTCCGGGCTCCGGGCTCCGAGCACGCGTCAGGTGGCAGGCGCCAGGTATGAGGATCTGGTGGAGGGCATCGATTTGGTTGTTGCAAAAGGAACAAGGAAAGTCTCTAGGTACCATGATGTACCATGGTGTGGCTCATAGTTTACTCGCATGATCGAGGGCGTCCACCGTAAAGCCTATCTAAATCTTCAGAACCATAGTGGAGCCAGCAGTTGGGTTCGTTTGAGCGCTGTTCAGTTGACACCGTTTCGAGAGCTCTTGGTTTCACGAGCTGTGGTGGTCCCTGTGGAACCTGAGCTCTCGGTTGATTTCGGGTTCGGATTTCAAGGGGGTCAAAGCAGGGGCGAGACTAGTTTCTCTGAAGCCTGGAAACCAAGAAACAGATCAACCATACTCTGGCTACCCTGTACGAGGCCAACCGGGCCCTGTGCAGTAAAACGGGCGATTTCGCCTGCAACACACCAACCTCAAAAGGAAGGAGACTCCTGTAATTGGATGGTCTTTCTGTGGTCCATTGTTTTCAGAGCCCTTCACGAGTACTCTTTCAAAATACAACCCCAAACAACCGGGCCTCAATTGTCTTTCTCCCGAGTGAGAATCAGCAGGTAATACAAGGGTTCATGGGTGTGTTTGTTTTTGGGGAACCCTACACATTGGTGCGTGAAGAAGGGAAACCTGAGGAAGCAGATGTTTTGAAGGCTCCCTTTTTGGGGACAAACCCACATGTCGCTTGTTTGGGTGAAGGTTCACTTGGCACAGAGAGTCCAAGTACCTGAGGATGTTCTTTTTTCGTGTAAAAAGGTGTTTGCCTCAAAGCCCAGAGCACCCATGGAGCGGCCAAGCAATGCTCAGGCCATGCTCGGCAATGGCGACTCGGATGCTGACTGGAAGGGCCCATGTGGAGAGAAACCAATTGGCAAGGATACGCGAGGACGGGATATGGAAGGCTTTGTTTTAAGGGGAGACATGTGGTTGAATCGCCTTTTGTGTTCAGCTCGTATGAACCTTTTGCCTAGATATCACAACGTAGACTCAAACAAGTCAGACACAACAGTTTCGCAAATTCGGTTTGGTCCATCTTCAAGTGAGTCTTGTTGCTCTATTTTCGGTGAAGAGACTGTCGCAGCTGAATGAGCCAACCATTGTTGTTCCAACCCTCGAGTCTTGAGATGGAAGGTCTCATGGTAACTTTCACAGGTAAGTTGATCCATTCCTTCATGCGTTTCCACACTGCACCGACTTCACCTCAGTAGCTGCAGTCTACTTTGAGCTTTGGTTCCAAGTTCGGACCCACCCTTGGGGCTTAATCTCAAACCTCGAGGGGGATCAGTTGGGGGTCCGTCAAAACCATCTGTTTTCCCGTTGTTCATACAAGCGTGTTTTGTTCTTCCCGGAACAATTGTAGCCATGTGTTTTCCCCGGTGCTTGTTTTCGTTTTGTTCTCTGAGCCGAAGGCTATAATCATCTCTGTTGCTTCCCCCGTGTTGTTTTTTTGCAGTTTTTCCGTTTGCCACGAAAAAAGCCCGGTTTGCTTCCTCCGTTGTTTTTCTTCTTCTTTTTTAAGAAACAACAACTGCGGCTGTCTGGGGCCCAAACACCCCGGTTTGGGGGCTCCGGGGTGGGAAGTTATTTCGCAGCACTCGAGGCAGCAGCTGCCTCACCTTGCTGCAGCTTCCGGAGGCGCTGGAGCTGGTGAACTTCACCGAGGCTGGGGGCCATGGGTTGTGGTGGGCTTCGGGATGGGTTGTTGCCATGTGGTTGCCCTGCAATAGAAGCTCCCAGGCTGTAACTGGAACGGAACTAGAATGGAACTACCTCTTACAAATCCTGGGGCCTTCCATGTGCATCCATGGGCCCCGAATAGCCTAACTAATTGGTCCCATCCTTTTGACCCTTTGTTTTCTCGAGAGACCACCTGAAAGAGCGCGCTTGATGTTTTGGCTTTGGCATTCTGTCAGAACAGATTCTGAGCCGGCAGCCCGAACCTACTCTCTGTTTTGGAGAGGGTTTTCCTTGTGGTTTCCTCTTCTTTAAAAAAACAATCCGGGGTGGGGGGGGTCCTTGAAGAAGCAACTGTCAGCAACACAAGTGCCTTTTTTTCCCATGGACATGCGCTGGTATGGGGAAGCTAGAAAAAGCTTCGGATCCCGTTCGACGCTCGGTCGTGGGAAGACCATTTGAGTAAGCAACAAGTTGGGAGTCAAGTGAGATGAATAAACCTCGCACGTGATAAACAAACACGGCCCCCTTCCCGTAAGCCTCCAAAGGGGTTGGTTGGTTGATTGCTCGGTTTGCACAGGAAACCGACCAGGGCAAGGCTAACCTGACTCGCATGTTATGCCCCACGCCTACAGTCTGGAGCCAACTGCTAGCTGGACCCTCAAGCAAGGGTGATTCCCTTTTTATGGGTAGTTTGAGGGTTAGGTACTCATTTCTTTGCTGACCTCCCCCCCCTCAATAGAACCATCCAGCACCACTACCGCCCTTCCCTACAAGAGGTGCTGAATCTTTGCCTCTTTGACAGACGTCCCTACGAAAGGAAAAAGCACCCACAACACCCAAAGCACCCAAAACACCCAAAACACGGTCTAAGTGCTTGGTTTGCTGATATACTGGTAGTTCTGCTTTCCAAGTCTAGGTTCAGCAACGGCATGCGAAGTGCAGCTCCAGGTCTCCAGATGCCCCTTTCATCGTCGGAGGTTAGAGGTTCCCAGAAAGTTCATTGGCCGTGAGATTTCGCCATTGGGATGTGACACCCGAATGTGTGAAGATGCCCTTCGTTTCCGGTTGAAGCCATACACTTGTCAAAGTCTAAACTCCTCTCCGCACCGATACATGCGAAAATGCCTTTGGTTTCTCCCCCAAAATCCAATCCAACAACACCCCAGTCGGCTTCCCCTGAGAGCAACAGGAAACGGTCACCACCAACAAAGACCCTTAACTCTTTGCCATTTGCCTCCGACCGGCTCAGCGTCAAAGCACTGAGGAAATGTCACCGCTGAGCCGCTTGGTTCACTTGGCGTCGTTGAAGCTCCCAGTTGCACCTAGGGGATGTTGGTCCTCTGTTTGCCATTTGTTCTGTATGCTTCGGGAGTGCTTTATTCCTCTGGCCACCACGCAACGCACTAAGAAAGCCCATGGTTGGACGTCCACAGACTGACTTTCGTTGGCCAGAAGGAACCCACCCAGGGGGGCAACCCCAGTTTTTGGGAGTCGATTGAGCTGTTTTTTGGACCATGTGCAAGTCATCCTTTTTCAGTTGGATTGACACGCGCACAGCCAAGGCGGCTGTGGCCGAAAAAGAGGGTATGGAACGACCCGCGGGGCACAGCTTTTTTTTCTGGATCCAGGACACGAGATCGCTCTGTATGTCGGATTCAACTGCTGCGAACCTGCGGGTATTTGCCGTGAATTTCTATTCATGCTTCTCATTGTGCCTGGAACGAATTGCAGTTATCCACAGTTATCCCATGTGTATACCAATGTTTGACCATGGTTGAACAAAAAAACAATTTTGGTTTTTGAACTGTTTGCGTCGGTATAACCATGGGAGTTTTTCAAAATGGCGGCAAGCAAAAGGAGACAATCACTTTCAGGATATCCCATTCTTTTCGGAAACCACATCTCCCTTGCGGGGCTCTTTTCACCAAAACGTTGCTCAGATTCCGGAATCCGTGGAATCATCTCGATAGGCTGCCTGCAAGCCGCGGCGCTGATGCGGCTCAACGCCACCTGCTTGGAGATCTTGAAGATGCCAGGCGGAAGTGGTTTCAACGACCAACCGGTGAGCTCAAAGCTCAAACTACCCATTGGTAGATTGCTGGCCTTGTGAAATGGGGGTGGTTTCCCATTTACCCTACGAGAACCAGGGGTTTACATTCCAAGCCACCAACCTGACTGTATCCTTTTCAAGGGAAACCAGAAGGTTCCCTATTGCTTATCCTACAAGTACCCCTTTTGGGATTGGTTTCAATTGAATCCCACCATTTACGGGGTCACCGGACCCGATCTTGACATATACCCAAGACATCACTTTCGGCACTATGACAAGTTGTGTCAAGCAGGGAGGCTCCTTCTTCCGGAACTGCCTATGGCAATGGTGGTAATAGCAGCCAGGTGTGAGAAAGCTGTGGCAAGGTTGTGCTCTCTTTGTTCTTAAGTGCCGTCTTCATATGAAAAGAGGGATCCCTTTTTGGACGGGGTTCCCTATCTGCCCCCTTTAAGCATTGCCCCATCAGAAGGAAAGCTACTTCTATTTGGGCCAACATAAGGGACAATTGGGAGCGCGTTAAAACAGGATGTATTGGAGCCGATACTCTGCACAACCGATTGTTGATGGAGATCCTATTCATGTAGCTTTTGGGTGGACTGCAAGTGCATTATATCCCTCGCACAACCCATTGATGAATCTGCTTCTATCGCGAGCTCACAAGGGGTTCAAACGAGCTTACTATGGGCATAGGGGCATCACGTGTTTGTTGTCCATATGGATCACTTTGTGCTGTGGCCCTCTTTTGCTAGGAAACGCAAAGGAAACATATCATATGCTTTTCCCATTCTGAGGCACAGTGATGAGCTTCAGGCCACACAAACTCCCTCCCTCAGTTCCACTCAAACTTTTTGGGACCAAAGTTTAGTGGCAACTTGCGGAGCAAAAGCAGGAATGGCAAGAGTAGGTAACCAACCATATATCCTTCTGGTTTGGAAAAGGGTGGTTCTCTTTTGTTTGCCTACCATACATATATATATATATATACATATACGTGGGAGCTATGGTTGTTGCCAATTCACTGTGAGATAACCAATGGCCCTAGACCCATCTCCTGTTGCTAACCCACCCAAATGGCTCCTTTTGGGTCAGAGGTCGGATAGCCCGGTTGCGAGCCCTTACTAAACATCTTCGTTTGGAGGCGTCCCTCGAAAATCAGCTTCCAAAGGGTGCCCCTTGTTTCCCCATGGCCCGGGGCGTCCTTTTGGTTTTGGCGGGTAGCCTTGTCAAGTTGGATTGAAGCGACACCCATTATACAAAGTTACCCGTATTGGGATATCCCCAGAGGAAACAAACGAATCTTATGATAATTGCTGTGTGTTTCATTTTGAAACACAGAAACTTAGAAAGGGACAGTCTGCTTGACGGGAATAGGTGCAGATATCATTCGAGCACTTTCGATTGTTAGCCATTCATAATTTGGTGGACTCCTTTTAGCCTTTTCTAGTGGGTTGGAAAGGGGTGCTTGCAACATTAGGCGAGGGTACCCTGCTGAGGTTAGTTCAACGGACACCGAGAGGACCCCCCTCCATTGTTTGGGGGGTCACCTTATTGACCTAGACACACATCAGCTTAAACTACCAGCAACTGGTTCCTTTGAAGAGAATCCAAAAGGTGGCTTCTTAAATGTGTACCAAGACCTGAAAGGTGAGCGTGAAAGGATGTTTGCAAAACCAGAGCACCCGGAGCTCGCACATTTGCAAAATGTTCCTAAGCAGAGCTGACAGGATGCTGCTGAAAGAAGGAGATGCAACGCGAGGTTGCTGAGAAAGATTGTTGTTTGTTGCTTCAACAATAGAGGTGTATGATAGTGGTTTAAGCTTTTCTTTTGAACAAGGGGCCCCACATTGCCCGAAGATGCCAGGCTTTCGGCTCGTGAACCAGGCGGACATTCTCAGGAGCTCAACATTTTGGGCATTGACCGTACAAGACACGAAGTAAAAGTTCTGTCTAAGGTACACTTGGACCAAGGGAACTGGTGATGCTTAGTAGAAGTCCCCCGTTTGTGGGTGTATATATATATACACTACAAGACATCAATATGGTTGGTACGGAAGTATCCGGTTTGGAGTGGGTATGTATACAGCTAATATGGTTGGTAGAAGGGATTTGTGTATGAAGCCAGCTAACCAGGATACATACGTCTAGATGTCACATGATGGCTTTTTCTGGTTACCGCAGGGATGGGCATGGACCCCTTGATATCCATTTTAATAAAGAGAGCCATGACCATGGCCCACAGCGGATTCACCAAGGTTGGAGTTCAAGGTGGCTTCGCTTGATTCAGAGGCTAGGGGCAAGGGTGAGCCATACCCCCGAGACGAGTCACCGTTTGGGATGGGTCATCCCATGGCTCTGCTTGCTGAGTATTTTTGGATTCAAATCCCAGGCGCAAGTACTGCCGACCCCGGATGAACGCCCCAGGGGGATCCTCCAAAAGTGGACTGAATTCCAAGGGCGCACCAGTCCAGTGATCTAGGGGTTGAATGTCCGGGGTCCCTACCCCGACGTCCGAAGGGTCCCGATGGCTTTATTGGGGTAAAAAGGGTCCTTTGGTCCTCCTCAGGGTCTAGCTCCTATTTGAAGGTACCAAGGGCCCTCTAGGCTGACGTGTGCCAATTTAACCCATTCGGGCTTTTGCGCAAGGAAGACAGCGCTGCACCAAGCAGTGGACGCGGACTTGCCGCAGGTCTGCAGCGCCATTCTGAAGCGCCCTGACTTTACTGTAGGCGGGGCCGGGGCCTCGTGGCACCGTCTAAGTCCCAGTTTGGCCTCCCCCCCCAAAAGCCAACCCAAAGAAGGCCTCCAAGTTTTTTTGCTACCTGTCGAGTCACTGAACAACTGGCAGGGTGCTCAACCCACGCGGTCTATAACCCACCCCAGTTGCACTTACCCAGTGTCCCACCTTGCATGGGGTTGGGTGAACTTCAGGCAAGGCGGAGACTGCGACAACCGACAGGTACAGCCTGAACTGGTGGGTTTCCATTAGGTTTCTGGGTACAACACACAAAGCAAAGAAGTACAATAGGGTGCACATAGATGGCATAATTGTCTTGGGTAAGCAAAGCTGAAACAAACGTGGGGAGACTGTGCCATCTACTTCCAACTGTAAGTCGGCTCAACCAATCCCTGCAAGTGGGACAAGCCGACTCAAGTGGGACAGCTGGGGTTGGTTTACTTGCCCTTATGGTGCACACAACCTGTGACATTTGTTTCTGTCATTCTTACCAGACAGAAAGGGAGTAATGTCATCTACTTTCGGGGAGTCAAGTTGGAGCGTTGGGGCTACCGGGGTAGCAAGGGAGTAGCTCTCCAAGAGGGTGGCCATGCAGTCTTGACCACGTCAGCTTCCATTACATTGTTGAAGATTGGCAAATGGCAACAAGATGGTGGAGCCAAAAGGGGCTGATGCGATGTAGAGTTCGGACCAATACTGAAGGCAACTGCGATTCGAATTTGATTGCATTCAACAACTCCCGCAGACGCTTCAAACGCAAATCATGTTGTGCAGTCCAAAAGGCCTGCCTTTTGACCCAGGAAATTATTGTTTCTCGCAAGGGACTCCAGGTGTTTGGCTTTGTGATGTCTCTTCAACTTCCAGCCAAGAATGGGCCAAATGGGACCACGTCAACTACCGTACCATGTCACCTTTAAAACGGAAGCCAATGGATGTTGTTGAAACAATGGTGACCGCTTGCACTTGTTTCAACAAGGGCTTGAATCGCCCAACCCTGGTATAAACTGTGCATCGGGTTCATTGGCCTCTGACAAGTTGCAAAGACAAGCGGACATACACCTTTGGAGTGCCTATGGGGTCCAGCTCTTGCATACGCCCTCCAACTAAACATATGTGCGTACACTGAGTTCATTTGAGACAATTGGTTTTAGTACCTTCTCAGGATGGCCTTCTACAAAGATGCTAACTGACATGCACACACACACATACATATATATATATGATACATACATACATACACTACATACATAAATACATGCATGCATGCATCCATACATACATACGCACACATACACACACATACATACATACATACATACACACATACATACATACGCACAATACATACATACACACATACATACATACAAATACATACATACATACATACACACATACATACATACATACATTAACACACATACATACATACATACATACATGAATATACACATACACACATACATACATACATACGTACATACACACATACATACATACGCACATACATACATACATACATACACACTTACACACATACATACATACACATACATGCATACATACATATACATACATACATACATACACACCTACATACATACATACATTCATACATACACACCTACATACACACATACATACATACACATTTACATACATACATACACACACATGCATACACACACATAAATACATACATACATTCATACATACATACATACATACACACATACATACATACCCACATACATAGATACATACATACTACACACACATACATACATTAACACACATACATACATACATACATGAATATATACATACATACATACATACATACACACTTACATAGATACACACATGCACACACACTCACATACGCACATACATACACACATACCTACATACCTACATACATACATACATACACACATACATACATACACACATACATACACACATACATACATACATACATTCATACATACACACATACATACATACATACATAGATACATACATACACACATACGCACAATACATACATACGCACAATACATACATACACGCATACATACATACAAATACATACATAAATACATACGCACATACATACATACATACATACATACACACTTACATAGATACATACATACACATACACACATACATACATACATACGTACATACACACATACATACATACGCACATACATACATACATACATACATACACACTTACATAGATACATACATGCACACACACTCACATACGCACATACATACACACATACCTACATACCTACATACATACATACATACACACATACATACATACACACATACATACATACACACATACATACATACATGCATTGATACATACACACATACATACATACATACATACATACATACACACATACATGAATACATACATACATATACATACATACACATACACATACACATACACATACACATACACATACATACACACACATACATACACATACATGCATACATACATATACATACATACATACACACCTACATACGCACACACATACATGCATACATACACACCTACATACACACATACATACATACACACATACATACATACATACACACACATGCATACACACACATACATACATTCATACATACATACATACACACATACATACATACCCACATACATAGATACATACATACTACACACATACATACATGCACACATACATACGTACATACACTCACATACATACATACATACATACATACACATACATACATACATACGCACATACATACATACATACATACACACATACACACTTACATAGATACATACATGCACACATACATACATACATACATACATGAATACATACATACACACATACATACATACATACATACATACACACATACATACACACATACATACATACACACATACATACATACATGAATACATACATACACACATACACATACATACACCCACACATACATACATACACACATACATACATACATACATACACACTTACATACATACATACATACACACACATACATACATACATACATACATACATACATACACACATACAAAAATACATTAACACACATACATACATACATACATGACTATATACATACACACATACATACATACATACATACACACTTACATAGATACATACATGCACACACACTCACATACGCACATACATACACACATACCTACATTCCTACATACATACATACATACATACACACATACATACATACACACATACATACATACACACATACATACATACATTCATACATACACACATACATACATACATACATACACACATACATACATACGCACAATACATACATACACACATACATACATACAAATACATACATACATACATACACACATACATACATACATACATTAACACACATACATACATACATACATACATGAATATACACATACACACATACATACATACATACGTACATACACACATACATACATACGCACATACATACATACATACATACACACTTACATAGATACATACATGCACACACACTCACATACGCACATACATACACACATACCTACATACCTACATATATACATACATACACACATACATACATACACACATACATACATACACACATACATACATACATACATTCATACATACACACATACATACATACATACACACATACATGCATACATACATACATACACATACATACATACACATACACATACATACACACACACGTACATACATACACACTTACATACATACATACATACATACATACATACACATACATACATACACACATACATGAATACACACATACATACACACATACACACTTACACACATACATACACATACATACATACATACACATACACATACACATACATACACACACACGTACATACATACACACTTACATACATACACACATACATACATACATACACATACATACATACACACATACATGAATACACACATACATACACACATACACACTTACACACATACATACATACGCACATACATACATACTCACATACATACATACATACACACATACATACATACATACATACATACATACATACATACATACATACATACACACATACATACATGCATACACAGACATACACATACACATACATGCACATATATACATACGCACACATACATACATACATACATACATACATACATACGCATACATAGACATACATACACATACATACACATACATACACACATACATACATACATACATACATACACACACACATACATACACACATACATACATACACACATACATACACATATACATACATACACATATATACATACATACATACATACCTACCTACCCATTTGTGCCTACGCGCATTCTGTATATTCGCCTTCGATATCCGCGTTTCCACAGGCTGCGCCCTGGCGGCGGGGGAGTCAGCGCTGCACCTCGCCATCATCTCCAAGCGCCAGGAGGCGGCCATGGCGATGGCTGCTCGGAGGAATTCGAAGAATCAGGGGTTGTTGTTGTTTTTGTTCTGTTTGTTAAACCACAAGAAGAGGCTGTGGATACCCCTGCCGAGTTGCAGGTCTAGGAACACGCAAAACCCTAGCAAAACCTCGGACAATCAGACAATCCACAAATAACTTCGAGAATCGGTTCCGGTGTTCCCTTTTGCAATGGGATTGGGGCATCCGCCGCAAGCAAAAAAAAGGGGCGGATTCTTTTGCCATGGAGCCGCAGCACAGCGACTGGCATAAACCGTAGCTACTTGGTTGGCAGGGATGGTCATGCAGATGTCCACCAACCAAAAAACAATGCAAAATTATTAGAATAACACAAACACAAAGGCAAACAAAAAGCGGTTTGGGCCAGCCAAAGCTTTCACTTTGCCTGAGGTACCGCTGGCGAGTCGGGAGATGCTGCTGCAGAGAGTGCACTACGCTGGCTTTATGGAGCTGCTCGGCGGTTGGCTTGTGAAAACGATCTGTGGACCCCTTGCTCGCAGTGTTGGGTTGAGTTGTTTTCTTGCTGTGTGTTTATGTCTCTTAAACCGGTTTTGGTTTGCTTTCAGTGGAGGTCCCAAATGATTGTACCTGTATTGCCAGGTCCGACGTTTAAATTTCTTCCCAAGAAGCCGATCCCGGTTGAAGTCCGGATCTATGTTGTGTGAGGACACACTTTTTCTTTTGAACTTTAGAGGCCCCCTGAGTGTTGAATGCTGTCATCTCCTGGGGACAACCATGGAAAGCCTGTCTCAGTTGCCCAGACAATCCCACTCACTCCTCTTGGTTTCCGTGTTCAAATCAACCAGCACCCCCCCTTCTTCGTTTGGGACAGCTTTTTTTTGTGGGAGAAGGGTTGATCTCCCGAACAACTCCATGGGGCGAATCAGCTGATTGTCCTGGTCGTCACCCGCTTCTACTGTTCAGTCCTTCTAATCACTTCTTGTCACGCTTACAACTTTCTCCAGCTTGCCTATGTGTTTGACCAACGTGAGGTTCGTTGGCTAAACCGCATGATACAGACATGGGGATGGCGACTGAGAATTATAGCTTTTCACTTACTCCAAATGGGGGGTTCTCCAATTAGTGGTCCCCTATGGTCAGTGCCTTTTTTGTCTTCAAGTACCAACCCAAAAGGGTTCCACTATTTTTGGACTCCGGCCGGATTCCGCTGACCTCACAGGGGGAGACACGACACACACACACACACACACAGACACACACACACAGACACCTTCCGCATGCCGTCCCAGGGCACAACCATATGCAATTAAAAATAGATAACACATAAACCAAAACAACACAGAACACACAGAGCCCATGCCAAAAGCATGGCCCATTTTGGACCAGGCATGGGGTCGGCGGATTTTGGAGAAGACCTCAGATTCATTCAGCTTGACGTTCTGGAGCCTGGGAAGACTACCGAACGCTGACCACAACAGAGCGGTGCCGGATTTTTAGAGCTTTTTTGGAAGGGGGTTTCCGTTGAAGTTGACCAGCCAAAACAATGTGCCGCGCAACTTTTGTCTGAACCAAGCATCGCATCAACAAAACATGTATGTGTTTTTTTCCCGGGTTTGTTTGTTTGTTGGTTGCTTTAGTATTAGGGACAGGGGTTAAACTTAGCTGGCCGGGGATTTGGAGGGGCTGTTTGTGGTTCTATTCTATTCATGTGTAGGGGAGCAAATCACATTCAGATTTTGCAACATTAGCAGTCGCTCTGTTCGATAAGACCACGGTATGGATTTGTCTTCAAACTATCGGATGGGTAGCAGCACAAAGAAGCTATTTCCCTTTGTGTTCCTACAAGCAGCCCGGAAAGGAGAACCGAACCTCAAACGAAAGGAGCCACTCCCACAATACGTATGTTGAATTTCTATCCGCAGACACCTCTTAGTCTTATCTGGCAAGCGTCAGCACATCTGAATGCTGTTCCTGTACCCGGTCACCCCCTGATGTTAAGCCCCTGCATGGTTTTGTTGCTTCATGGTAGTCGCTAGGCTTAGGAAAGGCGCGTGAGAACGCCGCTCCCAGCTTCTCGACGGCTTTTCAAGGGCAGTCCCTAGGTTGTCGAAAAGAGTGCCGTGATGTTGGCTCGTTCAACGGTTTTGTTTGTTTCTTTTTGCTTCGCAGCAAAAGCACAGGGGAAATCTGTTTACAACACTTACCTCAAATGCTATTTGCACGTCCTGTAGCCTTTGGCTCTGACTTAAACTGGTGTTTGGTGGAAGGGAGGCCGCAGGGCAAGGCATTTATTGGATGGATGTGTCATGCCTCCTTACCCTTGTTGGGGAACTAAACGAGTCAACAACACCTTGATTTTGGGTCAGGACCATGTTAGTACCAACAAACCTACCTGAACCCTCAACCTGCCCTTAGTGGGTCCAAAATTATTGTGTGATTTCCCATTCTTCCGGGTTTGAGGGTCCAGCTTGACTTTTTGTCCATTCAGCAAGTGAGGACGGCTCCAAGCCGCGAATGCGCGACTTAGGTCGCCAAACAACAGGCTGCAGCCTGAGGACCCTTTGGGGCGGGGGGGGGTTCCCCTCGGTCACTCATTCCCCTGTGGTTGTAAGCATATCATTTGTTGGTTGTTTGTTCAATTATGTTTTCTTCGGTGTTTAAAATATTTAAGGAGCCCTGTTCCTGACCTCCGGACCGGAGGGTTCGTTTTCGTTTTGTCTTTGCGGTCATCAAATTCCAAAAATAGGGTGTTCCTTTTTCTCCTTAAAATCCACCGAAGATCTGGGCATTGGGCGAGCAAACCAACGAATGAAACTTCACGCACGGATTCGCCCTAATTGACCATCCCCAACATGAAGCAAGAGGTCACATTGGGGGCGAACCAGCCTTTCGATTTTCTCCAAAATCAGTACACAAGTTGTGATCCTGCAATCATGGCTAAAACAGTTGGTTGCAACGTACTCCACAGCCCGATGTGGGACCTTATTGCCTGATAGTATATCGGGTAGCCCTTTATTGGTGGTTTGCATTGGTGGTGTTGGGGCTAATGGGAAAGCCTCAAACCTCCCAATCCAAGCCACAAAGTAGAGTAAACTATGGATATCCTAAAGGGCCGTTTATCACCAAAGTAAACAGAGGTCTAAGGGGCTAAGGGCTGCATTCGTTTTGTTCTCAGGCCGCTAAGGAAGTGGGTAGCAACCCTGTCAAAGCGAACTTTCTTCCAGGTTACCTCCTGCTAACACACATACACTGTCAGTGTCCTTCCTTGAGTTTCCCAGCCAAATCTCGGCCTGCACGCTCAAACCACCACAATTGTTCCGCGGCAAATCACCACATTTGGTGTTACAAGATGTACCCTCTTATGCCTTTGGCCTTTACACAAATGATGGTTTCGTTTGTTGGATTGTCCATGGACACGAACTTGTTGTTTCCTTGACAACGTTGATTACATGGAAACAATCATAAGTTCTATCATCCAAGTTGGGCCCGCTTTCGCGATAGGAGCTGGCCACCCTGCAGGGGCTGCCAGAAGTGGCTGCAGCCATCCGGCAGGCCCTCGAAAAAAGCCGAGACGAGGCCGGAGCAGCCGACACGGGCAGCGGGTTTGCCACTCAAGGCAGATTGGGGTTGGTTGTTTTGAAGGGAATGATTCGAAGGGAATGTCATACAATTTGAGTGAAAGCGTTGGTTGCAAGCCTGTAAACACGCGATTGACAGATGCACGCATCAGAACACCATGGTTTGCTGGATTTCAGTGGTTCGCAACTTAGGGATAGCCCAGAGGTTTGCCCGCCTTGTTTGCCACTGCGCTTCTTTGCGATGATAGTGCATGTGTACTTGCCGAGTGGAAAGAGCTGCTCTGTTGAGCTGCTGCCAGAGTCGAGCTGCCGCGAGTTGAAGGCTAAGGCGCAGAGAAGGTTCGGGCGCTTTCTGAGGCTCACCTTCAGACGTCAGCAGCTGGACCCGTCGACATCTTTGAGCACGGCTGGGGTGCGGGATGGGGATGCCATTGACGCCGTCGTGCAGCGTGTCGAGCTAGCTTTTACTCGGGGTGCATTTGCCCTGTCTGTCGAAGGCACGGCGCTTGCATGGGGCAATCCTGAACACGGAGGGTTGCCGCAAATTCAGTTTGCCAGGATCCGGCAGATCCAAGCAACGGAGAAGGCCTTTGCTGCCATCCTGGATGACGGCTCTGTAGAGATCTGAGGCGATCCCACCCATGGCGGTGACAGCAGGTGGGTGCAAGAACAGTTGAAAAAATGTGCAGAAGATCCAGGCAACTGGCCATGCTTTTGCTGCCATCCTTGACGACGGCACTGTGGCAATCGTTTTGCTGACGGTGACAGCAGCAATGTGCGAGAGCAGTTGGTGGGCGTCCAGCACATCCAAGCAAATCAGCGTGCTTTTGCTGCCATTTTGGCAAACGGCTGTGTGGTGACTTGGGGCTCTCGTGGCTGTGGCGCTGACAGCTGCCAAGTGGAGGAGGAGCTGGTGCAAGTGCAGCAGATCCAGGCAACTGATTCCGCCTTTGCTTCCATACTGGCTAACGGCTCTGTGGTATGTTGGGGCAACCCTGACTATGGTGGTGACAGCAGCCAGGTGCGGGATCATTTGGTGTGGGTCCATCAGATCCAGGCAACCGAGGGTGCTTTTGCTGCCATCCTGGCGGACGGCTCTGTGGTGACTCGGGGCCATCCTATCTATGGCGGTGACAGCAGCCAGGTGCGAGAGCTTGTGCACGTTCAACAGATCCAGGCAAATCGGTGTGCTTTTGCTGCCATCCTGGTTGACGGCTCTACGGTGAGTTGGGGGAGCTCCTGACTGGGGCGGTGACAGCAGTCAGGTGCGGGAGCATTTGGTGTGAGTCAAGCAGATCCCAAGAAAACCCAAGCAACATAAGGTGCTTTTGCTGCCATCATCAACGATGGCTCCGTGGTATCTTGGGGCCACCTTCTCTTTGGCAGTGACAGCAGCCAGGTGGGAGGGCAGTTGGTGCGGGTCCAGCATATCCAAGCAACTCACTTTGCTTTTGCTGCCATTCTGGACAATGGGACTGTGGTGACTTGGGGGTATGGGCGCAATGGCGGTGACAGCAGCCAAGTGCGAGCGCAGTTGGTGCAGGTCCATCAGATCCAGGCAACGTTGCGTGCTTTTGCCGCTATCCTTGACGACTGCTCTGTGGTAACATGGGGGCCATCCTTGCTTTGGCGGTGACAGTGAGGCGGGGCAGCTGGAGCTGAGGCGCGCCCAGCAGCAGTAGGAGCTCCAGCAAGTTTAGGCGAGGCTGGAAATCGTCGAAGAAGCGGGAAGGCTTCTCTCTACGACAGTCAGATCGGTCTACAATAGGGGAGCGCATGGGCCTTGAGGTGCTGACTGGCAAAAGAGGCCGGAGCCATGTAGTTCAGCTCACTCGCGTCAGTTTGACATTGAGCGAACAGAACCTGCCGTGTTGCATTTCACCTTCCCAACAGAAAGTTTGGAGGCTGCAGGCAAGATTAATTAGTTTGAGCCAACTCCCATCTCATGCCTCTGAGGTCATGAAGGGCTTCGCTGTTCGGCACAACCTTTTTGTGGTTTGAATTTCAGGCCTGGCCCCCTTCCCTCCCCCCAGAAAGGTTCTCAGAAGCCTTCTAAGAACTTCATCTATGCGAAGCTTCTAAGATCCTTTTTGCTTGGCGGGGGGCTTTGGTTTCCCGTCCGAAAAGCCGAGAGAACACCCCATCCCTGGTTCTTCAGCCCTTCCGCAGGCTGGCTGACGGATCGGACTCCGAAGGTGAGAAGGCGAAGTTGCCACGTGGATTGAAAGGAAAACCGACAGGAAAACGAGGACTCGTTTGGGGTGCAGCCGAAAAAAACAAGTGGGGGGATGGGGAAACAGGGAAAAAGGGCACTCCGGTTTTCAGCCCGATTTTTGTGATATCAAGGAATGTCATGGGTATGGCTTGCTTTGGTACCGCGCAAGGAGCCGGAGGGCGTTTGGGGTGATGTGTGTGTGTGTGTGTGGCTTGTTTTTAGGCATCCCCCCATCCAAAAGAGAAAGAAGATGGTGGTTTTGTGCATGGGTTCCCTATTTAAGCGAACACACTTCAAACAAGGGTTCCCTCAAAAAAGACACTCACAGGAACACATAGATGATTTGGATGAGGGTAAGAGCGTGAGACACCTGGATGGCTTCTGATGTCTGTATGGTTGGTGTCACCTTCCAAAGTGGGTGGGATGAGTTCGGTGCCGCGGGATCAGACAGTCCAACTGGACAACAGTAGCAGACATGCACATTGACATTGACAACAAGTTGCACGGCTTGCCACAACTTGCTCAAATCCACAGGGCAGCCCAGCTTTTTGCCATCTCGCACTGCTCTGCCATGGCTCACCGGCCATGGATGTATTTCTGCTTGGTGATTTTTGCTGTCCTGGCAGATTGGTGCCGTTTTCCAGTGGTCCTTCGCGGCCTTGGGAGCTTTGGGCCAGCGGCATGTGGGGCGCACCCGACGGCGGGTGCGGGAGCGGCGCCAGCCAAGCCCCAGGCCGCGTTCGCAAAGGAACGAAGGAAGTGGCTATACAGCGCCTCAAATCATCACAAGCCGTGTGAAGAATGCTGGGTCAGCATCTCAGGTCTTGGATGTGATTTATGCTGAGAACAGCAATCCGGAATTGAACTTGATTTCAGTTTCGGCAGCGTGGAACAGGATTGCGGGTTTGCAGCGCAATGATGTGACTAGTCATGCATTCCTGCCGATATTTTTTGAGCGGACGCAGTCGCTTCTGAAGAAGCCGTCGGGATCATCGCGCGCAGTGGCCAACATATTCTGGGCAGCAACCAGGCTTCAACAACGCCTGCCCACACAGCTGGAAGGTTTGTGGCCAGATTTGATTGGCGCTGTGTTGCAGACAGCAAAAGACATGGACGCCCAGAGTGTTGCGAACGTGCTCTATGCGATCGCAAAGGCGTCGGCAGACAGCACGCACACAGAAGCTCTGTTGCGCTTGCTGCCTGGCTTGGCAACCAGGATCCCTTTTGTGACATCACGCATGAAGGCCCAAGAGGTTGCCAACGCGATTTGGGCGGTAGCAAAGCTTGCCATCAACGGCTCTGAGTCAGAAGTACTGTTGGGCTTGCTGCCAGCATTGGCAGGCACCATCCCAGAGGTGATTTCAGAGATGAATGCACAAGCGGTTGCGAATGTGATTTGGGCCACTGGACAGCTTTCAGGTGATGAATCACGCATGGTGGATGAGTTGCATGCCATGCTTCCCAGCTTGGTTGCTCGAGCGGAGGTGTTGTTGCCTGCTGCAACACCGCAAGAGATTGCAAACACTTGCTGGGGCCTGGCCCTGAGCCATTACCATGACGCGGGCTACCTTCAAGCCGTGATCCAACGGGTTGCAGAAGAAGCTGGCCAGTGGAAGCCAAGAGGTGCTGAGATGGACTTGCCGTCGCTGCTTTGCGCCCTTGCCAGGCTTGAGGCCAGTCAGCATGAGGATTTGCTGGGCGTTGTCGCCCAGAAGCTCTCACCCATGCTTGCCGCCATGAACAGTTGGGGTCTTTGTGCCCTGGCCTGGTCATACCAAGAGCTGGACCTGAATGATGACCATCTCGCCTTTCGCCAGACACTAGACGAGGAATTATCTCGGCGCGGCCTGTCCGAGCGGGATGTGGACAGCAGCCGTTTGGGGCCTGAGAGATGGCGCCGGGATGGTAGGTAGGCAAGTCGTAAGTCATGCTTGCTGATGGTGTTCTGACGAAGTCAACACACGGACCTTCCATGAGGTTTGGTTGAAATGCTTACCTATTTGCCCATGTTCTTTCACATTGACCCCTTTTAAGTGCCGCCCTTCGCTAGGACTAGACAGATTTCATTCAACATGGGAGGTCCTTTCTGTCAGGATCACTTGCCTCCCTCAAGGCAAGGAACTTGGCCCCTCTGGGTTTGGTTCCATTTTGACATGTGTTTTGCCTCACCGCCTAAGCAGATACCTTCCAAGGTGTGTCTCTATGTCTCCGCTAGACGATCCCGTCCCGGAAGTAGCGCACCCAGCCCCGCCGAGTGCAGGGGCGCCAATTCCTTGCACCCGGGGCTGCCGAGTGACTCTTCCAAGCCTTCGGATGGCCAACGCAGCTTGCGACACTTTGAGCTGAGTGCAAAACGCTGCTGGAGATGCCCGCCAGGGCTGAATACATGTGAACAGGCCGAACAACATATTTACAACGTCATATTTCAAGTGACAATGTTTCCCAAACCCATTGGTCAATGCTAATTGCAGGAACTGCAGGAGCCACTGACCAGCCGGATTTACCGTGGACAGGTTGAACATAGGACCTCTGGAACTTATCCATAACCATTACTTGACAACAACATATTTGAATACCTAAAGATGAGATCGCAGAGGACCCTGAGAAATTAAAATAAATCGCACACATTACCTCCCCATGACCCTACTTTACACGTCTGCCATCTGCCTTGTCAAGTGAGGCACCACCCTGCCAGCGTGCATCCGAAGTACATGCAGCTTGACAGCATGGGCTGTGGGCAAAGCGGAGGGCTCTAGCCTGATTATTCGTGTTGTTGGTTCCTTTTGGTCGTGGACGTGTTGGAATCTCGCTGATCTGTTTGAGGCTCATGTTTGGTCCGGCACGGCAAACAGAGCCACCCATTTGTCACTGTGGTGACTTGATGTTGGAAACGCCCATGAGCAAGAAACAGGGGGAGACAGGGGGCAATGGTAGTCCATCCATTGTTTGGGGGAGGATGAGATGGCAATGCAAAAGACTCAAGCAGTTCATGTCCATGAAATGTTGTCAAAGCTCAGAGGCGTCCAATGACATCGCGTGAATTGCATTGAACAACAATCTTTTGCAGGTAGTGTTTAAGCTCAAGGATGCCTGCATTCGTTTTACTCGAGCTTGCCCGAAGTAGAATGCGCCTGCAGCTTTGCACCCCTCTCAATGATTTGCTGGTAGAATGGAAGAACGTTAGCCGCCGTTGGCTTGGGTGGTCCGCATATGTCGACAATTCAGGCCGGCTTTGGCGTTGGGCAGAGGCTGAACTTCTGGCTCATCTCGTCGGGGCTTTCAGCTGCATACACCAGTTTCCAACTTGAGCCTTCAACTGCAGAGACAAAGAGAAGCAAACTGACTTGACATGGATTCCAGGCTGTTTACCATTTCCACCACAAACTATGAAGAGTAACGAATCACAGTAGTCTCACCTCCTTGCTTCAATGGAAAAGCGCGTGGCCGAAAGTGCGACCGGTCATGACTTCAAAACGGCGGCGTGGGCCGGTCCACGTCTTTGTGCTTCTCGTGGCCTTGCTCTTCCTTCGCTGCCCTTCGTCCTTTGCGACGGTGTCCAAGGGTGAAAGGAGAAGCTGGGGCTGGGGTTCACAGCGAAAGGGTCAAAGTTGGGGACACTGGCGCCCTTGATGCGAGGGGCCCAGCAAGTACTCGCAGTTTACTCCTATGATCATGACTATTTTTGGGTTCCCCACAGCCCCATTTCTGATGATTGAGTTGCGCTTATAGCCCTTATAGTAGCCTGTGGATCCAAGTATCTCCTAGAAAGGCACCCTCTGGGGCAGGCTTGGTGGGTCCCCTAAAATCATCAACCCCGAAAAGGTTCCCTTTTGTTGGGGTCACTGGGCAACTGTGATTTTTGTTTTTTTCAGGGGCAACATGACGATTCATAGTTTTCTCCAAAGATCACAACTAAGTTTGGTATTGAGGTACGCTTGGCTGATTCTACTGAATCCCCAAAACTGTGGCCCATGAGTTCCGCCCCCGCAGGACGGCCCCAACGGCCCCGAAGGTGTTGCCCTCGCACTTGACGCGGCGTATCAAAGTGGCCGGCTCCAAGACTCAGGCGGGGTACAACTCAGGTCACATGGGTGTGTCTTAAAAACGAGGCCCCCCGAAATATCCCGAACTTGCGGTTTTTAGTTCCCGTTTCAATTCACCCTTCCTGGTCGCTAGCATGGAGCCCAAGGGAGACGGTTGGGTATTCACAAAAGCTTGGGGACTCACTGGTAAGTTCAACCATGGCTTCCCCATACCAGTTGCCGCTAGCGTTTGGGATCATGGCCCCTCTGTTTGTGTCCTTTTGGGGGGGCATGTAGGGACGCCTAGTGGGGAGGACCGTGCTAGTGGCAAAGAAGGCGCTTGGACTTTGTTTGGCAATCCACTCTTCCGGAAGTGAGACTACTAGAAAGTACCCATTTGTTTCGTTCATTGTTTCGTCCAGTTGTTTTAATATAGTGTCAACATAGGGGGATCTCGAATTGGCTTTGGTTGTTCCATTGAAACTAGGGTGAACCGGGTACCAAGCCTCAAGAAACAGACACCCGGACGGACTGTGTCAGGTGCTGGGGATTTTGAAGGCGGAGAGCAAGCGGTTGAACTTGCCGCTTGCTCGAACAGTGGGAAGAGACTCACTGTTTTTGGCGGAATTGTTAGAGCTCAGCCGGCTGAGCTGTTGGCCTTTTCTTTTGCATGTTCCAAGTTGAGTTCACTCTTCACGGACCCAATTTGTCGGGCGATTGCTTCACGGCCTCATTGGAGACTAAGGATTTCGGTCACCGCAGCATGGAGCAAGCTCGCACAAGTCGGGGGCGGCGATGTGAGCCAAAGCCCATTCTGGCCAAAGTTTCTTCGCCTGACAAGGTCTTTGCTGCGTAAGCCGCCTGCCGACGTGCGCGCAGTAGCAAACATCTTCTGGGCCGCTGCAAAGCTGCAGGGCTCCTTCGCTGTCTTTGGCGCCTTTGTTTGTGTTTTGTCCTCTTCATCTTTGGATGGGGGCTGCACACACAGACTAATGCATGTTGAAACTTCCCAAAAAAGGCGGTGGTCATGTTTGTGTTGCAGGTTTGGTCCTGTTCAACTTTTGGGGGGTGGGACTGCAAAGAACTCCCTGCACACTCAAACTACCCCAAAGAAGGGGAACTCACCCATTTTGGGTAGTTTGAGCGTGCAGGAAGTTGTTTTTGTGCCGGGTTCCCAAGCGCTGGGAAGGTTCCTTGCAGCCGCCCGAGCTGCAGTCATGTTTGCTCGGCGGCGTCAAGAAGACCGCGGAGCAAATGAATGCCCAGGCTGAATCGACGCGACGGATCGAGCACTTGAGCTTTTCACGTGCCACGCGTTTGTTTAGAGCATCCCCTTTTGGCGGTTGGTTTAAATGAGTATCGAAAGGACAGCCACGATTTTGGTCGCCCAATTTCACCTTCCTGTGCCTGTGGCAGTGGTCCCTCAATTGCATTTTTGTTGGACCACTAAACTAAATTCTTCAGCCTGAGGGGAGATCCGGGTTTGACCCCTTGAGGAGGTGGCCAATGTGATCTGGGCCTTGGCCACGGTGTGCCCTTCCCCCAACTGTGAGCCGCTGCGCGTGTTGCCAGCGCTGGCGACGAGGCTCCCGCTGGTCGTCTCTGAGATGAGGGCTCAGGACGGCGGTTGTGCTTTGTGTGTTTGTTTTTGCCGCTTGGTTCCATGTTCATCTTGGTAAACAGGGGAAACAAGGGAAACCGCCAGGTGGGTTTCCCCGAGTCTAGCACACCTGCGTATAGGCTTGTGCGGTTCTGCGATGGGCAAACCTTGTTTCTGATAGGATGGGCTCACCGATCCGCGAGTGAAACGAGCTCTACTTGATGTATAGGTTTGTTACTTGTGGATCCCTTATTTCCGGGTCTTGGAGAATTGTCAAATGAGCAGACTTTGGGACTGTGGCTTGCTTTCCTGGTGTGTTACTTTTCTTGGCTGGGTTGGTGGGACCTTTAAGCTTACGTACACATATTTACCCTCTCACCCGACATTCTGATGTTTGCATTCAAAAAGGGAATTTGCCCCACCACAATACCTGCGACTTGCGGAAGGTACATGTTTCCGCCGTTTGGCAAAACGACACAAGTTTTCAGCAGTTTCGCGAACAAAAACTCCATTTGCCTAAGAGCCGTTTCACAATGCCGCTTTGAAGGCCGTCCAATGGTCGAGAAACGTTGCCGCTTCGATTTGGCAAGTGACCGCCTGCAACGCTGAACTTGCAGCAGTGTCGTTTCACAAAAAACACCATCGCTGGAAACCATTGTTTGTTTGAGATCGTTTGAGCTTTGCAGGCAAGGGGCGCAAGCTTCCCGTTGAATGGATCCTTTGAATGCATCAAGGGGGGGGGGGGGAATTCAGCTGCGAGTTTTTTATATTTCTTCGGTTGCTGCTGGCTCTCGTGCAATAATTTCAATCATTGAGTTTGCTGAGTATTACTCGCCAACTGGCGATGTCCTCATGTCACTGTCGCACTTCTCCCGAGTTTGGTTTTTCTTCTTCAGTCTTCCTTTTTCTTCTCCCAGCAAGAACATAATCCCTCCGTTCGACGGTATTTGAGGGTCCAGGTTCCCTGAACGGGCATAGGTACCCTCACAAAGATGTGCGGTGTCCGTTTGGTCTCCCTTCAACACCAGCCAAAAGGTGTGTCTCCAGAAGCAGACAACCCCAACTTGGCTGTTTGACCGCATCGCCCCTCAGACCTTGAAACTACATGGCTGTTCCCTCAAACCTGCAAACGGTCAACTCTGAGGGGCGTTTTTTCCCTCAACAAAACGAGCTTTTGCAAAACCATGACTTTCAACAGTGACTTTTCGGAAATACATGACTTTTCCTTGGCGACGCACGGCTCGGGCCAAACCCGTCGGCGGTCAGGAGGTGGCCAGCAGCATTTGGGCCATCGCGCGGCTTGCCGCCAATGGGCGCTCCGAGGAGCTGCTGGGCATGTTGCCGTTCTTGGCGGATCGCGTGCCGCAGGCCCGGTGGAAAGAGCAACAGTTTCCACACCAAGTGTCCAGGCCCAGGTTGGACACTCAAACTACAAATATCTACAAATGAAGAAGGGATTCCCCCGATTTTTGTTTGATACTTTTGGGCAGTAGCGCGGTTTTTTATGGGTAATTAGTCACGTACCTGTTTGAGGAACAATGTTAACCAGGAGGCAAGCCAAAGATTTGATTGCCTTTGGAAACCAGGTCCAGGTTGTTCACCACTCCAAGGCCTAGATGATTGCCATGGGGTTGTGACAAAGCCAAATAAAGCCATGGGCATGAGAACAACACATGTGGGAGTGTGTTTGTTGTCCACAAAATCATTCATTGTGAGGCTTTCGCACAGCTACTTGTAGGTTTTTCCTTTTTGGGTCGTCAGACATTGTGCGTGGGATTATGTCCGATATTTTTCAGGAACAGAATCTAAAGATCTCATTGGTCGGCCTGCGCCAACACTGGACCATTTCATTGCACGAATGGAACTTTTGAAGACAGGCATAAAACAAATTATGGCCCCATAGATGTTTTTACCCTCTTTACAATCATGAAATGGACAGGGCCTTGTTTAAGAGCTTAGTAGTTTTCCAAACACTCCTGTTCACTGCCATGAATTGTTGGAACGAGGGTAAACTCTGGGGCAGCATGACCCACAGAGTTATTTGAACAAGAAAATGTCCGATGGACCTCCATGCCCTGTGTGTTTGGTCAGAAAAGAGTCCAACAGACAGACATGCTTTTGTTGTTTATACTTTGCGCAACCCTCACGAGCAAACCTTTTAAGGGGTCACACCAGACACTTTCCAGGGCATGCTCCTTTTGAGCAACCATGTGGGTTTGTCAATTGAGAGGAAAGCCAATTTGATTGCCGGTTTCGCTTACCTCTCTTACCTAGTGATGAAATATGTTTTTGTTGGCACATGTGTTTACGCATTGTCAATTGTTAAGGGCCAAATAGTTAACTTGGCAGATTAGTATACAGTATGTTGGTTCTTCAGCAGGGCTCTCAAGAGGGAGGTGTTGCACCCCCAGGTGACTCCAGCCCGGGAGAAGTTGCTTTCCTCAGAAAGGATCCGAACCCTTGTGAAGACTTCCAGTTGATCAACATGTGGAATCCTCATGGCGCAATCGCCTGCAGGTCTTTGTTTGGAATCGGCGAATCGCCAAGAGGGGGCTCTGGGGAGCAGTGATCTAGACCCAGGCTATAAGGGGCTTGTTCCTGGCTTGTCCTTGGCTCTAGGGACAGCTGCTTAACGGTGATCCGGCAAAATATCCACCAAACATGCAGATGAATTCGACCCTTCAGGTGACCTCCGATATGACGGAGCAATCCGTGGCCACTGTGATCTGGGCAGTGGTGAAACTTTCGCAGGCGAAACGGCGTGGTTTCCGTGGAAAAGCAACTTTCAACAGGGTGCACCCATATGCCCCCACTATATTGCGAGTGAACCAACCATATACATCACAAAACCATGGCAAGCTACGGAAAACACTTGGGGGATTGCCTTGCTCCCTTTTTGCCGTATTGAGTTGGCATCTGTTACAGGATACATTGACATCTCGCCATGAATCCTTGTGAACTGCCAGCATTTTGTGGTGCATACGAGGAACCCTGCAATCCAGGCGTGGAATTAAACACTTTGAGCAGGCATCCTTGCGCCTTAAACATCACCTTTTTGTGCCAACCTTGATTGAGTGTTCCAGTCGATCTGTGAGGAATCGCCTGAGGGAATTCTCATGAGGCACAGGCTGGTTGCAACATTTATTTACTGTCCTGTTCAAATTATTGATCCTCTCCTGCGCAAGGATCGCAATGCTTGATCCTTCACCTGATTTACCAGCGAAAGGCATCTTGTGATCATTCCAAAGGGATGGATTGGGATTGGCCAAACTTCGATGATATGCCTTTCTAGCAACGGTGCCCGCCTCCAAATGGACATCTAGAAGGGCAGTCGAACTGAGCCAAGGTTGACAATGCTATTGATTGGGTAGACCCCTGATTGTGTGGCGCAAAACACACACACGGGGAGACGTGGTTCGGGTGTGGAATTTGTTGGGTTGAATCTGAAATAAGGAACACATTCTGCATGGACAGAGTAGTGTGATGACTCCAAGCGATTCCGATATTTAGTTCTTGAATCTTTACATTGCCCAGATCGCAATTACTGCTATAGTAGGTAACCCTTCGCCATGTCAATGTGTCTTCTTGTTTGGAATGGGCGGTTCCCTTGGTTACTTACCATATACACGGAATTGGAATTACGGGTTGGTTTGGATTCCGACTCGTGTGCCTCACCGACGAAATGCCAGGTGGGCATTCGGACCGGGGAGGGCTTGCTGCCTGTGGTGGCAGCAAGGATTCCCGCAGTGATCTCGAAGATGCAGGCGCAAGCGGCTGCTCAGCCTCCAGCAATTGAGCAGTGCAAGCCAGCCACATTTAGTTTTGTGAAGTCCATGTGGTTCGTGTGTTGCTTTGGTGTCATTTCAAGTGCGATTGTGCAGTTTAAAGCAATAAAGCACGAATCCCAGAACCAACTTAAGTTTGACCGTCTGCGACCAACAAGTGCAGATCTTTAGGTGTTGTCAGCGTTAGCTGGGTGTTTAGTCTTGCTTCTCCTTACATCGATCCCTTTGACCATAATACCACAAATCAGGTTGTCCTAGCTTGAGGACCCTTGTTTATGGTATTTGCAACCTAATCGCCAAGCAAAATCATTTCAAGTTGGCAATCTCTTATCCGGAAGACCTGGAGAGGCAGGGGGTTTCTTAGGTCTCCCAATGCCTGGCATTTAGTTGCATATTTTCTGGCGAGCTGGGCCATCGTGACGCAAGCCCTTTACGTGCAGATCCAATGCTTATTTCAGGTTCTGGAATTGTACGTAGAATGTGCAGAACTCCTGGAGCTTGTCCTTTACATACTTTACATGGCTGCTCTCTGGTGGGACCTTCAAGCTTGTCATTTATCCAGACTTCCCAAAGCAAACCATGACATTCCATGAGTCTATGTTTGAGCCAGACTCCAGCCACAGTGTACTTGCCAGATCGCGATTTTCATAATATATTCATTTGGCATTTTAATGGGGATCACCTGCAAATTTGTAGGCGACGGAAATCCACCTGCAAATGAGCCTCCAAAGGTTCCGCAATTAAATTCATACCCATTTGCAACTCCGAGAAAGGAGTTCCCAAGAAATCGCAGCAACCCTGCCCCATGTCAAATGCCCCAAGGACTGGGGCAAAGGAAAGCCCGGAAATCGATAGGTGGTGTTCAATGTATTAGTGTGCTTTTGGCTTTAGTTTGTTGCCTTTCTGTTGAGACCACCTGTTTGTTGCTATATACTCTATATAATAGATGTTGCGGTTGTTTTGAGTCGCGAAAGGGCAGGTACCCTCTACCAATTTCCACCAGCTTCCTACCAATTGTACTTTTTTTCAGATGTTCATCATTGCAGGTTCGGGGAGTGTATGTATTATGTATAGTGGGTTCTACGGATTGTTGCAAACATTCACCAAAAGAAGCACAAACTAGGATAATATAGGTTATCATGTATATGTGCTTGTACAAAGGCAAAACCTCAGGAATTCATTTGCGGCCCTATGCATACACCGAGTTGGAGACATCGGTCCACGCACCAACTATGTTTGGTGTTTCTTCCGGGGGCTCTTTGTTGTGTTGCAGAGAGTTTGTGCCCCAGTTGTCAATTGTGGTTTACAACCAGATCTGGGCACTATCACTAATTAGCCCGCACCTCATCAGAGCGCACTGGCTCGAAACCGATCACGCGTGTTCTGAAGGCGTCCAGGTACACATTTGTCATAGCAGTCTGCCCGAGAACGACTTGTGTGCACAGGAATCTAAGGGCGAACTTTCAGGTTTTGTTGAAAGGGTTGCCATGGTCATATTTTGCCGATGATCGGAGGCCTGGCCTGGCAACCGCAAGTGGCCAGTTTGAGCTGCGGCATGTTGAGAGCCATGCCTTCTGTGTGGTTGCCGCGTTGACTCCATCAACGCAAGGATAGCGTCTGGAATAGGCACATCCCAGCGGCGCCATATGAGCAATGACGCCCAATGCCTCGAAGCTGCAGCGTGTGAATCCAGCCGAACCTGTGGAGTGGAGAGATTACTCTTTGTCCAGCAAATGCTTGGCACTCCGTCTCCCTTGAGCTGCCCAAAGCATGCGATCAACGCACGTGCCATGATTGCTCCTGTGATTGCCACTGATATGCCTGAGAGCTCCATCGGGCCAAAATGAACGGCCGTTGTAATTTTGGACGGGAACTTCTGAACGCCGTCAGTTTGCAAGAAACGCCGTTGGCCCGTGGCTGATCCAAATCAGCTCATATCCCTGACGCCGGAAGGCAGCGTCATGAAGGCATCCTTCCATGGTGAAAGTTATGTGAAGAACTTCATCAAGAATGCACTTGCGATGTTCGGGCTTGAGTTCCGTTGGGACGCGCACTTCCGCCGTCAGGACGTAAGTTTCCTCTGGTGCAAGTCGATAACTTTTGCACACCCAGCACAGAAGCTGGCAAAGTCGCATAGTCGCGTGTCCAAGGTGCACAGATCTTGCAAAGCAGCCCACCTCAGGCCAAATGCGCACCAACCGCAAAAGCGCCGTCGCAATTGAAAAACACCGCCACAACCCCCTCCCCTTCGAGTTCCGGCGCTCAAGAAGATATTGATGGCTTCATGGAAGCAATGAAGGCGAACCAAAGTGCTGACCGTAGCTTTGGCGCCTGTCAAACGTGAATGGACCAAGTGCATTATAAGCACGCCTATCAACATCTCGTCGGTGCGTCGTGGAGCACATGGCGAGCTTCAGAACCGTTTGGAAGGCCACCCCGAAAGCCGCAGTTCGTGTTTTGGCACGTTGTCCCTCGGCAACAGCTCAGTTAAAACTGTGACGAGCATTGGCTCAGTGCAAAACGAGTTTTAGCCTTTTTTGTAGCTTCTGGTAAGTCAGCTACGCATAGTCACGCATCCGTATGCATCCGTGATGTGCAGCAGAACTGTGTGTAATGCTATCTACTTGCTAAAGTATAATATGTGTCCCTCAAGTCTTGCACAGCCGTCACCGACAGCTTCCCATTCTCTACAACCCTTGCTGACCTTTGCACGCCACCTCATTGCAAAAGCGATGGCACATGCGCATTCGCGCATGAGCGCCAAAAGCGCGTAACATTGTCACAGACCAGACTGTAACGGCGCTTCTTTATACACGAAATGCAGGTTTGATGCTCGACGTCCGGCTGTTATGCGCGAAATTGCGCGAACACCTGTAGGTCCCGATGTTCCAAGAGAGTCAGAAGGAAAGTGGCTCGTGTTGCCTGGCTGAATCGGGCGTTTGTCTTGACTTCGTGAAATTCGAAGCATGCCACGCGGTGCCCGTCAGTACCTGGGAAGTTGCCGCAGCTTCTTGGAAAAGTGGCAACCCGTGATCCAGCTGGGTGCCCATGCATGTGAGGCTGTCCGGTTCAATTCGTTCGGTAGGAAGACAAAAAGAGGAAGGAGGACCTGATTGTTGGTGCTCGGCGTCTCTGGATTGTGTGACAAGAAAGCACGTTCGTTGTGCGCACAGTTGACAGCACGATCTGGAAAGTCTCATGTTTGCATACGGACAATGCGCCCGATTGATCATGGACAGTCACCTTTTCCAGGGTGTGAAATACTGTGTTCTACTGTTTTCCAATGGGTGGCAGATGGCTGAAACACCCTTGTGTTGTGTGTGTGTGTCTGTTTCTTTGTTTAACCATTCTATGATACATAGCTAGGTCCCCCAGTAGTGCCCTTTTACCGTTTTTTCGGGGAGGGTTTCCCTACTAAGATAGAGTACAGAAAAAGGGCACCCTTATTCTAACCTCTCTACTGGAGAACCTAGATAGTTTCACCCACTCAGGTTGCCAACGTGCTGTGGGCCGCCGGCCAGCTGGCCCGGCGCCCGACGTCGCCGTATTCCTTCCGCGCGCTGCTGCCGGACTTGGCGGCACGCGCCAGGGTGGTGCTGAGAAGGGCCAAGCCGCAGGAGACCCAAGTGGGGATGGGTCAAAATTAAGCCACCAGGGGACCGCAGGCTTTGGTCCATGTTCCTATTTGCCAAAATTCCATTTGGGGTACGTATTGTTGACCCACACCCAAGTCAAAATCCCATGTAGTCTCCTGGAACCCAAAAAGCGCACACATTGGCAGAGAAACCTTTTTTTGGGGGGGGATCCATGGTACAAAGGTAGGGGAGTATCATGGTGGTTTGACTGGTTCAAACAGAGGTCCCAAGTACAATCCATCTGCCTATGGTCCATTTGGGAAGGGCATGGGGGACTGGCGAGGCTTCCCACAAAAACGAGGGAGTCATTCAGTTTCCCGCGTCCTGTGCAGCAAGCAAGTATTGTCGACCGTGGCTCACGTCCCAAGGTGATTTTGAGAATTGCTGGGCACCAAACATGTGGTACTGTAACATCTCAAGTTGAACGACCCCCCGCCCCATTCAAGAGGATTCTCCCGGCTTTGTCAACCCTCCATGCCCTAACTTCACAGCAGTGGTTGATCCCACAGATGTCCTTTTGACCTCCAACAACAATCCTGCACGGTTGGGGGCCATCTATTGTTCTAATGAGATACGTCTGAAACAGGGCTTCCCGTACTTCACTGGATGTCCCGAACGAGCGCATGAGCGATTGTCCTTTCCAGAAGGATATTTGAATCCAACAAATGGATGGCGTCAAGTTCAGCCGCGCTTCTTGGCGGTCCCAGTGCATCTGGTCATAGAGCTTTCTGTCTACTGGCACAAGATACAGGGCCTCTACCCCCAGAATGGTCAACGACCTTCTACTACATCTAAGGTTCCTTTCGATCCTGCCGGTTTCCCATTTGTTCCTCCATGGAAACCACAAAGGTTTGTATGCGTTCCTAGTTCCCTTTTCAGGAGAAAGCGTTGCGGGCAAACGCGAAGCTGGACCTAACTGGGTATGAGCCGACTGTCCGTTTGGTTTTCCTTTAAGCCCCTTGAAGCGATTTTTAAAAGGGTACTCTGAAAAGCATATAGCCACACTATGGGCGCACAGAATCCTGCACCAGTTGGGTTGGGTTGAATCCATGAATACCGGGATAAGCTTTGTAAGCCATCCACCAACTGGTGCAAGATGTCCGGCCACAGTGTGTCATTTTCCCTTTCCTTCAAACCGCCCTTTTCCAGATCAACTGCTAAAGAAGGCCGCCGTACAACACCCCTGTGAACCATTCCTGGTGGCTTCCTTGGAGCAATCCAAGGTAGAAACCATTTGTAGGTGACACACTGGGTTACCAAACCTGAGCCCCATTTGGGTGATTGACGAAAAAGTGACGACCCCAGAAAGGGGGCCAGCAATCGAGTTGTCTTCCCATGCCATGGGGCATCGCCTATGGCTCCATTTTGGGTTGGATGAACATCCATTTGCCAGCCATTGAGATGTTCACCAGGTACAGGGATTTGACCCACAGCCATTTTTTCCTCACAGGAGATCGCCAACATGTGCCGTGGCCTGGCGTTGGGCGAGCACAGAGACCCTGACTTCCTGCAAGCCGTCGCAGCTCAGATCCAGCAAGCTGGCACATGGAGCAAGGTTGATGCAGAACCTTGAGCCCAAAAAGCCGGAAGAACGGATGCGGCCGTTTGTTCCGATCATTTGTGTGTTTTTGTTTATTCATGTCTTTCTTTCTTGATTTATTCCTTTATTTCTTTCTTTATTTCTTTCATTATTTGTTTCTTTCTTTCTTTCTTTGTTCTTTACTTCTTTCTTTCTTTCTGCTTTCTTTCTTTCTTTCTTTCTTTATTTCTTTCTTTCTTTCTTTCTTTCTTTCTTTCGTTCTTCTTTCTTTATTATGTTATTCCTTTCACCTCCATCATTTATCCTGGCACACTAACCATTTGAAGGCCTGCTCGGGAAGCGCCTGCTAATTTCTTGGACTCGGCAATCTGAGGAGCGGAATTTGCCGCAAGTGCTTTGGTCCTTTGCAAGACTGCAAGATCTGCAAGAGTTGCCAGACAATGAGGAAAGGGTTTGGCAGAACAAAAACCTCGGTTTTTTGAACGACCAGCTACGAAACCGATAGCAACTGGCGTCTAAATACTAGGGAACCCTCCAAGAATGATCAGTCCAAAGCCGGTCTTTGAGCCTTTATGGGTTTTCCGTCATTTCAGTTGGTCAACATCCCAAAAAGCTTATAGAATGAAGCCTGAGACTTGTCTCCAAATGAGGGCAGCCCCGAACTGTGTTGATTCTTTTTGTGTCCTCTTCACAAGGTACCCTCAACAGAAGATGCACTCACGCGCTTGGGCAAGCCAGACGTCCCAAATATGTGCATGAGTGCGTGCGTGCGTGCGTGCGTGCGTGCGTGCGTGCGTGCGTGCGTGCGTGCGTGCGTGAGTGCGTGCGTGCGTGCGTGCGTGCGTGCGTGCGTGCGTGCGTGCGTGCGTGCGTGCGTGCGTGCGTGCGTGGGTGGGTGGGTGGGTGTGTGTGTGTGTGTGTGTGTGTGTTTGTTGAGGCTACCATTGTCACCTTGTTTGAAGGGAAGCCAAAAGGACGCCCCGCCCATTTTTCGAAGCAGTCAGTGAGACGGTGTCAACACGTGAGGAGCTTCTGCTGGCTGTGGCCAGGAAGTTGTCTGTGCTGGACAGCATGAACGACTGGGGACTCTGCGCGTTGACCTGGTCATACCAGCAGCTGGACATCTGCGACACCTGCCTTGATTTCCACCAGGAAGGGATTAGGGGGAGAAGCCATGCCCTCAAACAGAATCAGGCTTTGCAGGTGTTGCGCTTCAAAGGGACCTGACAATTGGTGCTTGTAGTTAGCCCTTGATTTAGCCGGGCTACACCGTCCCCCCTTTTGAAAAAACAACAAAAGGCAATACGACCCGGACAGCCTGTTGTTTTAGCAAAACGGCAGGGGCGAACTTATTGGCGGTGTTTTTGTTCAACGTCCAAAACCATTTTGTCCCTTTCAAGCGCGTCTCAAGTTCGCGCAGGACTTGGCGATGGCCGTGGCGCTGCGGAAGTTCTCACGGGCAGATGTGGAGCGCAGCTCCCTTGGGCCGGATGTTTGGCGATAAATCCAGGCTGAGGATTCCTGGCTTCCCTTCAAGCCCTTTGACCTGTGAGTTCTAGTATGGACGATATTGACGGCGTAGATGCCATGTGCATTGATGGATCATTGGCGCGGGCATCGTTGTTGTTTGGGTTCGAAGTGATCATAATCAGCTCGGGGCCGCAAGAAAGCCGAGACCACCAGCGCCGTGGCCCATGTTCTGCCCGCATTGAAGCGAGGAGTGGATTCACGGCAGGGTCAAGTTGGAACGTGCCCCAGATGACCTGAAGCAACGGCTGATGGTATTGCTTCTTGGAGTCTTCTACGCGCTCTGAGAGACCGAACCTGCTAGCAGTTTGAGTTGCATTGGCAACAAACAGTTTGCCCCGGTTGCCGCAAGTACACCTGGGACATCCCAATATTGGTGGATCCTTTCTGCATGTTGCTTTCGCGGTCACGACAAAGCAAATTTGAATATCACCCAGTTACAGGGTTCGCGCACGAAAGCAGATGTCGGGTCCCTTTTTGCGCTTTCAGGCTGGACAGCAAGCGGAACCTTTTTATCATTTTTCCGGCAAAGGTTTCGTTTGAAAACCACATCTGCCAATTATAGCGCCTTTTTCTTGCCCAGTTCCCCAGTGCGGTATTTCCTCTAACCTGTGGGGAAGGGTAAACTCCTTTAAAGACTGCTTTAAAATCAACCAACAAAGAATGGGTGCTACATTTGCCCTGAGAACTCCACTGGGCCTGGCCAAGCCTATCAAAAATTCACGGAGTTTGCTCAGTTGGGTTCAGGGCTTGGGAACATGTCGGAAAATTGTTTGCAGACCTAAAACACATTATTCCTGCCTTCAGGATCAATATACATTCTCGGCTCGAACCATAGAGGAGTCCTTCTTCAGTTGTATGGAGACTCAATTGAGGCCGAGCTAAATGTAACCTTTGCCGTTAGACCTGTTGGAAATGACTGGCTTTTCCATGACACCTACAAAAGCCTAGACGTTTTGCTCACGGGACAAGAGCAACCCAGCAAACACTGATGACTATCCTGGCATCAGAAGTTAATGGGGCTTGGGCGTTGCCATTGCCTGCAGAAGTGATAGCCACCACGTTGGGTTGGCCTGGCACCTCATACTCTCAACTTCAGTGAAGTACTCCGACGGAGCCAGCGAGTCTTCGGCAGTTCTTGTATTCGTCATGCATGACCTCCTTTGTTTTTGCAGATATTACCGCTGCTTCCCTTGCTGTAAGCTTCTTATTGGTCTTTGCAGGATGACCAGGACATACCACAGCACTGTGTGAGGGTGTGCAAGGGACCCCCAATTCTTAATTGTGGCCCACCCGATTCCTGGAAAATCTACTGTGTGGCAAGGTCTTCTTTTTGCAAGTAGATGCGGCGTTTTCCCCAGAAGGAAGCGACAATACATGGAAAACATGTTTTTATGTTATGCGTGTTGTTCAGTTCCCGAAGATCTATTTCACACCTGATAGATCACGGAGCTGGTACGTTGTACCGTGCCAGAGGCTGTTAACTCGGCTGTTTGCGTACCAGCTAAGCATTTGGTTGCTACCGAAATCGCACCGCATGCGGATATTGTGGACACCGGGAATCGGCTCTAAAAGCATTGGATTTGTCTCAAAATAGGGAACCCCCAAGCATGTCCATGTTTCTTTTGGTATCCCCTTAAACCAACCAAACTGGGATTCCCCAACAAACGCACACCCGTTTCTTTAACTTGCTGACCAATCTCAACGATCAACACGGACTTTGGCAACACTATTTGGCGAATAGCCGAACAGAGCAGACATCGCAGTCAAAAGCAAGTCCATTCCACCACCGTTTATAGTCGAATCTTGATTTTGGAGGCTGCTTCTTAGTTTTTTTCCCCATGTAGGTATTTGCGTGAGTCTCCGTATGTTTTGTTTAAATGGGAACACCCTCGGGCATGATGTCACATCCACCAAAGGGTCCAACGAATTGAGATTCATTCGACATTTGCAACATTTTGCAACCATTTGTTTTTGTTTTTCCCAAAAGAACACCTGAAAGGGGATGGTATTCATTTTTCCGCCACATTTCCATACCTTTCAGCATTTGCAGTTTTTCTTGAAACCTGGAAAGCAACTGCCAACAAACATGTTTTTCCTACAGTCATGGATGCACGTCGTTGCTCACGCGGACGCCTTTTGGGTCCTCCCCAAAGAGTTGGCCTGCCTTGAGCTTAAAGTGGAAAACCCACGAAGAACTGGCCCAGCTGCTTCTGCCCGGCACGACTTGTCTTGCTGGTGCTCAGTAGGGAATGTGGGAACGAACCAAGGAATTTCCTGAATTAAAGGAAACCACCACGTAAATAGTTTATAAGGGTCATTCCTGCATTCCCTGCTGAGCAAGTTGTTATCACGGTTAAATAATATGTGAACCCCATACCGATGGCGTAGTCACAGGCCGGATGTTTCTTGCATTTTCTATTGGGGACCTGTACTGATTCATCGGCGCACAAGGTTGCCTGCAGTTTTGTATTGTCATGCTGTATGAACGAGCAATTATTGAGATGCCATCGTCTAGGTTTGCAGCATGTAATGTTGACCCAGGCAATAATCAGCAGTCTAACATACCGGTGCTCCATCCGAGGACTCCGAGGTGCCCACATTGGGGTTAGTAGGTGTTGGGTGTGGCCCCGGGGTTGAGGACCGTCACTTCGGCTCTCCGTCTGGTTGGAACCAAAGTCCATTCGAACCTTTTGCCAACCTTCCTCACACGCATTGCGAGACTTCGCTTGCCTTTTCAATTGTTTGGCGGCCTTGTGGGTTTTCCTTCAGTGTCCCTTCTGCCGACGTGCTGAATTCGACAGGATTCCTAGACATGATCTTGTCTTTGAATGCGGACACCCACGCCAACATATCCCCGAACACAGCCACACCTATGTGACGCATGCACCCAGGCTCCAAGAGGTGAACCTCTGATTTAGATGTTGGGGAATGGGGAAAAAAGGTGACAGCAAGGACGACCTTTCCTGTTCCCAGCCTAAGGTGGTTTCGGATTTGTTCTGAGCCCTCCAGATGCCAGATCTAGATAGTTGAGGCACCTAGGACGCATCGCAAAAACGCTGACGATGCCTAGGCCCTTTGCTTGGGGGACCACTTAAAGAATGTACTTGTTGCGGGATTTCTTCCAAACGTTCTTGATTGCTTGAATGTGTGCATAGCGGCTTCCCTACCCTGCAGTCATGAGGGCGCCTTGTAAGAGCTGCCAACATGGTAGCCTGTTCATTTGGGGGGGGCCTACCCAATTCAATATTCCCAAATTCATGTTCACACAAAAATTAGGGGCCAACCGGCCTGCCCAATGAAACCATTTGTATACACTAGGTCTCCCAGTAGTGCCCTTTTACCCTGAGGGTTCCCTTTTAAAATAGACTACAGAAAAAATCGGGTACCTTATTCTATCCTCTCTACTGGAGGACCTAGTGTTAGTAAGATTGGCCGTGCCTCATCCGTCCGCAGCTTCGCCGATGACCCCCTCGCCAAATTGTTCATCCTCAGACAGCCATGTCGAGCCAGCGGTTGCCGTGCCTGCTTCTAGCACTGCTGCTTTGCCACGATACATTCACTGCCTGCCACATGGCTGATCCAGTGTTTGCCACTGTTTGGCCATTCTTCCTACCCCACCTTTGTTGCATTTGTGCTTTCCTCATGCTTCAACCATGATTTTTGTCCAACCAACCATGTCCAATCAGTTTCAGGTAGTTTATTGGCGATTTGGAATTTGAACCCCACTGTTGTTTGTAGTCTTTGTAATGGAAGACCACCCCCCCAACCTCCAAAACACCAATCCAAACCCTCCATTAGAGGAAGCTAATGTGCAATCGGCTACTATTTGTTTCCGTTCATTTTGCCTGGGGTCTCCTGGTCGAGGCCCTTGGACCTTCGCAGTTTCGGCCCCGCCTTCGGCGATTCGAGCGAGGGCCAAATCCAGAGCTTTGACAGGCCAGGGCAAATCGGTTTGAACCGCCATGGATAACTGTTTGGGAATGTATATATTGCATGTTTACCGTGCTGTAAATAAAGACCTTAAGATAATATGTTTTGTTTGGGGCAATAACTGATGGCCCTCTTCCAGGTTAACGTCGGATGAATCGAGACGGAGAGCTACACTAATACAAGAGCACTCGCCCTGGAATGAAACAATTCACTGCTAGTGGAAGCACCCAATTCAATACTATGGTCCCCCCGGAATCTTCCAAAGTTGGCATGTAGGGGAACCTGGCTTGTATTCTCAGCGAAGGCAGGCAGCTGTGAGGGAGGGCTGGAGGTTCAATTGTTTGCAGGCACCCCAGGTGCTATGGTAACGTGGGACAGCCAGCAGGGTAAATGAGTATGCTAAAGCCCAAATGGGTTCAACTCTGCTTAAGCTAAACCTGCTTGGCGCAACCCTGGAGTCCGCATCATGAATGCTGGCTCGGCCTTGCACGTCTTGGACATCATTTCGTCTGAGCACAGCAACCCGAACTGGAACTTGATCTCGCTGTCAGCAGCCTGGAGCAGGCTCGTGAGAGTGCAGCACAGCATCAACGAACACACCAAGCGTCACCCGTGTCTGCCGCAGCTGCCGAAGCTGACGAAGCAATTGCTTGAGAAAACGCCTAGGCTCCCGTCGCGCGCAGTGACCAACATGCTGTGGGCGACGACCAAGTTGGAAAGTGCAATGCCTTTTCCAGGGCTATGGGCAACCTTGGCAGATGCGGTCAAGCGCTCCGAGAAGCCAATGACCGCCAGATCGGTGGCCAGCGTGTTTTTGGCCATGGCAGCCACGAACGACGCAGATATCGAGATATTGATGGGCTTGCTGAAAATCATGGCTGGCAGACTTGCTGCGGTGGTCTTAGATATGAATGCCCAGGAGGTTGCCAACATGATTTGGTCAGTGGCAAGGCTGGCCACAAAGGATTTCGATTCTGAAGCATTGATGAGCCCACTGGCCCTGTTGATGGGCAGAGTTCCACATGTGGTATCAGCCATGAACGCCCAGGAGGTCGCCAACTTTCTGGAATTTGCACCGATTCTGCAGTCTTCTCAGACAGTTTGGCATCATTGGCTAGACAAGTTCCAGTTGTGATTTCCGAGATGAAGCGCAAGAAGTTGCTAATGTTATTTGGGCAACAGCAAAGCTGGTCGCAAACGGATGTGAGTCGGGAGCTTTGATGGGTGTGCTGCCTGTGCTAGCTGTCAGGATTCCAGCAGTGGTGCAACAGATGACTCTGGGTCATAAGTTGGTAGCCTCTTACATTTGTACCGGAAAAACTTGTTGTTTGAATGTTGATCGAGTGTTCAGGCCCCCGAACAGTAGAATTCCTTCAACGGCCCAAAAAGGGATCCTACTCGGTTCGTTAGGTTTCGGGTTGAATGTTTACCAAGGACTGGGCCGCAAGTGTCAAATGTGCTTTGGGCCACCGGGCGGCTCGTGGCCGATCCAGCCATTCACTGTGGGGTTCTGCCTCTTTACAAAGCTCTGCCTATTTTGGTGACCCGAGCGGGCACCTTGTTGCCTTCTGCATGTGACCAAGTATCTTGGCGTCTCTTGTTGTTTTGCACATCTCTTTTCTCAGAAAAGCGCTGTTACTTTTTCTGCGCAGAAGCAACCGGCGAGCTGTTTTTGCGGTTTGGGGGGGGTAGTTGTCGCAGGTCTTGTGTAATTCCTGGGGCCTGGCGCTGAGTGAGTGCTGCGATGCCTTCCTGGAGGCCTTGGCGCGGGTGGCGACTGAGGCTGTTGGAAGCCAAAGGTGGCCGAGCAGAACCTGCCGCTGGTGCTCTGTGCACTTGCTCGGCTGCAGATTGCCAACGAAGATTTGCTGCACGTCACAATACGTCACAGCCAAGTGCATTTCCCCCATGCTGGAAGCTTGACTTGTCTTCAACGTGAACTTTGGGTTGAACAACTCTGTGTTTCTCACTACCTGGACCCTCAAACTACATCAAACTACCGCAAAAAAAAAGGATTATCGCCGAGCATGATGGGGCGGTTTCTCCTTTTGCATAATTCGAGGGTCCAGGTGGCCAGCAAACCATGACCCACATGACCCATTGGTCGCTAAAGAGCGGGGGGGGGGCATGTTTGCCCAGGATAAGATGAACCACTGGGGCCTTTGCGCCTTAACCTGGGCCTACCAAGAGCTGGACCTCTGCGATGAGCACCTGGCGTTCCACCAAGACTTGGCCATCGAAGTGGCGCTCAGGAAGTTTGGCCAGGATGGCCGGGGCCAATAATTGACCCCTTCTCCCCAATAAGCAAAAACAGACGTCCCCCCCCCACCAAATTATTAAAAAGGGGTAGGTTGATTGAGGGGAAGAAGGGATTAATTAGCTAACTTTCCAACTTTTCGGGAACCCACAGTGTCCCAGTGGCCGGTTGTCTGAAGCTGGGAGGCAGAACCTCAGGGCACATAATTAGTCCGGTCGCTTCACCCTCCTTGCTTTGCCCCGTTTTTGAACCTAGGACCATCTTCGAAGGGTCAAGGAAACCCGCTGGAAAGCACTAGCCCAACCGTGTAGCCTTTTCATTCGGGCCGAAGTATCGACTGTGCATCTGTTTGCGCTGTTTGGCGATACTAAGCTGACAGTGTGCGCCCCGCAGCAACACGGGGGAACTTATGTCTTGGCTTGGGTTCCGCCAGGATGTGGAGCGCAGCTCCCTTGGACCGGAAGCTTGGAAGGATGCTCGCGAACGCGGATGCGACTAGATCTCGTATCGGCAACTGGCGTGTTCTCTTTCTCTATATAGAAAATCATATAATGTACCGTGCTTGTGACTGGGTACCTGACTGATCAGACCAAATCTTGGGTTTGGTTCTCGGCGGCCATGCGTTGGACTTCAGCTGCCGGGCTTCAAGTCTTCTGCCAATGTCCTCGCCTTCTGCCTGACCCAGCGCTTGCACAAGCGGATGCCTGGACACATCGTCGCATCGATCGGGACAGCCTCAAGCATGACGTCCCCTTCACTTCCTTCACCAGCATGGGAAATCTCTTCTGTGTGCATGACCGATTCACTGGAGGCTATGTTTGCGGGTCAGCAGTTGAAGAGCGCCTCGCTTCCTCGGACATTGGCGTAGATGTGAGCCGTGAAGATCTGATGGTTGCTCCTCGAGATGTGAGACTTTGAAAGCCTCGCGGGAAAGCCTCGCGGGAAAGCAGCAGTGTCTGAGGAGTGCTTGTTGCCCATGCCCGCCCAGTGTTTAATCTCTTTGAGGGGTGCGCGAGGCTCTTGCGCAACTCACCACCTAGTGAGCAGATGAGTGGTTGTCTTGTGGCTAGGTTGCTATCATTCGGGTGTCATTCATTTGGATGCAAAGACGTACTTATATTACCTGCAAACCAACATGGAGCTCAACGCACCAAGAAGAGTCTTTAGATGCTCCTTTTGGCGGCTTCCATTCATGGGTTCTGTGTTATTTGATGCCGGAGAGTATCGAACGCCGTGCAATTCTGAGTCATCGTGCTTGACCAGCGGCTGCTGCAACTTCACAGAACAGGGCTACTCGTGCACATGTTGATCATGTCACTGTGCTGCTCAATTATGCAAGCTGACTCACTTGCCCTTCAAGGGTCTTGGTGAGGAGTTATAAGATGGGATAGATTCTAGCGCACGTACCATGTGTTTTGATCTTTCATGTCCCTATAGGCTGCTGCTAGGCTTACTACCTGATATATTCTCTAAATAACTTGCGTGCCCCTTCAGCATCCCTCAGGTGCGTCCATCGTGCGCAACGTCTGAAGTGAGTGTGGCGAAAAGTGCCAAGGAAGCCAGATGTGAACCAGGGGTCACTCAAACCAGAATCACTTAGAAATACGAAATGACGTTTACTTTACCAACAATTTTGGGGCAACATCCCATGTCGAACTACCACAACGGCCATGACACTGACCCTTTGACCAGGATGAAATTGAATTCCCTCTCGCTTACTGGTTGGTGTGGAGGATGAGTAGCTTTTTGCATCAATTTCGAGGAATGCGCAATGGGATGGAGAAACAAGGCATTGCTGCTTGTGCTGCTGCCTGGCAGGTTTGGAAATTTCAGGTTCAAAGTAAATTCTGGACCAATACCCGCTGGTTGCGTTTTCAACGAGTTGCATACAAAGTGGACACGCACAAGACGTATGATAACACATGTGAACTTCCAACTATATGCCGGGGGTTTGACGAGACAAAGCAGCCGTAGTTGCCAGGCAGCTAGAGGTGCTTCAAAGTGATCACAGCTGGCTGTTGTGTGATGCTTGTGATTATAGTTTGATTTGTCTTTGTACCTTTCCATTGAGCAAGGGTCCAGCTTTTGAGAAGCTGCAAGCTGGACACGACAATTTAGAGCTACCAGGCTCGTTTTGGGTTATGTGAGCATTGGGCACTTGTGACCTCAGCACCGGGTGTCAAAAGCTTTGCCACGTGAAACCCCAAAGAGGTTGTCCTACTGACCCGTTAAGCAGCATCCAAATAACAACCACATGGAGGGTAATGCAAGCGCACCCACTGAAGGTCCCCGACCCTGGCATTTCGTCAGTTTTTTAATTTAGAATGCTTGTCTAAGATTGATGTTGACTGAAGGAGGCCACAATGATGATAAGAGGCGACCGACTCTGAAAGAACGCCCTGCTCAGACATATAGCTCAGGTATGAATACTGGGGTAAAGCTGCTCGAGGCATGCCGACTAGAGGTCTTTGAGATGGTTGTGAAGAGACTAAACGAATGCAAGGACTTCGTAGAAGGTGACCCGCAGGACCTACCAGTGCCTTTTTTCTCTCCATCGGGATGCTTCGGCCGGGCACAAAGGTGTGTCTTGTTTTTGGGAACGTCCTTTTGGTTGGTTTTGGAGGGAAACCAAAAGGCACACTAATTATTCATAATTCTGAGAGACAAACCCACGTGTTCCCCCACGGTTTGGGCCAAACGGATGCTTTGGCACCCGGACCAGGGGAGCTGCGCGCACGGCTTGCCACAGAGCGCGAGCAGGGACAGCAGGAGGGCTGTGGCAGGGGTGGTTTGACCCAAAGCCATGTCGGGCTGTCAAAATTTGGCACCCCCTAGAACGGTCGATTGCGTAGTGTTATGTAGTGTTCTTGAAAAACGACAACAAGGGGCTACCTCAAAAGGCACACCTCCAGTTGGAGGGGTCAAGGATGGAACAACGTGGGATCCCTTTTTCCAACCCCGAATGTATGAGCCCAGAAAACAGGTTGGCGGTCCCAAAACCTGGTTAAACGCAGCAAGGAAACAAGCCATAGCCACGTTTGAAGAGAAACCAACAGGAGGTTGTTTTAATCAATCGTGGTTTGAAGATGTTGACACAAGGGGCTGGCCAGACCCAGGAGAGGTCCCTAGTTTAGACGCGTTTCTAAGGTTTCCATTTCGTGTTTCCTTGGAAGCCAGGCAAAACGTGAGCCAAGAGCCAAACTCGGGTGAGCAAAGGATCCAAACGGACAGTCGTCCCAACCACAAAAAAGCGCGGTCTCGCTTCTTATTCTTTGCGCATGCTTTTGAGTAGACCCCTTTGATCAACAAGGCGATACATGGCTTTCCAGCGTGGGGTAGAACCCAAGGGGTGCTCCCAACACCTGGTGCACGACATTCGCCCTTAGAAGTTGTCGATGCTCGAGGAGAAGCTGGAATTGGGGCGCAAGCACGGGCGCCTGCCTTAGAGTTGTAGGGTTCCAACTCGCCCATATCTGCTTCCCCAAAAGGACGCCGCCAGATGTCCGGCATATCCTAAAGCGGAGAAGCCCCTTGAAATGGTTTAAAAGGGAAACCCTTGGAGCAAGCGACTGGCAAAAGGGAGGGCTGCATACAGTGGAATCGTTCCATCAGGTCCGCACCAATGACAGGGAACCCAGTGATTCGAGCAACTTTTTTTTTGCTGGATGGAAATTCCCGTTGAAACTTGGAGTTGCAGTTTTCCGGTTGGCCCCCCGTGGATAAGGCCACGGACCCGCTGTCTACAGGCAACGTCCCCCCCAAAGATGGCCAGATGTTGCCTCAAGAGAGTGGCAGCGCCGTCAGCTTCCACCATACAGTTGCCGACGGATGTTGCGGCTGAAGACGTGCAAGACAGAGAAGCTACAGCAAACTTCCTGGTTTCCTGCTTGTTTTACTGTGTCGTATCCGTGTTGTTTGTCGCTCATGTGGGCTGTGTAAAAACAAGTAGTCAATTTTGTTTTTGGTATTGCCACATACCGCTTAGCGGCTGCTTGGGTGTCCTTCGGGCTAAGGGAGATGCAGACGGACAAGGAGGACCTGCAAGCGCGCATCGTGAGGCGGGTCCGACGCGGTCAGAGCCACAGCAATCGGAGCCCTCTAGAGGCATGGCCCTTAGGGGTCCTTATTTAATGGCTATATGGGTATGGGTCAAAATTAAACCATCAGGGGACCGCAGGTTTAGTTTTTGTTGCCATTTACCAGGGTTCCGCTGACCCAGAACCAAAATAGACACTAGGCTGCAATGCACGAAGAAGAAAAATGGTGGAATGCGCACCCAGCATTTTCTAGAGGAGGCCGTCCTCTGCTAACAAGGGTCGTTAGTGGACCACTCCCCTGTAGATAGCACTGCATTTTGGAGCCAGCTTGTTAGACTGAACCAGATTTCTACTTCATTCACATGGCTGCTCTGATTTCCTTAGGTCCTGGAATTGATTTGTTGAAGGTCATTTTTTGGGCCGAGTGCAGAGGGCACCCAGGATTCAATCCCAAGCGCTGGCTAATTGAAAGGGAGTGTCCCCCTTGATTCCTCACTAGCCGCAGGGGCATACTTTAGTTTCTTAACGAGAAACAAACTTTTCCAGAGCCCGCGCTAGCTTGACTGCTCTCTCGTCCTGTGGAAACCTTAGTTTGAACTGCCAAAAACTAACTCCCACACAAAGTTTGTTTTCCATGAGAAACTCGAAACAGACTAACTTTACAGAAGTTTCGGGGGAGTAGAAACAAACCTTTTCCCGAAGAGTTTTGTTTGTTTCCGACCCCCATACGTTTGTTTCAAACTTATGCGTAAAGAGTTTGTTTCCTGCATAAAACTAACTTTCCGGTGATGAGTTTGTTTCTCTCTCCCAAACTTAAGTTGCTGGGCTGGAGTTTGTGACTTTGTTTCCTCGAAGGGAAACAAACCTTTGTTGGGGTAGTTTGTTTTCCCACTGGAAAAAAACCCTCTCGCCTTCGCCGCGGCTCAGGGCATCTCGGCGCCGCCGCCACTCGGGCCACGCCGCCGGCCACGCCATATCGGCTTCGCCTCGACTCCGGACCGCGCTCCCGGTGCGGCATGCACCGGCGTCGCCACGCCACCGTCTCAGTTCCATCGCTACCGGCGTCGCCGAGCCGCCGGTCTCGCCATCTCGGCCTTGCCGTCGCTCACACCGTGCTGCCGGCCACGCCATGTCGGCCGCGCCGCCGCTCATTCGCAGCACTAGGCCCTTGTGTTCGGCCCCGCCGTGTCGCCTCGGCTAGACTCTCGTTTGCACGCCTGCCATGTGCTCGGCCAATCTGCATTGTTTCACTCCGCAGCCTTGCTTAGCCCGAGCTAGTGACCCATCCTGCTCCTGCGTCGGTGTCCGGACGCAAGACGGGCAAGGGAAAAACTAAACGCGGCCGCGCCTGTTCGGTGGGCATCATGGGGGCTTCATTCACTGGCTGCGTCATGTTCGGCCTCCTACGTGAAGTTTCTGTGACGGAGTCCCTGTCCTTTGCCGTGCACACTGTCCTTGCGTCAACCGTCGCCTGCAAAGCCTAGGCTACGATGACGGCTGCCACTTGGCGGAGGCCCTGTCTCGGCACCCTGACCTTCGCGTTCGGCAGCTTGACGTTTGGATTGACCTTTTCCACTTATTGTTCGGGCATGTCCGAGCCAAGTGCTTCCTTGAGCACAACCCCTTGACCCGCCTTGCGACGGCTGATCAGCTCACTGTCAGAGTGACCTGTGCGCAACGCCGGCAGCGGCTGCTGTCGCACGTGGACTACGTGCGCAGACCTTGCACCCTGCTTTGTATTGCTCGTCCAACATCAGCTGAGGGCGAAAACGTAACGTCTACATCGCGAACCTCTCCGAAGCCATATCGGAAAACCAGCTGTGGCGAGACTTTGGCACGCTCGGCGAGGTTGAAGCGGTCTTGGCCACTTGCTTGCTTTTCGCCTAACTCTGAGTTTCATCCACCATTCCTTTCCTTTTGCGCCCGCACTCAGGTTTTTCGCAAACGTGCTTCGGCCACTGCCACTGTGAAATATGAGCAGCCCGGGATGGCTGAAGAAGCAAGGTCGCCGCATTTCCATTGAGTGGGCGCGGCGCGGCTGAACTGCCGCCGCCGCCCCTTGTCGCCGTCAGTTTTTGAATGCGCGTCATTCGCAGAAAACAAGCAGCCCCGCCGCGCCGCCGTCTTCAACCCTGTCCCCCCCCCTACACACGCCGCGAAACAAACTAATTGGCCGGCGCCATGTCTCCAGGGTTTGTTTCTTGCCTGGAAAGTAACGTTTTCTGCAAGAGTTTGTTTCTTGGGAAGTGAACTATTGGCCGACCCCTTCAAAAGGTTAGTTCCTCCCTGGGAAACAAAGGTTTTTGGGGGCCGAGGAAAGGTTTGTTTTTTCATTGGAAACTAACCTTTTCTGGCAGAGTTAGTTTGTTTCCTGGGGGGGGGAAGGCCGGGGCCCGGCCAGGGCAGTCAGGAACATTTGCTTTCTCAGTTTCACTAACGTTTTCAACCAGAGTTTAAAACTACTGCCCTCCCGCTTACTCTGATTCCTTGGAATGACCATTGGCCGGACGCTCATTGCAGACTAATGCGTAGCGCCCAGGGAGAACCGTCGCCAGGCGTGTGGGAATACTGTGTTTGACAGCTTCTCTTGTCTTTCGCATGTCTTTCGCTGCTTCCATTCTTGGCTGGGTTTCCTGGGCAGAAAGTTCGGCTTTGTTTGCAGCCACCTGTTTCAGACAAAGACGCGTGCTGCAGATCAGCATTCTCAGGTTACACAAAAGCGGTCCTTAGAGCAACCAGCCAAGCAAATGATAGGCGACTCCCAAAGGTTTGGTGTTTTTTGATGGCCATTGCCAAGGCCATTGCAGATTAGGGCGCTTGTCCTTTCCTGCCGCAGGGAGTGCTCGCAGCTGGAATCTCGCTTGCAGGCTGGGCGGCACAGGTTTCGTGAAAGGAAGACGTGGGGGATGCGCCCCTTGCTAAGATCAAAGCGTTGTGCTTGTTCCTTCTCAGGTCCTTCTCTTATGTTCCGTTCCGTTGCTTTGCTGGCGGTGTGTGGGAGTTGCCATATTCAGGAAGGTAAGTTACATTGCGTAGAGCCAATACGAAGGATGCTGGGGGTCTCAGTGATCTCTATTTTGGCATCGAATGCTTGAAACATAGTACTGCATGTGCAGACTCTGACGTTGCTACGGACCGCGTTCCGTCGTGTTTCTGGAAACCACATGATCCAAATTTAGACTTGCTTGTCTGAGAGTTGCACGGAGAGTTTGATTCCTTCCCAACTTCACTGCAAAGCGGACGTGCTTGCGATTCATTTTGCTTGTGGCTATTTTGTGTCAGTTTGTAAATGACTCAGCTGACACAAACTGTCACTGAATGGTTTTTGCTTGTGGCGTCAACTACGACTCAAATCAAGCCGTCCCGCTGCTGGTATTGTGCATAAACATGTTCGGTTGTGTCTAAGGAGAGCATGCTTGCTTTCTGAGGCGCAGGAGATGGTGACCTGCTACCCTGGTACACCTTTCATAGTGGCCAACTTGTCCTGTCAACAATCCAACCAAACGTTTGGAGCATCATATGAACACCTTGAGCAGATTTCCATCAGAAATCAGCAGCAGGGGACCACACAAAACTGAGATTGTCCGTTGCCTATATCAGCAGCCGCAATGCGTGCTCATCCACTTTATAGCTAGGAAAGCTTTGCTCGGCACTTTTGCTTTGCCTTTTCGATCCCCGTTTGTTTGAGGGGCGTAAATCACATCATGAGTGGGCCGAAACATACAGGCCTGGGTTTGTGGTGCACTTGAGTGTGATGCACGGCGCCGCATGTGCAAAGCTCGTTTCGTGAGATCCCAATGAAGCCCTTTATCCTGGTTTGTCACACCTCCAGGATACTGCTGCTTGAGCGCTGACCTGCGGTAACGTGTGTGTGTGTGTTTTGTCGAAAGGCCGTGTACTGTCTCATCAGATGCTAAACTTGCAATACGCAGAGGGCAAGCGATTGATAGGCAGTTGAACACCGATGGCCGATGCGGCAGCGGGGCATCTTGTATTTTACTTTCACAATTCGTTGAGAACCGATGTTAGGCAATGCAAGAGGGTCCTCTGGTACTTCCTAAGACACTGAGGGACCATCCCCAGAGGAAATCCCATCCCCACGGGGTTGTCAAACATTTGGACCCTTTTTGGGACCTGGTGCCGCCTTGTCGCCTTTTTGAAGAGGATTTTAAGAAGGGCCCTTGCTTTTGACAAACCTTTACTTGCTTTGCTGATGCCATGTAAACCGACCTGCTGGTGGTGCCAGGCCCTTGAAAAGCGCCAGCTTGAGGAGCGACAATCCTGGATTGAGGACGGAATCGGGACTCCATCCCAGACCTCCAGTGGGTTGCCTCCTTGTCTCATGAGTTTTGTTCGAGGAACTACCAATGAAAGGGTGCCCCTCCTTTCTGCATGTTCACTGGGTTTGGGTTCCCGACGGGTTCCACTCCATCGATCATTTAGCCACGAGCCAGGGACATTTTGGGACCTTGATTCTTACATAGCTGCAGGTTCTGTTCCTGAGCGTTGAATGATTATGTGCCCGTGGGCCAGGCGCAGAATTGCATGCCATTCTGAAGGATATGTTGATTGATGGCGCCTGGGGTCTCTTGCATTCGCATTTGATGTCCTCATTTTCACTTTGCGACTTTGCGAGGGATCAACATTTTAGTTTGCCTTGACGTGCTGACATTCGATTGTTGCAGTCAGCTGGTCACACCGCATTTCTGTGGAATCATCCGGGCACAAGATCGAATCATGTTACAATGTTGTCCGGTTTGCTACATGCAGCACTCTGAGCAGTTTGGCGATTCAACTGACTCCAGAAGAGTCGCATCAATGCCCCTGTTTGATTTGTTCCTGAACAACAATGTACACATGATGGACACATTGTATTCTTGTTTTATCTGACACGAGTGTGGGAATCGCCTTCCACCGCTGGTTGCTACCTTCCTGCGCGCTGCGCTTGCCGCTCCCATGGCTCGGGCGAGATGTGGCCTGGTGCTGGTGGCCTGGCAGCTTGGTGCTTTGTGGGCCGGCGCCTTCACCGTCTTCCAAGGAGATGGTGGGGTGTGCCTTTTTGCTTAAAGGAAGCAGGTTTCCTGGCGTGTTTACAGGGGAACAAAAGGAAACCAACAATTAAGGATCCTCTGATTTTGAGAGAGACCCTTGGAAGGAAACCTGAGCCAGTCATGGGGGCGACCTGCCGGACATACAGTGCGCCGGGTGCGGGAGAGGCGCCGGGCGAGCCCAAGGCGCCGTCCGAAGCAGAGGAGCGCAGAGGGAGGCGCCCACACAACTGCGCAGATGATCACAGGCCGTGTCAAGAATGCCGCCTCGGCAGCCGAAGTGTTGGCTGTGATGCAGTCGGAGCATGCAAACCCGGAGATGAACCTGATTTCGGTCTCTGCGGCATGGACTAGGCTTGCACGACTCCAGCGCAGCATCAGTGGTGACCTGATAAAGTCTCCATCATTTCTGAGTTTTGGCAGATTGACACAATCTTTGCTGGAGAAGCCAGCTTAAAACATGATGACAGCCCAAGGAATTGCCAATTCGATTTGGGCAGTGGCAAAACTAGCCAATACTTTTAATTCTGAGGCCTGGGCGAGCTTGCTACCTTCACTGGTGAGCAAGGTCCGCGTTGTGGTGCCTGATATGATAGCTCAGCATACTTCAAATGTGATATGGGCCACCGGGCAGCTTTCAGTTGATCCCAGTCATGCTGCTATATCTCAGAGTTTGCGCGAGGTGCTCCCGCTTGTTGTCACCCAAGCCGGCACTGTGCTAGCTTCAGCCACGGCCCAAGAGCTGGCAAATGCTTGCTGGGGCTTGGCACTATGTGACTACACAGATGCGAGCTTCCTCCGATCTGCGGCTGACAAGGTGACAAATGAGGCTGCTGGGTGGAAGCCGGTGGGTGCCCAGCTGGACTTGCCATTTGTGCTTTGCTCCTTCGCAAGGCTGCACGCTGACGGACATGATGACATGATGAATGCCGCTGCCGAAAAGTTGGCTCCAATGCTGAGTCAGGTCAACGACTGGGGCCTGTGCGCCGTGTTCTGGTCATACCAGCAGCTGGACATCAATGACAACCTGCTTGCCTTTCGGCGAAACCTGAATGTAGAAGTGAAGCGCCGCCAGCTTTCAGACCAGGATGTGGTGCGTAGTCGGCTGGGGCCAGAGGCGTGGTAGGCAGCATGAGGCTGAGCAACTCGCTGTCTCCCTTTTCAATTGCAAATGGATCATCGTCGTGCCTTTGTTCATCTCCTTGCTTTATGTCAATGTGCCTTGTTGGGGCAGCTCTATCTCTAGCCACAGCAGGTGCAGATGCGGTGCACCCAGCCCCGCTGAGTGCAGGGGACAAGCCACTCCTCGCAGCCGGGGCTGCCGAGTGACCCTTTCAACCCTTCGGGCGGCCAACACCACATTCGCAGTGCAATCAGCCGGTGCAAAAAAGCGAGGGCAAGGAAAGCGGGAAAGCGGTATTGTTCAACATCCTTCCTTGCTGGACTTGTGTGGGTACTGGAGATTTAACAATACTATCAACTTCTAGAGAAGCACCGCTTTGGAGACTGTGTGGCATTGTGATTCCAACTTTTGTCCAAGCCGTTTTTTTCGATCAACGCACTTATAGGTTAGTTGGCAGTTTAGCAAACATCGCATATAGAGTTGTTTCGGATGGTGCGCTCCTCCAGGTACATGGCGGGACAAGTCCTAGCAAACAACCCGCCGATAGCGTGGTGTCATGCATGCACCTTTTCGCGCTGCCTGGCAAATGGTTGCAGTCGGAGTTAGGCGGGCAATTGCAGAACGCGGACGTGGGGCATGTTTCATGTGAGGGGCATCGGGCATTGTGGGCCGGCAAAAGGTGTCCCTTAAGGTACGTAGTTGATTTCTAGCTTTGACGCCATGACTCGGCCAGCACATTTCTGCTTGGTGCTGCTGTTGGTCTGGCAGCTAAAGGTCGGTTGCCAGTGGGCCTTCACAAATTGCCCAGCTCAGTTGGGCATACCTCGGCGTCTTGCAGGACGGACCGTGCGGCAGGTGCGGGAGAGGCGCCAGGCTAGCCCTCGACCCAGACCGAAGCAGAGGGGCACGGGCGAAGATGAACACACGCCCCCGCGTGTCATCACGAGCCGTGTGAGGAATGCTGCCTCGGCAGCCGAAGTTTTGACCGTGATGCAGTCGGAGCAGGAGAATCCGGAGCTGAACCTGATTTCAGTCTCTGCGGCCTGGTGCCGGCTTGCGCAACTTCAGCACAGCATCAATGCAGAGGTGGCTGACTCTTTGACATTTCGGATGTTTGTGAGGCTGACTCAATCCCTGATGGCAAAGCCAGAAGCACGCACAGTTGCAAACACGCTTTGGGCCACGGCAAGGCTTCAGGTTCGCGCGGCTCCGCAGCTCGCCACACTGTGGACAAGTTTGGCAAGCGCGATCAACGCAACAGTTTCGGACATGAGGGAGCAGCATATTGCAAACTCGATTTGGGCAGTGGCGAAGATTGCTACAAGCAATCATGGTTCCGAGGCATTGTTGAAGTCAATGCCTCTGTTGGCGAGCAGAGTTCCAACTGTGATATCAAAAATGACAAGCCAGGCAGTTGCCAACGTAATCTGGGCAACAGGACAGCTCTCGGATGATCCAGGCCATGCTGCCAAATCCCAGTGTCTGCGAGAGGTACTTCCCATTGCGGTCTCCCATGCCTGCACGGTGCTGCCTGTAGCCACCATGCAAGAAGTTGCGAATTCCTGCTGGGGACTTGCGCTGTGCGACTATCATGACACTACCTTCCTTGAAGCTGTCGCGGCCAGGGTGTCAAATGAAGCTACTGGTTGGAGTATGTCAAGTGCCCAGCTGGACCTGCCATCATTGCTGTTTGCCTTTGCACGGCTGAAGGCAGAGGGCCACGATGACATGCTGGGTGTCGCCGCCGAGAAGCTGACACCCATGCTGTTCAGGATCCATGACTGGTATTTGTGCGCCACGACCTGGTCATACCAGCAGCTGGACCGAGGCGACAACTTTCTCGCCTTCCGGCAACACTTGGAAGAGGAGGTGAGACGCCGCCAGCTTTCAGAGGAGGACGTGGAGCGTAGCCGCCTTGGGCCGGATGCCTGGTAAAAGCATGGCTGTTGACCTTTCCTGTGGGCCGTATCATGATTGTTTAACAAAGCGGCACTTTTGCAAAGCAGCTGTTTCTTGTTTGAGGCGAGGAAACGGCGCACCCAGCCCCGCCGAGTGCAGGGGTACAAGGCACTCCTCGCACCCGGGTCTGCCGAGTGACCCTTCCAAGCCTTCGAGCAAATCGCGATGCGCAGCTGGCGTGGGCAGAAGAAAGGCGCCGCGCGCTGCAAGCCAAAGCTTGTGAATACCGCTTGGATGAGGATGAACAGCCTCATGTCAGGAAAGTGCTGAGATTTTATCTCCTGGCTTTTCACAGTTGCGAAAATGGTTTACACGGTTTAACCCCTTCGCCCCGGGCCTTTCAAGATGATCCATGGTAAACATTAGAGGCGCTTTTGGTTTTGCCTGAATGTGTTGCGCTGGCTCGATCCACCGTGCTTTTGGGAGACGCTTGATGCCGTGGTTAGCTGTTTGATTCTTGAGCGTTGCGCAGCTCAGCCCGTTCAGCTCTTTCTTCCGAAAGCTACACAGGTAGGAACGCGTATTCGGTGACTGGGAGGGGTTAACAAAACTAATTAGTTTTAGCGAGAAATACTTGAGCCTTCTGGCCTCGGGCCAATTCACGGAAAACGGTTTGCACGACGTACTCGTGTCACACTAGATCATTTGTTCCGGACCTGCTGCCATGACTCGACGTGTGCGGCGTTGCTTGGCACTTCTGCTAGCTTGGCAGCTTGGTGCTGTGTTTCGCCGGGCCTTCACAGCCCTCCAGGGAGATGCGAACCGACCCCAACGGCTGAGTTGTTGGGCAGACGGTGAGTCAGGGGCAGCAGGGGCAGAAGGAGGACACACCGACCCAAGGATCATCACAAACTGCGTTACGAATGCTGCCTCCGCAGCCGACATCTTGGCCATCATGCAGCTGGAACAAGAGAATCCAAAGTTGAATCTGATTTCGGTCTCCGCTGCCTGGTGCCGGCTTGCGAAGCTTCAGGGCAGCATAAACTCCCAGGTGACCAAGTCTGAATCATTTTTATTGTTTGTGAAGTTGACTCATTCGTTGTTGGAGACGCCAGCCGGGCATGCGCGTCAGGTGGCAAACATACTTTGGGCCACTGCGAGACTTCCAGGTAGCGCTTTCTCGCAGCTTACAACACTGTGGACCAGCTTGAGCCGCGCAGCAAACGCAACGGCAAGTGAGATGAATGCCCAACAAACTGCCAATTCAATTTGGGCAGTGGCGACGCTCTCCACAACGAACACCAATTCCGAAGTTTTTTCGAGTATGCTGCCTGCGTTGGCAAACAGGGTTCCAGTCGTGATCTCAGACATGAACGCCCAAAATGTTGCCAGTGTGATTTGGGCCGCCGGCCAGCTTTTAGTCAATCCAAGCCACGCTATCATGTCACACGATTTGCGCGAGTTGCTTCCTGTTTTGACGGTACGTGCAAGAGGGTTGCTGCCTTCAGCCAAACCACAGGCACTTGCAAATTCTTGTTGGGGGCTGGCCCTGAGTGACCACCACGATGAGGCGTTTTTTCTAGCTGTTGCAGACAGGGTGGTGAAGGAAGCCGCTGTATGGAAGCCAGCAGGCGCCGAGCTGGACCTGCCATCAGTGTTGTGCGCTTTTGCACGCCTAACGGCTTTAGGACGCGCTGACATGCTGGGAGTTGCAGCCAAGAAGCTAACGCCCATGCTACGCAAGATCAACAATTGGGGCCTTTGTGCCACTCTCTGGTCGTATCAGCAACTGGACCGCGGCGATGACTTCCTGACTTTCCGGCAATGCATGGAATCGGAGGTGGCGCGGCGCCGGCTTTCGAATGACGTGGAGCGCAGCCGCCTGGGGCCGGAGGCTTGGCCTGCAGGGCAGACAGCGCGTCAAACGCGCCAGGGGCAGAGCACAGCGGGAAACCACACGGACCCAAGGATCATCACAAACTGTGTCAGGAATGCTACCTCCGCAGCCGAAGTCTTGGCCATCATGCAGAGGCAGCAAGAGAATCCGGAGTTGAGTCTGATTTCAGTCTCCGCTGCCTGGTGCCGGCTTGCAAAGCTTCAGGGCAGCCTGAACTCCAAGGCGATCAGATCTCAGTCATTCTATCTGTTTGTAGGACTGACTACTTCATTGTTGGAGCAGCCAGCCGTGCGAGCTCGTGAAGTGGCAAACATCCTTTGGGCCACTGCAAAGCTTCAACGCCACGCTTCCTCACAGATTACAAGCCTGTGGACAAGATTGGCTCGCGCTGTGAAAACAAGTGCAGGTGCGATGAATGCCCAGCAAAATGCCAATTCGATTTGGGCAGTGGCGACGCTTGCCACAGCAAAGGTGCACTTCCAAGGTTTGCCCAGTGCATTGCGTGCGCTGGCAAAACGGGTCCCAGCTGTGATAGCAGACATGAACGCCCGAGATGCTTCCAGTGTGATTTGGGCGATGGCAAAGCTGGTTACTGTCGACCCAGAGACAAAAGCTTTGTGTGGCCTGCTGCCAGCGCTAGCAAGCAGGGTTCCCGCCGTGATTTCAGACATGAGAAGCCAAGCAGTTGCAAGCGTGCTTTGGGCAGTGGCAAAGCTCGCTGCTGCAGATGTGGAGCCACAAGCTTTGCTTGACCTGCTGCGATCGTCAGCAGGCAGGATCCCAGATGTAGTGTCAGAGATGAAGGCCCAAGAAGTTTCAAATGTGATTTGGGCCGCCGGACAGCTTGCAGTCATGTCAGATGATTTGCGTGCTGTGCTTCCTGTCGTGGTGGATCGCGCCAGTGTGGCTTTGCCTTCAGCCACCCCGCAAAACCTGGGGAATTCGGTCTGGGGGCTGGCGCTGAGCAACTACAGCGATGAGGCCTTTCTGGAAGCTGTGGCAGACAAAGTTGCGAACGAAGCTGCTGGGTGGACGCCACGACTCGCCGAGCGTAGTTTGCCAGCAGTGCTGTGCGCAGTCGCGAGGCTCAAGGCTGAGTTCACTTGTGACAAATTGCTGGAGGCTGTGGCTGCCAAGCTGTCGCCAATCATAGACAGCATAAACGACTGGGGCCTATGCGCCCTGACATGGTCATACCAGAAGCTGGATGTGTGTGACGATTGCCTTATATTCCATCAGGATTTGGCAATGCAGGTGGCAATGCGCAATTTTTCGCAGGAGGATGTGGAGCGTAGCAGTTTGGGGCCGGAAACCTGGTATTCGAAGCAATCCTAGAGCTTTGCTCTCTGCGCCATTTGTGTCCGTTATTGGGGCACTTGCACCGAGCAAAGCTTGTGTTATACATTGCACCGCAACTACTGGTGTTGCGAAAGCATCGTTCCCGCTTCAGACCTGACATCACGTGACGTGGATGCCACTGTTTAGAAGAGTTGTTTGGATCAGTGCACCCAGCCCCGCCGAGTGCAGGGGTGGCACTCCTAGCACCCGAGGCTGCTGAGTGACCCTTCAGCAACGTCAGATGTTCGCATGGGAAGCCGATAAAGCTGCTGAGATGGGTGGAGCCTTGGAAGAGTCAGCCTGAACTTCCGTGTTCTTCGAGTTTGTCCAAAGGAGTTGCAGGGAGCAGTTGGCGGGACGGTTGCGGTTCATCGCTGTTGATTTTTTCTCGCTTTATGTTGAATTCTAGTCACTTTCAGAATTTGTTTTTTGATAGTGTTTAACAGGACACCACACATGCCATACATCAAGCACAGCTATGAGAAAACATATTGAATCAACACGTTCTGGATTCAGGGCTTGCTCTCTAGCCTGTGTTGATGATGTGCAGCTTCAAAGTTGGAGAGTGGCAAGTTGAAAGAAGAGCATCGGGTCACAACCACAGGCATAGATGTCCCTTTTAGGCTAGTTTGGTTGGAGGTAGATGGCACTGGTTTAGATTATATAGTGTTATTCTGTTGCAACAGGTCACCTATGCTCGCAACACGTTAGGCTTGAATCTTGCAGTTGCTTAAGCGGCTCATGCCGGGTAAGGGTACGGCGTGTGTGTTCTTCTGATGTTGTGTGCCTTCTACTGGATGTCCCTAGCGCGCTGTCAGCCTTTTGGCTTCAGACTGTTTAGTCTAAACGTCAGTTGGGGTTGCTGCAACTGCGCACGGGTAAAAGCAAGTTGAACGAAGAATCGGGGCTGGATTATTGGGTGAGAGGACAGGAACTGTGGCAAACTGCGTTAGATCTTAGTTTGTGTTGATGTTGCCGATGTTGCCATCCAGCTGCCACTTGTCAGTCGCCTTTGATTGCCCACGCAGTTCAGCTCCAGGACTAAAACACTGAGACGCTTGACAGCCAGTTGATGCTTGAATGTTGTGTCGCTCGCCTGATCGCCCATGTTGCTCTTGCTAACGGCTTCCTGCTTGGAGCTGAAGACATCAGCACTTCATCAAGCATCCTATGCAATTGTGTTGCCCTAGTTTCACCCGGTTGACACTGAGACAACAATGTTTTTCGTGACCAAGTGTTTACGTCACAACAGTGATGCGAATCATTCATCCACACACTTGACCTCACTGCCATGTCTCAGCCATTTCATGTTTGTGTGGTGCTGCTGGTGGGCTGGCAGTTCAGATTTGCTTGCCAGCAGTCCTTCTTAGGCTTCCAGGGAGTTGTTGGCCGAATCCAAGGGCCGACCGTGTGCCGGGTGCGGGAGAGGCGCCAGGCGAGCCAAGGCCCCGACCGAAGCAAAGGGGCAAAGGGGAAGGCGGCTACACACCAGCCAAGATGATCACCAACCGCGTCAAGAATGCTGCCTCACCATCTGAAGTGTTGGCAGTAATGCAGGCTGAGCAAGAGAACCCGAATATGGATGTGATTGCAGTATCTGCCGCTTGGTGCCGACTGGCAAATCTTCTACGCAGCATTGAAGCTCACGTGGCCAAATCTCAATCCTTGTCGGCGTTGGTGAGGCAGACTCATTCATTGTTAGAGAAGCCAGCTGGGCATGAACTCCAAGTAGCAAACACACTTTGCTTGCAACGCTGTGGGCTAGCTTGGCGAGCGCTGCGACAGAAACTGCGAGTCAGATGAATGCCCAGCAAAATGCCAATTCAATTTGGGCAGTGGCGACGCTTTCCACAACAAACACCAATTCCGAAACTTTTTCGAGTGTGCTGCCAGCATTGGCCAACAGGGTTCCGGCAGTGATCTCAGACATGAACGCACAAAATATAGCCAATGTGATTTGGGCCGCCGGCCAGCTTTTAGTCAATCCAAGCCAGGCTGTCATGTCACGCGATCTGCGCAAGGTGCTGCCTATTGTGGTGGATCGTGCCAGTGTGGTTTTGCCTTCGGCCAAGCCACAAGAACTTGCCAGTTCTTGCTGGGGCTAGCTCTGAGTGACCGCCACGATGAGGCATGTTTTGAAGCTGTTGCGGACAGGGTGGCGAATGAAGCCGCTGTGTGGAAGCCAGCAGGTGCCGAGCTGGACCTGCCATCAGTGCTGTGCCCTTTTGCGAAGCTGAAGGCTGTCGGGCGCGATGACATGCTAGAAGTTGCCGCCAAGAAACTTTCACCCATGGTGGGCAAGATGAACGACTGGGGTCTTTGCGCCACCCTCTGGTCGTATCAGCAGCTAGACACCGGCATCGTTTTCCTCACCTTCCGGCAGCGCCTGGAATCGGAGGTGGCGCAGCGCCAGCTTTTGAATGAGGACGTGGAACGCAGCCGCCTGGGGCCGGAGGCCTGGCAGATTGATGTCAAACGGCCCAAGCGCAGGGGAAGTTTTTGAAAGACCAAGCACATGTTGTGTGCCGCTTGTTCCTCATACATTGTTTCGGGTGTTGTTTGACTTAAGTTGCCTTCGTCTCACTTGCCCAAAGGAGGCCTTTTGACCTTTATTTTTGCCATGTTGGTCCATGCTGAAATGGGTCGCACACAAGTAAGCTGTATACGTCCGGGTCCTTGGGCCAAGTGAGGCGCATTTCCATGCATATTAATTTCAGGCGTAATTTAGACGATTGAGCTGTGCAGCTGCTATAGAGCAGATTATGCCACTCTCGTTGAGTGACTTCTAGGGACGTGTAAATGACTCTAGCCACTGGAGGTGCGGAAGTGGCGCACCCAGTCCTTGCCGAGTGCAGGGCAAGAAGCGACTGCTCGCACCGGGGTTGCCGAGTGACCCTTCCCGAGCCTTTGGATGGCAAATATAAAGGGCAATAAGCTGATGCGCGCAGAAGAAAGGCACCGTGAGCTGCTTGACAACGTCTAGGAAGAGGGCTCATCCTATAGGAAAGGGCCGAGAGTTTATGTGCGCGTCTAGCGTTGGTTGTGTGTCTCTTGCCTGACATCAAGGATTTGTTTGTTTGAGACTGCATATTTCTTATGCCAGCTGGGGCTTCTGCAGTTGTGCTTAGGAATTTAGTATGGTTTGGGCACTGGATCCTGATTCAGAGCTCAGAACTACCGTCGCATTCTTGCCGGACCTCGCCTGTCGGCACTGAAGCTGTCATGTTCCGGTCCTTGGCGCCCTTTCACCGCTGAACAAACCCTGCCCGCGCCAGGAGCGCACTCGCCTGGAGCAGCTCTGCGGGGAGCATCAGCAGCACTTGGACTCCTGCCAGGCGGGCGACCGAGGACGAGAATAGCGAGAGGCCGTTGGACTTTTTTGTCGGGGTGACGTTGTTGGCGGTGGCTTTAAAGGGAAGATAGAAGGACAAAAAAGAACGCCACTTTTGGGGTTTCCCTGGTGTGTGCGCTTGTGGGCGCGTGGTTTTGAAAAAAAAAGGAACAATAGGACGCCTACCATCTAGGGATAGGTCGCTCAATGCCATGGACCATCACCGAACATAATTTTGGGGTAACGACCCTTTTCTGAGGGCACTTCTTTTATTTTATTTTTTTTCGGGATCAATCCGCCTGTTGCAGGTTCCTGGAGGGATTTGGGGCAAGTCTCAGGGACAGTGACACTCCTGATCCTCTTGTGGCGTGGTTTCTCAGGTGTCCAAAACTGTTCTTTGCTGTATTCCCACTCAAAAAGTTACGCCCGGAAAAAAAACAAAAAAGAAGAAAAAAAGAAAACGAAAAAAAAGCCCTTTTTCTACCGGGTTGACTGGGTATTTGATTGTTTATTTCTGGAGAATCCTCTCTTGAAAACCGGGCCCTTCCAACAACCTGACAACCTTATTTCCTTCTCAACCGAACAACCTACAACAACCAGCAGCCTAAGCAACTAGATTTCTCTGACAACCTGCTTTTGGGGTCCCTCTTGAAGGAACGTGTGATTGTCTTTCGGTGAACCGTTGCTGAACACTGGTGGTTCCTCCAACAAGCATGTGTTGACACCTTTGTTCCTCGAGAAGGCAACCCTTAGGGTCCCGCCCATTACAGAAGTACATTCTCTGGCGCTTTAACCCTCGTGGTTGCAACATATTAGTTGGCAGTACTGAGCGGTTTTCCTTGAAGTATGGGGTCGCTGACCAAGATACACGAAGGGTGTGAACAAAATATCCAGCAAGGAATTTCAGACAATCGCCTTTTTTATGATTTTCCAGGCTACCCGCTTTAGCACCCAGAGTCTATGCTTGTGAGAAACAGGGTTGTATCTCACCTACCAGATGTCATGCAACCCTGGGGTGTCCCTCTTTCTTGCATGTTAAACTTTTCGTAGAAAGTTTTCAGGGCGGCTCGTAGGCAAAATGTCCGGCGCCTTCGCTCAACCAGCTGGCGTGCTCGACGGTTTGTGAGTCACCCAATATCTCCCAGTCGGTGTGCCATTCGGATAGTCGCTCGCCCAACCGGTGCCTCAGTACTTTAGCGGTTTGTTGCTTTTGGCTTGGAAGCTTCCTCGGTACCCCCGCTTGGCCAAAGACAGCCAGCAAATCAGTCTGTCAACCGCTAGCCTTTGAGCATGCAAGTGGATGTGTACTTGCCAAACGGGACGAACCACTCGTTCGAACTTTTTGCGGAGTCAACTGCAGGCGAGTTGAAGGCTGAAGCACAGCGACGCTTCGAGCGTCCTTGTTTGACACTGGCTTTCAGAGGAAACCAGCTGGAACCATCGTGCGTGCTGAGTAAGGCTGGCGTGCGAGATGGGGACAGCATTGATGCAGTAGCAGTGTAGCATGTTAAGCTGGCTTCCACTCATTCAGCATTCGCACTTCATGTGGTAGGAAACGCTTCACTGGCGTGGGGCCATCCTGCAGGAGCAATTGGTGAGGGTTCTGCACATTCAAGCAACTTACCGTTCCTTTGCTGCCATCCTGGACGATGGCTCTGTGGCGACTTGGGGCAGACTCTCTGACATTGGTGACTGCTCTGTCGGCAGAGAGGTGCAAGAGAAGCTGGTGCGGGTCCAGCAGATCCAAGCAACATGCGGTGCTTTCGCTGCAGTCCGGGATGACGGCTCTGTGGTGACTTGGGGCGAACATTGGTGTGGTGGCGACAGCCGCCAGGTACAAAAGCAGTTGGTGCGGGTCAAGCAGACCCAGCAACCGCGTCGGCCTTCGCTGCAATCCTGGACGACGGCTCTCTGGTGACGTGGGGCTCCCCCAACTATGGCGGTCACAGCTGGCAGGCGCGAGAGCAGTTGGCGCAGGTCCAGCATGTCCAAGCAAACGATGGTGCTTTTGCCGCCATCCGAGAAGATGGCTCTGTCGTTACTTGGGGCAGTCCAGACTTCGGCGGTGCCAGTAGCCACGTGCGAGAGCAGTTGGCGCGGGTCCAGCGCATTCAAGCAGCTAGGCGAGCGTTTGCGGCCATCCTGGACGACGGCTCCGCGGTGACTTGGGGCGAGCCTGATTTTGGCGGAGACAGCAGCCAGGTGCAACGGCAGCTGGCGCACGTCCAGCAGATCCAAGCAACTTCACTTGCTTTTGCTGCCATCCTGGACGACGGCTCTGTCGTGACTTGGGGCAATGCTCAAGGTGGCGGTGACAGCAGCCAAGTGCAAGACGAGCTGGTGGGGGTCCGGCAGATCCAGGCAACTGAGCGTGCTCTTGCTGCCATCCTGGCCGACGGCGCTGTGGTGAGTTGGGGCCATCCTGAAAATGGTGGTGACAGCACGCAGGTGCGAGAGCAGCTGGTGCAGATCCATCACATCCAAGCAACTCACAGCGCTTTTGCTGCCATCCGGGACGATGGCTCTGTGGTGACTTGGGGCGATCCGAAATATGGCGGCGACAGCAGCCAGGTCCGAGAGCAGCTGGTGCAAGTCCAGCAAATCCAAGCAACAAGGGACGGCGCGTTTGCTGCCATCCTGGACAACGGCTCTTTCGTGTCCTGGGGCAAATCTGCCGTGGGCGGAGACAGCAGCGTTATTCAGACTCAGCTCCGCTGCTTGTGAGACGGACTCGCTTGCCTAAAGTTGTGAAGCTGAGCTTCGTAAGATGTGCAAGTATGGTGCTTGGCAATGCAGTGACAACGTACATGACGCCTTGGCTAGCCCTGAGATCAAGAATTACAGGGGTGGTGGTCTGCTTGACCACGGCTTGTAGAGCTTCACATTTGAAGTGCTGGCTGCCGACTGTTGAAAGTGCGAAGTTGTACATGTCCATTGGGTGCTAAGGCAATCGCGGGTCATCCACTCTCCTGTTTCTGAATCGGAATTAGCCAGGCATTGATTGGATGTAAGGCCATCTAGCCTTGCAGATGTCTTGTTGAGTCTTGTTCATGTGATGCCTATGCTGTTCCTTGCACACGGCCTCCACAGATTCATGCGTATTTGCGATTGGTGAACGTATGTGGTTTCACCCCTCCAGCTTGGACCGGGCCTATCTTGTGGAACTGGGCATTGTCGGTTGGCCTGACAATCCTTTGTCTCCCTTTCAAGTTCGCTCGGCTCCCATTTTCACAGGTTGTACCTCCATTCCCTACCTTCCTCTCCTTCCCCCCACCCCCCCGCATCCACCCAGCGGAGCGCCTGGCTCCGCGTTCCCGCCAGGCGCAGCGGGAGCGGCTGCAGCGGGACCAGGTGGTGGCGGAGAGCGCTTTGAGCGGCAAGGTCTCGGAGACCCAAAGCCTCGAGAAGGCGAACGATTCCGAGCGCGCGAGTGTCCGCGAGTTTCCGCCAGCGCGCTTCGGCTCGTTTCCCGTGAAACAGGAAGGAGGGAAACACCACTTTTCAGGCATGCGACAACTACCAGGGAATGAGGGAATGAGCCCCATGAGCTCTGAGAGACACAACAAAAAACAAAGAAAGACTTCATTCCCAAACCTCGCCCAGGGATTTCCTGAGAATCGAGACAGGAATCCCCGTGCGTGTTGTTCGAATGTTGCAATCCGTGCGGGATCCCCAAATTTGTGGAGTCGCTAAGCGGTCCAACGGGAGCGGGGCATTCCCTAAGTCTCGCCCCCAGGAACCCGAAAGGGGCTCTCAACTACCTACCGCCCTTGCACCTACCCCCCCCCCGTAGGGATAATTTGAGAAACTGAAATGTTCACACAATGAAGGACCCATTTTCCTGTGGCCCAATATGGCCCCAAAAAATATGTTGAGAACGTTTCTGACCGCCCGTGCGGTCATGAGCAACCCGTGGCGCTTGGCTACTTGGATCTTCACCCAGCTTTCTCTGCATGATCTGGCTTGAAGTGGAGAGGATACCAACCATCAGGGAACCCTCAGATTGGTGCAGACTGATTCATGGGTATGGGTCAAAATGAAACCACCAGGGGAGCGCAGGATTTCGGCTTTGGTTCCATTTCCTGGGGCAACCCATTTTGGGGTCCGCATTTTTGACCCGCAGCCTCGTGGCAACACCCCCACCCGGTAATCAGGTGGCGGCGGAGCTCCAACGCCAGAGCCGCGAGGCGGAGGATGCCTTACAAGCGGCCGCCCGGAGACCCGGCGGTGGTTCTGTCTCTCCAAGTTTTTTTGTATCTTCAAACCTTTGTTGGGATTTGACGGACAATGCATGGGTTTCCCCATCAATTAGCAAGAATACTGAACATTTTGCACAGCGAGTGATACCCGCCAAGCTGTTCACTTACCTTGGGTGCCGGATACAGGGGCCGGACTTTGCCCCAAGACCTGCGTTGTTTATTTGTTTTTGGGTGGGAGGGGGGATAGGGGTCGGGTCAATGTTGTTAGGGTTCCCATTGAAGGGACGTGTTGAAAAGGAATCAAGGAATCCTGCAAAAACCCTTTTGTATGGTAAGTATTGCTTGCATGCTTGCTTGCATGCTTGCTTGCTGCTTGCTCGCTCGCTCGCTTGTTGTTTTGTTTGTTTGTGTTGCCGAACTGCATTTGCCGATTTGCCACCAATGGGTTTGAAAGAGCGAAAGCTGAACCATGTCACAACTTTCCCGGTGGCGCGAGTCAGCCGACCTCGACCTCCACCAAAGCTTAGTTTTCTTGGGATCCCTTCCTTGTGACTTGTGTCCACTGCCATCGTTCACCCAGATACCTGTGCATGTAGCGACTCAGCTGGGCTAAAATATTGACCGAGCGTCTCTTGAAACTGCTTATATGTTCATGATAATTTTTGTCACTAGCGCTGCAGTAGTTGTCTTGGAAGCACCAACATGCCTCTTGGGACGACTGCTCGTTGCAGCCGTTTTGTTTGTTTTTTTGTCTGGGCTGATGATGGGTCAGCGAATATGCTGATGTTTGTGCATCAGCCACATTTCACTCTTTCGCTGTATCCACGGCCGCGAGTTTCTCTTGGGATGAAGGCATGATCATCATTTGCGAGCTCACCAATCAGGAAGAAGAGCAGTTATTCGGCCCCTGACTAAGGTTCTGCAGGAATCCCTGACTTCCTGGTGAATCATACCCAGACCTTCAGTTGTGCCCTGTTCAACTACCAACAGCAGATGCCAGTTTTTTTCCCCATCGCAACTCAAGAGGCAAGAGATGCTGAGGAAACTACAAAGAGTTTCAGCTTCTGTCGCGTCACCATCACCAACATCTTCCGAATTCCAATCTCTCGGTCTGCCTGATGTGCTTGTCCTAGAGCAATGGGACCCGGAACATCAATTGTGGCTTTTGCAAACAGATGGATGTCACAGATTTGACTTTAGTTCCTGTTCATTTACCAGTGCTATGGCTTGTTCCAAAAGAACATCTATAGGTACAAGCTCCCTGTTTTGGAGTTGATTTGCAGACACCGCCATTTGGAGGGTCAAGGACAAAAGCCCTCGGCTTCCGAACCCATGAGCTGCCTGCGCCATGTGCGGCTGTTGGTGCTGCTCTGGCTTTGGCACTTGAGCCGCCTCGCCTTCACAGGCGCCAAAGAGAAACCGGAGGGCACTTGTCGATTTCGTGGTCCGGAAACTCGGTGGCTGGAACTGGAACCTGTTGATTCAGGGGTTGCACGCTTGAGCATGGTTTTTGATCAGGAGGGAGTTATGAGCCTTTGAAGGACGACAGAGCTGGATGGGTTCATGGTCCCATTGCAGCTTGCGGATTATCTTGTTGGACATGTGACTACTCCATAGACTATTGGCCAGCACATCCATTGCACCGCTGTGGGGAATGAATTATTTCGGGATCATCATTCATGTGTGATAGGGACTGTGGGCAAAGGGAAGGTGTGAACTCTGCCAGGATCACCAAATGAACTAAGGGTGCATCACTGTTCTTAAGCTTTTGCTCACATGGTTTCATCCAGGGACACCTCATGCAGTGAATGCCCCCCTCTGCCGCCGCAAGCAGCCTGAACAAGTTTGGGCGCGTGTTTGACTTGCTTGGGCTCTTGAGGCACCGGCTTTGCTAGTCCACCACTTTGGCTTAATGCCTGGCCTGGGCGCAGAGCCATGCAAGTAGATCTGTACCTGCCAAGTGGCACGAGCTGCTCCGTGGTGCTGCCGCCAGAGTCGAGCGTCCGCGAGCTGAAGGCTGAAGCGCAGCGCCGCTTCAAGCGCGGCTTTCTGAGGCGCGCAGGGCTCATGAAAAACACTCCGTTTGGCCATACATGACATAACTTCTTTAACCAGGCCAGAAGCACACCACTATTGTTTGGGGCAATGTGCACGTGGATAGTGCAAGACCCCCTGTGAGGCTTGCTTTTCGAGGGCAGATGCTAGATGCTTCCTGTACATTGAACGAGCTTGGCCTGCAGAACGGAGACAGCATCTATGCAATCGTGCAGCCGGTGAAGCTCGCTTCTACCGAGGGGGCGTGCGCTCTTCATGCTGGAGGTGCTGTGAAGACCTGGGGTCATCCCGGGTATGGCGGTCTCTGCAGCCAGGTGGGGGTGTCAGAAATGTGTGGCCCTTTCAAGGGAGCCTGGTGCCGAACATGCCACCAATGAAACGGGAAACCAAAAAGGGGATACACCAGAAAACATGACAACCACCCAGGTGCGAGATCAGTTGGTGCGGGTCCAAGAGATCCAAGCAACGCAGGCTGCTTTCGCTGCCGTCTTGCACGACGGCTCCGTGGTGACTTGGGGCGACTCCGACTGTGGCGGCGAAAGTAGCCAGGTGCAGGGCAAGTTGGTGCGTGTGCATCAGATCCGAGCAACCAAGGGCGCTTTTGCTGCCATCCTGGACACCGGCTCTGTCGTGACTTGGGGCCAAAGTGGCTGTGGCGGCAACAGCAGCCATGTGCAAAGTCAGCTGGTGCGGGTTCAGAAGCTGGCAGCAACAAAGGCAGGTGCTTTTGCGGCCATCCTGCACGACGGCTCTGTGGTGACTTGGGGTGACCCTGACAATGGAGGTGACAGCAGTCAAGTGCAAGAGCAGCTAGTGCGGGTCAAGCAGATTCAAGCAACTGCGGCGGCATTTGCTGCCATTTTGGAAGACGGCTCTGTGGTAACCTGGGGCAATCCTTTCTTTGGCGGCGACAGCCGGCAGGTGCGAGAGCAGCTAGTGCGAGTTCAGCAGATCCAGGCAACTGCGGCTGCTTTTGCTGCCATCCTGCACGACGGCTCTGTGCTGACCTGGGGCAATTTTGGCTTTGGCTGTGACAGCAGCCAGGTGCGAGATCAGTTGGTGCATGTCCGGCAGATTCAAGCAACTAGGGGTGCGTTTGCTGCCATCCTGGACAGCGGCTCTGTGGTGACCTGGGGCCAAACTGGCTCCGGCGGCGACAGCAGCAAAGTGCAACAGGATTTGGTGCAGGTTGAGCAGATTCAAGCAACGGCCTTTGCCTTTGCTGCCATCCGGAACGATGGCTCTGTCGTGACTTGGGGCAATCCTGACAATGGCGGTGACAGCAGCCAGGTGCGAGAGCAGCTGGAACAAGTCCAACAGATTCAAGCAACTCCATTTGCCTTTGCTGCCATCCGCGACGACGGCTTTGTGGTGACTTGGGGCAATCTGTTTCTTGGCATTGACAAGAGCTGGATTCAGACTCAAGTTAACTTTTTGTGAGACTGGGAGGCCCGCCCGGTGTTGTACAGCGAGGGGTGTGTTCGGACTTTAATACAAGCAATCAAGTGCATGGCGGCCCTTTGTGAGCAGTTGCCTTCGATTAGGCTATGAATTGCAGTGAGGGGTGCGTGTCCAGTGCATGACGGCCTTTTACGGAGCAGCCTTTAATTTGGCATTCTTGTTCCTTGGCCTCAGTGAACCTTGCCTGGCAAAGAAAGAAGAGAAAACGAGTTGCAGCGAAACACGCGAAGCCTGCTTTCCAGATCAGAGGAAATGCCTACAAAACATGGCTCGTTTCATGAATGCCCATGTTGCGCGCACATGTGCGTGTGAGAGGGGAGCGCTGACCAAACAAGAGATCATCGCGATTGGCAAGGGCTTTCCAGATGAAGCAGGAACTTGGTCTATGTCGCAAGAGGACCCTACTTCAGACATGTCCCCCGAATGGACTCCCAGTATTTTCCAAATATTCAACAGCGCGCATGGCCATATGGCCATTATCATGGGATCAACTATGCTGATTAGACCACAGTGCTACCCTTTTAGTCATGGGGCTCCCCAAATTTTGGAGCAAAATACAGTGAGCTGCCGGGGTGGTGGAGGGGGGGGAGGCTTCGTTTCTTGCAATTGACACGTAAGAAACAAAGTGAAGCCCAAACTGCGGAACCCTGTTAGGTTCAGGTTAAAATCGGCTGTAAGACAACTATGTGGAGGGGTCAGTAGTTCAATATTATTTCAACCGCACTTACAGAGCACAATTGCGGTGGATTTCGCACACATTTCCAGTCACGCAGCATGTTGACCACCCTGCAAGGAAACTGGCAATTTTCCTAATGTTCTTTGTGGTTGGATTTGGTTGGCTCACTTGCTTTTACTTAGTTCTCCCCTGCAGATCAACATGGAACTTGGAACCCCAAACAGCCGTGTTGTTTTTTTGTTTTTTCCTCCGAGAGAGAGAGAGAGAGAGAGAAAGATCTCCTTTTCCTGAGACGTCCATCTAATTTGCAGGGAACGATGTTCTCTGTTTGAGTGCCCTCGTTTTGAGATTGCTCAACAGGGAAACAGAAAGGAATCCGCCCATTTGAGGAGGTCCCTCATTTTGAGACATTGCCAAATGTTGAGGAGTGCCTGACACAGCTATGGTGATGATTGTTTGAACCCCCTTAATCACGATTCGATTCTCATGGTTTAAGAAGTCACCCGACGGTGGGCGCCCGAAATATATTTAATTGCGAGAAAGGGAACCAAGACACCGATTCTCAAGCTTACCGCAAGTTACCATGGTTTGGCGGTTCAGCATAGGTAGTGCTTCCAGTTGCCTCCAGGTGCGGAACCAGCTTGGTAACTGACCGCTGGTTCCAGGAACCACAAAAGAATGGTGCGAAACTGTGAAATTGGGGCCCGGAACCGTGAAATAGAGGCCCGGAACCGTTAAAACCGTTAGACAGGAATCTGGTTCCCACTTTTTTGGGAACCAAGTCTGGTTCCCCTCAAAAGCAGTCGCCAGCGACTCCAGTTACTAGGAGTCGCTGGGTTGGTTTACTTGGAGCAAGTATCGTTGTGTGGGTCAACTGCGGATTGACTGAGGCTTAACTTGGGGAGCTAAGTCCCTCGCTACTTTGATCTGAAACCGCCAGGGCTAGCGCCAAAGAAGGCGCTTTCGCGTCTTCTGGCGCGAGCGGCCGAACCACAGCAGATCACAGCCAGCATCAAGGCCAGGACGCAGCCGGGAGTCCAAAGCAGTTTTGGTACCCGGTACCCTTTTTCAGGTTGGCTTCAAGGGAAACCGAAAGGAAACCACGATGTTTGGGGGGTCCAGGGTTGACAGGCCCAGAGATAGTCTCTATAGTTCGGAGCGGAGCCGGGCGTTTCCGGGTTCCGGAAGCTTCCGGGGCTGCTGGTGGGATACCACCTGGCTTATGTGTGAGGCGATGTGTATCAACAGGTAATTTTCCCTGAGATGTCCAACAAAAAAAAACTCGGTGCCCTGAACAACAGATACATCAATGTGAGTGTGGTTCTTTATTTGAAGTATTTGGGTACCTTTTCCGTGGTTGTTTTTAGGGAAACCGTTTGTTTGGAGACTTAGGGAACCAAACGACTTGCATGTGGAAAAGCAGCCTATTGCGTTCCAAGCACGTTTTGCAGGGCAAAGCCAAAGGAAAGCCACAAATAATGTGATGTACTGTTCAGTACTTTGTGGTCTCCCACCCTTTTGAGGTTGTTTCAGATAAGGAAACCAAAACGGAGTCAGTGGGTTTCCCCATTTTGAGACACACCCTGGCGTCACGCTTCGTAGTGGCTTACTCCTGTTCTTATTTGAACACCTCTTGGCTCTCTAAAACAGAATATACTCGACCGTAAAATCAGGAGAATCGGTTTCCTGGGCCAGGGGCATCCACCGCGTCAGGGAATTGACCGTTCCCCTTAGCTGCAAGTTTAGGCTGCAGCTTCTCATTGGCATGGATAGGTTGCCTCCTTGCGACTGGTTCTGAGATATGTGCATTCGGGAAGTCGGGGAGCTGCAGGGGATGGTTTGCCGATCTTGCTTCCAACAGGCTCTTTCACCATGTGGTACTCAGGTTTGGTTCTATCCACAGTTAGTTTCACCTCCACATTCCAACCAAAAGTTCTCCCTGACCTCTCAATCTGCCCATGCAAATGGGATATTGCCAAAACAATTCTTTGTGGGTAGTTATTTATTTCGTGTCCAATGGCTCCTCCCACCACTCGAACCACGCTCCCAGGGGGCAAAGTCGGCCTTGGCGATCCTGGAGCTGCTCGAGGAGGAGGAAGAGCATCTCAACATGCGCCTCGGCTGGATGGGTTCCTAGGGTTCTTCATGTGAGTTTGTCTCTCAAAACTAGGATCCCCCCAACATGCTTGGTTTCCTGTTGTTTTCGTGTGTTTTAAGCCAACCAAAAGGGGGATTTTCTCCCAAAAACACTTGTGCCTCCCTTTTGGTGGTTTCAAACATCGCGTGTTGGACGTATTTGAAGTGAGTCTTTTGGTGGGGTGATGATTAATTGGAAATATGACCCTCCGCCAGGGGGGGGGGGTGGGGCCTCCTTGATGGTGCGGTGGAAAGGTGCGGCTTCAGCCTCAGCTTGTGGTCCCTGATTTGTTTCCTTAGGCGTTCTTCGGGCTTAGGGAGTCTTGGAGAGCCTTAGGGGAGAGATGGGGGTCAAGCATTCCGCATCCCCTCTGAGAAGGCAGACAGCCTTCCACAAGGCTGGCCACATGCTTCACTTCTCTCCGTGGGTAAATGGGGAACCTTTATCTGGCTGCAAAACAACATATGGCTGTGTCCTGAACCAACCAGTTTGGGGGAGTCAGGTTGTGTTGGATTCCCTGACTTCAAGGGTAGGTGAAAGGGAGAACAACTCTAGGGTGTCCAAGATGGAACACCTGACTCGAGTCCTAAGTCGGGTGTCAAAATCAGGTCGCTCTTTGAATTATTATTGTTTGTTTTGTCTTTTGATCTTCAGCTTGCAGTGGGGTGATGCTTGCAGAGAAACATGGAGCGCACCATGTGTGTGCTCCCGGGCCGGTATGTCACATCCGAGGTTTCATGTTACGGCAGCGTGGAGCAAGCTGAGCAAACAAAAGCTCACCAACGACGTTATCAGTGGCCCCAAGCTGGCGATGCTAATTGAGAAGACCACGACTCTGCTGCAGAGGCCATCGGTAGGACTTGGGTGCCGTTTCTTTGATCCCAGAAGGAGGCTGATTTGTGAGGTACTACTACTTCCCCAAGGCAACTATGGTCGTGAATAGGAATTGCTCAATTGCTCACGCACTTCGGATACCTTGGTCCTTGTTGCAAGGATCAAGCAGCAGCAGCAAGGTCCGCAGCTCCATGTTTTGAGCACATACCTAAGGCGCCTTGTCAGTTTTCTTTTCAAAGGACCTTCTGGTGGCTTCTAGCTTGGGTGGGTTGGAGGTTACCGGCCCTCAGGTGATTGGCTGAGATTGATATGGATTCCATTGGTTTCAAGTTGGTTCGTATCATTTACCAGTGAAATCCGTCAGTTTGTCCAATAGGGAAAGGAACCAACGTCCCTGGCTTTGTTTCATGCGGACACGGTTTCGGGGAGCCAAAGCCAACCTTTTGATCTTTTGATTTCCCTGATTTGGTCCAGTTTTCCAGGTTCCAACATGTTAGCATTTTATTTTGTGGTCCTTGAGGCAGAACAACTGCCATGTTGGCCCCAAATGACAGGTCCATGACTTACCATCCACCAAAGGGTTCTCCGGGTTGGTCAACAAGAGGTGTACCACTTAAGAGGGGATCCTTCACTTTTGGGGGAGGCACCCCCGCTATCAGGTTCATTAATCCAGTGTCAACATTGCTTAAGCTACAAACAAAGCCCGGGTGGATGAAGGGTAGTAAGGGACAATCCCGCTATGAATAGGACATGGTCTTGGGTACCTGGACCCTAGCATGATCTTTAAACATAGGGAACCCCCCCCCCCCCCCATATCTCGGGGCAACTCATTTGCAAGGCTAGATTGAGGGTCGCCCATGTTTACCAGGCTTTGACTTTTTTGTGTCTCTCACGGTCGTGTCTCAACATCGCAGGACCACGCGCTGTGGCGGAGATCTTTACAGCTGCGGGCAAAATGCATGGGAAAGCTACGGCCCGCCCGTGGCTCGCTTTCAGATGACCCATTTGCTCCTTTCCAGTGCCCAAAGCCTCCAAGCGGAAAAGCTCAGGCTGCGGAGCCTTTGGGCGCTACTGGCGGAGAAAGCACAGACCGTGGCCGCAGAGATGGACGACCAGTCGGTGTCCCAGGCAGAGTCAGACAGACGCGCGGGGTGCCCAACCCCAGGGCGTTTTGTAGCCGCACCCCCAGGGTCGGCTGTTTCAGGAGCAACTTTTTTGTTGGCGGTTCCCTTTGAATTCAAGTACCCCAACACAGAGTGCTCGCTCCCATTTCCCACTGGGGATTGGGTGTTGGCTGGTAGGAAACAGTGCATTGTTTCTGATGGTGTAGCAAGGGTAGCCATGGGAGGGTCATGTCAAGACCATAAATGCTCCTCAATGGCCTCACGCGACGTCGCCAAACAGCACTGTTAAGCTGCAATGGCTCCCCTTGCGACTGGGTTTGAGTCAACAAGTATGAAGGAATTAGCTTCCCATTAATGGATTTGCGGTTTGGAGGCTAGACGTGGTTTCCCTGTACTCTCCAGATATGCAGGAGCCAGGGGAAACCGCCAATCCAAGCTTGTGATTTCCTGCTTAATGTACCCAGCGAGAATCCGAAAGGGGTTGGTTTTGTTGTCTCCAGACCTGTTTTGTACCGAAAAAAGCGCTAGGCGATGTTCGCGTGGGTTTTGGCTTCGGACGGCACTTCCCTTCCGGTGCTCACCCCACTGCTGCCGGTGCTCGCGCACCGGGCCGCAGAAGCCATGCCGCAGATGCGGGCGGCGGGGGCTTCTCGGAAGCACCCATTGCAGCTACACAGCCGGGGGGGGGGGGGGGCGTTCGGCGGATGCCGCAACCGCGGGCTGTTAAAGCAAGTAAACCAACCCGGCGAACAGACACAAAACCGAGGAAGATGCACTTGGATTTGCTTGCCACTTTCTGTGATACCCTTGAGGACGTCCCTCTAGATCAAAGTGAGAACGTAGTCGTGGAGATAGGACTTAGGCACTACACGGTAACTATCACGGGCAGGGAAAATCCGCAACATGATCTCACTTGAGGCGCAATCCACACCTGGGTAGATGTAGCTCGTAATTAACTTGGAGACGGTCCAATCCAAAACGAGTTCGGCAAGAACAATGCTATCTTGATGGCTTTACCATTGTGGGCAGGCTCATCATACCAGGTTTGATCATGACTGACCTATGAATAACAAGGGAGGACTGTTTCGTAGTTTTATCTAGTTTCTCTTTAACCCCCCTACGAGGTTTATGTGGGGGGCAGAAGTGGAATCCATTGGGTCACTTGGGTGTACCGGATTTTGGGAAAGTGAAACGAAAGCCAACCCGAACCCCGCCCATCTGCCCATCTTCGGGATTTGCAGTCCAACCTAACCCTCGCTCCAGCCCTCCGCACCCTCCTGGCATCTTTTTTACGGGGTTGGCAACGGTCAGTTGGTAGCCCCTTAGAAGGTACCAAGGGGACCCCATGACAATCCTGTTTGTTGCTTTGTTACCCTCCCACCAACCAACATGGAATCTGAAAGGGGTCCCTTCAAAAGGAAAATTGTCCAATCCAGGGCCCCCCTGTCAGGTTCCATGTGAATTGGCAGGAGGGTATTTTCCTCTGCTCAGGTTTCCAAAGTCACCTGGTCTTTGGCGAAGCTCTTCGAGCGCAGCCTGAGCTCGAGCGAGAGCCAGCTGAGGCGCCTGGTTCCGTGGACGGCGGCACGCCTGGAGGAGGTTGCAGAAGACTTGAACGCGCAAGGACCGATTCAAGCTTAAAATAGACATATCCATAGGGAGAAACAGTTTCCCTTCTCAGCCGAAGCAATGATTGTTCAACAAGGAAACAATCAGAAACCTGGCGGTACTGTATGGTAAGAGCAGACTCGGATTGTGAATCCCGCACCCATCTAGAGGGCAACAAATATGTAGACAGAAGTCCAGCTGCGCTGTGTGTCTTCGAACTCGAAGAGCGAGGGCAACCCGACCCATAGGGTTTTTAATGGTTAACGTGTTTTGTTGCACCAGAAGCTCCTCCTCAGCATCCCCTGCATTACCCAAACACAGCCAGCCCAGACATTTGGACCCCAAAGCATCCCCACGGGCTTGCCCAAACTTCAAAAAAGCACTGTAAATGCTGTGCAAATCGCCGCCGACTGTCACCAGCATTCCCGCCAACATCCCCTACATCCTCGCCAACTTCACCAGCATTGCCAGGAAACATCGCAAACACTGTGTTTGTTGTCATGTTCCACGGGTTTCTGTGGGGCTAAGAGGGCAGGCCGGGGATGCAGTCTTCGTCTGATTGGCTTTGTGCGCGCGCTCCCGCGCGCACGAGTGATTTTGCTTTTTGATTTGCTCATTTGTTGGACAAGTTGTGTTCCAGGCCCTTTCAGAATGTGTGTGCGTGTTCGTCATTTGGGTGCTAGATTGCTCATGCACTCTGATACTAGAAGTTGGGCGCGCTTGTGCTGAAAGATGCTTGCTTGTCCCGTAAAGGTGATTGTAATATCCAAGTGCGTTTTTCTTGGGCTGATGGTTGTTCGTAGGGGTATGCTAGGGGCGTTTCCAAAAGCTGGTGACCCCCACATTTGTTGTTTTTCCATCATCCAAACAGACGCCTCTATAAAGTAGACGCTCCGGAGACAAAAGATCCCCGCAGAATTGTCCAGCTGCATGTGGGCGGTGGCGAAGCTTTCAGCGCACACGTCCGCCGCTTCTTTCTTCGAGCGCGCGGTTCCCAGACTGGTGGCACAGGCGGTGGCGGTGTCATCCAAACTCAATCCTCATGGAGCCTTGCCTGTACTCATGTGGCATGATTTGTTATTTGTTGTGTGTGTGTTTTTCGTTATGTTGTTTTTTGTGTGTTTTTTAGGCGCTGCAAAGAACTACGATGATTGTTGCTAGCAGAATGTTGCATGCCAACTTGGCTAGCTCTGTGTTCAAATGAATCACCACCTTTCAACCCCGAGAGGGCCATACGCTGCAAGGTAACTACTTCAATCATGGAGTAAATGAGGAGTAAATGGGGTGAATGAGCGCGGCATAAAGCTTTATTGTAGTTGCCCTGCAGACATATCTGTATATGCGCGCGTACATTAGTCACTACTGACGTGGTGAGCTTTGCGCAACTACAGTATCTTGGCAGTTTTTATTATTATTGTTGTATATGTTGTTCATCAAGGGTTCATCAGGTTGAACTTACTGGGCAGGTGAGCTCTTCAAGTCTCGCATGCTTCCCCAATCACTTCTTTCCTGGCACCTCCCCACTCAGCCTTGTGTTGATTTTGGCTTACTATTGGAAGAGACCACGGGATTGATTCGCAGGAGTTTGCTGTTTTGGTGGTGAGGTGGGAGGATTTGGGGCCATGTTTTGGAAGACCCCATGGGGTCTTTCAAAGGTTGGAGATACTATGGAGTGTTTCTTTTGGTCCCAAAGAGGGAACCTCACCCGAATTGGTTTCCTTCTTCCTTTGGTTTCCCTTTTGTTTACAGGGCCCGATTGTGGACCTTTCTGATACTTTCTGCCAGTGGGGTTTGGGAGCAGCCCAGATGTCTAAAGTCAGGAGTGGCGCAGGTTGTGTGGAGCATGGCGAAGCTGCAGGACGGAGGGATTTTGGAAGCGCCACCCGGGTCGCTGCCTCTGTTGGCCGCGCGCATTGCGGAGGTCGGGTCCGTTGTGGTTGCTGGGTTGTGCAAGCCACCTAAGTAGCTTTTATCCATGATTATAGATGGGATGACTAAGGGTGATTTTTCCTGTAACTTACAGAAACGGACGGATAGAACATCGTGCGGAAGAGTCAGCTTCCGGGACAATTGTTTAACTTAAGGGCCAAAGATTCACACACATGCGTTTTTCCCTGTGATCGTTTATGTAACCTCATTCTAATATTTAGGCTCTTACAGTATTACCAATGGAATTGATATGCAGGGCAAAGCCGTAAGCTGACCATTCTTGGGGCTTATTTGGATATTCTCAGTTTCACTCTGTATGGGGAGCTTTCCCTTGAATCCACCCACGAGGAGAGTTTTGAGGATGCGTTCCGAAACTGGACCCATTTCTTCAATTCCACCCTTTTGGCGACAGGTGCTGCCCAAGCTGCAGAAAGCGGACATCTCCAACGTGCTGTGGGCTTTGGGGAAGCTCTCGGGCTCTGCGGGCCTGGCCTTTTCCGGGGTCTTGCCCGATCTGGTGGACCAACTGGGTGGCCTGAAGAACTCATGGCATTTGAAAAGAAATGCCTTCAAGGGAAGCATGTATGTCGATGTGAGAGCTTTACCTAAGAGCACACCCTTGTGATCATTCAACGTTTGTTCCTTTGGTCAATGCAGCCCAAAAGACCGGGACTTCTCCGTGATTGCCCGTCCAATCAACCCCTTTGCGTTCAAACTCACTTACAACCTTGAAAGAAAGAGTCAGGGAAACATCTATGTTTCCACGTTCCCAGACCCCCTATTAACCCTCTTGTGCACTGTTTGCTCATACTACCCCGAAAGGGAATCACCGCAGGCCGCAGGCCGCAGGATAGAAGTTTTTGTTGTTATGTCCAGGCCCCATATTGACGAGGTGAAGTGGCCCACAAGCTGAGTGCGCCAGCGGTTGCTAGTGCCATGCTGGCTCTAGCGGCGCTGGCGACAGACGAGGGCTTGGAGTCGTGTTTGGAACTGCTACCCGCGCTGCTTGGTCGCGTGAAGCAACTGAAGTCCGAGATGAACGAGCAACTTGGAGTGGTTTTCATTGGATTTGTTTTGGCTTCCCGGTTTCCCCCCAACGGCGCAATTTCCGCGGTTCTGGGTGGTTTCTGATTGTTTTATTGGGCTTCCATTTGTTTTCCTGATTTTGGGCCTTGGTTTGTGAATGATTATGCATTTTCCAGTTTTTGGGGGCAAGTGAGGCAAGCAGTGTCAAACGTGATGTTGGCAGTGGCGAAGCTTCACTCCAAAGGGGTGGGCATCCAGCCACTGGCGGGCTTCTTGACCGTGTTGGAGCAACGGATCGAAGATGTTACGCCGTACATGACCGCCGAGGGTGTCTCGAACATGATGGGAGTGATGGCGACACTGTCAGCGGATGCTGCTGCCTTCAAGGCATCTGTAGACTCGCTGCCAGTTCTGCATTTCCGGATGAGCCAGGTCAAGTCACAGATGAAGGCTTGGTTCGTGTTTCTTTTGGAAATTGACTCTGTCCCCACCAACTGGCAAGACTGGCTCCCTTTCCGATTTCCACCAGGGACGCGGATCCAAGACAGGTCTTTCCCATCGATGTTTGGTAGCCTCAACTCTTTGCGTGTCAAGTCGCAGGTGGGTTACATCTACCGTGTCGCCTGTGCCACTTTGCAGCTGCACCGGCTTGGGGCGGAGAGCAAAGTTCTGGCACCCGTCCTGACCAGCCTGGACAGTCGACTGCTGGAAGTTGTGCCCAAGCTGAATGCCCGAGGACGGTTGGGAGTGTGCGGAGCAGCCCCGGGTGTTTCGGGTGCAGAGCGGGTTGCTGTCGGGGAAAGCGCCAGGGCTTTTGTTTCAGCTGGCATGGTCTGAGGTTTACAGATTCTTAGTTGTTCTGGAATGAAGACAGACCCTTCTGGAAGCAACGCAGCAGACACAATGGACGAGATGTGGATCAACAAGCCCAGAATTGATTGTTTTTCGGGGCAGAATCTGACGGGTTTGTTGAACAAGTTGGTTGGAGTGAGCAATGATTTCAGGGTTTGCCCTGTGACTTGTCTTCAGACTGCAGTTGTTGAGAATCATAGTTTGGGGAACTTCATGCTGCACTTTTGGGTACCCCCCAAAATAATCTGAAGAGGGTTGTGAAAAGGTGAAAAGGCAAAGCCTGATAGTTTCTCTCCGAAGGAGAACCTGGAGAATGATGGAAACAAACACAGCAGTGGAACTAAGCTTTGCGCTTTCAGTTTCCAGCAACCACGTTAAACCACCGTACCCAAACAACATGAACACATCCTGGCTACCCACTATGGTGGTAGCTGGAGGATGGTTTTGTGTCCGCTCCGGATAAACCCAAGCATCGACCAGTTCGGAATCTCCCGCAACCGCCCTTCATCCGAGTTCGAAGCAGCACGTGAGTATTGGCTGATCTGAAGTTTCCACGGGATGCTTTGCCCTGCGCGTTTTGTCGGTTTTCCAAGCGAGGCTTCAGACATTTCCCTTACTTCCCAGGAGTTTCCAGCATCATGGGCGTGGTGGCGATCTGCTCAACGGACTATCCCCCAGAGTTTTCGGCTGATGTGCTGCGCTCTCTGAGCACGAGGATCAAGGACACTTCTCGCTTTTGAGCATCTAACCCTTTCTGTGGATTGTACTCGTTCCTGATTTGTAATGTCTGTAACTTTTAGTACCTTGTTCAGATTGGGACCTACATGTACACTTCTCTCTTTCTTTGGCGGGTTCCCCACTCACAATGGGATCAGTGTCAAGAAGGCTTTCCTTTTGCTGTCGAACAGGTCACTAGGCAACTGTGAAACTGGGCTGCATCCTCATGGGTTGCATTGTTTAACATTGGGTTTCTCCACACCTCCGCGATTTGGCACGCACATCCCGGAGGGTTCCTTGGTAGCTCTTTGAGGTTGGGTTTAAAGAGGCTTAGAGGGGCAAAGTACTGAGAAGGTTCTTGGACTCTTAAGGCATGTTGTTTCCCCGTTTTATGATACGTGGCCTGCAGGCGGTTTCGGGGACAGGGGGAGACAACTCAAGTTTCCCGGCAAACCCAAAAGAAACAACTGTCCCACGTTGTCTTGGGGAAACAGTATGTTTTCCTGGGCTCGTGCATTGTTTCCGGAAATGCCAGGAAGTCGAGGCGGAGTTGACCGCCCGGGATGTGGCGGAGCTCATGCGGGCAGTGGGCACGCTTTCACTGGATGCTTTCCAGGCCTTGACCAAAGCAGAGGTGGTCATCCTCAAAAAGTGTGTTTTCTCAGATTTAAAGTTGGTAGAGCAATGGTTGGACGTGTTAGGGCCTTTTTGCGAATCTGTTTTGAAACGACAACGTACTGTGTTAGAACCGCACTTTATGTTCCAAGGTTTGATGGTGTAGTTTGGAAACAACAGTTGCTTTAGGTGTTATGTGTGATTCGTGGAGCTTATTAACTTATGGTGCCTAAATAGGTTTAATGTGCGTTTCGGGGCTGGTGTGCTCCGAACAACAAGCATTCCCCATGTTCTTTTTGTGAGTACTTGCGGCAAACATTGTATCGAGCGGGAGCTCTAGCAGTGAAACCCTGTAATATAGCAAGTGAACCAGCCACGTCCGACCACAAAGCCCTGACAAATGGCGGTTAATTAAGCACCTCTCTGTTTCTCTACTTGCAATCAACATTTAGGGCATCCGCTGTATGCCAAACTGGTCCCAAGGCACAGTTTCGAAAGGACCAGCCTTGTATGCTTGTTTTCTGTGACACCAAGGAACACTCTCGAACATGATAAAGTAGTCATGGGGGTCACCAATGAAAGTCGGTCCATAGTGATATCACCCGGAGGTTGCTATTCTAGGTGCCCCAGCAGTGCCCTTAGACCCTTTTTTGGGGAGGGTTCCCCTACCAAAATAGACTACAGAAAAAAGGGTGCACTTATTCTAACCTCACTACTGGAGGACCTAGTATTTCCTGCACGCACCCAGACCCCCAGTGGCGCCCAGTGGTTTCCCTCAAACTGGTGCCCTTCTCCCATGGCCGATGGAGAAACGGGACCCTGTAGGTATGTTCAGGCCTGCTGCCAGTGCTGTTGCTCCGACTGAAGGAACTGGAAGTCGAGATGAGTGTCCATGAACGGGTAGATGCCCAGCTGCCAGAGCTTTTTTTCTTTTGTGCATGCCTGCTCCCTTCAAAAAGTAGTACAAGGGTCCAGAGGTTGATTGAACAAGACAAAGGAACCAGCCCTTTTCCTCATATTTCCGCTGGCTTTCTGGAAAGAACGAGGTACGGAAGAAAGTGTAGCTTTTTTTTTGTGCCTTATGGCAAGGATGCGATGTGGGCCACAGCGATGCTAAGCCAGAATCTCCAGGCGGACTTGGCAGCCTTTACTCGGGTCAATGCGGAGGTGTCGGAGCTGAGCGGTGTGGAGGCTTCCAAAGCCATGCGCCTCGAACCTCAATCTGTCCGGAGCCACAATCAGAACCGATGAATAGATGCGTGTAGTCGCCCCTTTAAATTTGTAAAAGCCAGCTTGACTGAGGGATGATGGCATGGAGTGTTTTGCACGCATGAGACATAGCCCGCTGTACCGGCTGCCATTCAGGCCTAAGCCATACGCTACGCTTTTCAGGCAAAAGGATGGCCTAGCGATTTGCCCTGTGCTGCGCACCGGGATTTCACAGTGGCACCGGAGCCTGTATCCTTCTGAGGCTCGCTCGCTGCGCTGCTTCGCCCCGCTGCACGCCCTGATCTTCGCTGGCACGCGCCGCTTGATCTTCATTCACTTTGCACGCCTCTTCCTGCACCTTCGTGGGAGCTCGCTGGCCAGGCGGCCGGGAGCATCTTCGTGGGCTCAGGGAGTACCGCATCAGCTGAGGGAGCACTTCGACCAGGCGGTCACGTGCATCTTCGGTAAGTGCGGCTGACCCTTTTCACCGCCCTGGAGCTGAACCTCAGCTTCGCCCTCTTCACTGTTTTTACTTTGTGCTGGCCATCTAAGACGGCCACCTCACCTTTTTGCGGGACTACCCCCACAAGCCGAGAAGCCGGCGGCACTTTGCTGCCCTCATGGCGGAGGATGACAAGACTACGAGCGCCTGGTACAAGGTGCCAACGTGGGACGGCAATCCTGCCGACTGGCGGACCTTCCGCCGAGAGATGAGTTGGTGGATGGCTTCATTAGATCCAGAAGCTTGCAAGAAGTACAATGTCGCGGCTCGCCGGGCTTTGAGACAATCCGGAGTCGTTCGTGCTCGCTGTGAGGAGTACGACCCCTCTGAGCTGCAAGGCATTGAGGAGGTGACGACAAAGAACGAGGACGGAGCTACCGTGGTAGTGACAGCCGCGGATCCCTTCATGGTCAAGCTGCTCAAGGCGTTGGAAGAGATGATCGGCAAGTCGGAGCTGGACCGCAAAGGAGAGTTGAGGGCCCGGTTCTATGTGGAGATTCGCCGACAGGCATGTGAACGCATCAGCACTTTCTGCACAAGGTTCCGGACCCTAGCAGCAGACTTGAAGCGTGAGGGCGTGACATTGCCCAAGGAAGAGCTTGGGTGGTTTCTGAAAGAGCGCCTCGGGCTTGATCCCCTCAGGCGCCAACTTCTGGAGACGGCGCTTGCTGGCCGTGAAGGTTATGATGAAATCGAGGCCGAGGTTTTGCGGCTGTTTCGTGATCTGCATACTGCGGACCCCCTCTTCAACAAGCAACGGACAGGCAATGACAAGGGCATCCTCATGAATCGCTTCTTGTCGCAGCATCATCACAATAGCCCACATTCGCATCGGACCTCGGCACCCTCATCCGGAAGTTCATTTAGCCAGAGCACCCGACCATCGCGCAGCTTCCCTTCATCAGGCTCTTCTGGAAAAGGATCCTTCAGGAGACCTTCTTCGGCATTTGGTGCACATAAGCAAGCCATGGTGGCGGAGGCAGATGATGAACCTGCTCAAGAACCGGAGGAGGATGAATTGGTTCCAGATGAGGAGCCAGACTATTCGCTGGAGGACATCTTGCAGTCGGAGGCGGAAGTGCTTGCGGCTGAGTTGCAGGAGCTCGAGAGCAAGGGGATTGATCCGAACCTCGTCAACGAGCTGGAGACTGGTGTTGAAGCCGCTGCTGAGAGCCTGGTCACAATGAGGGAGGCCAGGCAACGCATCGCAGAGGTGCGCAAGGACCGCGGCTATGGGAAAGCTGGCAATCCAGGCAAGGGTGTTGGAAAAGGCCCTGGCGGAAAGACAAATCGCAAAGCTGTGACCAACTGCTTTGATTGCGGAGAACCTGGACATTGGCAAGGTGATCCGCAATGCAAGAAGCCGGGTCAAGGACTTGGACGTACGCCGATGGCAAAGAAGGCGGCGAAACAGGTTAGACTCACCGAGGCTCTCACTACTGAGGTGTACCCGGAGGAGGACGAGCAGGGTGGCAATGAAGTTATGGTGACTCATCACCTTGCCAGGTCGCCTCTTCCCCAGATTCTGGTCAAGCCCAGCGAGGCCCTCGTGACTGCGCCTCTTGCCCAGGACAAAATGCTGATGGGTGCGTTGGACAGCGCTTGCAACCGAACTTGTTCTGGAGATGTTTGGGTAGGGCACTACATGAAGCATTTGGAAGTGGCCCCCGACTGGATTCGCCACCTCATCAAGTTCGAGTCTCAGGTTTGGCAATGGCGGTTCGCAGAGGAGTTCGCAACGTGTCAGGGTGCCCATCATGGTTGGCAACTCCCTGGTTCTGGTTTGGATTTCAGTTGTGAAGGTGCCCAGCCTTGGACTTCTACTTGGTCGAGACTTCTTGGATGCCATTGGGGCAGTTTTGAGCTTTTCCAGAAAGATGCTCAGAGCGGACAACTTGGATGGTTACTTGATCCCGCTCAAACAGCTCATGGCAGGCCACTTTGCGCTGCCGCTGCTGCCTCGCCGCTGGCCAGAGACAGGTCGGGATCCTTGGAGACGGTTCGGGCAAGATGGAGTGATTGAAGTTCAGGCCAGTCGGCTGGAGTGGTTGAAACGCAAGCTCAACTTCAAAGGCGGTGCAACCCCCATCTCCAACAAGTGCCATGAGCATTTGGTGACGGAACAAGGTTTTCGCGCAGCTGATGTGTCGTTTTTGGGACTGCCTGCCGGTTGTGATCCTGGTGGTGTTTCGGCTCCTTCAGCAATGCCGATCACGGCCAACCAAGATTCAGCGCCCCTCACCACGGATCACCACAGCCATGTTCCGAAAGGCCAAGGAAACCGTCAACGTGGAGGGGCAATGGGCAAGGATGGTCCTAAGGTTGCGCGCGCGAGCACAATGGCACATTCGTGGCATGCTCTTGTGGCTATTGCAACGGCCATCTCTGCGCTACGTGCCGTTCCCGTACCCCAGCGTTTCAACCCTACGGCAGTGGATGTTGCAGAGCGAACAGATGGTGGAAAACAAGGCCCTTTCTCGAAGCCATGCAGAACTGGCCCTCAAGCATGGAACCTACAACATGCAGAACCTCACGGCGGCCTCATGGCTTCGCAACAGGCTGGGAATTCGTTTCAGCTTTCTCGAGGACCCCATGGTGGAGGGCATGCTTGCCGCAAGGTCTTCAAAGGGGATGGCTGCCAAGATCAAGCAGGAGGCCAACAAGGAGGCCAAGATCCTGGCCCAAAAGAAGGTAGACGATGGCAAGCAGGTCGAGGCTGTCAGAGCTCTCATTGGCCCCCGGGGAGGCCTCCCAACGTTGAAGGGAGACCTGCTGAAGCTCGCTGCGCTACTGCACATCGAGGTGCCGGAGAAAGCCACCGTCGAGCAGATAAAGCGGATGTGTCGACTGGTGGTCGGAGCCTTCATGTTGAAGCCAGGAAAGAGCTCTACGGCGAGTTCCTCAACAGAAGTCAAGCCAGCACAACAGCAGCCAGAGCGCGCGGAGATGACTCCCAAGGGCGCGCCCAAGGACGACGAGGTCGGTTCGTGGAGTTCCTCATCGGCAACTCACGGCATCACCGTCCAGGACGTCCACGCGCTACTGGCACAGCAAGACATCAAGTACCAAGGGATGCTTTCTCAAGTGATGCAGCACGTGATGGCCCTCTCCAACTCCAGCACCGTTTGGCACAACATGGCCGCGCAGGACAGCCAACAGGGAGATTCGCAGATGCGTTTGCTGGAGGAGGAATTGAGCCGCGGGATGAATCAGTGAACGGTGATCTGGAGGTGGTCAACCCTTGGAAGCTGCATCAGGAACTTAAACCCAGCCAGACTTTTGGGATCAGGCCGGCAGAAACATGAGCGTGATCGCAAGCTGGTCTCCAAGAATGGCAGGGAGATCCTCAATGTCATGCATGAGCAGTGGTTGGAGGAGTTCAATGGCTACATGAACGAAGTCTTCATGGCCACGGTGGACTTCCCCCGGACCTTTGTAACCGAGGTCTACACCACGACCCAGCCGATCCTGAAAGAGGCTCGCCGTCGAGGTCGGCGCTGCCTTTACACTGGAGACCGGTTGGGATTTCACCCGAGACCGACGAGCTGCTCGACGCCAGATTGACAAGGAGAAGCCCTACTTTCTTGCCTTGGCCTTTCCTTGTGGTCCCTGGAGTCCGTTGATGAGGCTTAACCCAGCACGTGACCTCATCAAGAAGCGTGAAGAAGGTTTGAAGCTGCGTCGCTTTGCCATCCAGCTTGCCCAGGACCAGATCCGTGGAGGGAGACACTACTTCATGGCGAATCCCCTCACGAGTGAAGCCTGGGCGATGGTACCTTCGCCTGCACAAGTCGCTGACCGCTTTGGGTTGGGAACGCTTGGCCCTAGATGCAGCTATGTGGTGGCTGTGGAACCCCAACCGCACCGTGTTGTTGGGCCTGATCATTTCTCATGTTGATGACCTGCTCATGGGTGGCAACGAAGAGGCGAAGAAGTTGCTGGACAAGCTTGGGGAAGAGCTGACGTTTGGTTCCATTGAGACCGGCAAGTTCACCTACTGCGGCAAGCTGATAGAGAAGAAGCCGAACGGGGATGTGTGCATTTCCATGCGGGAGTATCATGAGAACCTGAAGCCCGTCGAGGTTCCTTTGGCAAGGCGGAAGGATCCTGAAGCTGCGCTAACCCCCGCAGAGTTCAAGCAATGTCGTGCAGTTCTTGGCAGTCTTCAGTGCATGGTTGGTGGCGAACTGCAGATTTGACATGGGTTTTCAGTTGTCGGTTTTGCAAGGTGAACGAAGAGTGGTTGGTACGTTGCTCAGGGCCAACCAGTTGTTGCGACGTTTCAAGGAGCACTCCAACTTTGAGCTGCGCTTCAAGCCCATGGACTTGCGGAACTGCGGAATCATGGTGGTGTCTGATGCAAGTCTGGGGAATGTGACACGTGATGGTGGTACAGATGCTGAGCCAGTGCGTGAGGTCTACAGCCAGGCGGCCCACTTCGTGTTGCTCGCCAGCGCTGATTTGATGGCTGGTCGCAAGGGTGGCTTCATGGTGCTTGATGCTCGGAGCCATCGTCTTCAACGAGTTTGCAGAAGCACCTTCTCAGCAGAGTTGCTTGGGGTGGAAGAAGCTATGGATGTTGGACACTACTGCCGTGGTTACCTCGCGGAGTCCCTCGGCTGCCCCATGGCTGACAAGCACGTGGATAAGTACCTGGAGACTGTGCCCCTCAGAGTGGTGACGGACGCTAAGGATGTCTACGACAAGGGCTGCAGTGACACGCCTTCGTATGGAGCCCAGAAGTCATTGGCCTTCACAGTTGCCTGGCTTCGTGGAATGTTGCGGAGGGAGCTCACCAAACTTCGTTGGACAAGCACAGAGAACATGTTCGTGGACGCCGGCACCAAGGACATGGACACGGATCACCTCCACAGCATCATGAAGAGCTGTGAATGGTGCGTGACGTACAGGCCGGATTTTGTGAAGCAGACCAACAAGAAGGTCACCAAGCTCAAGGCTGGAGACAGTACAGTGGTCGTTGGACGGCCGCTGGATGCGCAGGATGAGATCTTCAACCGATTGCTGATGCTGAGAGAACGCCCAGGTTGGCATCATCAGGATGGAGTTGGCATTCACGTTGCCAGGTCTGCAAGGTCCTACAGGCTGCCCAAGCCGCGCTTTGACCCGACCGTCTACTGCATGCGGAGCCACTCTGAGTGGCGTGAGTTGGAGCGCGATGTGGACACCAAGACCTTGCAGAACGCTCAAGGACTGATTGGGCGGCCGGCTAGTGTGCTTATCACCTTTTTCCGGAAGCCTGGACCATCACCCTCTCAGCCAACAAAAGAAAGGTCAGCTGTAAAAGCCAGCTTGACTGAGGGATGATGGCATGGAGTGTTTTGCACGCATGAGACATAGCCTGCTGTACCGGCTGCCATTCAGGCCTAAGCCATACGCTACGCTTTTCAGGCAAGAGGATGGCCTAGCAATTTGCCCTGTGCTGCGCACCGGGATTTCACAAAATTATTTTGGCACCTCTTTCGTTTTTGTTCAGATGACCGTTGTGATTTCTGTCAAAAGGGAAAACATGCATACATATTTACCCCTCCTGATCTACCTTGACTTGATTGAATCTCAAAACTATAGGCTGTTTCCCTCGTTTTAGCTGTTTGATACCTGTTGTCTGGAAGTTTGTTCCAAATCAGATTTTGATCAGAAAACCAAGGCTAGCTTTAGCAGACGTGTTATCATTCACTTGCAAGAGGACAAGCGGTGTGTGTAAGCCAGACTTGGAAGCAGCTACGCCTGAGAATTTACAGTTCGGTTGTGCTTTTGAGGTGCTGTGGCATTGCTGCAGAAACAGACCAGTTTGAGTCATAGAGCTCTTGGGCTGACAAAGGTTTGTTTTTTTGTGACCTTACACCAAGCTTGAAACGCCCCAAGGTGCTGCAAGGTAACACAATCATTTTGGGTCCTGGAGCTTGGGCTGGAAGGAATTTCGGAACCGTAAATTACGATTGCCTGATTGAACAAATTGAAAGGACATCTCTTTGAACGCCAACTTCTAATTAAAATATAGTTAAATATCCTCTTGAAATTCGATTTGAAGCTTGATTTTCTTCTAGATAGACATTGTTCCTTACTAACTTGCATTTTAAAAAGTACAAAACAAAACAGAATCCTTGGGAAAGGGATTCCCCCTTCAAGCTCATCGACATGAAAAGCGTAATTGCCATGTATTTGAAACCTTGGAGACCCTGTTTCAATTCTAACTGAAAACGTAGACTTCCTTGTTAGATGCTACTTAACCTATTGCGCAAAAAACATGAAGCATGTCTTGGCGAAGGACATTCCCTTTGAGATGTAATTTGACACTCACCTTGGAGAAGGAACAGCCATTTAAATTCTAGTCAACTGGAATTCTTCCCTTCCTTCAAACTTCAATGTAAATTCTAAGAAACAGATTGAACCGGCCATCCTGGGAAAGGAACGGGCATTGCCTGGACAATCCAATTCGAAAGAGTAATTCGAATTAAAACCTAGTTTAAATTTGTTTAAGCAAGGAATCCTATCTAAAGGATAATTGAAGCTAGAATTTCTACTAGATTCCTGTCCTATTGCGTATTTATTCAGAACATGAAAGCAAAGGTAGATCATGCGGGGGAGCAGAAATATGTATATGTGTATACATAAAACCCCGAAACGGCTTTTATTATTTTTGTAACAATATTCAGATGTAGTTTGGATTCAGGGGAATGTGTACAAAGCCGAAACGTGTTCTAATGCTTCATTGCAATGAATGTAAGCCCACACAATCCGACCATTGAGAAAGGTGGGTCGTGGCAAAGCTTTACGCAGCTGGCGGTCCGACTGCACCGTATGCAGATGTTATACCTTTGCTGGCGGAGCGGATCAAGGAAGGGCAGGATGACATCAAGCACCCGCAGGAATCTCAATCCGCAGGGCTTTGCCAGACACACACTGTTCAACTTGTTTCTTTTGCATGTGAAATGACCTCTCGGCCATGCCAAGACACGGAAGCATTGGGCGAGCAACTGTCCAGCTGCACTGGAAACCCGCTGTCTTTGGGAAGGTAGTACGGCACACGAAATGGTCAAGTATGCAGGTTGCTCAATGGAGAGGATCATATTCGTGGTTCCATCCCTGGCGCCTGTCATTCGCCCACATGGCTCGAACGTCGTGAGCGTTCATAGATCCCCCGTGTAGGAAACTACAGACATGGTCCGCATACGGTGCATCATAGGTGCTCAACAACACAGCAAATGAGCGCATCATTTACATTTAATAACACCAAATGATCAATATGTTTACCAACCTTGACCACCCGCCCGCCCACCCACCCACAAACACATACACCCACGCCCACGCACGCAGGCACGCACCCATCCCCGCACGCACGCGCGCAAGCACGCGCACACCAGACTACCCACCCACCCACCCAACCCACCAACCCACCCACCCACCCACCCACCCACCCACCCACCCACCCACCCACCCACCCACCCACCCACCCACCCACCCCCCACCCACCCACCCACCCACCACCCACCACCACCCACCACCCACCACCCACCCACCCACCCACCACCCACCACCACCCACCACACCCACACACCCACACACACAAACACAAACACAAAACCACAAACACAAACACAAGCGCAAACACAAAAACAAACACAAACAAAAGAACACAAACACAAGCACAAGCACAAACACAAACAAAAATCAAACACAATCACAAGCACAAACACAAACACAAACCCACACACACACACGCACACGCGCGCACGCACACACGCACACACGTACACACGCGCGCACGCACGCACGCACGCACGCACACACCCACGCAAGCACGCACGCACGCACGCACGCATGCACGCACGCACGCACGCACGCAACCCAACACAGAACACACAACACAGAACACACAACACAGAACACAGAATACAGAACACAGAACACAGAACACAGAACACAAACCACAACAAGTGCGAAATTCACACACAAAACACAACACAACAGACAGACACACACAGGCGTGTGCGCGCACATGCGCTCTCACGAACGCCATTGGAATGACGCACATATGCACAAACGCAGGCACTCCCGCGCGCAGGCATGGGCGCACCCGCGCGCAATTTCCCTCTACTTGCCCTTCTGTTCTGGGCCGTGGCGACGCTGGCGGATTCGGAAGTTGCTTTGGAGCTGCTGCCGTGGCTGACAATTTGCATTATGGAAGTGGAGCCGGAGACTGGGGGAACACAGAAGGTGCTTGTTTGAAGGTAGTAATCTTGTTCATCCTGTAGAAGATTTGCAGCCGCGGAAAGTGGCCTATAGCCATGGGTGCTTCTACTTGCTAAGTAACCTGCCCGCACTTGGATGCTCAACCCATTTAGCAGTTTCTCGCATTTTGCACATGTGAGTGGGGTAGTTCCCTGACCGCGATGACAACTTACTAGGCCGGTACATCCAAGCACCCTCCCTCATTCCCTAAGAGAAAGTGGGCCTTCCAAGCACCCTACAGGCGCCTTCTGTTGGAAGTGTGGTTGGAAGTGTGGTTGGAAGTGTGGTTTCTTTGAAAGAACTTGCTAGGCAGCGACATCGGTCTTAGTACTTCAGTTTGGAAGGACAACTTTCGATATCTGGGTCGGACTTTGATTTCAATCAAACCAGCCTATGGCGGCATTCTTGGCTACAGTGCAAGCCCTAATATGACAAGTGCTACCAAATGGGATGTGGACACGCTTCTATGGCATCGCCCGCTGCGTGCGGACCCCTTTCCCCCAGTGAACCCTCTTCCGAGACCCAATATTGCAAGGTTCAACCTTTGTGTTAAGGGCAGATGTCATGTTGTGGTGCTGCTTTTGGTGGACCGTGCCATTTGTTTGTTTGCGCCGCACTTGGAATATTTAGAGCCTCAACCCAACCTGTGGTAGAATTGTTGTTCCTCCAAAAAAAGCATCACCGCGGAATAGCAGTGCTCAATGCTTCGCTTTTGGTTTGTGCAATGTGGGTCATATTGCTTCAGGGAGCATTTGATGACAACTTCGAAGGGGGGTCAAAGCAAGTTTATGCAGATTTAAGGCAAGGAACCCAGTTCATGAATAAATTCAACCCAGCAAACCATAGCAACCTCACACGGGAAATTTGTAATCCCATGACAAAGGTTCCTGGAACACGACTTGACCCAGGTCGGTAAATGATGATGCCCTTGTTTGTTGGCTAGTTTGCAACCAAGCATTGGCGTTGTGAAGGTTTCGTAGTGGCTCAGAACCAACATAAACCTCTGAGTACCCCACCACATTCTATGACGCCGCTTGGTACTATATTGTACGCTCGTCAACCATACTCAACCACAAAAAAACGGTCGACTGCAGGAAATTCGAGACTTGTTTTCCTTGTTCTCTTCGTTTGCATTATTCAATCACGCAGGAGATGAGCGCGCGGGAGGTAGCGCAGGTGCTGTGGGGGATGGGAAAACTGGCGGCAGCCAAGATGGCGCCTAAGGCGGGGTCCAGACAACGCGCGCGCAGGGCTCCGGTTCTGCGTTTCTTGGCACCGAGCGCTGGTGGAAGTTTATCCGAACGCATTGAAGCAAACTCTTGCAGGGCTTCTCTAGAATTTGTTGGGGTGGTTTCCCGGAAATTCACCAGATACTCTGGAGGGCAATTCTGAGGATGCCGCATTCGTGGACTCTGTCCCTGGGGTACTTCTTTTACTTGCTTCGGTGGTGATTGTGAGTGATGTACAGCTGAGCAGTGGTTGGCGACACCTTGACATCATTTACATGGATATACGTCTGTCCACGAAGCATGTTCAAAGGTGCTCCCCTCAAATACAGATCTTTAAATGATAGCCTCATAGCCATCTCAAGCTCTTTGTATTGAACCCACCCGCGGGGAAGCGGGTTCACTGGCTGAGGCACTGATGGGCTTACAGCCCATGTTCGCTGACAGAGTGGAGGCATCAGCAACTGAGCCAGACATGGCCATGACGGGTGGAGAGATCGCCGATGTGACCGGCGCCATAGGATACCTTGCGGCGAGCACGGATGACCTGAACACGTCGCTTGCCAGGGACTGGGTTGGGTCAGCGGCTAGCGTATCAGTAGTTTGCTGTCCGAGACGGGGGTCGCACTCAATTTCCCCGCAAAAACCGGCGGACTCACCAAGTGTCATTCAGACCGTCGCTGATCTTTGCTCCGGTGATTTATTTTTCAACTTCGCTGGTTAGACCGGTTTGAGGTCAGCTGTTTTCCAGTTGACCCATTTGAAGATATTTGAAGCATGGACTAACATTTACTTCATTGTCCTTCGGAAACTATTGCTGAAGCAACTCTGTGCCTGCTCTAGTGCTTGCTAGCAGCTTGGATCTCTTGCATCACGTCCCAGCATCGACTGATTCTGGCTTGAGCACTTTCTTAAATCAATCCCCTGGATGTGGCTGTCGCGCCTGCTTGTGTGAGGTTGATCACCTTCGTCCACTTGCGGCTTATTGATTTTAGTGTTCCTTTGGTTCTCCGGCCAGTCTCCTGTGGACCTTTTGAGCGTGGGAGCAACCTGAAGCTCGCGTTTGGCCCCATGCGAGCACCGGTTTCTTTCCATAGGGTCCCATCCCTGCCTTGGATTTCGGACGTGCTTACTTTCATTTTGATTGAAGCCTGAGGCCCGACCGGGCGAAACGCAAGATGCGGGGGTGGTCTCCCTTTGGTGTCACCTGCTCTTTTGAAAACGTCAGGCACCTGGGCTTTGGGCCATCTGAGCAAGATGTCTCGGAATGGCGCAGGTACCCTGACCACATCCCCAAAGCTTCAGCGGCCAGAGAGGAAACATGGGGACGCGCTTTGGTTGGCCACTGGGTTCTCAGAGCTGAGGTTGCGTGCGCTACACTATTTGATGGGGTCATTTTCGGATCTCGACTATTGCGCTACACATGAGGAGGGGACGCAGTGGCGCAGCGGTCCAGCGCTTTATCCGAGTAACTGACTATGTGACTCGTTCCTTCTCAGTTCGGAAAGGACATGCGTGCGCCCAGGTATCTAATTTCCCGCAGAATCGCCCGCTTGGCCTCCAAAGCCTCCCGCAGAAACCACTGGGACCAGCACCCAGTGTTCTTTTGTCGGGAGTCAAGAAATGTTGTACTTGGCCCAACCGTTGAGTACCATGGCTATGCGTGCAGCATGTGGTCTTGACGTGTAGGACGTAGGACCTGTTTATGGGCGATCGCAAACTGGAGCCTCAACAAAGAACTGGGGTGGCTGCTGCTTGTTTGGGCAACGGCTCCAAATCTTGAAGCAAGAGTCATTCTGCTTGTAAACATCCCACAAACACAACCCATTATTTTATTTAATCCATATCGTATGATATATATATATATATCTACATCCTAATGTGTTCGTAATTTCATTGTCAGCAAAGAACGTGTTCTATGGGGGCGAAGCGCGACTAGATCAATGAACTCCTGCGTTCCTCCAACGCCAGTGTTGCACACATGTTTATTTGTATCGAGACTCATTGTTTTGCTTCAAACTAGCATACCATTTTGTGCCCCTCTGGGCTGAGTCAACGTTCGGTGCTATCTTACATCTTTGCCCTTAGCAAAACAGTCATGGTAGGACATATTTAAATCCTAGGTGGGTCGAGCGTTGACCAAGTAAGCTTCCAGGGAAATGAACTTCCCAATGCCAATCTTGCACAGAGGACCTCGCCCTAACCTGCTGGGGTTTGGCGTGGGTCAAGTACCAAGACCTCCACTTCTTGCGCAGCGTGGCCAAGAGGCGGGAACGGGGACGGCTCTTTGCTTTTGGCTTTTTTCAATAAATGCCCTTTGGTTCTTGGTGGGTATGTGCTGGATTTACTCAATAATACTTTCCCTTTTGGGGTTTCCTCGAAAGATGCGAAGCCTCAAGATACACACACAACACACACACACAACACAACACACAACACACACAACACAAAAACAAACACACAACACACACACACACAACACACACAACACACACACACAACACACACAACACACACACAACACACACAACCACAAAACACACAACACACAACACACACACACAACACACAACACACACACACACAACACACAACACACAACACACACCACACACCACACACCACACACCACACAGACACACACGCACACATTTATGGGGCGGTCTGAGGCAGAATGTCACACTGCAAAAGGTCTGATAGTGAAACGGCGCCCTTTCAATGTCCCCTGCGTGGTTGGAGGTGGCTCAGGCCCTGGGCACAATCCAAAAGTCCCTGGCTCAAGGCTGTCGCCCACCAAAGCGTTGGTGAGTTTGGACGACTGGAGCATTTGTGCTTTGGACTGGGCCTTGCAGACCTTCCACGGCCAGGACTGGGGGGGGTGGGGTGGGGCGGGGCTCAGGTCTGAATGGAAATCAGAAGCACCGTTGGGAAAGCCAGGACTTGCTTGTTATGCTCGTATTTTTGGCCGAACCATCTGAGCGGCAAACCCAAAGTGAGGAAACTGAGTGGCAAACCCTGTTAGCTTTTTTGTGTGTTTTTGGGGTTAGGGGGGGGCGGGTGGGTGATTCTGATGTTTCTGAAATTTACCCATTTGGGCCAATCCACAGAGAGTGGGCCACATTCCACGGCAGGACCGAGACCTGAAGCCCTTCGCCTGGAGCCTCGACTCGGAGATGCGGCGCCGCCACTTCGACCCGGCGAGCGACGCGGCGCGGTGCGGGCGCCTCAGCCCCGACGCCTGGCGGAGGGAGGCGCAGCTGCGGCCACGGCGTAGCAGGAGCTGAAGCGGGGGTGGCCTTCCAGGGTTGGCCTTGGGTTCAAAAGTTGCATTGTGAATTTCGTTGTTTTTTTTTTTTTTTCCGGGGGGTCCAGAAGAAGCATCCCAGGTTGGCTTTGGTCTCCTTTTGGGTCTCAAATAAAGAGTGAAGTGCCATGCAGACTGGATAGGGTTTCTAGGGGAACATCTGGGCCAGGGTCAGATGACAGTCGTCTAGCTTTTTACATGTTTTGCAGTTAAGAACACCATGACTATCCACAAGACAAGATATGGCAAAGAATATGTTTTTGAAATAAGCAAGGGAGGATGGCTCTTGGAGGTATGCAGCTCTTGTGCCAAACAATTCGTCAACAGGACAACCCTGCAAGGCTGTGCCAACGTGTAGGTAGTAAACTGTGTGAAGGCTTGGGTCACTTGGGCGTCTTGATTGAATCCATTTACTACTGAACTATAGTTAGTAAGTCACCAATACGTGATATCCAGTTGCCGAGAGGCAAAGGTACCCATGCCTTCGTTTTGCTCACCCGGTTTGGCTTGCTGCGGAAGTCAGAGCTTCTCGTAGGGATCGTAAATCGACCCCACATCAGTTTTATTTATTTTGCTAAGCTTGCTCCAATTCAAGGCAGAATTGAAGCATATGATGTCGCGGGCAGCAGCCGAGCCCCTGAAGAACATCCACTCAAACGCTGACCACGCATGTATGTAGATGGTTGTGTGCATCTATATTTGCTACATTTTTCCCTGCTGGCTTTTGTGTGATAGGCATCTCGACTTGCGTTTGGAATGCATTTTACTTGGGAGATTGGCTGGACGGGTGATCTCGGGTGGCCCTCGGCACTGCAAAGTTTGGAAGGCGGATTTCAACTGCCACCGGTGCAGAGCGGAGCACCGCCGTTGAGTGCGTTGGGGTCAAGGGGCTGTATTAGCTGAAACTGAAGGTGTTGCGTGTTTAATGTAATATATTGATTCTTCTTTCGGCCTTTGCAAATGTTTGTGCAATTGCAGGGTTTTGTTTGAGAGGTTTAGGGTTTTGGTCAAATGACTGGACACGTAGCGAGCTTGAGGGTATTGTTTTCTGGGGTTGGTTCTTCAGAAGACCACCACATAACTGCCCATCTCGACTGCACCCGGACCCGAGTGCCCGTTCTAACTGGTGGCATACCTCGGTTGGGCCGATGGGCCCACCCCGAAGTAGCCAATGGGAGACGCCCTTTAGACATAAAGTCGCATGAGTCGAGAGGCTTGGAGTGCAAAAAGATCTGCTGGCCTTGTCCACGCGCTTTGCCCGCCTTTAGCAATGTAAGGGGCTCTCTATTGGGACTGGTCCTGCAGCAGCAGATGCAGCGAATGCGACTTGAGCCATTTGCTTGCACCACCTGACAGCTCCATGCCACCAGTCAGAGCCAGAGCACGCAGAGCCATTAGTGGTAGAGAAAAGGCGAGTAGCCAAGCAGTGACTTTGTAGTCGGGACAAAGATTCATGAATTCAGGAAGCCCCTCTGAAATACCCCAATTGAAGCTGTGTCCATTAGTAGGTGGGTGTCTCTCTTGCCAAGGTCAGCAGCAACGAGCATCTCCGCGAGCAGTTGCAAGAGCAGCAGGGCCGTTTCCAGGAGTGCTGCGGGAAGTGCATGGACACACCAAGGCGAGAAAACATGTTTTTTCCACGGAAGAACTGGCCAGGTATTCTCCATTTGTATTCGGATGAATGTGTGACTTATCAAAGGCAATTGTGCCATCTACTTTCACCCTGGTGCATGTACCATTCGGGTAGGGAATGGGGACCATGAGTAGCCATTACAGAGCCTTCAAGGATACCCTGGGAGGCCAGGACCGTCCCAGGGCTCCCATTGTTCTGTGTCAGCATTCAAAAATTGTGAACCCCAGTGAAAACCAAGCGAAAGGTGTCTGTTTTCTCAGACCATCTCGATAAAGGGGTTTGGCTTACTTTTGATGCAGTTGTGATTTGTGGGAGCTGGATGATGAAGGGGGTTAATACTGGGTATGTGTTTGTGTGTGGGTGTGTGCGAAGTCGGACCTACTCTCCCCGAATCTCAGGAGAAGAACAACAGGGAGGCGGCAGAGTGCTTGCCCCTCAGAGTAGATCTGAAGGAGAGGGGGCAGCATGAGCGTCAGTGCGGGCAGACGCGCAGGTGTTGTAGGTACCCATTGTTTGCGGGTCAGTTTGGTTGAACAGGCGGGGTCAAAGAGCTGTTTGCTGAGTTTGGTTGAACATCAAATTTTATTGGGATGCCCTTGCTTTCTTCTCTTGATACAAATAGCAAGCCAGGAATGGAATCTGCTAAGAGTATGGGGACAAAGCTAGCTTTGCTTGACCGGTGCGGTTGTTTTGTTTGCGTCTCAACGGTTTTGCCTCAGCTAGTAAGGAGGATCATGAGAGGGTCGCAAACTTGTTGCCGCGCTAAGACTCAATGAAACTGAATTGTTCTCACAATATAACTGGGCACTTCCTATTTTGGCGGCGATTTGTTTATCGATCGCAACTGCGTGATTTGGCCCATTGGACTCATTGGATGCAATGTCGAACTGTGTTTGAGCCGTTGAATGCAATCACATTGATCCTCACTTTCACACAACATTGAACCTCCAAGCATAGATTGCCCCGGTACCCTGAATGGCTGACGTGATTTGGATCTGCTTGAGGATTTAGACGGCAAGCCCCGGCCCCCTACCCATCAATCTCTAAAACTTTTCTAAGCACCTTTCGAACCTTTCCTGGATGGGGGCCTTTCAATTTGCAAAGCTCATGTCAACACAATGCTTCTACATAAAACATGGGAAGCCTGCACCTCAGGCCAGCAACCCCTGGCAGAAAGGCTGCAGGACCACGGAAAAATGGTGGAGGCCTGTTGCTTCTCGTCGGGTTTTGTTGGGTCGACAAGGATTTGCTGGGCGGTGGGGTTCCCAATATTTGCTCACATCACCTCTACCAAACAAGACTCACTCAATTGGCCAAAAAAGTTAGAACCAGCAAACAGGGAAACATAGGGGTCCCTGTTCCTTAAAGGATACATTTTGGCCATATGGGTCTGTCTTCAACGTGGGACACCCCAAAATGGCCACGTTGTGTGGTTTCCCTTTCAAGCCAACAAAAGGGGGTTTGCTCAAACAAAGACACCTCAGACTGAAACCACTTTTACCAGCTGTTTGAAGTTGCTTTTGCATGTTGGTTTTTAAGGGTATCTTAAGCACCCACCAGTGACAAGAACACACTAGCTTCAGAAGACTCTATGAGGTGGTTGTTGGATTGTTCCTTTAAGGAACCCGGTTTGCTGGGCCAGAAACATGTTCTGTTTTTAGGGTACAGTATCTGGAAGTCTATGTTTGGTGTACCCATTTGGGCAAAGTTTTGGGCGTGAATCTGAATTCTGCTGAACGGTTCATTCCCCAATTCCCCTCCGAAGCGGCAGGGTGCGGAACGGAGAACGAGAGGAAACCAACCATCCCCCGATGAAAACTCGTTGGTTGTCCCAGGTGCCGCTCAATATGAGGGATATGAGATTGAGTCAGTTGTTATTTACACGCTGACGCGACACAGCCGGCCACCGGGCACCTTGCCCTGCTCGTTCTGTCACTTCCCTTTCCTGTAAGTCCGATTAGTAGATGTTAAGATTTTCAGATTCTAAAAACTTTGAGATTCTAAGGGTCTCAGATTTGAAGACTGTCGGAATTTAAGGTTTCAATGGTTTAAGAATTAAGGTTTAAGATTCAAAGATTTAAGGTTTTTGAAGGTTATAACAGCCAGGCCATTGCCCAGCCATTTTCCATCTATTATCAGATTTAAGATTTTATTTTTCGGAGATTTTCAGATTTGGCGACTTTCGGAATTTAAGATTTTAAGATCTCAAGATTTCAAGGCTTCAAAGTTTCAAGATTAAGAGTTTAAGGAATTTAAAATATAGCCCGGATTGAAGCAATTTTATTATATTTTACTTGTTTATGAAGTTAAGATTTTCAGATTGCAATAGTTCGAGATTTGAAGAATTTAAGTTTTGAAAGCTTTTCAGATTCTGAGATTTTAAGACTTTGAGAATTTAGGAAGTTCATATTTTTAGATTTCAACATCTGAAGATTCAAAGATATTCGGGTTTTAAGAAGTCAAGATTCGAAGACTTTAGGATGTTTATATTTTCAGATTGTAAGATTCGATCTTCTAAGGTTGTAAGTTTAAGATCTTGAGGTTTCAAGATTTCCAAATTTCAAGAGTAAGAGTTTAAGACTGTAGGAATTTCATATTTTAAGAGTTTAAGATCGCAAGATTCTAAGACATAAGGGTTTTAAGATTTCAAGATTCGAAGACTTTAGGATGTTTTTATATTTTCAGATTTTAAGATTCTAAGTTCGAAGATTTTAAGATCTCGAGATTCTAAGATTGATTGTTAGATTTTAATTTAAGATTTTAAGAATCTAAGACTTTAGGATTTTGAGATTTCAATCCAGGCCATTTTCCATCCATTTTCCATCCACTTTAAGATTTTAAGATTTTCAGGTTGCACGTTTTCGGCAAAGTTGGCCCGACTTAGGGGACAACATCCCCAGCATCCCCCGAGACTTTAGGATGTTTTTATATTTTCAGATTTTAAGATTCTAAGTTCGAAGATTTTAAGATCTCGAGATTCTAAGATTGATTGTTAGATTTTAATTTAAGATTTTAAGAATCTAAGACTTTAGGATTTTGAGATTTCAATCCAGGCCATTTTCCATCCATTTTCCATCCACTTTAAGATTTTAAGATTTTCAGGTTGCACGTTTTCGGCAAAGTTGGCCCGACTTCGGGGACAACATCCCCCGCATCACCGGCATCATCCGCATCAATGTCCGCCAAGGATGCGGATGATGCAGGTGCTGCCGGGGATGTTGTCCACTATGGGCACCCCCCCAAAAACACTCGTTTTTTGACTCCGCGGGGAGATGCTCAAAAAGCCGCCAAAAATCGCCTGAACAAATCCGGAAATCCTTCGCCCCTTATAAGGGTGGGCCCAGCTTGGCGCAGGGCAAAAATTCGGCACATGGTCGGCGGTGGGTCGGCCTGAAGGTAGGCCCTGCGGGCCTAGGCCTTCGGCGATGTCACGGACCACGGGGTCAGGGCCCCCGGTGGCCGGATTTAAGGGCTGCCGCCCAGTGCCGCCGACCCCTTCAGTTGGACTGCATCACCAACAGTCATGATGATAATGATGACTACGCACCCTCTGCATCTCCAATCGGCTCTAACGGGACTTTTGAATCGTATATGAAAAAGATAAGGATCCTCATCATAGCCGGGCCCATCATCATCATCATCACAGTTATCATCATCGATGATAACCATCATTATGCATCCTCTGCATCACCAACAGTCATGATGATAATGATGACTACGCACCCTCTGCATCTCCAATCGGCTCTAACGGGACTTTTGAATCGTATATGAAAAAGATAAGGATCCTCATCATAGCCGTGGCCCATCATCGTCATCATCACGGTTATCATCATCGATGATAACCATCATTATGCATCCTCTGCATCACCAACAGTCATGATGATAATGATGACTACGCACCCTCTGCATCTCCAATCGGCTCTAACGGGACTTTTGAATCGTATATGAAAAAGATAAGGATCCTCACATAGCCGTGGATCATCGATCATCATCATCGATGATAACCATCATTGCATCCTCTGCATCATCAACATGTAATCATCATTATGCACGCTGCATGCACTCCAATCATGATGATAATGATGTGCATCTCCAATCGGCTCTAACGGGACTTTTGAATCGTATATGAAAAAGATAAGGATCCTCATCATAGCCGTGGCCCATCATCGTCATCATCACGGTTATCATCATCGATGATAACCATCATTATGCATCCTCTGCATCACCAACAGTCATGATGATAATGATGACTACGCACCCTCTGCATCTCCAATCGGCTCTAACGGGACTTTTGAATCGTACATGAAAAAGATAAGGATCCTCATCATAGCCGTGGCCCATCATCGTCATCATCACGGTTATCATCATCGATGATAACCATCATTATGCATCCTCTGCATCACCAACAGTCATGATGATAATGATGACTACGCACCCTCTGCATCTCCAATCGGCTCTAACGGGACTTTTGAATCGTATATGAAAAAGATAAGGATCCTCATCATAGCCGTGGCCCATCATCGTCATCATCACGGTTATCATCATCGATGATAACCATCATTATGCATCCTCTGCATCACCAACAGTCATGATGATAATGATGACTACGCACCCTCTGCATCTCCAATCGGCTCTAACGGGACTTTTGAATCGTACATGAAAAAGATAAGGATCCTCATCATAGCCGTGGCCCATCATCGTCATCATCACGGTTATCATCATCGACGATAACCATCATTATGCATCCTCTGCATCACCAAACAGTCATGATGATAATGATGACTACGCACCCTCTGCATCTCCAATCGGCTCTAACGGGACTTTTGAATCGTATATGAAAAAGATAAGGATCCTCATCATAGCCGTGGCTAACGGGACTTTTGAATCGTACATGAAAAAGATAAGGATCCTCATCATAGCCGTGGCCCATCATCATCATTCATCACGGTTATCATCATCGATGGTAACCATCATTATGCATCCTCTGCATCACCAACAGTCATGATGATAATGATGACTACGCACCCTCTGCATCTCCAATCGGCTCTAACGGGACTTTTGAATCGTACATGAAAAAGATAGGGATCCTCCCATCATCGTCATCATCAGATGATAACCATCATTATGCATCCTCTGCATCACCAACAGTCATGATGATAATGATGACTACGCACCCTCTGCATCTCCAATCGGCTCTAACGGGACTTTTGAATCGTATATGAAAAAGATAAGGATTCTCATCATCATCGTCATCATCACGGTTATCATCATGGATGATAACCATCATTATGCATCCTCTGCATCACCAACAATCATGATGCAGAGACGTAGCACCCTCTGCATCGTCATCATCATTGTTATCATCATCGATGATAACCATCATCGTGCATCCTCTGCATCACCAACAGTCATGATGATAACGATGACTACGCACCCTCTGCATCTCCAATCTCATCATCATGATAATCATGTCCACGCATCTTTTGCATCACCAATGGGCTCTAACGCCACACTTGAAATGTATACTATACAAAGACATGGCGACGACTACGTATCAGCACCACCAGCAGTTCTCTTGATAATCATGGCCTCGCCCATCATCGTCATCATCACCGTTATCATCATCGATGATAACCATCATCGTGCATCCTCTGCATCACCAACAGTCATGATAACGATGACTACGCACCCTCTGCATCTCCAATCTCATCATCATGACAATCATGTCCACGCATCTTTTGCATCACCAACGGGCTCTAACGCCACACTTGAAATGTATACTATACAAAGACATGGTGACGACTACGTATCAGCATCACCAGCAGTCCTCATGATAATCATGTCCACGCATGATGATGATGATGATGATGATGATGATGATGGTGGTGCTGATGATGATGGATGATGATGATGATGATGATGATGATGATAACTATCATCGTGGCAACGCATCCGCAGCACCCTTCCCGTGCGCCTCCCCCTTTCAGGAGCAGGGGTCGGCGGATTTTTGGGTGTACCCTTGGTTTGGGCCGATATTGGAAGTTTCGGGTTTGCATTCCTTTCAAGCTACCCAAAAGCAGGGGGCCAATCTCTCCCCGTGGCCGCTCTGCGTAATGTCTTTCCTTCGAAGCAAACTTCGCCTCAGTTTCACCGACCTGTGTCTGGGTCCGTCAAATAAAGCCTCAACTTGTGGTTTTTGTTGCGCTGTTTCTCTGAATCCAGGGCAATAAATTCGCAAGCAAAAGCCGTGAAAGCCATGAAAGCACGGTGGAGAGGTTTGGCTTTTTCAGCCAGATGTACATGTTTGTCGCAGGCGGAGCTGGCGCTGGGCCTGAGCCAGCTGGAGGCCGTGTTCGACGCGGGTGGGGAGCCACGTTGTTGCTTGCTTGTGCGATAGGAATGAGGGAATGCACCTGGGGATTCCCTTAAAGGAAACCATAGGGTATGATTTATAGGGGCCATTCCCTCATTCCCTGCTGAGCACCTTGCTGTTGCTGCTGTTGTGTCACTCACTTCGGGTCATGAAGCAAGGCTGCAAAGCAGGACTTGGTTCTCAGGGAAATCAACAGGGGGTTTGGGAGTAAGCTAGACAAAAACATGGGTTATTGCTCAAAGTTGTCAGGTGGTTCGAGTGTCTAGGTGTTTCTTTCGTCTTTTTTCGCCAGGGTGTCTCACCGCTTCGGCAACCTGGTGTGGCTTTCCATGTCAGTTCCATGGTTTCGTCAAGGTCCCCACAGGTTTCCCTTTGCATGTCCAGGTCCTTTGGGCAAGTGGCACACGTATCGCTTGGACTAGAGCCTTTTTTGGCCACCTGCTTGCCAGACCAAGAAGCCCGCAAAAGGCGAGCTGTTTGCAGCGGATCGCAGTCTGGCCGAGTTAAGATTAGGCTTCCTTTGGTGGGGTGATGTTTAGTGGTTTGACATATGTCAGTCTCCTTCAAAGTCAATCAACAGTTTAAGGGAAACAGGGCAGAACTATGAAGCAGAATCTGCAAATGCTGCTTTTTTTGCTTTCTCCAGAGTTGGGCTTTTTTATGGACAACTGATCTAAGTAAGGGAGGAATGACCATGCCCCACGTTAGGCGTTTTCTCCCTGGCTGATGTAAAGCCCCCTGTGTTTTTGAAGGGGTCCAGTTTTTTTTGTTCTCGCGAGGCCATGGAAGATGAGATCCAGGGCTCTGATCAGGAGACGGGGTTTTGCAGTGAGTTAGACTCGGATTTTCGGAAGCTGTGCCCGGCGTGCAGGAATTGGCCCTGCAACGTCTCATTTGTTGCTTGGTGGTTTTGAGGGTTTCTGGGCGTGTTTTACAGAGCAACTAAATGGCGGTCCACCGGTTTTGCCAGACCCATTTACCGACCGGAGCGCGCATGGTGTGCGCGCATGTGGCGCAAGGAGCTTGTGAGACTTCTTAACGACCAGGAGGCAGGGTGCGATCTTTCCACCATCAAGGCAGATTCCAGTTGGCCATGGGTGGCTCTTCTACCTGATCTCATTTGGGTTCCAATACCGCAAGTCAGCCAGGCAATCCACCAGGCTGTAGATCTCTAAGACCTGCTTGGGTTTCGGCAGCCAGCAGCTCCCCTCAAGTTCCTTCCGCCCCCAAGGCGCCCGCGCCGACAACGAGCCCCTCGTTGAAGGGGCTGTGCTTTGATGCGACGGGGTCAACAGCATCATGCAGCAGATTCACATTCACGTATGGCTTTAAATGCGTTGCAATGTGCAATAGAAACAAGAGGTGACTCACACCCTTGCACAATACTCCCTGCAACATACTAACTTGGAAAGGATGGAATTACTGAAGCAATCAAGCAACATTATGTTAAAGAAGCTGAAGTTTGCCAGTGGATGCCAGTGGCCTCACTCAAGGTCTACTCAGACTAACTCGCCAAGCCAGGACAAAATCCTCCGAACACAAGGGCAATCACTCCCATTATTTTGGAGCAACCGACTTTAAGTTGGCAAAACAGTTTATAAGTACCCTCAAACTGGGTGTGGCTTCTTTTTTGAGACCACCCGTTTTTTAATTGGTTTCAACTGGACGCCTCCCCTTCGCAGGGGCCATCCTCGCTGCTCGGCCGCTCGGCTCGGTGAGGCGACGCTGGAGGGCCTCATGCGCCTGGAGAAAGAGGCGCAGACCTGGCGGGGCCAATGGGACGAGGAGAACGCCCACCGCGAGGCTCCGCTCCGCGTCCGTTTCGTCTCGTCGCGGTGCGCGGAGGTCGGAGAGTCGTCTCTGGGCGTTTCTTGTTGCGCGCGCGCCGAACGCGGGCTTGGGGTGTCGCGCGCTTTGGGAGTGGGGGGTGGTGGAGAGGGGAAGGGGGTGCCGTTTTTTGGTTTTGCGGCTTTGTTTCTGTTGGAGGAAATCCCCCCCCCGAAAAAATGGGCAGGGGTGCTTCCTGAACCTAAAAGAACTAGCTGCAAAATGGGTGATTGCCTCAAACTGATGGAGTTTGAGGGCTCATCTGAGGGACCTTCATACCCCCCCCCAAAAAAAAAAAATAATAAGTAATTTGTTTCCTTTTGGTTTCCCGGTAAAAGATAGTAACAACACGCAAATTCGAAGAAAACCAGCACACACACACACACACCAGCAAGTGGGTGTTTGTGCGGTTCGGTTCGGCGTTTAGTTTGGTGCATAAGGCTGAGCGGGAAGGGTTATGGGTGGAAAGGGTTGGGTGTGACTGAAGGATAGAGTCAACAGCAGCTGTCATGATGAGCTATCATGAATGAAGACGCCGTGCCTGAAGGCGCAGCAAGGAGAGTCACCACACCGAATGGTGTTGCTGCTTACGGAACATGTGCAACTTGTTCCTTTTCTAAGGAGCCAATCTGATTGCAGCTTATGTTGCCCCACGATCGACATGCGGGGAGGGAGGTTGCCCAAAATAGGGCCTACTTTGTGCTGATTTAGAGGATCCACCACCTTTTACTGGTTGTTGGCTCTATCCTTCAACTTGCTTGTGAGGGAGCCGCTTTCGTCGGTCTTGAACCGTGCCCCAAAGAAAAACCGTCCATCGGACACTTCACAGACATGGCTGTGGGTCAAAGGTGCACCACCCATGTTAGAACCTATTTTTGTGGGGATTGGGATGTTCACTGGAGGGTAACCGTGGTTTTGACCCATGGCACATGGGTTCCATCTCTCATTCAGCGTGTGTGGCGCGCGGCTGGCAGGTCCTGGAGAACGAGCTGAACGCGGCGAAGCACCACTTCAACGGCGAGCAGGTGGCCCTGCAGGCCGTTTGGCAGAGAGAGAGCCCGGGGAGTAAAGAGCAACTTAGATATCCTCTGTCTAACTGACTTGTCCAAAACCAAACGTTCAAACTTGGTATTCTTTTTGTTTGGCATAGTTGCCGTCTTCCTTTAGCGGTGCCTAGAACCAAACGAAAAGTTTAAACTGCTAATTTCTGGGATTTGAACCACTAGGCAAGCAATTGAATCGCGAGGTTCCAAATTAAAACAGCAGTGTTCCGATTTCCAAAAAGGTCTGGAAACGCGAGTGCCAGCTCCTCATGTGGAAAACACGAACACACATTTGTTTCTTTGTTTGGTTTAAAGGGGATACCAAAGGATAACCCATGCCCATGTTGGGGGTTCCCTGCTTTGAAACCATGGGCCGTGGCAAACAATAGATAAGCGCAATGGGCAGTGCACCTCAGGGCCGGGCAGGGAGCAAGGGCAACCCCGTAAGTTGAAATGTTGTCCAAAAGATCTTGTAGGTCACAGCATTTCACCAATTTGGAGAGTCAATTTTGGTAAATATTGCATACGTGGAGCGGTTGGGTCTAGTCGGTCACGATGCTTTGCTTCTGGCTTGTTCTCGCTGAAGTTTCGGCAATCTTTCTGTGACACTAGGTAACCAGTGGGGTTTCCATCATGCAAAGCCCAGAGGGACCCTCGGATTTCATGTAAGGAGAATAGTCTTCCAGGACCCCCCTTTCCAATGAGGATGGGAGGGTCTCTAGAGGTAAGACCCCAGTTACCTTCCGTGCCTGGAATCCTGGGAAGTACAGAGATCAGTTGATCCCAGAATACCCAAACAAAATCCGTCAGCGTTCCTGCACTCCCGGAACGGGGAGTACACCGATCAGGTCGACTGCGTGGATTCCAAACCTCCATTTTCTCAAGACTATTTGTTATTTTCCCTTGTTGGGTCTAAAAGGAATTCATCACTCTGGACATATTTTTATTTGTTTTTCCTGGGGCCTTAACCAGATGGTTCACCCAACCATACTCGATGGACGTCTCGCTGAACCAGACTCGATGGAAGTAAAACCACAGAATTCGTCCAACGTAGGCCACCTGCGAGAAGCTCTCCACCCACATCGAAGACTTGGAGCAGGAGATCCGCTCAGCCTCAGGCGCGACGACGAATTCGCCTTGGGGCTCGAGCGAGCAGCGCGAGGAATTCGCCCAGGGGGGGGTTTTCGTGTTGGTTTCCCCTGGCCGCGGTAACCCCCCAAGTCGCCAGGTAGCCACTGTTGCTATTTTTTTTGTGGGGGAGGGGGAGTATCATGCAAAGCCCTGACAAGAGAAGGAGGTGTTCCAAATGTACAAACTATGGTGTAGGGGCACCCACAGGATGTTCTCACAAGCGGCACATCCGCAGGCAACCAATTCTTGACCTCAAACCACCCTTTAGAATGACTTCTGCCAAAGAAAAGGGTGACTTTAGCAATGTTGGAGGATAAGTAATGGGGGGGCTTTTCAAGGGAACCTAAAAGGAGGTTGTTTGTTGGCGCGCGGGCTTGCTTGCTACCCTTTTGGCCAATACTCTTCTTGCGACTGTTTGGAAGGGGACACGCCGAGACAGGTGTCACTCAGACCTTCGTGGACTGACTACACACGTTGGCCAAGCTCATTGTGGGACAGTGAGAGCATGTATTGGTTGTTGCTGATATAATTTCCATTATATGGGTATGTCCTAAAAGCGGTTCCCAACAAATCTTTGTTCGTCACGGTGGCTTCCCTTTGATTTAAACTCAATCCAAAAAGGGCCGCCCATTTTGGGATTCCTCCAATGATGGTTGACTCTTGAGAGAACCCACGTCTGATCTGATATGCCCATGGTCAAACCCCGCTTGCTTCGGGATTGTTGGGATGGTCATTCTTGACTTGGGATGTCAGACAACAATTGAGGGCTCCCAGTAAACCATGATCATGACTGCCATGGGAGGTTGACTTGGCACAATTGTAAGTCGCTTAATCAGGTCAACTTGGGGGTTTCCGACGACTTCAGACTGTCACGATGCGTCACGTCCGGGCCATTCCTGCAGCGTGTGTTCCTTCACTTGCTTCCCAGCTTCCCAGCAGATAAACATGAACCCCCTGCCCCAAAAGTTGCAAGTATGGGAACAAGGAACCCCTCTAATTCACCGCAAGCTACCATGTTTGAGTAGTTTTTTTCATACGATCGGTTTACTTGCAATGTGGCAGGGGCATCCACGGAATCTCTGGAGGGGACCGCTGGTTGGGGTTCCGTGTTTTTGTTGGGGGTTGGACCTTCTGGCCCTTGTACGGTAAGGATTTCGTCGCTTGCCCGGGATACAGCTGAGCTACAATAGACTTTCCCGCGCAGGCGCTCGTGGGAACAAAATGACTTTGGGTGGATGGGGATACCTTTCCTTCGAACCACTGCTCGCTTGGGTAATTTTGAGGATTATGCAGTCAGCGTCCCCAAGCGGAGAGCATGTTTTGATCCCCCGTCATGAAAACAAATTAGAATACAGTGGGTAGAGCCCGCGTTTAGAAAGCCATGCTGACGCAATCAACAACGCATAGTATCTGGATAGCTCCTTGTACACACTCTGAGCTAGCAAGGCCACGTTTTCCCAAACACGCAAGGCTTAAAGCGTTCTCTCACTACAATAAAAAAGCACCCTGGGTTACCTTTGAACATCAACCAATCAAGCAACGAACCTGTTTTCCCCGAGGACACCCTCTAGTCCCCCGCCTCCTTTGGGCGTCCCGTGACCGCGCAGACGAGCTGGTCCAGAAGCGCCGACACTTCGTGAGCCGTGAGCTCGATGTTTTGAGAGGGCGCGCAAATCGGGGCTCTCCACATCCTGAGGGTCCCCTGGTACCTCCTGAGGACGGTCTTCGAGGATTGAGGTAAAAAGGATCGGAAGTACCTGAAATTGGGGCCATGGAAAGTAAACAGATTATTTTGACCCTGGATGGATCCAATTGCAACATGGCTTCCCCGTGTCCATGGGTCTAAATCGGTGTTTGCAAAGGTACTCCCCTCCAAATTAGCATCTCTCCCAACAAGCCATCACTTCTCCAGGAGACTCCTTGTCGGGGACCACCCTTTCTCGGTTCCATGTAAAGCTGAAAGGGAGAACGACTGACTATAATGATGCATCTCCTACGGCTTGAGTGAGTAACTTAACGTTGTGCTTCCTACACAAGCCCCTTTGGTTATTGAAAACAATGGCATCCCCGAATCCCCGACACAGAAGTACTCCCAAGGTGAGCAACCTGGGTTTGTCTCAGGCACCCACAAAATGTGCTTATGTCTCCCTTGGTTTGTTTTTTTAGCCAATTGAAAGGGAGTATCCTCCAAAAAGACCGGCAGGAAAGTATGCGGTCACCCTAGCCGTGAGTCCATCCATCCCCATCCAAGCAGAGTATATACCAACATGTGATCCAGAATTTGGAGGGATATGGGTAAATATTGCATGGATACTTCGGGTAATAGTTTGTTGTTTGCAGATCCGATTGTTGTTGTTTTTTTTTTAAACACAAATTGGTTTGTTTTTTGTGCTTAAACAAACAGCCGATGGGTTTTGACTAAAAGCCTACGCCCTGAATTTGATCATGGCTTTGGCTCTGCCTTTGGCCCGGTTCCCCTTGGGCCCTGATGTCCTGGCGGAGTACCCCTTGGTTGCCCCAAAACCCGCGTTTCATTTTTTTTTGGTGGGGGGTTAATTCCCTATTTTAATTTATATTTGAGACAATCCCAAGTGAAGCCGGTTGCTAAAGGCTGGCACCCTCAAGAAGCGATGCTTTTCATCAGGCCGGGAGGCGGAGAGCTCAACGCGCCAGGCGCGGAGGTTGCGCCGGTTTTTTCCGAGGTCCCGAGGTATTCCTGCTTTGGCTATTTAGGCAGCCCTGGTTTTCGGGGCTGAAGAAGTCTCCCCGTTTCTTTCGTGCGAAGTAGTAGTTGCAAGGGTCTGTTCAACTGCAAATGCTTTCCACTTGCCGTGAATTAACTGAGTTTTGGGATACTCCAACCCCCCATTCTAATCACTTAGCCCCTCATATCAGCTTGCAAAGCTGAGCGCCACGTTCCTGGAACTAGGGTTTTGTAGGACCCCAGCGCCGCAGTCAGGCTACATGGTGGATGTGAGGGGAATCACGGGGCACTGACTTGTCCACGTGCAGTAGTTGTTGCTGAAACATGGGGGAAGGGAATGAGGAACATGCTTTGTTGGGGGGCCAGGTGTTTCGAAGCAATGTAGTTGCTGAACCCTTCAAATGCGTGGCGTCCCTTTTGTTTCTCGTGGCAAACGCTTGCATCTAAGCAGAAAGAAGCAGAAAGGAGGAGAGATGGACAGGTGGCACGGGGTGTCCCGCGCAAAATCAGGGGATTAACACTACCAACTTGAAGGAGGTTGTGGGGTGCTGCCCTATCCCTTGGTACCTCCCTTCGGATGGCTGTGGGTCAAAACCCTGTACCCCTGGTGAACATCAAAATAGGTACATGGGTGTTCATCCGCCCCAAAATGGAGGCATAGGTTATGACCCATGGCTGGACTGTTTTTTCTTTTTTTGACATAGAAGGTGCCCTGCTTGGCGTCTCTTTTGATTCACTTGGCAAACCCTTGTCTCGACGCCGCCCGAAATTTGAAAGGCTAAGAAGAAGTGGCACGGGGGGGTTCTTTTGTTTTCACTTTGGAATCCTCTTCTTTGCCCACAACGAGCAATGATGGATTCAATGGATCGAAGAAAGCAACATGTTGCCAGGCACTGGCAAAAATCAGGAATTCGAGGCCCAAAGAAATGCACGTGGTCAAGTTGGGTTCTTCCCCGTTTGTTTTACCCTGATTGAAGCACCCCCATCAGTACAATTAGTGGGGGGACTCAAAAGGGATTGGTTTGGAGGTCTCAAGGTTCTTAGGGCAAACGCAACTATTCCATCATGTTGCTGCCTGTTGGCCCTGTGCCTTTCTGTGTGGTGGGCTCACCACTAGAAAAGCAGAAATTGGCAAACTCCACTGAAATGGAAGCAGCCAACACATCCGATTCAGGTTCTACCCAAAACACAGATTGGTCCAATTCGGTTTCCCCACTCTCTTTGCCACGTGTGTTCCAATGCGTGTTTTGTTGTTTCCCCCCAAATCCAGCCACCTTCTGGGTGAAACAAACTCCAGCCGTGCCAGTATCAAGGGAACAGGCCAGGTTGCCACAACCTCAAAGTTGCGAAGGCTAAGCCTGGATTCGCAACTTCTGGTTCTTCGCGGGGAACGAAACGGACAGCCTCTCTGGCTGGGGGTTCGATCCAGGCGGCGGCCGAGGCGCACCTCAAGGAGTCCCAGGCGGGAAGTGGGATGAGGTTCAGGCTGGGCGTTGGGTGGCTTTGGGTGGGTTTGGGGGTTCTATGGGGTTTGGTTTAGGCGGGTTTTGTTTATGGCGGGGTTGGTTTAGTTCGGGCTTGGTTTAGGATGGTTTAGGCTTTGTTTGGGTTTGGGGCTTCTATAGGACAGGGCATTCAGAGGGGCACCGGAATGTGATGTTTGGACTTCCGAACAAGAATGGGTGACGTGCCTCAAAGCTCTGGTTCCGGGTTGGACCGTTTCCTTTGGGTGCTAAATGGGCTTCTCTTCTTTTCGTGTTACCCTTTTTGGGCTTTCAACGGAAAGCCATGGTTTCTTGAGAGCTCCCCTCTTTCAAGGCACACACCGATTCGAAGGAGCTGCTGGCCTCCTGCCGTGACCGCCTGCGGGAAGCCGCAGACCAGCGGGCGGGAGCCTTGGGTTTTTTCTCGAAATGGGCCATCTGTTTTTTTGGGGGGCGGTGAGCAAATACCCACCCATTGTGGGGGGGGGGGGGCATTCTTGACACGTGTGTTTTTCCAAACTTGTGGAGAAGCCTCCTTTTGGTTGGCCATGTTGGGAAATGGATCCCTGGTTGCCAAATGGCCAATCACTTCCAGCTTTCCCAAACCAAAGGATTTGGATGAATGGATATTCTCAACACCGCAGCTGTAGATATAGTTTTGTTTTTCGGTAGCAACCCAGCACCCCCCAGGCCCACGACAGCTGTTCGGCACACAAGCTGCAACAAATGTGTGTTTAGGTATATTTATGGTGGTAGTAGTGATAGCCCTAGTGGTAGCGGCAGTGGTAGTGGTACTGGTAGTCGTCGTGGTGGTGGTAGAAGTAGTTGTAGTAGTAGTTGTTGTTGTAGTAGTAGTAGTAGTAGTAGTAGTAGTAGTAGTAGTAGTAGTAGTAGTAGTAGTAGCAAACATAACAGTAGTAGTAGAAGGAACAAGGAAATCAACAGGGAGAAGAGCAGGTGAAATCCACCAAACACACAACCAAACTAGTTTCTCCAAATGCTAGGCTGCGGGCAATGACACTGCGCATGTGAATCAGCGGGCATTTGCAGGTTTTGGTGTTGGAGGTATGGATGCTGATATACGTACCAGCACTGCTTCGGCTTGTAACACAGCATGCACTTCTAATGTGAGTTGCATATTACTTTCATACCTCCAAACCCCATACCTGAAGCTGCCCTTGGCTCAAGGGTCATTGATTCCGTCTCTTGTTTCCGAGCGGCCTTGGATTGGTCTTGCAAAACAAGTTCCAACAAAGGGCCCCTGTTGCCTTCACCCTTGCAGCAATGCAGAACAAAACCAGTCAGCACGCCTGAGGCTCGGTCGAAGTCAGAGGCGCCTTCGCGGTTGTTTTTTGCCTCAGGTGGGACGGGATTGGACAGGGCTTGTGAAGAATCCTCTCAACACAAAGGTGTGTGTGTGTGCGTGTATTTTTGAGGGTACCATGAGGTTGGTTTGAAAGGAAACCAAAAGGAACACCACCCAGTTGGGGTGCCCCTATGTTGACACATACCCGCTTACATGGTGTCTTGTTGGGGGCACTTTATTTTGCTGTTTCTTACATTGAAATTGAAACCGACCTTTTTTATGGGCGGAGCCCAAAGCAGAACACTTGAGCCGGAAAAACATGAGTTCTGCGTGTGGTAAAGGACTCGAATTTCTGACAATTGTCACTTTCTTTGGTTGCAGTAGGCCCCTCTCCAAATGATGTCCGCTTTGGTTTACTCAGGTTGCACCTAGGGTCGATTCCTATCCACGCCACACACAAGACACACAGGTTCTTGATGTGACTGCTCTGAAGAAAAGCTATGTTTCTTTGGCCTTGTTATTCAGCAAACTTCTCAGTCCAGACTTGTAGATGGGAAGCCAAAGGGAAACCAACCGAATCTGCAAGGGTACGCTTTACTACCGTGCTTGAATGGCATTGCGGTCCGCCCAACCTCCAACAAATGCCGGGTGCGACAATGAAAAACAATGAACCAACTGGTGGGCCAATGGGTTCCAAATGCTGTGCTTCGATGCGTTTGTGTATGGGTGTCCAGCTCAAGTGTCACGCAAGGAGTTTAGTCACCACTCATGAATGGTCCACTGAGAATGGTTGAACGAGTGAGCCATGTTTGTTTTTTTGCACGTTGGGGGGGGGGCTGGACCTAGATTCCAAGGGCCACTTGCTGGGCATAGCACCCCTCAAAGAAAGGGTATATGTTTTCGGGGTGCTGGACAGTCAAACATTTCATTTGAGTTCCCAAACATTGAATCTCATATATATTTATAGATATATATATATACATATATATATATATATGCCGATTTTATGGCGAGCTCACTTGGGCAAAACAAGCTCACCATGATGATGGATGTCAGGTTTTGGAGTTGTTGCAACTTTTGCATCCCCAAAAGAAAGCCAACAGGCGTTGGATAAATGTTCCATTTTGTGCATTCTCAAAAATCTCATGACTTGAACACCTCGGCTCCCCTCGTCTCATTTGACGAACACGTGAGAGTCGCCAGGCGGAGAATCAGCGTGCCAAGTGCGTGGAGGTCATCGGGGTCTTGGAGCGCGACCTGGAGAACCAGGCGGAAAGCTGAGGGATTTGACCTTGCTGATTTTGCCATGGACCCTCAAACTGCCCCAAACAAGCATAAGTTTGCCTAGACCATCGTGAAGCTTCAGACTGGCCTCAAACCTGTAGGGTGATGTCCCAGTTATTTTGTTGCGGGTAGTTTGAGGGTCCAGGTAAATTCGAGGGTCTGGACCCCCATCCCCGAGGCTTCTCCAGGGGACCATGCCTTCTCAATTCTTGGAACCTCTCTAAAGGGCGCAACACCCAGACATAAATTTACTTGATGATTGCTTTCCCAGCTGTCCCCCCCCTCACACGAAGGTTCAACGCACTGAGTACTCTTTCTCTTTAGGCGCTGTTTCACAAGCAATCTGGGCCCCTGGGACTGGAAATGGATCCCTGTTGTTTTCCCTGTGGTCAAAAACCAGCTAGAATCCCCAAGAAATCAAACAGGGGATCCGATCAGGGCGACGCAGAACCGGCTGGGAAGAACCGCCCGAGAAAAAACAAAAATGAGAAGGCACGATACCCCGGGGAAAAGCCGATGTGCGTTTTTACTGTAAGGCACCTCATTTTTGGCCATAGGCTTTTCCCAAGTGGACAGTGCCTTCTCAACTTTAAAAAAAACAAAAAAAAATGAGCGAGCACGCAGAGGTTGGGGGAGCACGCAAACCCGGAGAAGGCCCGCAAAACCAGAGAAGGCCCGCAAAACCGCAGAAGGCCCGCAAAATCCGGAGAAGGCCCGGAAAATAATTGAGTCTGTTTTGTTTGGCGATGTGTGACGTGCAAATCCGCATCCATGGCTGCTGGTGATGCCTGTGCTGCTGCTGATGCTGGTTATGCCTTTGATGCTGGTGATGCCTCTGAACTGGTAATGCCTAAAAGTATCAGGCCAGAGCCAAGGCTGACAAATCAACATGCCAGCCCTTGAGAAGGCACGCTTATCTGGGGGAACCCGCAAAATCCAGAGGACGCGTGTCCAGACTTCCGATAAATTGTAAGGCTCACTGAATAAGTAAACCTGAGTTCAAACAACCTCCCTCGTGGTTCCTTGTTTAAGGTTCAATTCTTAGTGGGACACGGCATACGGCATATGCCAGAATGCCAGAAATGCAAAACGGCTGTAAGGGTTCCTTGGTACCTTCGAATTGGCCAAAACCATGCACTTAAACGGTACTGAGGGATCCTTGGGTAAAAAAGACAACTCCAGAGGCGACTTTGCCTTTGACATTTCAGCAGGCCTTGGGTCCGGGTGCATAAACCTGTATAATTTTGCCCAACTACAAAACAATATTGGAGACTCATGTCTCAATGCGGACCCTGCAGGGGATTGCTCAGCGTTGGTTCGCCCCTGGTTTTGGATATCTTTCATTGTAAGTTGTGCGTTTCAGGGAAGGAACTGACCTGGACCCTCAAGGGGTGACGTCAGCCATCTTTCAGGGTTGGCTCCCGGGACCAGAGCCGCACGATGGTGAAGGACTCCCACCATAGCCAAGGGAAAGCACGCATTCGCGCCCTTAAATCAGGGTTGACATCATTTCCATGGCTTGATGTACGTAAGTGGAACCAACCTGACCGCGCCAGCTTGACACATCATCAAGCAGGAAAACAGATGTGGAACAGGGGGACATCTTGAACACTAAGGTGAATCCTTCGACCTTAAAACCCTCTACTCCAAAAGGTCCCTGAATACCCTTTGAGTTGATGGTGTTGGAGGGGTTAAAGCGGGTCAAACGCTGTTGGAGGGGTTAGTGGGGGTCAACGCTTGAACCATTTCGAAAGGGATGGGTGGTTTGGAAAGTAGATTTCTCTGGCATCCAAACGGGGAAACAACTCTATACCTAGCGACAACCCCAAACTACTCCGAACCACTCCACACGACTCCAAACAACCCAAATTGGTTGTCTAAAACCAGGGCTTCAACTATTCTTGCAGGAAAACCACTGGAACGACAAGCCTCCCACGCACCCATGTTCCATGGGTTCAGTCATGCCCAAACGGGTCCGGAGGTACTTGAGGAGGTACTCCCCTTTCGACACCCCTCGGCAGCCCCATTAATCCATTTCGCCCACCCTTGCGCTGCTCTCCGAGTACCACAATTCCGGACGGCCTTTGCACCCGCCAACATTCCTAGGCCTTTGAAACCCCGACAAGAACACTCCCCATGTGCGAAAGAGCCCTGAAAACATGGAGAAACTTGACCACGGCCAAAAGAAGCTAAACAACACTGGGTTTCCCCACATGAATGGAGAAACAACTTGGAAACACGCGTGGGACATGGTTCCAAAGCAGCAGTTAAACAAGGAAAGAAACAACACCAAGGGGTTTCCAAAGGTCCACCTTGAAAGCACGCCTCACACGCGTCAGGTCCAGGTGCTTTTGACGGTGAGGGAGCGCTACGAGGCTATGCTGCAGAACGAGCAGAAGGTCCACACGCAGGCGACTAGACACAGATTGTTCGAATCACCCAGTGATATGGCGGTGGTACCATTTTGGGGTAGGTGCACCACCCAGTTTAGAACCTATTTGAGTGGGGATTGGGATGTTCACTGGAGGTAGGGGATTCTGACCCTTGGCCATCTGCCAGTGATACTGTGGATGGACAAACTCCGTTTCGCACCACTTGGAAACCATGGTTGAAACCATTGAGCATTGCTATTCACAGTGAAATCATCATTTCTAGGTTTCTTAGGTGGTGCAGGATATGGTACATCCACAGCATGTATGGGTGTGCCTTTTCAGTCGTCTGAGCTGCAAGTTTCTCGTAACTTTCCAACGCCTGGAATTCCCCAGGCAAGGTTCTTACAGATGTGCGGTTTGACAATCTGAGAGGCAAAGTTGCCCTTTTGATCTTTTGAAACATTCTTGTTTGGGGGCTCATTCAGGTGAGCTTGCGGTTTGACAATCTGAGTCCCATGTTTTCGGGAAATCAGATCGGAGACATGCGGACAATCGATGCCGAGTGGCAGGCCAAGCAGGAGTGCGACCGGGAAACGGAGCTCGCATCTTCCGTGACCAGGCTGGATGTGTTGCACTCCTCACAGCGTCTCTCCTATTCGAAGATGGGGCATGTGTCAAGCGAATTTCAGGTCCACAGCCCAAGTAGCAGCTGCACGAGGCCCGCAAGAGGGCCCTCTGTGAGAAACGTGCTGAAGTGCGTTTTTGTTTTTGCCCTTTTGGGGGATATAGCATGGAGATTTCTGGGTTTTTGTGGACCCCCTTTTGGCGGAAGGAGAAACCAACAGGTTTTTCATATAGAGGGGTCCTGACGAATTTCTGCACCACTTGGAACGCTTGGAAAGCATGTTTGAAGCCATTCTTGGTTGGTTCTTGCAGATCAGAAACCAGAGTTTCTGAACGGTGGTGCGAGACTCGGATTTCGCAACCATCCACATGCAAGAACTTCCCCTACCCACAAGCTGGCGAAAGGCCCCTTTGACTTGCCAGAGATGTGACAGTTGATGGGCTTGTCAAGTGGCTGTAGGGTATGTTTTCTGACTGGAGTACGTGGATCTGGGAGATTGTGTCATTTGGCTGGTGTACCCGTTCGAAAAGCGCATCTGCTGGAAGCATCACAGAGTTTCATGTTAAGATTCAGCATTTCAAGTGGTGCAATGTTTGGTGATGGAACCTAGTGGTACCTTGTTTGGGATTGTCTAACATGGCCGGAGACCAAAGGGAGACAGAAGCCCAAATTTGGGGCTCTCCCAGTTTGAGTGGATGGGCTTGCCTTTTGCCTCCCGTTTGAGAAAGCCCACCATCGCGTTCGTTGACATATGAATTTGTTTATCCCAACCTGGGACCTGCGTGCTTCAATTGGATTCGACATGACAAATGGGCACCCCCAACAAAGGCACCTGAGGGTGGGTATGATTGACCAGTGACTATTTGATTCTCCATTAATTCAGCACCAGAACCTTCGTATGGCTAAGTCAGTTTGATCTACTAGAAACAGTGGGTAAAGCCAAAGATCATGAACCCCGAAAGTGCCCTCAACAATTTGATTAGTAAGCAACAGCTTGGGGTTGCGTCCGATGCTCCAGGGTAGTTTGAGGGTCCAGGCAATCCTCAATCCCCCCCCCGCCCACCCGCCCGAGCATTGCATCAAGTGGTAACCCACGTCAGGCAGGCGAGAAGCGAGAGCCGGCATCGTTTGGAAGGCCGCGACCTCGGCAAAAGCCAACAGCAACGGGTCGGTTCAATCCGAAAGCTAAGGGTCACCTTAATCACCTTACCTTCGAATTGGAGGAACCGAGGAACCCCCTTCACCCAAACTTCCTAGGGGGCCCTTAAATTGGAATTTACAGTTGGGGGAAAGTAGATGGCGCAATGCCGCCTCACGGATTTAGTCATCTTGACTTGTGGTCGCAAGCGGGAATGAAGTCTTCTACTTTTTTCCTCACTGCAAGATGTGTTCACCGTTTTGTGCCCGGAAATGGATGGGAGAGTCAAGACGGCCATCAAAAGGCCGCTCCAGTTCCGTGGAACCTGACCTTGATGGAGGTGAATCTAGAAGTTTGGCAGGACCGGGCCCCTGCAACACTAGGTACCCGAAACCAGGCCTTCAAGGCCCAAAAGTCCGTAAAACAAAGGCTATTTGTTTTAGGCTAAACCAAGGGTTCGTTCCAACACCAAGGGATTGTGTCAAATATAGGGGAACCTCGAACAAATAATAGGCGATTGTGTGGTTTACAGTTGACAGGAGTAACTATCTACCGAAGATGGCCAATGCCTTTATCTGAGAGCCCTTCCTTTGCAGCCACTTCACACAAATATGTCTATGCACCACGTGCGGTCGTTTGGTGGTGTGGCGCAAGACACATCGTCATCACTTGCCCAGAGCTGGCGGTGTCGAGCTATCTGTTTTCATCATGTTTATGTCCATTAAGGTGAGCATGCTTAAAGGGTTTTCAAACATATTGGTGTTTTGCGTTTCAGGATGTTAATGGAATGGATCCTGTTGTTTTGGTGACTTGCCGCCATGGAAGCACAATGATTTGCTGTGTATTCCGCGGGCCTTTGAGTAACCACTCATACGGGGTCCCTGCGTTTAGCGGGGATTCATTACGCTAGAAGAACACCCCGCCCGCTCAAGTCAGTATTGAAGTCCTGAGCCGCGGCACAGCTCTGGCGTCGGAACCCCAAACCACCTCCGACCGCAAAGCCCACCAAAACCATCCCCATGCGCACAAATTTGTGCAATTTGACGTACATGTGCAAGCAAAGGCGTAAATATATGTATATGCACATAAAGTATCTTAAAGTACTCATTTCCCACAAGTAAGAGGGAAGCCAGGATGCATCAACCCCTGGTCGATCACTAGGGGGTGTTCTAGACAAAACCGCTTTTGAGGCACACATCAGTGTTTTCAATCCACCAGGTTGATGAATCCAGCAGGTTGATCAATCCGGTGTCAACAGTTGTTTGGTTAGTGGAGAGGGATCATTGACTTGGCGTTGGTAATCCATCCCAATTTTCCCATGGCTTTGCGGAGCCAAGTACATGTGTACTTGCCGAGTGGGAAGAGCTGCACCATTGCGCTGTCGCCGGAGTCGAGCCTCGGTGACTTGAAGGCTGAGGCACAAAAGCAGCTGAAGCGCCGCTTTCTGAGCCTTGCTCTTGGAGGAAAGCAGCTAGATGCCTCGACTTTGAGTGAGGGCGTGCGAGATGGGGACTGCATTGATGCCATCGTTCGGCCCGTGAAGCTAGTTGCCACTCGGAAAGCATTTGCTTTGCATGTTGCTGGAGGCGCTGCGCTTGCATGGGGCTCTTCTAGCCATGGCGGCGACAGCAGCCAGGCGCATGATCAGTTGGTGCGTGTCCAGCAGATCCAAGCGACTCCTAGAGGTGCTTTTGCTGCCATCCTGGACGATAGCTCTGTGGTGACTTGGGGCGATGCTGGCAATGGTGGAGATAGCAGCCATGTTCAAGAGCAATTGGTGGAGGTGCAACAGATCCAAGCAACAGGCGGAGGTTCGTTTGCCGCAATTCTACGCAATGGTTCTGTGGTGACTTGGGGCAATCGAGGCTGTGGCGGTGACAGCAGGCAGGTTCGAGAGCAGTTGGTGCGGGTCCAGCAGATCCAAGCAACTGACCGTGCATTTGCTGCCATCCTGGATGGCGGTTCTGTGGTTACTTGGGGCGACCCTGACTGTGGCGGTGACAGTAGCCAGGTGCGAGAGCAGTTGATGCGAGTCCAGCAAATCACAGCAACAGACCTTGCTTTTGCTGCCATTCTGGCCGACGGCTCGGTGGTGACTTGGGGCAGTCCTTTGCATGGCGGTGACAGCAGCCAGGTGAAAGAGCAGTTGGTACAGGTCCGGCAGATTCAAGCCAACACTAGTGCCTTTGCCGCTGTCTTGAACGACGGCTCTGTTGTGACTTGGGGCGATCGCGAGTTTGGCAGTGACAGCAGCCAAGTGCAAGAGAAGTTGGTACGGGTCAAGCAGATCCAAGCAAGCGCAGGAGGTGCTTTTGCTGCCATTCTGGATGACGGCTCTGTAGTGACTTGGGGCGATCCTAAGTTTGGCGGCGACAGCAGACAGGTGAATGAAAAGCTGACCGATGTCCAGCAGATCCAAGCGACTGCAAGTGCTTTCGCAGCCATTTTGGACAACGGCTCGGTTGTGACTTGGGGCGATCCAGACAATGGCGGTGACAGCAGCCAGGTGCAAGAGCAACTGGTGCGAGTCCAGCAAATCCAGGCAACTGGCTCGGCCTTTGCTGCCATCCTCGACGATGGTTCTGTGATTACTTGGGGCAAACCTCGCGCTGGCGGTGACAGCAGCAAGGTGCAAGCGCAGTTGCACAATGTCCTGCAGATCTGCGCAGCTGAAGCGGCGTTTGCTGCCATTCTGGATGACGGCTCGCTGGTCACTTGGGGGAGTTCTTTCGCTGGCGGTGACAGCAGTGAGATTGTGTCTCAGCTGGATGGGTTTTGAGACACGGCTGGACCAATGTCCTGCGGCCAAGTTTGCCTTCGGCGTGCTGTAGCAGCATATTTAGATTCCTTGAGATTTGTTTTGTAGATTTCAAAGTTGACCGCGCCCAAGTTCCGTTTGGCACCACGTGGAAGTTTGCTGATTTGCGTGCTGGTGACCGCAAGCAACATTTGCCCTGAGCCGTGCCAATATATAAAGATATATGCTACGCAAACTGTTGGGTCTTGAATTCTAATCACAGAATCCTTGGGGGTTGAAAGTAGCACTCGGTTCCGTTTGAAATCACCTTGAAGCAGCCCTAAATGGCACCATCAAAAACAGACACACCCATGGTGAAGAGAACTTGTTCCATCACGTATTTGGGCGGCTTCCACGGCTGCCGGGTATGATCTTTAAATCATCAGATCTTTCGTTGAACCGTTCAACCCGCGCAAGTTTTTCGGCATTGGCAATTGAAGATGCGCGGGGCTTAGGGGCGCGGTCTTGGTTTTCACGGGGCACGTGTGACCGCAGCTGCAAAAGAAGTTTAGATGCAGCCTGATTGCCGAGGCTTCTCACTCAAATGGTGGATTGACAGCACCCACCGGGCATCAACGATAAGTCATAGTCCAAGCCCATCCGGGTTTGCCTGTTGGCTCATTTTGAAACGCCTTTTTGACTCAGCAACGGACCCCCCCAGGTTTCCAAGTTAATTTGCACCTCGTACAGGTGCAGCAAGTAGCGATGAAGGGACACACTGCAAATAAACGTGGCGCTTGTCCCAGAGGGTCCAAGTACTAGTTAATCTTTGCAGTTGATCAATCCCCCCAGGGGAAGGCAGAGAAATGAAAAGAGAGGAGGGGAAGGAATGCAAAACAGAAGACAATTTCAGGTGCATGTGTTTTGGA